TTTTGGTCTTGGGGAATGTCTCTCTTTCCCGGGCCGAGACTGCTACCGTCGTATCTGCGGAGAATACATGGACGCAGGCGCATAGGACTGTCATTGCCGTTTCCGTTTGTCGGGATATACCGTTCGAGCTCAGGTGAGAGAAAGAGAGTCTGAGAGACGGCGTCTGTGGAACGTGAGAACGGGGGGGCGGGACGTAATTAGCAATTCAACTGAGACTAGCTTGCTTCACATCTTGCAGGAGCTTAGAGCTGCTGCGAGTATTGCTGCTGCTGCTGCTGCTGCTGCTGCTTCTGGTCACTGCTGGTCACCTGACGGCCCTTGTCGGCGGTGTTCCAGATCCTGCTGGTGGGTTTGTGTGATGTTGCCTATACCGTACTAATAGACCAGGGTGTAGGCCCTTTGAAGACTTGAGGGCGGGGCACAACGTACGCTGAATATCATGTGGCGAGTTGTTTGAGGGTCAGACATGGAGAGATAAGTCATCTGGCACGTGGGGTTACACAGACGGACTTGACAATCGGCAGTTGTTATTGTTTACTTTTCTTGATGCCAGCTCTGGCGTGATCATCCATGGAATCTTGCAGATAGAGACGGTCGGTAGGACGAAACAATTCAAATTTCACGATACATGGTTGTTAAATTATGCTTATCGAGATACAGTTCTATATGTTTACTGGTTTGATAACACGGGTTGCTCGATATTCATTAAGCTAGGGATATGTATCCGTATCATTCATCATAAGTAGGTACTTTGTTTGCAAGGATTTCCGCAGGTATGATTAGGGAACTCGATTTGTAGAATTCTGCTGCTGGGTTCTTGTTTTTCTTCTTTGTGAAGGTTGAGTCCGTGTGTAGACAAATGAGAAGTTCAAAACTGGATTTCCGTCATCAATAGTGCATCTTTTGTGGAGAAGTTACTGGAAAGCTCTCTTAAAGATACCCTCATTTCAGAGACTCTTCATTGCAAATGAGTAGGCGTATATCATGTTTCTCAACTGAAGCGACCCAAAGTCACAAACTGTAAACCTCACTGTTCAAATTTAGAGAACCTTCCAACAAGATTTGAATAATAGTCAATCTTATAGATGAACTTTACAGATAAAACAGTTGGCTAGGCTAGATGTAATGAGATAATGGATACTCTAGACGCGGGGTAGTAATTAATGACAGAGTAGTCAGCACCATGTTTGCAGTCAAAAAGTTACTTCTCATTGTATGTGGAATGAATAAAGCATACTACTAGTCACGCTTACTAAGATGTAAAAGAGAAATCAAGACCTTAGCTGTTACATACAAGATAAAACACTTACATGACTAAATCTTGGAAAAAGAGTCTATTAATTGCAGGAAGGGTTCATTCAAGAGCTTTCTTTTGTTCTCCATTTATTGAGTGCTTCTATCATGTCTCGATAATGGGCGTGACAGGTAACTGTTCACTTCAGAACTAAACCCAGTTTCTCATTGCTAGAGTCTATGTGATTCTCTGCAACTATTCCCCCCACATTACTCTTCTCGTGATACATTCATTTCTAGCATCTCGTCAAAACAAACCAAGCATAATCATCTCATGCTGAACCCGTAACATTGAACTTCTCGGCGTAAGGGTCCCAACTCGCATCCACATGCCTCTCATACTCCATCAAATCCGCAATAGACGTCGCATCTTCCGCGCCGTACACCTCTTCAATGAACGCCAGCGTCGCGTCGATGCCCGCCGAGACGCCCGACGAGGTCCACACGTTGCCGTCAACCACCCACCGCGCCTTGGCCACCCACTCGGTCCGCGGCCCGTGGACGACGGTGCTCGCCCACGAAGCCTTGTTGGTCGTCGCGCGGCGGCCGTCGAGGACGCCGGCGCGGGCCACGACCGAGGCGCCGGTGCAGATGGAGATGAGGTAGCGCAGGTTCGGGTAGGTCGTCTTGATGTAAGAGATTGTGTCGTTGAGGTTGGGCGAGCGCGTCCAGAGGCCGCCGGGGACCATGAGGACTTCAATCTCTTTGGGTGCTGTTGCGTATGTGTGTGTTGGGAGGATTACGGGGAACTTGACGTTTGCAGAAGCGGATGGCCCTCGTGTCAGCATGCCTCATGTCTAAGGGGGTGCACGGAAGCTGATGTTTCGTTGGAGAAGGGGGTCCGACGACTTGGAACCCAGGAAGGGGGAGGTTTGCCACGTACGAAACTCGAGTTTTTGGCGTTCATGGCAGCGGACACGGGCTCGACCGTGACGGGATCCATTGTCTCGGAGATGAGATATAGGTTCATTTGGTGGCTTTTGGCCAACAACCCCAGGGCGTCGAGAGGCCCAAATACGTCGAGCATCTCAAAAGCTCGGCTGATAATCATGCCAAAGTTTTGCGGCAAGGCCTTTGGCGTGGATGTAGGAGATGGCGCCGCGCTGGTTGTTGACGGGCGAGGTATACCTTTGGGACGTGTCAGTATAAAGCCATGCGTATGTGTAGGTTCGGACTGTGTAAGCAAAAGGGGCCTCTTACACTCCCGAACCTTGGTTGAGGCCAGAGTTTCATTTTGCGCAGCTGCCATCGTAACAAGATAGACCAGCAAGAGCCCAATCAAACTGATGCAGCGTCTTGGAGACACGTGAGAATGGAGAAGCATCCTGGAAAAGAGTGTTGATTGTGTATTCCAAGATGAATGACGATGGAATTTAACAATGTTGCTCTTTAAGCTATAGATCAAGTCTCGTCTGGGGAAGAGCAAGCTTATATCACGACACGTCCTCGCGTCCGAAGGGGGCTCCTCCCTGTTGTATGCTATTCCGTGGCACAGGATGGGAACGACCTCACGTCACTTTCCAGGCACAATCCCAACTCTTCATCTAGTCCTTCGGGAACCGCAACCGCAGATGGGGTTTGTTGTCCAAACACGCCCACCGTCCCTTTCGTCACCCGCAGGCGGGGATAGGACCATGATGCCGTGCGACGGTCTGATTGGCTCAAAGTTTTATTTTTCTTTGTGTCCAAAATATGAAAGCTGCTCACCAACAATTTTTTGATAGAATGGCCCGTTGGCTTGGATCTGTTAGTGGTAGGGGTTCGGTGTTTTCCTTCGATGAGGGATGCGCTGGACTCTTGGCGCGCTCGTTTGAGAACATTACCGGATTGGGTAATTTGCTCAAGACCCCAGAAGTTTAGGCAAAGTATAGTGACTTTGATAACTCGGAACTGGATCCGACAACAGGGATTAAGTAGAGAAACATGAGCAAATATTGTTTGAAGTACGATTCATTAAAGATCAGATATTATCGACGACAAAAAACCCTCCCCAAAAAAAACCCGCCCGATATAACACCTCAGTTTCCCATTTGTCCAAGTCCCACGCTTTGAATAGTACGTTGCAGCACTCCATCCTCTTCATTCGTACCCTGTGCCCCATTTTGAAATCAAACAAACGTATCCACAAAGCGGTGATAGAAAATCAATCCCAGCCAGCCGATGACTGGGAACGCAGCCAGCCTCCGAATCCAGTCGAATCGTCCCTTGGTCTTTGCAGCAGCCCTAGGCCTCTGAGTCGGGACTGGCGCAGGGGCAATGATAGGTTTCTGTTCAACCACCACGGGGCCCTCCTCCACCACCTCTTCCTTCCTCTCCCCTTCATTCCCCTTGGAGGTTGGAGCGCTGTTTTTCGTCGGCCGCAGGACGAAGCAGGGATATTTTCCCGTAGATGCCTCACCAGTCACCGCGCCCAGACTCAGCGCCTGGCGCGGGACACTGGCCTTGGTCACGAGGAGATACGGGCTGCCCTCCACCTCGACGACGCAGTTGTGCCACGGCGTGGGGATGTGGAGCAAGTCGCGGGAGGTCATGGGCGTACCGTCCGGCAAGAGGCCCTCGACTGCGCGGACAACGGCGGGGTCAAAGAGTTGGATCCCGAATTTGGGACCGGCGTTGTTGTGGCTACATGTCGAGGAGTGTTAGATTCAAAGCATGGCACCGATAAAAAAAGTGAAGGGGGGCTCGAAGAAACGTACGCGTGAATGGACAGACGGACGTGGTTGGGAAGAAGCAGCTCAACCAGATTAGAGTACGCTTGGTTTCTCTTCTCCTCTCGTCAGCAATCTGAGAAAAAAAAACAAGCACAACGTGGAGGCGCCGTAGACTCATTGGCGCTTGAAAGACAGGGCTTGGCTTACCATAATCATCTCAAACGCCACCTTGGGCGACAGCTTCTTCCTCTGACTCCGGGTCATGCCCAGGGTAAAAGGGTGAAGCTCAAGATCCTCCAGCATGAAACGCGAGAATCCGCGATACAGAGCCAGAATGGCCGGGTTCTGGGACTTGATCTTGGCCCGCACGGCCGACTCTTGAGGCTGGCAGCCGGCCATGAGGATCCGTCTGCAGAGCTCGGCCTCCATCGTCACCTCTGTCTTGACGTGGTGCTCGATGCCGGGTATACCGAGGTCCGTCGACAGCGACGAGAGCTTGTTGTGCTTGTGCTGGCCCTGAGATTTGGACTCCTTGAGTTCAAAGAGGTCGACGAGTGACTTGAAGCCGATCCTGTCAGTGCTGCCTCTGCTGACGCCGATTGCGCGGTTCATCTCCTTCAACTGCTCGCCGTAGATGTCGACATCTTCATCGTCAACTCCGACTATTGATGCGTTAGTCGTAAGAGACACGGATATTGCTTTTTTTTTTTTTTAGGGAGCCTTCTCTTTTCTTTTGTTGGACTTACTGCAATCGCTAAAGACGTGACCATCGCTAATGATCCACAACTTGGCACCGGGCTCATATACCCTCTCAATGGCCTCCACAAAACCATGAAGCCGCTCCAGAGCCAGTATCTCGCCGCGATCAGGGGCTTTCCCAAGTACTTTGTTGGTGTTTGACGATTTACAGGGGAAGGCGGGCAGGCAGAGCTCGATTCTAGCGTCTTGCGAGGTGAAGTGCCGGACACGCTCCGTGAAGTGCGCCTTCCCGCTTGTTTCCCACTGATCGTCCTTGCCCTGATACCTGAGAAAGGTATCAAACAGGCTGACGATCTCGGCGGTGGCGTCTGCGGAGGAGACCGCAGAGGTACCAAACGTTATCCGCTCGTGGTCGCGGATGGCAAAGTCGGCTTGGTTCAGGAGGAGTTGGACAAAGAAGTCATCAAACTCGGTGTTTTGTTGAGGTGCGGCAACGTCAATTATGAATCCTGTCGTGTTGGGACCGTTCCGCTGCAACGCATAGAGTCTCGAGCCCTTGAGGGGCCCCTCGAGGTTTGCAGACACAGTTTCACTTGTTGTCGTTTCTCTTGGTGCCTTCTGAACTTGCTGGCTGGGAAGTCTGTGGCTGATGGACGAGTCCCAGTGCTCCTGCACGCAGCCTTTCCGCGGCCCAGTGCAGTACAGCAGCTGTCCCTGCCCGTCGTGGACGAAGGCGGCCTGGAACCGGTGAAAGATGGAGCTGCCGTCATTAGAGAATTCCATTGTAAAAGAAATTGTTCAGAATGCTTTGTCTGATGATGTTTCAGAAAATAGTGATTAGGGAATTAGAGTTCTTGCTGCTCTCGTGGCTTGTTGATTAGGTAGAGAACCCGGCAGTCTCTCGATCAATGAGGGTTATTATAGCATTAAACGGCGGTCGAGAAAGTTGCAACTCTAAAAGGGAACCAAACACTTCTAGAAGTCTTCTTTTCGGGAGGGCTGTATGATCCGATTGGATGCGGGCCCGGGTTCATGTGGCACGATTATGTCTGGAACGTTGCGCGAGAAGTCCTCCTTCACTCGAGGAATACCGAGGCGGGCTGTGGAATGTCCGCGGTACGACCAAGAGAAACAGAGACCAGAGAAAATAAGGCGCCGGATTCGTTCGTGCCGCTTCGACGCAGATGGATTACTGTCAGCAAGAAGAACAAAAATAACAAATCTTGCTGTATCATGGACACAAGGAACTTCCGATGGAGGCCGAGGGGTGGAGGGGGGGCGAGCAAGAAGTTCTTCAGCAGAGAAAGGTGGCGGGACGGGACAAAGTCTTCCTAGCCTAGTCCACAAATAGATTGCATATATGGGATCACCGCGAATCCTGAATCGTGGCTTTGCCCGACTTGGAAGAAATACGCAAGGAAAGGGAAGATTGTTGTACATGTACAGAGTACAGCAGCAGGGCTGGGGGTGCTTAGAAGTGGGTATGTCTGCAAAAGGGGGGCATGAACAAGACGCCTGCAATGGGCGGCAAGCGGATGAAGCCAAGGAAACCAAGGAAACTTGATAACTTTGTTCAGTCTTCCCCTTGTGGCTCTTCGTTTCTTGCTCGCTTTCTTCACTCGCCGAGGACGAGTCGAGTCTACATAAGTCTATGGGGTAACACAAGATATCCAGGTCCTGTGTCCCCATAGAGCTGTGACCAGGGGGGGTCCGTCCAGAGTTCATTGTACAAGTACGTTGTTTGGGGCGCGTACAAGGAAGAGGGCATATGATGGGAATCCATGGTCAGCCCCTCGAAGGCAAGCAAGGATTCAAGTGTCCATGGAAAGTGGGGGTACGACGGGGCGTTACCAGCATCGTTCAACGTCCGTTGGGCGAGAGGTCTTTGATGACTAGAATAGCCGTCCAGAATATGTGCACAAGAGTGAGCAGCTGGTCGGCACAGACCAAGAATAATTCAAGGCTTCTACAAACAAGACTAGTCAAATCCTATTGACATCACGCCATAAAGATCATCTGAGAAAGCTGTGGCGAAGGAAAGGCCTCCACTACCTTAAAGGACCACCTCGCGCTAAGCGCCAAACCTTACATCCCGGTCTTGGGTGCCTATTTCCCTTAGCTCAAAGTTGGCAGGGCTTGGCGTCGTCGTTGTTGTCCTTGAGATTTTGGCCGAGGGCAGGGGGAGGGGGGAAGGGCAGGGCAAAGCCAAGGACAAGGCACCGAAAGTCCGATGCTCTCAATGGCCTCATGGCGGCTCATTTCTTGCAAAGGCCAACGAATGATCTACACAGATCACCGCCCAATTCCTCGCGCCCGAAAAGTTTCCACTCGAGCGCATAGGTTTATTTGCATTTTGCATGCCCGCAAGCGCAGGCTGCTGAGATTCCGCAAATACCGCGCATCATATGCATCGGCTATGGCGCGGTTCTCTTGGCGTTGGATGCGGCTTTTCGATTCGGGTCGAGTTGCATTCGGGTCGCCGTGAGTCCTGTACACCTGTACACAGAGGACAACTTTCCATTGGATGGACGGTTTCGCTTACAATGCATCTGAACCAAGATCCGAGCGGTCTCCCCCAACCATGCTTGCCTGTGGATTAATTTAGAAATTTAACGTTACCCCTAGGTCTGTAGTTGTGGAGAACCGAGACCTCGGTCAGGGATCATGCGGGAAGTACCTGTTCATCGGAAAGTAGCGTCTTATTAGCACCATCAAACTCTGTTAACCCTATCTAAACCCCCGAGAGCAAATCAAAACTCAATCTACACAAAACTGTCCAAGCCCGTAGATCACCTAGTTCGCAACACTCTTTTCACCTTCAACCCTGTCTGTCAACACCAGCCGAAGGGCCCGTGGATAGAGGGGACCGGCCTGGAGGAATAGCGAAGGAGAAACCTTTCGTCAGCGCCGAAAACCTGGGAAAAAAAGGGGACCCGGTCTACCGGGTACATAAGGTAGTGTAGCAGGCAAGGTACTCTAAAACCTACCGGAGTCTTGCGGTCAATCCACATCGGGTCCAAAGTGAAGGAGAACTCGCGGACCAGCTGGATCAGGGTGGTTCTCATTTCCAACATGGCGAATTTCTCCCCGAGGCATGCGCGTTTGCCTGGAATCATGTTAGCAAGACTCAATACGGCAACATGATTCATCACTTCATCCTGTCTTACCACCATGGAAGCTGATCCACTCCCCTCTTGCTCGGCGTCGGCGATAGTTCTGCTGGATGACTTCTGAGGATGACCCCCACCTGCGAATGTAAGCCTGAAGGCATTCAATGAAGGATGGATAATGTAAGACGAACCGTCCGGGGTCAAACTTGTCTGCTGTGGGACCCCACGCTGTCGGGCATCGGTTTGTGGAATAGCAGTGGTAGCCGACATATGTCCCCTTTGGGATTACGACATCGCCGCCTAGCAGCGCAGTGTCCGCAGCTTTCCGGTTGATCAATTGACCAATGGGAGGGAACAAGCGCAAGCACTCGTAGATGAGCGAGGTGAGATACGGCATGTCTACTTTAGCCAGATCTGCTGAAGACTTGGCATCCTTGGAAAGGATTTCTCGGCGCAAAGCCTCTTGCGCCTCCTAACACACCACCAGTCCTCATGTCAGCACGAATGCACGCGTGAGACGGCACGGGCCTGGGCAGGTTTCTGACTTACAGGATGTTTCGCCAAAAGATACAGACTCGATATCATCAGCAGCTGCGGATTCTCTTGGCCAGCCACGAACGCCACGGTGAGGTTGTCGAGGAGCTGCTTCTCATCCCACATGCCCGAGGCTCTGGCGTCGAGCATCCGCCTGCCCAGTTTGTCGTCGGATGGGTCCGACAGGGATGTCGCCTTCTCCACGGGCATGTGGTGACTCGCCTGCAGCGCGCGTTTGAGCTCGTTCTTGAAGAGGCCCACAGTGCGTCGGGCCGCCAAGCGAGACTTCAGAGGCAACCGGTCGAGAAAGGGAAAGCTCATGAATATGGGCTTGAAGATTTCCCTCTTCACCGCCGTCTGGAGGAGATTGATAGGAGCATCTGCCCTGTCGAGTGCCTACGGCAATTCGGCTGCGGTCAGCTTGTCGTGGGGGCCGGGGCAGACTTTTTTTTTTTTTTTTTTTTTTTTTTTAACTTACATGCAGTTTGGTGCCCAAGACGGCCTCGGTGAAGTTGGAGACGGAATACCGCTGCAAGAGGTCCTGCACAGCAACGCCGCCGCCGCTGCCGACCCGCTGTTGGGATTCGCGAAGGAGACGGCACAGTCTGACCGCGTTGATTTCGATGATTTCGCCATCAAAGGTCCTCTGGAGGCCTGGCTTGATGACCGAACGATAATTCTTCCATACGTCGCCTCTGGCGGAGATGACATTGTCGCCTGCTTCCGAGTTAGGACGTTTGCGTTTGCGAACCACAAAGGTTGACAAAGAGCACTTACCGAGAAACTCTGCCAAAACGCTGTGCGGAATCTTCTTCTGGTTTCCGCTCTTTTCGTACAGGTCTTCGTCTCTGAATATCTCAACCAGATACGAGGGTCGATGGACCAAAATATTCCATTGCGCGCCAAAGAAGATCTTGACGGCTCCGTGAGTGCGCAGCGGTTTGTCAATGTACTGGCGGAAAATGTCCGACTGGTCGACGTCCTTAAAGAAGGGAATGAGAGCGACCCAGAACGGGATCGCCGGGATGTTTTGTGGGTATCTAGGAGGCAAGAGAAGAAAGTAGTAAACGAGGCCAAGGAGCAGTGCTCCGAGCAGCAGAACCTCTAGCAAAAACAGCAGCATCTCGTCGTGATGGGCGTCTGCGGCTGCAATGACAGTCAACGCGGCAGCGTAGAAACAACAAGCTTATATGTGCAAGGGCCGAGATTCCGAGGAAGCGAGAAAGAAAAGCAACCGTGACATGTACAGGGATAGAGATGGGATCATTGACCAGATGGAACCAATCTTCTTTTCTTCTCCTCAGCCCTACCCAAAGTAAGGTAGCAGAATTTTAGCTGCCTAGAGATGACATGCAGAGGCAAGCCACAAGACGGAATGGTAATCACGGTAGTCGCGAAAGTGAGGCTTCGTCGTTTGCTCAAAATAGCCCGCATATGTATGGTGGTGGTCGAAAATGGAACATTACATTTGTGCCTCTCGATATCAGACGTTCGTCGTACAATCAGTCTGCAGACCACAGTCAGCGGCACACGGGCTGTGCTAAGAACAAAAGGCCACACCTTTGAGAAGACTGATTGGCCGCCAAGCGGGCCTGATGCGAGGTGTGATGCCAAGACCGACTAGGCAAGCAAAGGAGGAGGAGGAGGAGGAGGAGGAAGAAGCAGAAGAAGCAGCGAGAAGATGGAGAGTTTGATGAGATTCTGTGGACTTTGCTTGGCGCAAGTGGACGTCCAGTGCCTTTGATACGTACCTAGGCCGTAGAGGTACCGGTACTTTGGGCGGAGCCTCCCCGCATACACCCGCCAGGGAATGGCAGCAGTGCCCCCGACTTCCTTAGGATCCAGCAAAAGCTGACCGGGGTGGGGCGCCGGGGTCATATAACGATCACTACCTGTAAGACGGCTCGCCCATGAAGCCAAGGAGGTTTATTAAATGGACACTGAATCGTTCATACGGCGGGCGCAAAACACTTTTTGGACCCGTCTTGATCAGAAACAACGGTAATCACCGAAGCATTGTTTCTTCCATTCTGCCGCTTTCTGACATTTGACGGTTGGGATTCTCCATCACACTTGATCGTCTCCGTCGTTTTGCTTCCAAGTTTCTCACTTTGTAGTTCCTAGTCGTCTTCTCTGTATCACTTTGTTGGGATTCTTTCTTTCGGCAAAGATGGCCGACTCCAGTCCGTCGACCTCGGGCACGGCAACGCCCACCAAAGACGACGCAAGGTCTTCTCAAGAGGTGCGGGACCCTACTACGGCTGCGAGCAGCCCGCCGCCGCCTCCAGCCCAGCCCGACGGTGACCCAGAGAAGAAACCCGGCGCGCCGCCAGCGTACTCGGCCTTCTCACCATGGCGGAGGCGCTTCATCCTCATCGTCGTCACCGTGGCAGGCTGTTTCGGCCCTCTGGCCGGCAACATCTACCTCCCGGCTCTGCCCGTCTTGGAGAAGGAGTTCCATGCGAGCGCAACGGCCATCAACGTCACGGTGTCGGTTTTCATGCTGACATTCGCCGTCGGTGTAAGTAACTCAACCTCGAAAAGGTGCAGACTCAAGCTGGATATCGGACGCTTACACTCAACCAGCCTTTATTCTGGGCCAGTTTCGCCGACTGGAAGGGCAGGAGACCGCTGTACATCATCTCCATCTCCATCTACATTGTTGCCAATGTCCTCTTGGCCGTAGTACCGGCCAACTATGGCGCCCTTGTATTTCTGCGGATCATCCAGGCCTTTGGGTCTGCGGCTGTCGTGTCGATGGGCGCAGGCACTGTTGCCGATGTAGGTGGCTGTAGAGAACCTCCCACACATCCACATTGCTGACCCAATTCTAGGTGACTCCGCCCAAAGAGAGAGCATTTGCGATGAGCATCTTCCTTCTGGGTCCTCAACTCGGTCCGGTGCTAGGCCCAGTGATAGGAGGCGCGTTGACGGTGGCCTCATGGCGTTGGATCTTTGGCTTCCTCGGTACGCGCCCTGTCTTTCCATTCCGGTCCAAACTGCATCGTACTGACTGCATTTCTCACCCTCCCCAGCCATTGCCGGGTTCGTTCTGTGGATCGTCATCATCCTGATGCTCCCAGAGACCCTGCGCGCCAGAGTAGGCAGCGGCAAGCTGTACTCCCAGTCCAGCTTCATCCTCTTCCCGCCCAAACTGTCTTCCGCCCTGGCCCCGGAGTCGGAGAGGGGACCCCCGCCTCCCAAGCCGACCCTGCTCATGTACTGGCGCCTCTTCAGCTACCCGCCCATCGGCATCGTGACCTTCAACACCGCCATGCTCTACTCGACGTACTTCGCCATCGCCGTGCAGCTGCCCACCGAGCTCGCCGACAGGTACAACTGGTCCAGCGCGGGCGTCGGCGCCGGTTTTCTGGCTGTCGGCATCGCCATGATCGTGGGCTCCATGATTGGAGGCCGCTTCTCGGACTGGCGTCGGGCGCGCGCCCTCAAGGCGTCGCCTGACAACACCGTCGACCCCGAGAATCGGCTCGCCGACCAGATCTGGGGTGTTTTTGTTTGCGCTGGTGGGTGTGCCATGTACGGGTGGTTCGTCGACATTTCACTCCACCCCGCCGCTGTTCTGGTCGCCACGTTTTTGAGTACGTTCATGTCCGACCCATTTACAGAGGCCTCGTTTGATGTTCGCTTCCATTCCACGATTCGAGGCTGACATTTGTGTGTGACTTTGCACAGCCGGCTTCGGAATGAACTGGGTATTTGTGGCCACAACGGCCTTTTTGACCGAGTGCGTGGCTCAACAGGCCGCCGGGGCGTTTGCTCTCGGAAACATGCTCCGGAATCCCGGTGCTGCCGTTGCTGCGCTTGTGATACCTTCTCTCGTCTCCAGGATGGGAAGTGGATGGTGTTTCACGGGACTCGCCTTGTTGGACTTAGTCCTCGTCGGTTCCGCTGTGATTGGTCAGTCATGTCACCTATTTCTTCTAATCGCGTCTTGGAAAGCTTGAATGCTGATGGTGTCTCACAGTACTACGAATCAAATCCCCGGGATGGAGGGCAGCCCGCAAAGCCAAGATGGCGGCGATGGCGGCAGCCAGGCAGGGGGGGCCCAAATGAATTTAATGATGAACCACGAGCATGAACGGAGTTGGACGGTGGACGCTTCCAGATGGGAGTCTAACAAATATTGTCTAATGCTTATACATTTTTGATACGGCTGGGACTGAATGATAAACGCAGGTTTGGCTTAACAAGGTATTAGATTATGCAAAATCATGCTCTACTTTTCATACGTAGCAATAATTCTATCCGCCATTGCCGGCAGTGTCTCCGCCACCACGTCCATCTCTCCGAAAATCTCTGGCAGCGCCTCGCCCTCCAGAGCAGTGCAGTATGCCGCTTTGAATCTGCAACACGTCAGTGAACTTCCATTACAAACCACAAAAAAAGAAAGAAAGGAAAAAAAAAAAAAGGCCGGCGTCTACGTACCCCACAGTCTTGGCCGTCGACGCATCCCACAAATGCGCCGCCGCAAACCAAGGCTCGCACCCGTCGGCAGAAAGCCTCTTCAGAATCGGCGTGTAGGCTTCGGGCGTCGGCTTCGCCAGGCCCGAAGAATCGCACGACAGCAAGTTCTCCACCGGCATCTCGACCCCGCCCCGCGCGAAGTAGCCCCCCACGCGGGCGATATCGCCGGCCGTGAAGCACCACACGGTGAAGCCGGCCGAGCGGAGCTTGGCCACGCACTCGGCGGCGCCCTCGCGCAGCCGCAGGCTCTTCCACTCGCCAATGAGGTAGTCCACGTCCTCGTCGCTGGCGAACGCGCGCGGGTCCTCGATGCCGGCGTAGTGCAGGCAGCGGTAGAAGAGGGCGGTGAAGACCTTGTAAAAGACGACGTAGCGGCCGGACATGGAGAGGTAGGTGTACTCGCGCTCGGCGACCTCGAGCCAGCAGCAGCCGAGGAGCTTGGGCTGGATGCCGCGGGCGCGGAGGCGCTCGCCGAGACGCTCGTCGATCGCCTCAAAGAGGTGCTCGTATGTGACGAGGGTGCCGACTACGTCAAAGACGACGTTCTTTGGTGGTGTCATGGTAGGAAGGGTATGTGGTTGGGGGGTGGCTGAGATGTTGCTGCAAAAGGGTGACCGAAAGAGGTAGGTTAGGTTCGGGGAGAAGATTATTGGATGGTTACACGATGCCAGGGGTGCTTCAGGGTATCTGGTGGCCTGATGATGTCTGTACCAACACGATGATGTAGATTAAATATGAAGCTTATCGCTCAGCATTGCATGGGTTGCGCCTTTATGGAAGCCGGGCTTCATCTTGATGTTGATTGTCTCCCCGCACGTGTTGCGAAGTGCGGGGATTTCAGAGCAGGCATTGCAATTCACAAAGTTTCCGGCGCCGATTCCCGGTTCCCTATCGACTTTGGAGATTCGAGTGGACTTTTGCCGGGAAGGGCATGCTGCTGCTGCTGCTGCTGCTGGGGGGAAAACGTTATCAGCTTCATTTGATCTACTGGGATGCTGGAATACGACTGCTGACGTTGCAAGGAAGACTCGGCGCCGAAGCGCCGGCCCGGTGCTCTCCCATTTGTGCTGTTGCCCGTCTGGCTACGTGTAGTGGACGAGTAGGACCACTTGACTTCGGAGATGCTTAACTAGGTCCTGCGGAGCTCCCCCTCTCCACCTCAGAGAAAAAGCTATGTGGTGGCTTTCCCACTGATTGTGTGGGACATTGTGCGGAAGAAACCGACGCTAGACCGGTCAACAATCTGGGGAAGGTGAGCTTGGCGATAAAAGCGTCCAGAGAGTCAAGGTGAGATAAAGTGGGTGTAACCGGTCGTCTCCTTAGATCTGGATGGGTCACCGTCGTACGTATTAATCATGAGTGTATCTTGTAGGACATGCACCATTACGTTACCAGATAGTTATCTCGAACGCCGGAGCCGGACTCGTTTCCATTGTGTCCCGGCAGCCAGATTTACCTTTCGGCGTTGTTTATTACCCGGGTCTTATCGAGATAATTGATATGCGGTTAAAGGTGAGGAGGAGGGGTGTGGGGGTGGAGACTGGGAACTATGTCGGATGCAACACCAAAGAGAAAGATAAGACGGTCAGTTGGAGTCCGAACTTGCGGCTTAAAGCCGATATCGGGATGGTTTAGCTCGGGGCGTCAATCACAATTCAAGGAACGCTCTGCCTCTCGTAATATTCCAGGCACTGGACTTTAGTGAGGTTCACGAAGAAAAGACAGATATCATTTAATGAGTGACGTCAAGTTCCCCACAATATTCAAGTGCGCTGCTCAGGCAGCTGCGGCAGTTGCTGCAAATGCTCCAATGCTTCCAAAGGAGCATTTTCGAAAATTCCAAGAGATTCTGTATTAAAAGAAAAAGCAGTGCAAAAGGGAGCTACTGATGAAACGACATGGTCACGGTACATTGAAGATGAAAGCAAAAAGATTCATATTTTGCCGAGTATGCGGTCGACCGCATTGATAATTTGAAATTATAAAATCAATAATGTTGACAGTGAAAAGGAAACTTTTCATGGAGTGCCAAATTGATACCTAACTTTTATCCAGATTCTAGGCCCACGTGTGGAATCGTTATAAATTGAACGTTTCTGCAGGGTAGAGAAACTGTTCTCGTTGATTGAACTGTGATTCGCTGGGTAAAATGGATTCTGCAGACACTAAGCTAATTCGTATATGCAAATGATAGTATTACTTATACTCATGTCTCTTTCAGAGAACTGTCTTAGTTGTCGTAATTGATTCCCATGCTATCGCCAACCGGCAACAGGGCCAACTCAAATTGCCATGCTCCTTACAATACGCCTAATACAACGACATTTTGTGACTTTGCACAACCTTGAACTAATCTACAGTTTTGCTGACGGCACCTTATTGACTGCCTTCCAGCTCTCAAGAATGGAATTCTTGGAACTGTCTAATCTCGCTTGTGAGGCCTGGTAGACCTTTGGGATACCTGTCGTCTTAAACTCTGATTGCTCCATAATCATCGACGCTACCCCCTTGGCCGAGAGGAAAATCTGTGGCATGCCGTGGCCGTTGAAGCCGGCAATGATGAATTGTTTCTGTCGTCCGGGGACGACGCCGACGTGCGGCAATCCGTCGGACGAGTAGCCCATGACTGTTTTCTCGCTGTCAGTCACTGCCGTAGTACCTGGAACTGGGACAAGGGTTTTGTTGACTCACTTCCAGTCCACACCTTGGACGTAGTCGCGCCGCTGTCTTCCCATCCGTGAAATACACGCTGCATATACCCATCAAAGTGGTTCTTGGCCGCCTCAATCAACTCGTCGTCGTTGACGTTGTTATACCATGCCGACAAATCGTGATAGTACGCAGACCGTGCACCACCAACGACAATGCTGCCGTCCAGCTTGGGAATCAAGTACTCGTACTCGGTATCCGACCACCGGATGATGCACGAGTGAGGCAGCAAGGGGGCTGGCTTCTTTCCGGGCGTGATGTGGCTGCAAATCCCGCGCACGGGAACAATCTTGTCGGCAAACTCTGGCAAGATGGATGACGTGTAGCCGTTTGTCGCGTACACAATCTTTGCGGCGCGGATGGTGCCGCGCGCCGTGGTCAGCGTTAGGTAGCCATCCGCGTCGGGGGCATTGGTGACCGCCTCGATGGGCGTGTGGGTCTGCAAGTTGACGCCGGCGTCGAGGGCCTTTGACAGGAGGGATAGGATCAGCTTGTAAGGCCACACGTGGCCGGCGGTATAAGTTAGGCAGCCCTTGACTCCTTTTACACCCGATAGCTAAAGCCTACAGTCAGTGCGTGCCTACGACGCGTTAGGTGGAAGCGGCAGCTCGACTCACTTGCTCGGCTTCGGCGCCGTCGGCATAGTATACGTCTTTCAATACGGAAACGCCATTTTTTCTAAGCATCTCGACGCCGGATTTCATGCGATCACGGATGGCATCAGACATCAAGGCGTCGACGGCGCGGGTCAGAACAAAGTCGCAGTCGATACCTTCAGCCTCAACTGCCTTTTTCACTTCCATGAGGTTCTTGGCCTCGAATTCAGCACACTCCGTCGCGGCCTCGAGGCCATGCGTGGTGACGAGGCTGGAGGGGCGACTGTACGGGTCCGGCTTCAGATGGCCGCCTGTACCAGATATAGAGTAAGTATAGAGTGACTGGTGAGACGGATGCGGGTGGGCCATTGGACGTACCATTGCGTCCAGTTGCCCCGGAGCATGCCTGTCGGGCCTCGAGGATGACAATCTTTGGAGGCGGGACACCGCGGGCCTTGCACTGGTCGAGGATGTGGTATACCGTCGCGACCCCCGCATAGCCGGCGCCAATGACTGCGATATCGACTTGGCCTGGGAGCTCCGGGGTAGACCGGTGATCATCCAGTGGGTGCGGGGATGACCTCCAGAAGGAGGTCGTGGAGTTGGGGACGGGGAGTGGGGAAGCGGGCATGGCTGGACAGGGTGTGTTGTCTTCCTTGGGGAATTCCTTGGGAATCAGACACGGTATTGTGAGTGGGCGGACTGCTTTGGTGTATGAATACTAGAAGTGACAGACCAAGCCGCCGCGCCCGCCGTTAATAAAAGGCGAAAAGCATCGAGCTCGGATGTCCCATCACGGTCGGCGCCAAGCAGGCGAGCGCCGGGGTGGAGCTGGGCCGGGACGGGAAACCTGACGGGAAACTGGACGGGAAACCTGTTCCGTTTGGTGAGTAGGCACAACGTGACAATTGGTGCTTGCTCGTAGCCGTAGGAGACAAGGGAAGCTCCGAAATGCTCAAAGTCGACTGACCGGCCCGGTCGCTTGCGGGGAAGCCCTGGTTAGGTAGGCGTTTCTGCAAAGTTTATCAGCGATTCAGCAGCAACGCTCCAAATCTCGGCCTCTCTCGAGCCCATCCAGATAACCCTCAACCACCTACCCAGAACAGCAGCGGTCGCAACACAGCCTTTTAGAGTTGACGACCGGCCCGGTCCAGAGGTTGGGATTGGGAGACCAGTTCAAGGCAAGAGGCCCATCTGTTGCGCGTTCCGTACCCGTACCTTTCTCAATACGGAATCGGCACTGCTTATCTGCGTATCTCCATTTGGAATGGCTGACAGATAAACCGGGGAAGCGCCAACTACCGATAACAATGATAAGCCTGGCTCGGTGAAACTGTCAAACTAAGCAGGCCGCCAGAGATAGGCAGGTACGCACAGTAATCCAAGCGTAGATATCGTGGCCCAACCAACCTTACTGCCGAGTGATTCCTAGCCAACCCCAGAATGGAAACCGTCATCCGCACCGCAATGACTAGCTGCCGAGCGGCTCTTTGACAACTAATGCCATCCCGGAACGAGCCAATGATAGCCTCTCTAATGATATGATTACACCACTATATACAGGCCAAGGCCAGGTCCGTTCTTCTATGTCCACGGGTCCGATTTTGACATCCTCAATTTTTGGCACGCATTTCAACCAAGTGCTCTGTTCTGTACCATGGCATCTCCGCAAACAAAGGACGACAACAAGACTCCTGAGGCGACTGACCATGCCGCCGGCACCAGCTATGTGTATGACGAGGGCGCGGTCGAGGATGTTGACGAGACCTACCTCCGCGCCTCAAAGTCGACGAAGTTCTATAGAGGCGTGTTATTCCAGATGATCCTTTTTGGGGCGTAAGTCACTTGTCTTCTCGCCTTCAGACGCAGACGTCGGGGATATATGAGGTTAATGTGTTGAGCAATACGTAGTCTGTCCTTTGTAGGCCCAGCAATGTCCGACGCCATCTCCAACCTCGGAGGCGGTGGCCTCTCGACTCCGTACTTGGCCAACTTGGCGACTGCACTCAGCTACATGGCTGGTTGCATAGTCACCGTCTTTGGCGGACCTCTGATTAACAAATTTGGCATCAAGTGGTCTTGCATTATCGCCGCTGTGACCATGCCTCTTGCTGGTTCGGCCTACTACGTGAGCGCCAAGTATTCAGTAGACTGGTATCTGCTCTTTGCCAGAGTAAGTTACGACGCATGCGCTATCACAGATCGTGCCCTGGAGCTGACTTTGGTGACAGCTTCTTGGAGGGTTCACCTCTGGCTTCCTCTACGTTGCCGAGACGGCCGCTATGCTGTCGTACCCGAGTGCAAATGACAGAGGGTTCTACTTGGGTAAGGCATTCATGGGTGCTTATTCGATGCGCTTTTGTTAACAGTGATGGGCAGGTATCTGGTCTGCCATGCGAAACTCTGGCAGCGTCATGGGAGGCGCCATCAACTTCTCAACCAACTACTCCAAGGCCAACGCGGGAGGCATCGCATGGTCCACATACCTTATTTTTGTCGGCTTTGGTGAGCAACTGTCCACTTCTCCAATGTTGGCTCGTAACACCTTCTAACACAGGCTACGACAGAATGCACTGGAACAATCTGGGCCGTTCTTCTGTCTCCGACCCAGCGCGTACGACGCCGCGACGGCACAAGGATCCCCATGGCCAGCAGCATAAGCTGGAAGAGAGAGCTCGTTGCGTTGTGGAGGCACTTGCAGCGCAGAAAGGTGAGCTTCACTAACCCGGGTGGAGAAACGTGTCCCAAGGCTTTGACAATGCGCTGACAACCAAATACTTAGACGTGGCTCATTTCCATCCCCGCCTTCTACTCCTTCTTCTATGGCGGAACCATGGGCACCTATCTATCTCTGCACTTTTCAGTCCGAGCGCGCGCACTATCGTCGCTCATCTGTCGTGAGTAACCCGACGTACGCAAGAGGACGAACCCACGCTGATACTTTTTTTCTTCCTAGCGGCAATCACCATCGTCATGGTTCTCGGCTACGGGAAGCTGTTGGACAGTTCCCGCTGGTCACAAGCCAGGCGGGCGTGGATCTCTTTCGCAATCTGGGTCATCCCTCAGGCCATTTGCTTCATCTGGATCGGCATCGAATACCACAAGTTCGGCGGAGACCAGATCGATAAGGGCCTCGACTATGAGTTGTACGTCGTCCGACATATCCCCCCCCTTTCTGTCCCAATCAAGCTAACAGAAGCCCCCCTTAAAGGCATACCAGGAGATGGGCGGAAGCCTACCTTCCCTATCTCATCATGTTCTCGACCGGGTACTGGACCCAGCTGTCCCTGTACTGGATCCTCGGCACGTTTTCCACGGACGTGGGATCCGCTTCCCGCTCGGGCGGCCTGTTCCGGGCCTTTGAGACTGCCGGCCAGGCCGTCTCGTACGCTCTGAACTCCAAGACCAGCGCCGATCCCAGGATTCCATTCTACGTCAATGCCGCGCTCATGGTCGTCACCATTCCGTGCATGGTTTTCCTTATCCGGCTGGTCCCGGAGGCGCCTGCTACCACTGATATAGATGCGGGCGATGTTGTTGTAGTTGAGGGGGAACGAGACCCGGATAACAAATAGATCCGTCCCAGGCCTCCGCCTTTTGCAAGCCTAAGAGTGTGAAATGGACTGTTATCATACTTTGGGTACCTTAGAAATGAGATAATTGAATGATGTGTAAAAAGGTCTCCCTGTCGCCTAAAGATGTCTCGGCTATTGCATGTATAACGCTTCTTGGTCTTGAATCAAAGTTGGGAAGCGCATATCAATTGTGTAAGCTACGAGCTACGTGATAGGAGGTTTTCTGGGATTTGATGTTGTTTTTCCAGCAATGTAGGACGTAACAGAGACTTTCCTAGACCTAGGCCCCAAAACAAGCAAGATTTTGGTGTCATCTTGGAAACTCTGGTCACCTACCTAGAGCGTATAATTGGCCGCTGCAATTGCAGGTCTACTCTGATTGCTTAGTTCTCAGTCAGGATCATTATGATTTACCACGTCATCTTGAACTTGTCGAGACCAATATTTGTGGCTTCTTAGTCTTTGAATGTAAAGGCGAGCTCTTGATTTTCATGCAATTTCAATGGAATAATCAAAACATTTCCCCAGCAACTGAATCTAGCGGGAAAATACACAGCGAAAGATAGATGTCACAATTTTGTACCGAGGCCACGGACTTCCAACCTAGATCAGCCCAGATTTACTTGGGCGCGGGTCAGATTACTTCTCAGTCAATGTAATGAATAGACTCCCATCTCTCAGACTCAGACTACTCAGCACATGTCAAAGGTCAGAATAATGAATGGTATGCTTCAATTGGCAGTGCAGCCACGGCTTCAAAACATCAATATAAATGTGTCAGTAAACAAGCCATTATCGACTTTACAACAATGGAGCAAATTTCTTTGAAAACGGCTAACGGACCCATCGACCATTCACGTTGACAGGGTTGTCACTCTTAGCTCCAAACTCAAAACCGTCTGAAAACGGGGGAGGGGGAGAAAAAAAAAAAAAGGTTCAGGTCTGACCCCACCAAACATCTCAAGATAAGGTAGTTTGGCCCTGGGGGAACGGGTGCTGCCGCTTGTAACGGTGACGTTTAGGACAGAGAGGAAAGGTTAGCCCCCCCCTCTACCCGTATTTTCGCACGTATTATTCAGCATTCTGCTCGGTGGTCAGAGCCCCCCAGCCTGACGTGACGACATGTCAAAAAAACGGTGTTTTCTTTTCCACGTGTCTGGTCAGTGACATTCTGAGGCCCCCTCGCCGCTGATGACACCTTGGGATACAGGATGATACCTATTACTGAGGTACGACGCGGCAGAAAAACTGCCTCATTCACTTCGCTCCGCTTCGGGTTGGCCTACATGATGACCTCTAAACAGAGGCCCCCTGACAGACCGTTACACAGATCATCCAAAAGGTGTATGCAAAACCCACCTCTCTTTCTCTCTCTCACTATCTCTCCTCTTTTCTTTTCCACGCCTTGGCCCTTTTGCAGTCTCATGGCAATGCAATGGGAATAAAGAGATGCGCACGGCGCCAGCGTCGCAACACACTCTTTGGGAGCGAATGCCAGCTAGCCAGCCACACACGCATGCGAACGGGAGAGACATTTCGTCCTCGTGGACAAGGCACATCACACATATCTCGGCCCGTCACCGAAAATAAACCATCGTACCTTCAGGTAAGGCACCACCACCGACCACCTTGGCATATTGGGCATTTCCAGGTACGCCATACCGTAGTAATCAAAAATTTATCAATCCCTCTTCCCTGCAGCGAATCCTACCCAAGGTACCTTACCCCACCTCCTTCCTTCACCGAGACCACGGCCAATAGGGACGGCCCGGTCGCATCACCATCCTCCATCGTATCCGCCCCCTTATATTATAAAAAAAAAAAAAAAACCACCCTCCTCCTCTTACCGAAGGCCTGCATACACGCGATTGGGATCCTTCCATCTTGATCACCCCCTGAGACGAGAGACATTGCGGCAAAGGCCGTGCCGTCGAGGTCAACTATAGGTCCTCACAAGGTCAAAATTGGATCATTTGATCAGTCGCTCTCGGTGAAACACCTAGGTGCTTGATATTGGGGGCGGTCGTAATGGTGAGTGGTGAGTGGGGAATTCGGGGAAAGATTCTAGAGCCCACGTGAAATGGGATGGGGTCGCATTTTTTTTCTTCTTCTTTACTTCTCGTTTGATTCCCCTTCCCCTTCCTCCCCTGTATGACTCTAATTGTCATCAGTAACGATGCGTTGCACCCGTCACTCGTGGCACAAAAAGCGAGGCGCCCACGGCAGTTGCAAAAACCTACTTTCCCGAGCGTGGGAAGGGTTGCCGTAAGAAACGGGGGGATGGGGCGGGACGGGACATCTGGAAACTTCCCGGCGCCTGTTTAATTTCCTTGCAATGCGACGCTCTCTTCTTCCCTTGCTTCACGTCAGGCGCAGAGACAAAAAGAGAGAAAGAGAGAGACAGAGAGAGAGAGAGAGAGAGCGGGTCTGCTCCATAGGTACTGATGAACAGTATACCATATGGGAAGATGAAGGACCCTGCCCCAAATTCCCCGAATCGGCTTCTTCCCAAAGAGTAAAAGTGCCATGTATGTGGGGGGTTTCCCTTTGTCGTTGCCGCCTCTCTTGGACGTCCCTTCTCTACGGATACCTCTCTTTCGTACGCACGTCCACGCTTACGAGCGTACCATTGCATTAAAAGGCATGGAAATCAATCATTCATCCTCCCACGCCAAGCCCAACTCCCCCTTCATCTCACGCCCTTTTCCAAATCCCCAGTACACCCCCCCTCCCCCTACCTTACCTTACCTTACACAACCACGCACATCGCTTCTTTCTCAACAGAAGGCCAGAAAAGATGGATGGCATCGTGCATCAGGGGAACCAGCAGCCGCGCTCCCGCCGACAATCCAGAACACCAAGTGACAGGGCGTGGCGCCCTTCCCTCCCCCACCCCCCCCCCCCCCCCCCCCCCCCCCCCCCCCCCCCCCCCCCCCCCACCACCACCCCCCCCCGCCCCTCCCGGGCCCCCCCCCCCCCCCCCCCCCCCCCCCCCCCGACCCCGACCCCGACCCCGACCCCGTTCCGTCTTTCCTTCAGCCACACTGGACTCTTCTTGGTATTCCGTCATAGATGTATGCAATACCTACCAGAACCCGGCTGTGTGTCCGCCCCGGTAATGCTTCGATGTTGCAGACCGCTTCTTTACTGCCATCGGCATTGAAAATCCATGTCCGCCTTGGTGCCCGTTACCCGTGCCGTCCACACACACACACGCACACTGACTGACTGACTGAGCCTCATCAAAAACAAGACAGCAGGGCTCGAGTGAAGACAAATTACTGCCGGCCCTATATGCAAAAATCATCCACTTGTCTGTACCCGCGCCCAAAATAATACTAATAATAATTAATCACTGCAAAGGCCGCATCTTTGCCTTGGCCAGTGGAGCTTTCCAGCAGGCCTCCTCCTCCAGCTACCGGGCCAACATCACACTTGGGCGAGACATACCTAGACGCACATCTGCACGGCAGCCCAGCAGCTACTAGACGCAGCAAATAGACTAGACCAAATCTGTTCACATTTCTGTTCACCGCGCATGAACAGTAATCAAGTAGTAGAGTGAAAATAAAAAAAATTTGGTATCAATAATTCTTATTTCTCATACGTGCGTTCAGGCATCCACCACAAGCAAGGGGTGCATGATACTTGGGATCCTTCCTATCGGCCCAGTCCAAAGTCGCCCAAAACAAATCTCAGAAATATCAATTCGACGCTTGTTCCAAACTCCGCTCGTGTTGCCACGCTTTACCCCTCCGTCTCCCAATGCAGTCCCGGGGTATCTGAAGAGTCTAGTAACTCTGATGGGAGACCAAGTTTTCCACCTCCTATTTCTTCTTTCCTTTCAACAGCCCCAGTTTGCCCAAATGCACACGCCCCAATCCCGTTCGGTAGTCTAAAAACTCCCATGATGCATCATCAACCCCCCCGTCCCATGTGCCGTGACCCCCTTTGATGCATGTCCACTGACTGGCCAAAATGCCTGGCAAAAATCACCGCCCATGTGTAGACAATATGTTTTGACCTCTTCGGAGTTTCCAGTCCGAACAAGGTGAAGAATGAGAAGAAACCGCTCAACAGCTTAAGCACTCTCGTACACTCCCCCATCATAAGAAATACAACCTTGACCGAAATGTAGATGATCCAAGGGAAAATAAGGTCAGTCAGTACCACTTTGACATAAGTGGACGACAACGACTGCAAGGAAATAACATGAAAGCAAGAGTAATGTTCAGACAGCCGCCATGACCCAGTAATTACCGCGAATGAAATTACGCTCTGGTTCGACGTGCGATTTTGTTTTCCGATGGACTGCGTTGCCTCATCTCTTGATGGGCACGTCCATTTATTGCTTTTCTTTACTCCGTTCCGTTCTTCTGGTATGTGACTCGATGTGATTCGTGTTCGTGTATTCGTGTGGAGGAAAACTTCTTGACATGGACGTTCGAGGTCATTGCGTTACGATGCAACTCCTAGTAGATGGCGTGGCTGGACTGGTGGTACATGCGGTCTCGGTAAGAAGCAGGGAGGCCGTCGTATCTGGGACTGCTCGCGCTCGAGGATTGGTCCATGTCCGTATCATAAACCTCGTAACTGTGCTGGTGATGCTGCATGTACTGCTCTGGGGGAGGCAGTCTCTTCGAGCTATAGGCTGCCAGGCTAGCAGGATTCGGGACGCGCTTGACGGGATAGGATGAGGGAGCAGTCCTGGATTTCGAGACACGGTTGCTGACCCTGCGATCCTTGCCGCGGCCCTTGATGCCCTTGTTGCTGTTCTTATAAAGGTTGGCAAAGTACCAGTACATCTCTCGTTGGTCGTCGGACAAGCCATCGATATCGGAAATGGAGACAATCCAGTCGGTCATTTCCATGAGGGTCTTCTCATGGTACTTGTTCTGATGGTTCTGGAGGTGGTGTTAGCCAAGCTACCATTAAATATGTTGTGCAACTCTACACACCTTGAGGTTGCCTCTCTGGGTGAACATCTTGTTGCACTGATCGAGCTTGCAGACGAAAGGCTTTGCGTTGGTGTGCGTCGCCATGTGCGTCTGAAGGTTACCCCGCTGAGCAAAGACTTTGCTGCATTGCTCACATCGGAAGGGCTTCTCGCCAGTGTGGCGGCGCATATGAGTCTGCGAATCGATTAGTTAGGCCTCATTTGTAATTGGTTAGGATGTGTGAACGAACCTTGAGGTTACCGGGTTGCGAGAAAGTTCGTTCGCAGTGCGGCCAGTTGCATTGCTGCCAATCATCAGCGCTATCCACATGATCATGTACGGACTACTCACGTATGGCTTTTCTCCGGTATGGGCGCGCTTATGCGTGTCCAGATGGGTGCTTTGATAAAAGCTCTTGCCGCAACCATCAATATCACAGACATATCGCTTGGCCTTCGGGGCATCCGACGCCTCCGTTGTGGTAGAGGGCGTAGGCGCCGACACAGTTGGAGCCGGCTCAGCCTGAGCAGCGTTAGCTCAGTGACTACAACCAGCAGACACAGATACGGGACCTACCTTGGGAGATCTGGGCTCCGGCTTGACGACCTTTTCGGTCTCTGGGACGCCCTTGACGATGTCCTCAGTGTCGTGCCTTTTCTGAATCGCCTTCATAAGGGTATCGATTGCGGTGGTGAAATTCACCGGGTCCGCACTCGTGGGCTTGTTGAACTTGATCTCCTTGGTGTTGAGGGGATGGGGTGTCTTCGGGTTGCTCATCTTTGTCTCGCTTCGGGTGGAAGGGCTGTGTTGTCGGTCGTTCTGCCCTGACGGCGACTCCTGAGGATAAGAGCTGGCGCGCGGGACCTCATATTCGGGAGCTGCCACGGGCATGATTGGTCGTTCTTGCTGCGCCGGGAGTCTGAAGGGTATGTTCATGTTCGCCGGAGATGAGTCGTACTGGGCATACGCGAAGTGGTTCTGGGTCGGGCAGTGGTGGCCCATCGCGGGCATAGATGGAACGCCGTACTGGGATCCAACCATATACTGGGGTGCCATGATGGCACCATTCATGGGGGGAGAAGTTGCCGCTCTTGAGTCGTATTGCACGAAGGTTGTGTTATCCATCATTGCGTAGTCATGGCCGGTAGGCTGCTGCTGCCAGCGACCCCAAGCCTGGGGCGGGGCTGTTTGTTCCGTCAGGGCCATTGCTGCGAAGCCAAAACGGAGAGATGACGGGTTGGTGGCGTCAAGTGTAGATGTGGTATGTAAGTGTGACGACGTGGTGGACAAGTCAATGTCTAGTCAACAGTTGGCTGACTCTTGCCGGTGTATAGAGTATGGCAAGTATAATGAGGGATAGATCGATGGATGATGGCAAAAGGAAAGAGCGAAAGTAATGTGTCGACTGGTTAGGGAGGTGAGGGTTTTTGGATTCTCATGGGTTGGACTTGAGAAAGAAAAGAGGATGGAGGCGGGTAGATGTAGTTTCGGGAGAGAGTCGAGAATGTGCTCGTGGTATAAGGTACGGGAGGGGACGGCGGATGTGCGGCCGGGGTTGGATCCTGGAAGCCAATCGACTGGATTGGGTTCCCGGAGATCTCAGCACTAAATATACATGCATCCAAAGCGAAACCAGCAGGACCCAGACAGTGGGTTGGTGAGAGGAAAAAAGAAGGGTTGACGGCCAGGACCAGAACATTGAGAGTTTGGTGGAAATCATGGACCCCCACCACGACGAGCAAGACGGAGGACATCCATAGTGTAAAAGCCGGGGTAGCGACTGAGCGGGTCACGACCCGGTCGACGCGGATGAGGACAAGACCTGGCTGTACAGGGTGGCCAAGCACACGGGGAGTGGAGGGGGAGGGGGGAGGGGCGGCTGGCAAGTTGGTCTCTTGGGGGGGTGTGGGAATGGGAAGCGGCGTCATACCCATGCCCTGCGACTGAGCTCAGAGGTCGGTATAGGATGCACTCATGTCTCTCTCTGTGTCTACTAGCCTCCCCTCATAGATGATGGAGGCGGCGGCGGCGGCGACGAGCAGACGTGGATTCTCCCAAAGACAAGAGGAGGGCCAACGGCTGGCCGATTAAGCTACAGAACGAGCCTCGGAGTAGACTCAACATGGAGAAAGTAGAGAGACGCTTAGAAGCCGAGAGGAGGAGCCTCGGTTACTCGAATAGACAGAAATAAGACATTCTGGTAAAGACGACTTCTTCACAGGGGGGAGGAGGGGGGACTCATAGGTCGTCAGTCCGACCAGTTCGTAGGATTGCTCATCTCATCACCATCTGCGGTTAAGGATAGGCAGGCGAATGGTGAGAGAGTGAAACAAGCATAATGTGGGAATCTCAAATAAAGACAGTCCCTTGTCCTCGGGCTGTTCGATTTGGACTTGCTTATTTCTGAACTCGACGTGCAGCATGGCGACCATGCTACTTGGGTGTAAGCCAGATCTGCCCAAAATGGGTGCCATGGTTTCTTTTCTGCTCGGGCTAGGATCGCCGGCATGTCGATATTGCAGCCGGACGGCAAGGCGAAGCAGGGGAGGGAGGTGGAGGAACTTTTCGAAAAGTGTCGAGACAATGTGAAAAGAGACAGAGATACTGATAGGGTCAAGCATGACCTTCGCAATGGATCTCATGAAAATGATCACGATGGTGGGAAGATGGACTTAGCCACCGTGAGAGTTGGTTATCAGTGCCAAGCTAGGTACATTCTCCACCAAGGGTCAAGCTTTGACAGTTCGCAGAGTGAGGCGGATAGAAATTGTGCCTCTCCGTGCGTAAGGCATGTCACTTATTGCAGTGGCAGGGTGATATTGAGCTGAGGTCGATCTTGCAGACGATGATGACGGAGGACAATCCAAGTGAGGGTTTTCAAAAGGAGATTCCGGGAGTCGATACGAGGGTCAACACTAAGATTGATGCTGATGGTAAACAACCGGGCCGGTGCGACTAGTGAAAGCAGAGTGGTAGACAGGCCAGGCTGAAATACGGATGCTTGCCAGGCTTGCTTGAACGTTGTTCAAGCCTCAAGGGTAGGTGGGAATAGCAGAGATACAAAGTCGAAGTGAGACTCGAGAGGAAGGGCCCGGAGTTTGGAACAGGGGTTCCCTGGCCACTGGATTCTTAATTTTTCGTGCAGGCGGGCGGGACTGACGGCAGGGAGAGGGAGAGCAGGGACGTGTCATTGGCACCATGGGGAAGGATCATGGACAGCAAGAGGGGGGAGGGGGGTGTGAGAAAGTGGTGGATGGGCAAGGCGGGACGGGGTGGTGAGTTGAAGAGGTGAAGTTGGATACCACACCACCCTGCGGCCTGCGGCCTGCGACATGCACTTGACTGCAGCTGTGGGAGTGGGGAATAGGAAGATTTTCCAGGATACGTACTACTTCCCGAAGCCTTACCTAAGGCTTGGCAGGTACGTACTCTGACGAACCTCACGACACTTCATTTAGGTGCCTTAGGTACCTTGTATCTTGAGACATGGGATTCGTAGTGACCTTAGGTCCGTCCTACCTTACCAAGGTAGCTTACATTGTACGGAGTAGTGTAGGAACGTGCACTAGTGAGGTAGCTTGCGCGGGTGCAGGTGCGGTGCGGGTACACGCGGACACCAGTACCCTGAACCTCACACCCTCCTACCTACCTTAGCCTTCCGTCTCGAGTCCACCCCCTCCAACATGGCAACATCCATCCAATCCCTCTTGCCCCCGTAAGGTCCCCTACCTCAGGTGCTCAGGCACATCGGATCACATCAACAACCTCCCCTGCCTCTTCCCTCAGGAACTTTACCTCACCAAGACATCGACGGCTTTTTCCATCGGTCCCTCCCTCCCGCTACCCTCACGCCCAGCGACAGTCTCAGAAGGAGAGATAGAGAGAGAGAGAGAGACACACACACACCCACACATCAGGGACGTCTTCGCCCGCCGCCTGAAGATTGAAGACTGTGCGACTCTGGAGTTTGGCGTCAAAGCCACGGCCGAGAATCTTTGCAATCTGGACCACTGGTTCCAACTTTCTGCCCCAGACGTGTCACCGTCACCGTCACCATCAGTTCGAACACACGCATCCTCTTGACTGTACGGATACTGGCCTGATCCTTGGACCGCTATCTTCCGTTTGCTTGTTAGCCACGTTCAAAATCCTCCTTTGATGCACCAATCTGTCAGCACTTTTTTTTCTGGTCCCCCCTTTGCGGATTTCCTAAAGAAACCTCACCATCGGATCCTGTGCGTCTGAATCAGGTCAGGCACACGCACACGCACGCTGCTATGTATACGTATGGTATGGATAGACAGCGCAAGCAAACATGGCACCCCTGTTCTGCCCAGCTCCGCCAAATTAGAATCATTCGTTTTCCAGGGCCGTTGCTCGCCTGTCTGCTGTCATTGGCAATGCTATTCACAGGCGCCCAGTTGATCGTCGCCATGGGCCTCTTTGTTCGGCAATACCTCAGCCTTGTGTCGCTGTCGTCTCGAGATGAAGATCCGATCCAAGTCTACCAGAACAATCGTCTACGAATTCTTTGCAGGCCACCTATGCACCGGCATCAACTTTGTCGGTCCGGGGTACTAATGAACACGACTGCTAAGCGCCTCGTATAGAGCCTCCCGCCTCCCGCCTCATTTTAAATGTCCCATCTCAGCATCAGGCTGTGTGTGGCTTGTACCCACCTTACCACACCCCGCCATACGGATACGTTCAACAACCTTGGCTGCCATATTCCTTGGCACCCCCCGGCTTTGACAGCTCGCAACAATGCCTTTTTCTCCGTCCGTTTCGAACGCCTCTGTACTCTCGTCACTCTTGAACCCCAGCACGCTATACCGGCTTGGCACCGCCGTCAACAAGCCGAGCTGCCAGACTGCTTCCCGTCGTCCGTTGGTCACCGGGCCCATTTCGGGGGAAACCATTTTTTCCCACAACTTCATAACCGAACTGACATAGTACACGACACATTTGTTCCGGATCCCTCCTGGGAGAAAAAGCCGGACGTTTTTCCACGGCCAGCGGCAACGTGGAGAGGGTCCGTCAATTTCATCTTCTGTTTACTGGCTGCTCGCCTGGGTGAATCTTCGTCAGCGCCCTCGAGGATCTGAGACTCGCGTTCTCACCCTCGGCAAATGGACCAATAAGTGTGCCACTATGGCGTTGGCCGCTCACGGCTGGACTGACAATGTGAGAACCCTCACGCTACACAGTCTCCACGACGGGTGGGAATGGCGGTTCAGTCGAATAAAGATAGCTCACAACATGATCCGTGGGCATCGCCAAAACCTTCGAGCTGCAATGGCAGGGGGAAAGATGGCAAGAGGCTGCAGTGCTGTGCCTTGTCTTTCGCAACTCAGCATCATAATCGGAATTTCAGGGATGTGCCGCCGCCGGTGGTCCCCGGTGGCCCCCTACACTCCACCTGGCCCTGCGATCTGCCTGGGTCACGCTGCGATCATGGATCTCAGATTGGCTCTGCCACAGAGCCCCGTGTGTTTGCCAGCCGGCTCAGGACTCGAGTGTCCTGACGTCGCAGCCAAGGGAGCTGCTCAACTCTCCCGGTTCGTAGCCTGGAAATTACGCGACATGACCCATCTCGCAGCTGCATCACGATAATGTTATAATCTGACACGCCGTGTTGCCGGTCAAAAATTTTCCGACTTTGGGCCATCTTGGTATGTCAAGATTCCACAATCGTTGAGCTGGGCAACTGGAGGCGAATTCAGCAGCATCAATCGATTCGTCATTTCGTTATCGTCATCGGTCTCGAAGACACTCCGACGCAGCAAATGCCAGTATCTTCTCAGTCGGAGGCCTTCTATCCGTACAGTCTACACGGCTGTTCTGTTGTTCACAGACACTATGAAGCAAATGGACCGAGTGCACGCAAGGGATTTTTACAAACCTGGTCCAGACCCATCGGGGAACGGCCGGTCAGTCTACTGCCGCGCCATCGAAGTTTCTGTCACTTGAAGACAGGTAGCGACATGTCGAACTACCAAGCCACTGCGATAACGTCGCAAACATTAAACAATTGTTTGCCAAAGGAGACAACACCAGGCTCGGGGAAACCTCGACATGAGGCTACCTATGTTGTCAACAAAATACTTGGCGTGGCAACCGCGCGACTCTTGAGCCTCGATTTTTTGAGATCCGACAGGTGTGGAGCTGTGTAAGCTCTAGACCTTCTTTTTCGTCGGCCATCTTGCGATCCCATGCACAATGGCAATCCACTGCGGGGGTTGCACAAGAGTCACAGCTTCGGCACTGGACCTGACCTTATGCACGCCATGCAGAGACATTGAAAGTGGTGTCGGGTGCAGTTTTGACGCTGTTACTCTGTAGCCACTACGAAAGGCTTGGGGGCAATCCACACCCGTTGACGGCACCGCGGCAAAAGCAAGCAAGACGAAACCATGGCATTCAGGAACAGGTTCACTTTGCCATATCCGCTCTTCCGTCGACTCGACTCCATTTAGACTCTGAGACTCCAGAGCCGCCTTGCCACAGTATCTCCCAGCGTAAGATCGTCGGCCACTGAGCCAAGTGGATCACTACAAGTCGAACGGATTGTTGCAATGTTCCGGGGATAGTATGGAAGGGCACCCTCTCGACGGCACAGGTTTCTGTCATTTATTCGTCTACGCTACGCAGGCGACCGACTCCATTCACCAAGCTATGCTAGCTCTCCTATCCAGACATTGTAGCACCCGCGTGTCATGGCTTGCATGCGGTTCATCACATATCAGATGCGCCCAGACCAATCGACTCTGGAGAGACTTCCGCGGGCTTGGCGCGTGCACATTGCTGCTGCAATACAACCTAGACTTGACTTGCAACCTCCATTCTCCTGGACACTACGCACGTATTGCAGTGTGTAATCGGCCATCCACATCACCGCCGCGCGAAAAGTGATACATGACTTGGTCCACTCAGATCGCTCCCATTTACGAAACACCCAGAGATCCATCACTCCAGGGCTTCCGCTCAGTATGGAGTATGATCGAGTGGCTTGACTGCCTGGCAGCTTGACATAATGAACCAATGCCAAACGCCAATAGACTGGCAACATTGTCACGGCCAGGTTGTGGCTGAAATACAGCCAATTCGGGCCATTCGTTGGCGCGCATTATTTCAAATGATCATATACCCTGTCGGTGACCTCTGATCGCCTCCTTATGACGGAAAGCGGTATGCACATTTACGCAGCTAACTAGGTTTTCGACGCAAGGTTTGACTGACAGGCAGTTGATGCTGGAGTTGATAACTGACCTGTGCTACTTCAGTCTTTTGTAGGCAGGATACTGCTGCGGCAGTGGATTCGAGCTAGCTTACCACAGGAACATCACCGCTTTAGAGAGCCCGGGCCCCACCAAATGCCAGGGTTGCGACGGATTACTGAACAGCTTTGCATGGCGAAGGAAGACGCCATGGAAAAAATGAGCTCAATGGGTAGTACATACTACGTACGCCTGCCAAAGGACTGGCCGACTACGTAGCATTGGGTGCACTGCGAAGGAGCCAGATTTGTTGCCCTTGCCGAGTCTTGGGCGTCAATATTGATAAAAATCTTACCATTGGGCTTCCAGCTGACGGCAATGTTCACACTGCGCATATCCTGGCAATGCAGTCTGGTCAAGGGATCCATTCTATACGGCAAGGGCCTCCCGAAGCCTATTGAGCTGACACTCTGGATGTTGTTGCTCTTTTCTGGCTCAGGGCTTGAACCCAACAGATGGGTTCGCAGACCCGAGCGAGTTGCAGAATGCATCACGATCCATACCGTCGGGTAAGGAGGCACTGGGCAAACGGTACCACGGCAGGGGATGGCAACAAAGTCGGCAGCCAGCCAGCATCGCGACGAGCTGAGGTGACCTAGACCGCACGCCAACCGGAACTGGATTAGCCAAGCTGCAGGCGTGGGCTCCCGCGATCCGTGCACACGTCCCAGAACTGTGGTTGAAGGGCGATCCCCCGGCTTGAACCACCTTTGATGTTATTGGATGCCCGACGTGCTGGCCGGCATCAGGAACAGTTCCCGGGAGGGATGATGGCAATGTGTCAGTAAGCAAGGGGTCCATGGTGGGAAAGAGTCGAAGAGTAGCAGTTGAAGAAAACGACCGATCAGACGTGCCTTTTCGGTTCAGTCCTACTCCGAGGTGGTAACAAGGACTTGGAAGTTGCAGCGGCCACCAGAACCCCCTGGCCCCCTGTCATCGACATCTGGCCCACGCTGAGGGCGCACTGCTTTTGCTCATTACTCCAACCAGGTGGCCGGAGAGACGCAAGTGTAAGTGGTACCAGCACCGGCCACGAGAACCGCAATTCATAGTGGCAGCGAACCATTTCCTAGGCTGCGAACAGGCTCTGGAACCATGCCTACCAGCTTGGCCGTGTTCCGATGGGATCGGTTACTATTGAAGCTTCGCCCCGATCGGGCAGCCATCAGCAATTTGTTCAAGGAGTCGAAACGAGCATGCCCAATTGTCTGCCTGGGCGAGTCGGCACCCAGGAATACCGACAAGCTGTTCTGGCGGCGAAACACCGTCCCGCCACAGTTGTGGCTAAGTCGGGTGGAATTCGTCGACGGGACGCAGGAGAGACACACAGATTGGCTAGAACGCCGCCTGTTCGCGATGTGCTGCATGCAGGTGTACATTGGCATGGTGACTGGACCCTGGACACCTTGGAAAGGCTCATTTCCCCCTGGGAAGGGTCTCGTTTCAAAACATCGTCACTGCTGAATTATTAGTGACCGACATGGCCAGGGCCTCATTGGAATAGGTAATGGTCAGACAGGAAAAGGACACTGAGGAAAGTTACGGACGAAATACCCCGGCCTTCCTACGGACCCTACGGAGAGTCGCCAAGGTGATAACAGTAGGGAACTCCTTGCCGCCCCCAATGCGAGCTGTCAACTCGTCAAACGCCCCCCCCCCTCCTCCTCTTCTCGCATCCCAGTTCACTGAATTGGTCGCTGGCAATTGGTTTTGGCACAGCAAGCACAGCGCACCAAGCGCACATGCGTAGTGGCTAGTGACGGTTAGGTTTGGTGTGACCACCGAGTCCCAATTACGTGCTGCGGAGACTAAGGTTGGGACAGTCAACGGACGACTGAAGTCAAAAGTTGGGCCAAACAGACTAAAACTGCACCGGATCTCGCCTTAGTTTACCACTTCGTCGCTGTCAAGCTCGAAATGGCCGAGTTTACAATATCCATCGCCTTAACGACCCGTCCCGCTCTCAGCGGCGGCCGAGTTTGAAAGACGGCGTCAACTCGGCACATGGTACTAAGCGTTCGGTGCCAGGCTTTCCTCCTTCAATCTCTTGTCAGGCAGCAGTGAAGCTGAACAAGAACACCTGATTTTCAGGGACGTCGTGCGTCTTGGACGGGGTATCATCATCTCCGCCTAGTCCGATATCTCCTTGTGAGAGAAACCTCAACTTTCGACTGATACGCTCTGTATTGCAGTGGTTAGTACTGTAGAAAATGGGCAGGGTTTGTTAAACTGTGCGACGCTGCGGAGGTTACGGCAGCACATGCTACGGCCGTGAACTCATTGGAATAAGCGCCGCACCTCAACAGACCTCGTACTCTCGCGACTATGACCATAATCGACCTTTTTCTCCAGTATGATCCATCGCTTCAGGAAGGGTTCCTCTCTTCTCTCTTCCCCACTGGGTCCGGGCTTTGGACTCGTTCATTGGCATTCCAGCAGGTTTTCGCGGGGCTCCTTCGGGGAGCGCGGCGTTTCCCTGCCCTTCCCAGCGGGTAACTCTGGGGCTCCTAAACAACAAAGGGCAATCGCCATGAGGATTCGCATACGCCAGGCCCTTTGGTGGCCTGAGCCGGGCCGGGGAAAACAAGAAAGGAAAAGTTGAAACTTGCCAAATTGCACGCCCTCTTCTCAGCCTTACGGATACAGTTATTTGACTTAGCATCAGCAGACGTTGAGCCCCTGAATAGGAACCGTTCCTCAAACATACAATAGACTTGTTCCAGGCTGATGCTTACGGAAAACGGTCAGCGCGTAGCCGCAAGCCCCTGATATTCAGTCAGAGCTGGATGGCCGGCCATTACACTAAACCATGGCCGAACCTCAGAACCTGACTCCTCCGTACCGCCGAAAGCTATCTGGTAGCCTCCGCACCGCGGGGGAATTTCGACTGATGCGGTCATGGTCAACCTGGCCTGGGGTTTTGCGCGGCTTTCGGATTCCTCGGGCAGGGAGAAAAATTCAGATACCGTCTAGTCTTCCGATGGCGCGGGTCCGCCCCTCCGTTCTCTCATCGGCAATCGCGCAGTTTCCCCTTCATCCTCTGCTAAAAAAGGACGGGGTGGATAATGGCAAATTTTCAGCCTTCGCCATCACATCTCAACTTTTTGAGATTACTTCTCAAATTTCCTACCTAACTTGGTCGGGGGAAGCGCAGTCATGCCGCATGGATGACAGAATGGGCTTGCTAGGCACCGGGGAAGCAGGGTGATTGACCCGCTAACCAGGACAAGGCCCCTTCGGCTTGCGAAGTCAAACGTGGTTCTTCTCCCTGTGTATGTACACCAGACAGGTTGAGTTGAGGGAACGGACAAAGAGGCGCGTCATGGTCTGAGCCGAACCAATACCCTCGAGCGAGCGCTCTAAATGGCAAGGCTCATCAGTAACGAGAACCTCCTTACTTTCGCAAGTCGAACTCAACCTGGGTTCGTGTCACTTATCAGATGCTGGCCTCAGCTGTTCAAGACGCCGCCTCCACTTTGCATCACTATCTGACAAGCTTGACCGTCTCCAGAGGCCACAAAAGACTTTTCTATGGACCTGATGTTGAACAAGATGGACGGCCGAGTGGATCGAGACACTCAATCAACTCCATCCAGATGACCGAAAGTCGCTCGCCAACCTCTGATCTCGTGGTTTCGGTCTACTCCGAGCTCTTTGAAACATCGCAATACCGGCAATGCCTTCTAGGGTGGCACGCTCTCTTCCGCTGAGGCATCGGCATGCTCCGTTGGCACAGCGCTGGAATCACAATTGTCAAGAAGTTCCCTGGTTGGCAATACGCGGATGACAGACAGCTTTGCGGTTCATTAGCAATTGAAGACGCAATGACTGAGTGAGGCAAAAAAGGCATTGTGGGCCATTTCGACTTATCAGCCAAGCACCCAACTTAGCTTGCCAGCGAGCCCGAGCCCTGATCAGGGTCCAGGGGCTTGAGACGATCTTGGGGGGACAGCGGACAGACCTGAGGTTGGTGCAACTGCACGCACCGAGACTCGAACATTCCTGAGCCTATGGCTGCAAGGGGCATCTGAAGGCTCGACTCCGCCGCTCGGTCATTTGCAGACGATGGTAACCTTTCTTCTTCTTCTTCTGATCTCTCCGCAGATCGATGGTAGCAGTTCCAGTGGGCAGGGAGGGGCTGGGGCAGATCACGGGAGTCTCGACTCAAGTCCCTTGCCATTCGAAGGTTTGCGCGATGGCACTCATGGGCGGCCGGTCGGCTTATTCTCTGACATAGAACCCATGGTGCCATTCTCGTGGCGCTTCTTTTTTGGCCACAATCGGTCAGCTGCCTGAGAGTCCCAAGACTGTGGCAGCCCACACCCTTTCCCTTGCCCGCCTCGCCAGATCGCGGCACTGCCGATCCATAAGCTGAGGCTTCAAAGTGGCAGGATTCTAAGTTGTCCTATTGGGCGGCGGTAGAACACTCTGCACATCACCGAGATCTGATCGACTTGCGCCATGGGTGACATGACGCTAGACCTTTGGAATGTGGCTGCGCAAAATATCTCTGGGTCTGGAGTCTGGACTATCAATGGTCGCTGCTCCGAGAGCCTATTCAAGCATAATGTACGGACGTACACAGGCATCATCGTTCGTCACGGGAACAGTACATGGCCAGCATCAGCATCGGTAGCAGGGGAACGGCATATTCGACTCGCTCTCACCTCTTGCGAAGCCCACCGATGAGATGTGATATGATGTGTCTACTTGTTGACGAGACTCGAGAGGGCGTGAGAGATGGCAAGTGATGGTATCCCTGGCGACTTCACGCAGGAGTCGAGTATCTAGTGTCTGAACACACACTAACAAAGCAGTCGATATGTGAGATATTTCACTCTTCTAGGTGGGCTACTACTGAGTGGTGCGCTGGATTGTTGGCGGAAAGACAAATGGGACCGCCCGAAAGCCTTGTCCGATGGAATAGCCGCTGTCGATTGTCCGACGTCGAAGGGACAACCTTGTATCAGGTCGCAAGGTCAGCCGACGACAAGGACGTATTGGGGTGGGCCAGCCTCATCCAGTCGCGCAAACTGGGCTTGGATGGATGGGAATGTTTCAATCCAGAGCCTCACGATGCGATATGGGAAGCCGCCTTTCGCACACATATCGCGCGACCCCACCAGTAGGCACCTGGGAGTGTGATCTACGCACTTTTCCTAACCGAGACCAAGCTGGATCGCCGGGTACTCGAGAGGCCTGCGGGGGGGACGGACTGGAGGGAACCAAACCAGACGAGCTGAGAGCTATGCGACAAGGTATCTCTCCAACCCTTCCCCCCGGTGTCGCAAGAGCCACAGCCAAACCTGAGTCCAAGCTCCCAGTATCCCGGTCGCTCTAGCGAGTGGCCCAGATCTCGGCTCTCTGATGCTCTCTCTCTCTCTCTCTGGTCTCTCTCAGTCTCACAGAGTCTGTGTGTGCTATTTGTGTGGGCAGCGGCATAGAGGTGGGGTCATCTCCCGATTATGACAGCCTTTTTGCTTTCTACTCTCACATTTTCACCCTGTGTGATGCAGGAGAAATGTGAGATATGACTGAAGGGCTGAGAGTGAGATCTACCCCGGCCAACATTTCGCAAGCTCTTCCCGATTGATCGCGGCACAGCTTCCCAATCCAGCAGCTCTGCCCCGAGCCACTCAGCTCTCTGGAAATCCGGAACGGGACTTTGTGGTGCTTTGAAGCTGCGTACGTACAGTCCCATACAAAATCGCGAAATCTGACATGTCACTGAAGCACGATCAACGGACATGGCGGTCGATCAGTCTTTGAGCTTTTGGGTACGTCCAGACGCCTATGAGAGGTTAAAAGGCACAAGATGAAGAGGGGCGGCGGCGGGGGTTTCGCGGGCGAGGTCGATAATTCAAGGCGCATCCGGCGGCCGTCAACGGGTCCGATGGGCAACATCAGTGCGACGCCCGACACGGCATCTCGACCTCCCCTGGCCCCCCTCCTCTCTCGCATCGTCGTCTGTCGTCGTCCACCAGGACCCGGGAACGGCCGGGAAGCACACTTCACCGATACCACCTCTATCCAGCACCACCAACCACCGTCACGCGGAACTTGACTCGTTCTCGCTTGTGTCGTCGTTTTTTTTTTCCTTTTCCAACCCGCGGGGCCAACATCTTCAACCCCTTCACCCATGACCCGGATCGATTTGCGTCACCCAATTCTTTTCTGCTCAAACCCACGGCCATGGAACCCCACCGTGCGACCCTCCGTCATGAGAGAGGTGAGAAGAGATCGCGATCCTAGGGCAGTTCGAATGCAGGTGAGGACTGACAATGCGACCCCTTTTGCTGCGCTCGCGGCGCTGCAGAACGCGAAAAGAAAACAACGAGGTCCAAGCGAGGAAACTTCTATCACTTGTTCATTTTTTCTGTTATTTCCTCACTCTATCTCCCTCTCTCACATTCTTTTCGCGCTATCCTCTTTGACGATGTCATTGCGAATGGACCCCCCTGCCCATCGAGATGTTTTTTTCTTTCCCCCTGTTCCTATCGGCTCACGGTGACCCTCTCAGGGCCTCTCGAGCCTTGGAGGAGGAGGAGGGGTCAAGAGATTCAAGACGCTCAGCTTCTGTGCGTAAATTTGACAGGGCCGAAGTTGGACCATTCTCGCCAATGTTTTGGGTTGTCGTGTTATCCTTACCCTGTCTTCATGTGGTCTTTTTGGTGTGACACGAGCAAATCTACCACGACTTGACTTACCTCCTGATGATCATGGGAGGGGGGCTTGCTACACTAGATACGCGACGTTGCTCGGTGCTCGGGTCCTATTCTCCAACGTCGTCGTTGCACTCACCCAGGGAAGGGAGGGAGGACACGAAGCTAGGTAGGTATGGAGGGGGGTGTTGCTCGAGACGGATGACCGTCCGAGCAAAGCAGCGCTGTTGTTCGATGTCTACCCGCTTCCAAGCCCTCGTGGCAATCTGAGAGTGACGCGGATACATGTATCTGTCGCCATTTGGACTCTGGATCTAGCCTTCACCTGTATCTGCGTCTGTTTTGCGCACCTTTAGTGCGGTTTGCGGGGATCCGGGAGCTTGCGAGCGTTGGATTACAATTGGCTCCGGCACTGGAACAAGACGGTAGCAGATGACTCACGCCCTTTTTTTATGCTCTATCGTTGCCCATTCTGACCCGTATGGTTGGACTAAATGTCGCGCAAAAAGTCACTGTAAACGGCGCGCGCGGTGTGAGGGGATGCCTTGCCGTGACTGGACTGATCTAGTCCAGTAGGTACCACGAAAACGGGGGGGAGACATGAGTGGAGGAGAATGGGATGGGATACGGGCAGCCAACGACAAGCTCTTTACTGCTCCGTTGTCGTCGGAGGAGGCGCGGTGCGGGCGAAGATGGGGCCACGGCACGCCGCACACGGGAAACAGCTGATGGACGGAGTAGGGGTGATGCTTGTTCGGCGCCGCGCACTGCATCCACGCACTGCGCAAAAACAGCTCCATTTCATCTATAGTCTCAACTCAACGTCTACTACGGCGTGGAGCTGCTGCCAAAGGAGAAAGCTTTACCCCTATGGTCCCCTTCACTCTCTCTCCCATCTGTCGCACTTGTCCCCTCCTTTTCAACCCCAAACCCCCTTACGGATACCAGCCTTTTTAGGGGTTTTTTTTTTTCACGCTAAAGCTCCAGGACACTTCCGGACTTCTTGATGTGAACTCATAATTTGTCCTCTTGGGGTCCTCTGTCTTCTCGAGCAAGGGAGACAGAGAGACAGAGAGAGATGCGAGGTGTTGTTGAGCGGTGACTGGCTGGGCCTGTGATGGCTTGACTTGATGGGCTGGACTCGGGGCTTGGGGAATGGTGCTGGAGACAGGATACGTGGGCACGGGTGGGCTTGGTGGCCTAGCTTCGATGTCGTTGCCCAGCATTCCTGTGGTCTGGTTGGAGGAGGGCAGACGCAGGTTTGACACGTCGGCAGGCACTGTAGAGATGGGGTACGGCAACGAGGAGAAGGGGGAGGACGAGGGCGAGGACGAGGAAGAAAGGAGTGAGAGATGTCGTGCAGTGAGATCGTCGTCGACGGTCGAAGTCCTATCTGCCTTTCTCAAGCCTCCATTTCTCCACCATCATGACCATAGTCACCAGTCATGATTATCTTTCTTCGTCCTGTTCCCACACCCCTCTTTTCTCACGAGTCACATCCCGTCTCGAGAAGACCAGCCCACCCGAGCTCGCGGACCGCGGGACTTCGGATCCGTGGCCGTTGGGAACCCAAATCAAAAACCCAACGTGCGTTTTTTTTTTTTTCTTGTGTACTTTTGTGACCTGTAACAACGGCGCCACTCTGATCCAGATGGGGGGGAGAGAGAGAAAGAGGGTTCTCTCTTGGGTGTATCAGCCAGTGTGTGTGTTCTGTTCACTGTCGTTTCTTCTTTTCCTATTTGTGTGTGTGTTTCTTGTGTCTTGTGTCTTGGGGGAAGAGGTATCAGGCCGAGGTAGGTGGCACGGGCGAGACAAGATCATGTAGCCAAAGCTAGGGGTGTGTAGAAGCGGGCAGTCGGAGGTGAGAAGTGGAAAGACACGATCCAGAGACATGGTGGTCAGAGGAAGGCGGGGGAGAAGGAGCTCACTGAATGGTATGAGAACTGAGATGTGGCCTGTCCTACTTTGTCTAGGATCAGAGACGGGGGAGGGTGAGAATGAATGAATGGCAAATCGCAGATCGGGAGTCCGATAGGTAGAGCAAATACCTTTGAAAAGGCCATTTCGGCATTCGGGGAGGATACCAAGGCCTGATTCCAGACATCTTGGGGGGTTCTGACTGGATGCTGTGGTGGATGGGTAGCTTGATGGCTGCGCTTTGGTGTAACCGTACTTAATCTTGCCGCCATGCAGAGGGTTTTTTTTTCCGCTACCTCTTAACAAGAGCTTTAAGTTATCTTTCCTATACAAGGTAGTTCCCGACTTGACGATGAAGTGAGGGTATCAAACAGTCACCATGACGGAGGTACAGGGCACATAGCTCCCTTTTCCACGCTCTTCAGCCTCCCCGCCTCCTCCCCCCCTCTCTCCTTCAAGACTTGTTCCTAAGAGAAGCAGCATTGGAAAGTGACAGGTGTGTATGTGTGTGGATGCGCATGTATGTGAGTGTGCGCGTGTGCGGGCGTGTGCGGGTGAGATTGACAGTTGTCCATCATGAGATCCTGCACTTTAAACCCTTTTCATTCCGGCTGCTTCCTTTTTTCTTTTCTTTTTTTTCCTTTTTTTTTTTTTTCTTCCTCTTCTTTTCAGTTCTTGTGTTTTTGTCATACCAAGCTGCGCGGATATTTTTCTGATAGGAGGGGAGAAATGTGGGCAAAGACACGCAGAGATTGTGTACAACGTTGAGCCAGATCCAGCAAGGACTTCATAAGGGGTCCCCCCCACTGTCTGCTCCACGAGAAGTCCGCTTTGGCGAGAAAGAGGGAGAGGGAGAGAGAGAGCCTGCAGGAGACGGGGACCAGGAAAAGGGGGAGGGGAGAGAGAGAGGAGAAGCGTGAAGGCCTTCTTCGCTTCGATTGGATATCCGGATCGCCTTCACCACTATGAGATTAGGTGCCATTCGGCGATCGAGGCGCACGTCAGTGAGGTGATGGCCGGGGAGTGGTGTGCTGGCTGGCTGGGCGGGCACGGCGGGATACCACCGGCAAGCTGTGGGATCTGCCGGCTTCCCTTCCCGCTGGGATCCGGACGTGACATGTCAAAAAGTCTCACGGTTCTTGGTCGCCTGCCGGCGCCTTAAGCGTTGCTTCTTTCTCCTATGTGTGTATCTGTTTTGTGTGAGAGCGCCCCTCGTGGCTTCTGGGTGGGGGAAAGGGTTACGGGGGGCCGGGAGGAGAGACGGAACATTCCATTTCAGAGTGAGATGGTGGGTGTGTCGAGGGTGTGTTGATGTGTTTTCAGTGTCCCCGTTGAGCGGTACTGCGTGTACCTATGCGGGAAAAAGTTACAAAACAGAGTGATTACTCTGCTACGAGTGTCTCGCGAGAAGAAGGAGGGGGGCCTGTTCCGAGAAAAATAGGTAGGGGCATGAAAAGACGGGGGGGTAAGGCAAGCCTTGTTGTGTTTTGTGAATGTTTGTCTCGGACGTTGAATGCCGCGCCCGCTGGGAGGGCGTGGGATGCTGCTGTTTTGTGCGTGTGCCGAGCTCTGAGAGACAGATGGGGTAGGAGGCGTGTCGGTTCGAAGAGAAGGCTGGATCGTTTGGTCACTACGATCTGGTATTTTGGATTACGACATGATCAGATCGAATGATGGTCATTCTCGAAGAAGGATTTGCCATGTTGTGCTCACTATCGGTAGTCTCTGTCTCACGACTTTTGAAAACCCCGGGGAAACTTTTTCATGTTTCGAAATCCCTTGGGTCTTCTTGTGCACATTCTGGAGTAACATCATATTGGAGAAGGAGAGTGTGGCACGCCGGCGTATGTCAGGCCACGTGTGAGACTCGGGATCGTGTATCGCCTCGAGGATGATGATTAGGTATTCTGCAACGTCGCTCGTAGAACCAGCCTTCGAGGCAATTGCACATTCCTCCGCATCCATTCAGCCAGTGGTATGCTGATGCTCGCGTGGGCAGAGGCTCGAGGGAGGCCTTGGCCTCGAGCTTTTGTAGCCTTTTGGAGGTGAAGTACGAATGAAGCAGGAAATATTGAGATTGTTCCCGCAGCCCATTTTCGAAGTCTCCTGTCGTACATGCTTGAGATTTGTCGATCCAGCGAAATCTCACCGTTGACAAGTCCTCCGTACCAGCTCATCAATTTGGGAATAACTTCACTCGGCTAGATATGGTGCCTGTTCATAGACAGATTGCTAGGTTGAGTCCATCGATAAACTTACTGTAGGTACGACGGCTTAATACGTAAGCTCCTCAGGCGGCTGGTGCGAATATCGATTCATCCAAGACCTAGACGATGGGGTGCCTCCATACGTGAGATTCAACACTTCTGGCCTTCTCGAAACTGTGCCCGCTGTCTCGCCTGCATCCCTCTATTTTCGTTTCTGTAGCTTCTTTGCTAATCTCGCCCTCTTGTATGACTTGATGAAGAAGAAGAGACAGGAGAATGAGAGAAAAGAGATGAAACAGAGCAAGAGAAACGTGAAACGGAAATTGTCAGCAAGAAGTTCATGTGGTACCGATGGTGTCTAGGAGTTGAGAAGAATCAAAGTCTTTGCGAGACTTCCGCTACTCATGTGATGTTTCTTCTGTTCAGCCCAATATATAACCGTTATGTCTTTCGGCAACCTATGACCAGTACCATGCAAACATTGCAGAGTTGGGAAGTCAGAACCAGCAGGAGTGACGTATATTCCTGAGGAAGGCAACTCCCAGTCACCTAGCATGTTGGTGGATTTTCAACTTTGCTTATTGTTGCTTACAGCCTGGCATCTTCCACGTGGACTTGGTTGGATGTGGCAGCGTGTATCGTTGAATATAACCGTATTTGCCACGTCCGTGACTACGAAGCGCGGGGAAGCTGCTGTTACTCAAACACCTTTCTTTCCTGGTTTATAGAGCCATGTGAACCAAGCGGCATCGCCGATCTCGCAAGCTCAACCTTGGCCTCAGTCAGTCGATCTTCACGTCGTCAACCGTGATGTAGCTTACGAAGTGGTATCTCTTATTCCGACACTATCATTACAAATCTAGGCCGCCCATTGCGGCAAGTAATATTTGACGTTCTCGTACACGAGGAAAGTGACCCAGGTAGCCGGCATCACCCTCACGACTCCCGGCATCAGGCCCCGGTAGAACCCCCTGAACCCCTCTTCCTGCCAAATCCTCTTCACGACACCCCGGATGCCGCGTCCGAACCGCTCGTCGGCGTCGTAGTTCTGCAACCGGCTCCGGAGAACCTGGTAGGGGTACGTCACGGCCCCCGCGACCAGCTTCGCCACGCTCGAGATGACCACGGTCGCCTCGTTGCTCAGTCGCCCTCCGTTGTCGCCTTTGCGCTGCCTGCCGGCGAAGTACATCTTCTTGGCGGGCTCGTACACGGCGAACTGCACCGCGCCGTGCGAAACCCCGACGAGGCTGACGCCGAGGCCGCGGTAGAAGCCCCGCAGCCCCTCGGAGCGGTACAGCTGCCGTGCGCCGGTCCACATGTTGGCGTACGCGCCCACGGCGGTGCGGTCGGACGAGAGCATGCGCGTCTTGAGCACCCAGACCGGGTTCGTCAGGACCTGCGTTAGGGCCCCGGCGAGCGCGGACGACGCGAAGAAGTCCTGCGTGGTGAGGTACTCCTTCGTCAGGTTGCGGGCGTCGGCGCCGGAGCCGCTGGTCAGCGGCATGTAGCCGGCCCTCCAGAGCGCGATGACGCGCTCGACGCGTGACTTGAAGAAGAAGAAGGCAGACCAGCTCGAGGCGTTGCCGATGAGATTCGGCGTCAGGCCGCGGTAGAGGGAGGCGATGGGATGCGGGTTCTGAGTGAGCGTGCGGATGAGTGACATGGTTGTCAATGACACTGAAGGATTTGCCGCACTCCGGTGAACTATGTGTTTCTTCATCAGCAATGGTTCCTAGATAAGTTGTAGATAAAATATAGCACTGCTTCGCTTCACTGACTTTGCATTCGCGTCTTCACGATATCAAGCGGGTGAACTACCAGAGTCGCAACCGAGCCGGCCGAGAGACCCGCGACGGACTCGACGAGAGCGGGTGAGATGCCCGCATTGTTGCTTTCTGACATAGAAGTGAGAAGGACCTCTGTCACATTGCTGTAGGTAGAAAATGTGACTGCGACCTCACACACCGAGCTGTCGAGACCTCACCCAAACTCAGATATCGAAGCTGTGTAAAAGGAGCTTGGGAAGCGTTGGTGTGGCTGGTGACTCTGGCTTACCCAAAAAAAAAAAAAATGCGACCGAACGATTATTCATACGTCATTTTAGCTTACAAAATTGCGGCTCCGCTGTCACTTTTCAGAGCTTCAGCCACAGCTAAACTCCTTTCGAAGGATTTGACTGCAACAAACCCCGACGCTTGCAAAGGAGTTTCTAGATGAGTGTTCTGTTCATCGGCCTCAAAGGTAATACATCGCTCGTGGGATTTGTTCATAATGTGGACGCGAAGTTGGTCGACTACAGCCTGAGCTTTAGGCCATGGCGTGCTGTCAATTCGGTTTAGGCACTCGACAATTTCGCATTGTGAGGCATCTTTACTTGGTTTTTCACTAGCTGTCTGATTTATACCCCAAGCCACGGGCTGAGATGCGCGTGCTTTGCGTGCTCCGAAAGTACAAGACGGCCCATCAGCAGCCCTGATATACTTCCAACATTGCGGTCCGCGCCACCACCCCATTTACATTTTTCGTACAGTAGAGCAGAGTGCGTCGTCAGAGAGGTTTCATTTGATTACATATGTAGTTGTACAATGCGCCAAAGCCGTGGCCTGCGTTTTCCTCATCACCATTGCCGGTGATCCATGGTGTCACTCCCGAAATATTGGCTAGTCTCCCAAATGTCACAAGCCTGATAATGTACAAAAAATTCGATGTTTGGACGCGCGTGGTCTAAGAGAGGGGAGAAATGAGGCTGGAGAAGAGTAGGTTAGAAAGCTCTGCGATAGTCGGACCACCCAGGGGCAAGGCATACCGGATGAAAGCGGGACGGGGTTCGCTGCGAGTGTAGCCTGCGACGAAGGGTCAGTTTTGTTGTCGTCATAGTGGTGAGTCGAATCGAAAGATCATTCGTACCGAGGTAGAGGACGAGAGGGAGGTAGCCGCTGTGGATAGGTTAGTCCCTGGGTCATCGTCACCAAGCTCAGAAAGACACGTACTAGTGAATGGCAATGCGGGAGATCTCAATGATCTTGCCAATGCGCTCCTACAATATGCAATGATTAGATTCGACTCTAAGCGACGTGATATAGCTGTCGTTGCGTTGTCGCACCTTGGACTCTTCGGAGAGGGCGAACATTTTGACGGTTGGGATGATGCTTTGACGGAATTTGATGCGTGAAATCGATTGTAGTTCGCGTTATGGCGTTGTTCGTCGTCGCTGGGGTTCGTGGATTTCTCGTCGTCGCTGCGTCAGGGTAGGTAGCTGGTAGTGGATGCGCTGGAAGCTGTTCCTGAACTTTTCTTCGTCTGCCGGAAAAATCATATCAAGTGGAGCCGCCGGAACAATCGCGCAGTGAGGCTTATCGGACCTTGCAGTGAGCGATAAGGTACGTACTGCCGTAGCTCAACCGCGACGGAACGTCGAGGCCAAAATTTCCAGGTCTTCTTCATAGAACGAGTTAAACATCGTTCTCCCCTCAAGTGTCCGGACAACGCGATTGAATTCCCAGTATCGTCTTCAGATCGCGCAGAGAGCACAGAGAGTGCTCAAAGTTCAAAATGGCACAAAATAGGCATTGGTGAGCTTCAATTTGTGCTATAAAAGACGGAGACATCAAGGATATGAGCTAACCTTCGACAACGCGATGCAGGGAACAAGACAAAGATGCGACCGTCTACATCGGAAACATCGACGAGCGCGCGACCCCAGCGATGGTGTACGAGATCATGCTTCAGATGGGCCCCATCCACAACATCCACATGCCCCGCGACCGCGTCACCCAGAACCACCAGGGCTTCGGCTTCGTCGAGTTCAGGACGCCGGGCGACGCCGAGTACGCAGCCAACGTGATGAATGGCATCAAGCTCTACGGAAAGTCCTTGCGCGTGAACAAGGCCAGCGCAGACAAGCAGAAGCAGGCCGAGGTCGGCGCAGAGCTCTTCGTGGGTAACCTGGACGGCATGGTGGACGAGAAGATCCTCTACGACACCTTTTCGCGCTTCGGCCCGCTCATCAACCTGCCCAAGGTGGCGAGGGAGGACAGCGGCAACTCCAAGGGCTTCGGGTTCATCTCCTATGCCGACTTTGAGAGCTCTGACGCGGCCATTGCCAACTTGCACATGCAGTACATTCTCAGCAAGGAGGTCTCGGTCCAGTATGCCTTCAAGAAGGACGGCAAGGGCGAGCGCCATGGTGACGCGGCGGAGCGTGAGCTCGCCGCGCAGGCCAAGAAGAGGAACATCGTCCCGGAGATCCAAGCCGTGCCGCCCGCTTTCCTCAACGGCCCGCCTCCGGCTGCTGCACCAAGTGCACCGGCCGGTTTTGATCCCGCAAACGGCCTTCCGGTCCCCGTCCCGAATCCAGGAGCCCCTGCTGGCTTTGCGCCTCCGCCGCGGGGACCAGCGCAGTACAACGCAGTACCGCCACCGCAAGGCATGGGCGGGCCGGGCCTCGGTCGCGGCGCGGTGCTTCCTCCCGCCCCGTCTGGTCTACCTGCGCGGCCGCCTCAATCGCAGGGCGGCTACACGAACCCGGCCGACTTCCACCCCGGTGCTCCTGGTTTCCGCCCGCCTAGCGGACCTCCCGCTCCCCAAGGCTTCGCTGCGCCCCCTCCCAATTTCCCCATGCCTCCTCCGGGGGCCTCTGGGACCCCGCCGGCGCCGCCGGGCTTCATGCCTCCGCCGGGCTTCAACCCCCCAGGATTCCCTCGCAGATGAAGAAGATGGACATGGCGAGAACACCATTCATTCACTGGTGGTGTACAACTGTTAAAAAGAAAACAGCACTGCTTCGGTGCTGTTGCACTCTGAGATAGCCTCTTCAGGTCTACCTCGTTTTCGGAAGAATAGCCGGGCGTTCAGGGTAGGCCCAGCGAGAAACTCGTCCAGAGCAGCTTGGATCAGATTGCAATGGTCTGTCGTCACTTTAATCAGACGGGAATAGCCATTGCTGACTTTGTCTAGATCCCCACTGCAGTGACGTGGCAACCATGGAGCCGGCCATGGTCATCGGCAGGATGCAGTATAGGTATCCGTGTATTCCTAGTCGCACTGGCGCCATGGCCAAGAAACGGCGGCCCCGGTGAAGGATACCATAAACATTCCTCGTAGCTTAATGAAGAAATGACGATGATAATACCAATGATATGGACTCGAGCGTAGTGACTTCCAAGCGACACGTGGGCGGCGGCTTCTCTACACATGCACGAGATGACTTCAGTGGTTGGTTGGTTTGAATGTTGCGGAGCTTCTTTCACGTACTGTGAATCACACCTGCAAGGGAGTCGAGCACTCCGAGTATCCAAAGCGAACCAGGTAACATAGGCAGCCGGACATGGGCACTGGGGAACTGTTCAGGTTGGGGAAAATGCTGAGAGAAGAATAGCCACGTCGGTCCAAATTCGCTCTCGCCTTTTTGTACATGGATTACAAATGGTAGGTACACGATTATCATACAGCTCCAAGTCCACGATTTCTTTTCATGAATCTCGCGGCTCGTCCTTCTTCGGCTCGTCCACGGGTTCGTCCACATGCTCGTCTTCCCGCATCTCGACCTCCCGCATCTCGGCCTCTTGAAGCTCGGCCTCCCGCATCTCGATCTCTCGGAGCTCGGCCTCCCGCATCTCGACCTTTCGGAGCTCGGCCTCTCGCAACTGTTGCTCTCGTACCTCGTCTAGCGGCCCATCCCAGGACAGCGTCTTCCACTGCGCCTTGTGCTTGAAAGCTTCCTCGTAAGTCAGGGGTTCATCCCAGTCGACGACGTGAACCGGCGATTCCCGGGCCTTCATGTCCTCCCACATCCGGAAATCCCTGCCCTTGTTGCTCATCTCTTCCAACTTGCCCTGCCACAATTGGTACCATGTCTCTTGCCGGTCTCCGCGCTGGTCGTCTGCGAGCACCTTTCTGCGTCGTGTCTGTAGTGCTCTGTAGATGGTCTCTGCTCGGTTTGCAGGGAGGTCTTCAATGGAGTATTCCACCATCCAGTGAGGGTTGTGAATCTTGGGGTCGGGGCGCTGTTCGTATTGGCCGTTGACCCTGTTCCGCACGGTCAAGACCATTCCGAGAAGCTCGTCACCGACAACATCGAGCTCAGGTTTCTCTTCATCCTGGGCTATGCCGTCGGGGTCAGAGTCTCCGGGAGATTCAGTCGAGGCTGCCGTCTGACTAGTACTGGCCGCAAAATCCTCAAAGCTTTCAGCTACTACTTCCTCAGTCTCTGAAGCCGAAGGTGTAGTTTCGGCTTCTGACTGCTTCGACTCGGCAACCAGCTTAGAGAGGATTCGCTCGAACGTTCGCAGTTTAGAGACGTCAGAAGCAGCATCATCTTCAGAAATGTCGGTTTCGTCCACGTCGACTTTCTCGTCGACATGTGAAGCAACTCGGAGGATCAAATCCTTCAGCCCAAGATCCCGAGAGCCACGCACCTCTGTATTTTGCGACGACTCCTCGTCTGTCTCCTGAACCGACTCTGTTTCCTCGCCAGCGATCGCCTCGGTTTGTTGTCCAGCACTTGATTCACCAGCTTGAGCGGAGTCGACCGGTGCGGTGCTGGATTCGCTGGCAGACGTCTCAACTGATTGGCTATCCTTTCCATCAACGTCGGGCGCCTCGCTAGCTTGGTTGCGAGTGAGGGCCTCCAAAAGGCCGTCGACATACCAGCGAGCTTCTTCAGGTGTTCTCGCCTTCAGCAATGCGCTCTGCTCCAACGCGTCATGGATTGCCTCCCGAACATGGCCGATCCCTAGGGCATCGTCTTCCACTGCTTCATTGACCTTCTCCTGCATTTCTTCCCAGAAGGCTTGCGTCTGCCATGATTGGTTACTAGACTCGTCGACGCTAACAGCCTCCTCGTCTTCCTCCTGGCTGGCTGGTTGCTCGACTTTCGGCTCCGGCACTTCGGGTCCTGATGACTCTTCTGAGGCCATACCAAGAATCTGCTCCTCAAACTCTGCAACCGCTGCTTGATTGGATGTTTGGACCTTCTCGATCTCTTCCTTTGTAACAGGCTTTGCAAAAACATACATGAAAGGAGGGTCAGTTGGTCGCGTCTCCACATGGAGCCGGATGGAGCGGCCAGGGAATCGTTCAGTGGCGCGATCGAGGACCTTGTTGAGAAGATGCAAGCTGAGCTTGAATTCTTGGTCGCCAATGGATCGGTTAAGGGTCCCGTGAATGGCCAAGTCCATCTCGTTAATGCTGACGTACTGGAAACCGAAGATACGTTGCGTGTTATGGAAGGCGACGAAGATGCCATCCATACGGCCCATTCGCACTTGCAAGGAATACTTGAGGAATGCAGACCTGATCATGTCGAAGTACTCGCGCTCAAAAGACTCCCACTGGCCGAAACGGCGGCGGATCTCATAGCCAAGGCCCTTCTGGAATTTTTGAGCGTCCATGCGAATCGTAACTACAGCTCTTGTCTTGAGATCAAACATTCCAGATCCTGGTAGCCGTGGATCATGCGCATCCAGCTGGGAGCGCATGAGAAAGTCGCCCATGGTGGTGTAATGGAAGGCTTCGGCAGCGTTGCGCTCCTCCTCGGTGATCTGATCAGAATTGGCACGGCGGTACTTTTCAAACTCCTCCTTCGGCAGCGTCAATAGCTTCTCCATTGACTTTCCAAGCATGCTCAAGATACTGGCAGTGTCATACTCCTTGTCGGCGTCAATTGCGTACACACCTTCATTCAGATGGAGAAAGGCGGCAGCTGGCGCCCGCGATATCGCAGTAAAAGTCGAAAATTCAGGCGTGAACTGGCGGCTCATCATTGCAGGGTTGATAGGCCGCCATGCAGAAAGCAAAAAGTGGAAGTGTGACAGCATTTGGGTCATGCTGGATGTTGAACCACTGTACTTTCTACCCAGCTTGGCCGCAAGCGCGATCAAGGTGGTATCCTTTGAAGAGGTGACATATTTCTGGAGCGCATTGAAATCGAACTCGTTGATCGGCATGATATTACTGAGGTAAGGATCAAAGTTGTAGACTCGCGAGCGGGGGTCCTGCATATGGTACACTCCGGGGTTGAATAAGGCTCTGTCCAAACCGTATGCGAGTCTCGGCACCTCGGGAGCGTCTGGTATGTGAACGGGCACCAACTCGAGAGTCGACGCCCGCACCCTCTTCACGTTGACAAGAGGCTTTTCGCTTTTTTTGGGCTTCTTTGGCTTGGCTGTCGGTGATTTCCTGTCATTGGCAGCCGATAAACCGGCAGCCGCTGCAGCCGCTGCAGCCGCAACAACTGGGGTCTTGTCGCCGCCACTTAGGCGACTCGCAAGTGATGTCCAACCGTCCTTCTTTGGCTGTTCGTTGATCGGCTTGCGTTCCTCGCCGAGCAGCACTTTTCGCACTTTGACGCGCAGCTCTCGAGACTGATGTGCATGGGTTCTAGACTTAGAAGAGGGACTTGGTGGAGTCTGTGACGATTCTGTGGTACTCGGCCTCTTTGCGAGATGGTCGAGGGGAATCTGCTGAGAGCGCAAGACACTCTTGAGGACGTCCAAAGTACCCGAAATTGTCTTGAGCCTCACACCTAGCTTGGTTTTCTGTTTCATAACAAATGCGTCCAGCTCTCCCTTCTTCCCAGAACTGGTTTTGGCTCCTCCGGCAGACACATCCGTAGTGCCGTCCTGAAAATGCGAGAGCCTGTCGTTGATAGAGGCGTAGCTGTGCTCAAGCTTTTTCAAAGATTCGAACACCTGATTTATAACATCAGGCCCGGGTGGCAGTTGAGGCTCCTCCGGCTCCTCCTTAGCGGTGTGCTTGTCGTTCTTGGTTCGTGGCTTCTTGCTTGACGGTGACTCAGCTTGCGGTCGAACTCTGCGTTCAAGTCTTTTGAATGGTGGTTTCCCTGGCTTTGCCTTGCGTCCGGCCGTGGGTTTCGCATTGCTCTCAGGTTTCGTATCGCTGCTAGATTTGGCCTCAATTTCCTTCTCAAGAATGGCCTTGTTCCCGGATTTCGCATCGTTCTGAGGTTTCGCATCGTCTTTGGAAGCAGGCGTTGCCTTCGAGCTCTTCTTCGCATAGCTTCGGTCGCCAACCAGGGCGGTGGTCTGGAAGAGGGGGGGTCGCGTCCGACATGGTGCTGAGAGACATGGCCGGCAGGACGCACATATGTAAGAAGTTCCAAGCCTTCGAAGGCGCTGGGTATTCGCACGAAGCATTGGGAAAAAATGGTAAACGATTTGTAGCCCCAAGCTGTGACGGAGAGTTAGAAAGTGGGCTAGAAGCTGCCCGGTCAATTTTTTTTGGAGGTAGAAAGGGAACGCGGACAGGACGCGCCACAGTTCAATCAATTGCGACAGGGGTCTGTCTACCTGATCCGTGCGTGATCGCATGCCTGCCAGCAAAACCCCTGTCTCCTTGCCTACCTTACCTCCAGGTAGTTGAGAAGCAGTGTTTCCGTGCCTACTTTACCTTCTTCGGTGGCGGGTTTGATATAATTCACAAGAGGACTCGTCACCGGGCATAGTAGTTACTAGTACTTTGAAGTCGTGTAACCCATCAATTTTAAAGAACATTTCCGGCAAGTGTAGCAGAAATTCTATCATCTCCCAGTCAATTTCGCCGCATCATCTGGCAGCGATACAAATTTGGGGGGTATTATGCTTTCCCAAACAACCAGCTCATGCCAGGCCAAATACCGCACCAGACGCCAGTCCATAATGCCGTGAAAACATGATCCACGCTGAACCCGAACCTCTTACTCCTTCCCAGTGAATGCGTGAGACGCATAGTCCGTGGCCGTCTGCCGTGCTGCTTCAGCGTCTGCGAACAGTGCTTGGACTTCAAAAGAATCGGCCAGCATACCATCCGCCACGCTCATCCAAAGCAGGTTCCCACTCCGCTTCGCCTGTGTCGAGGCTGCCCTTGCGCTTTTAAGCGCTTGTTCGCCCACCACATTATCGAACAATCGGGACCGCATGATGCTGAGGGCTATCGCCAGACAGTGCGTGTTGCCTGTCACCCTTGAACCGTTCAATGAGTTTGTGATACTCGTTTTGATTTGGTGCATGGACGGCGGGGGCATCGTCTGAGCTGTTGCCTGGACGAGATTGAAGGCGGTGCGTATGTCTGGGTCTTGATGTTCCGTACACATTGGTCGCAACTGGTCCAACAGCTCGGTAGACGTCATCTCGTCACGGTAAGACGAGTCTTGAAGGATCCAGATGCGATTCAGCGCAGCGAGTATGCACAGCTCCAGTTTGGCGGGCTTTCTACCACCTGGGCCTCCACGGCCAGCATCAACACTCAATCTAACATCTTCGAACAACAACAGAGCAGTCTCCAAATCACCAGTGCCCTGATGATAGACCCCGGAGAGATAAAGTGCGAATACACTGAATATCTCGTTCACGGCTGGCGTAATAGCCTGTTGAAGTTGTGCCACGCACTGTTCAACCTTCGGCCATTGGCTGTGAGTTGCGAAGTACAACCCCGTCAGGGCTTGCAAGTAACAGAAGATTTCGGTCCTCCATTTAGACTGCTCCATCGACTCACGCAGAGATGCCGCCGGGACGCTAGGAGCTATCTCTTTATTCCCTTGTGCCATGTCAGCTTAATACAGTCTTGAAAGCCACAGAGCAATACTTACATTTCGCCAAAACATCGAATCCCTCCTTCCAGAATTCGTGACTCCTCTTAGGATCCGAACCAGGGCGATACATCCCGGCTAAACCACTGAACGTGTATCTAATTTGGGTCAATGGATCAGTGCCATGGAAGCGTGCAGTCTTCAATAGACTTACGTCAATACAATAATCTCCAACCTGTTCAAGAAAGTCATGACGATGTAGTCGTGTTGACCATTGGGAGGTCCCGATCGGAGGATTGCGGAGGTGTCATCGCTGAGGGTTGCAGAGGTTGAATTGTGTTTCTTGATGGGGATCAAGATCTCTGGATTTAAATCGGTCCATGTCTGGGATCCCAAATTCGCATCAAGCTTTGCTTGGAGTGTCCTCAGCTTGTGGATCAGGATATCGGGCGTTTTCTGGTGCATGCTGCACGCAAGGTCGAGTAGCAGCATCAAAACATCCAGCTGCGGTATTTGGACAGAAGGATCCAGTTGAAACTTGGTAGCTTGCGCCAGACAAGTTTGCACACGCTCGATTGTGTCGGAGCGCATATTCCTCAAGACCGACAAGCCTTCCAAGAGAGAGGCGAAGACAACCATGGCATTGTCTCCTCGCTCGCTCGCCAGAACGGCGATAGCGCGCAAGTTGTCCAACACTGCCGCATCAGGCGGACTACCCGCATGGACATGGAAGGTGGCCTTCAGCAGACGAAAGGCATAGACCCAGTGGATGTGTTTGAAACTAATAGTTGTGTAAGCAGTGATTCAATAATAGTTGAGGTAAGATTCCTGTGACGCACGTGAGGCAGTCTGCAATGTTCTTGTCAACAGCAATGAACGCCGCCTTCTGGTTTCTCTGAAACAATACTTTCAGCAATAAATATTGCATACAGTACTTGAGGTCGGCGTATCTATGCTGTAGGGAATGTCAATATAAAGCTCGGGCGGGTAACGTCCCAGTTTAACAAACCTTGTCGCAGATGGTGATGCCCTTGCTCAAGGCTGTTTCTGCCTCTTGAAGGTTCTCAGTCTCATCACACAAGATAGACGCATATCTCAATCTTGCTTTCGCCTCCTGTCTCGGAGATAGTCGGTTGCTTTGGAACGCTGCCTCAAGGCACGCCAACCCAGTGGCAATCAACTTTTGATACTCGCGCATCTGCTCATCTGACCCAGATACCGCCACTCTCTGTACGCCACGACGTGCTTTGTCGAAACACTCTTCTGCCACGTGTACGAGGATCGTCGTCGTGTCGTAGGACCTTGCTTTCGTCGACAAGGCGGGAGAGCCCCTGGAGGATATTGCCGGAGAGTTCATCGACGATATCGCAGGTGACTTTCTAGCTATACTGGGAGATCGCGCCGGCTGGACGGTAGGCGAGTTGGCAAAGTGAGGCTCGGGGCTCGGTTGAACTTGGGAAGGTTCGGCGAAAGTCTGGTTCAGAACTGGCACGGTCTGAGTTTGGCCCATGGGTGGCTGAGAGAACTGGGTATACTGGGGCACTGCCGGGAACACTTGGGGACTACGCTGTTGCTGTAGCTGCTGTAACTGCTGTGGTGGTTGAGGCGGGGGTTGCGGCGGTTGCTGGAAATGAGGCTGGAATTGTGGTTGATGTTGCGGCTGCTGCGTCGGCTGATACTCAGCGTAGATGGGCGGCGTCGGTGTCGGCGTCGGTGCGGGCGCAAGCGCGGGAGAGAGAGAGGCGTGCGTGGTTTGGTTGAATGGGGAATGAGGAGATGCGAACTGGGCATTCATCGCATTGCCGTGAGGAAAGGGCTGCTGGAGTTGGTGATGGTGGGGGTAATGCTGCTGTTGCTGCTGCTGTTGCTGCTGCGGGAAGGTGCCGCCATACGCAGGAAACTGCCCATATCCGTTTGCTTGCATGTTCATCGGCGCAGGCGCAGGAAGGATGGGAGCAGGAGCTGGAGCGGGCAGCTGATGGTAGTTGCCATGAATTGGTTGCGCTTGCCCGTGACTACCGTATGCAGCGTTCGCGTAGTTCGGATTCTGGCCATTCCCACTCCCGCCGCCGTTGCCATTGCCATTGCCGTAGGGATCGTGGAAAGGCTGGGGGACGTGCTGCTGGCCATTGAAGGCCTGCCCCGAAGGCAAAGAGCCCCGGTGTGTCATCTTTGGGACTGCATAAGGATCGCAGGCTTCGCTACATGGAGTCTCGATGGTCGCTTTGTTGGACTGGACTGGCTTGATGCGACGCGGTTGCTGTTCATTAGCCGCACCTGCAGGCGCGAGGCCCCTCGAGGGACGACTGGTCAAGAAATGGCCCATGGTCCCTGCGTGCCTTACATAATTCCACGTGCCACGGGTCCCCCACATTTCCAGTCAGTATGTGAGATGCACAGACCAGTCTTGACCCAAAGCTCGCACCCGAGTCTGAACTTTTGAATCCCGACGAGTGTGTGGCGCTGGGTGGCTGCCTACCTTACAGTCTTAGTATGGATACGCTTATACTGTGTAAGTGCCTGGATCTGTTCTACATTCTGATTGGCTGTTAGCAAGTGCCTCGGCTCAATCTGAACCATATCCATCTTACGGATACCATTCGTCTTCTTTCACCAGGCGTGAACTTTGCTGTTGTACAATGTATTAGTGTACACACACAGCACCGAATCCCACTGCTGAACGGACACTAGGTGAACCCGGCGCCGATCTATCACGGTACGGGTACGGATAGGCTCAATTGAGACCTTCGGTGCTACCCCCAAGACCAGACAAATTGCCCGTTAGTCCGCCCCCCCCTTGACTTGAAGTTGGGTCCGGAGCAAACATTGTGAATCTGCGTATCATAAATCGGAAGCTACCAGTCCTCGGGGCTCCACTGCCATGACTTGTGGTTCTCTGATCATTTGCACATGGTGCTCGGTTTGCCCTCTCGACAACCTACCTGCTCTACCTAAGCGTCTGTCATTTCTAGTAACCTTGGCCTTTTAATAACGTCGTGCGGCGGTTGAGTCCCTCTTTTGCTTCCTCCTTGACATCTCGACATCAACTTCAACGGCGCCTAGTGACCGGCTCCCACGACCTCTGCAATCGCAAACTGTCTCCTGAAGCCAAAGTGCCTCGGTCAACCGTTGCCCGCAGGCTTCGAATCATGGACTGGCTAGGACACGCCAAAATCAACTTCACACACGCGCCGTCGCCCGTGGCACTCAAAGAGAAAGATGGCGCCCAGACTGACCTGCTGAAGATCTGCGAAAAGGTCACGCCGCCATGCCACATGAATCCGCTCCTCTTCAACGGCCACTTGCAGACCATGTGGACTGCCACGAAGCAGCACGGGCCCCCAGTGTACTATCGACGAAAGGTCTTCCACGCCGAAGACAAGGCCTTTGAGGGCACTTTCGCCGTCGACTTTGTGGCGGAGCCCTTTAAGGAGACCGACAGCACCCTGCCGCCGCGGACGGTGTACTTTGAGGACCAGGAGTTTGAAAATCTGGCATCGGACGACAATCGGCCCCAGTTGGTTGTTCTTCACGGCCTCTCGGGTGGCTCGCATGAGATTTATCTCAGACATGCCATTGCGCCATTGGTTGATTCAGGGAATTGGGAGGTATGCGTGGTGAACTCGAGAGGTTGCGCCAACAGCAAGTTCACCAGTGGTATCTTGTACAATGCCAGAGCAACATGGGACTTTCGCCAAGTCAGTAACCTATACTGCGCACCACACATTCAAGTGGACAACTGACAGTCAGTCTAGACGATCAAGTGGTTGAGAAAGAAGTTCCCGAACCGCCCTCTCTTTGGCTTGGGCTTCTCGCTCGGCGCCAACATGTTGACAAACGTAGGTCTCTGGTTTCTCATATTTCCTTATTACTTTAATTAACAGTTTCACCCCAGTACTGTGGCGAGGAGGGTGTTGACTGCCAATTAACCGCCGCTATCGTGTGCTCCAATCCCTTCAACCTGGAAGTCTCAAACAAGGCGCTGAAGCGCACATTCCTTGGTAGAGAAGTCTACCAAAGAGTGATGGGGAGTACGTCGCTCTCACTCCACGACATACGAGCTTGACCTCTGAGACTTACACACCTCATTAGCTAGCATGAAGCAACTGATCAATGGACACAAAGAGGAGGTGCAGAAACACACCAACCTCGACCTCGACCGCCTCCAAAACGTTACGTACCTGTGGGAGTTTGACAGAGAAGTCCAGTGAGTTTCCAGATAACAAAAAGTGCTCGGAGTGTTTCTCACATGAGCAGATGCATCAGCTGGGGCTATCCCACAGAGAGCGCCTACTACCGCGATGCGTCGTCTTCCGATGCGGTCCTGGCCATCAGGATTCCCTTCCTCGCCCTACATGCCACCGATGATCCTGTAAGCAATTCCTCCAACCAGCCACTGCTACTGGGAAAGCTAACCGGATTCCCCCAGATTGCCGTAGAAGAAGCTATCCCGTACGAGGAGTTCGGCAAGAACCCGTACACGGTTCTGTGCACTACCTCTTTGGGCGGCCACCTCTGCTGGTTCGAGCCCGGAGGCGGAAGATGGCACGCGAAACCGGTACATCCCTGATTTCCACCGATTGCTGAAAGACTATGGACTGACAAGACCAGGTTGCGAACTTTTTCAACCACATGGCATTTAACGTGGACCACAGCCAGCTCCCACCGAAGACCAACGGAACTCCGCCCAGGAACGGCAAGTCAGAATTCCACTTCAACCCAGCGAGACATAGAATGGAGATTAAAGCAGGGTCCGAGTAGCTGCAGATGACAGAAATTACAACAGAACTTGTGCTGGAATAGATTTAGACGGTATAGATAGAAAAAGTACACCTGCTTTTATTGACTTCCGCGATCACGGACGAAGCTATGAACAGAATGATGTTCAGACAAGGTCTACAGCGACGAGGCTCATCTCTCGCTGGCATCTGGCTGATCACTGTCCTATGGTGTTGCATTAAGCTCTCGCGTAAGGTCAAGCCTCGCCATGGTATCTGCACTGAACGCCTTCGACACTACAAAGAGGTTTTTAAAAAAAGACGAATAAGATGTTCCCCTCCCACTTTTTCCAACCCAGTATGTTTTCTTTTTTGGCACTCCGAACGCCGCCCAAGATGCAAAGACATGCTAGTGTTCAAATTACCACTAGGTGATCTCCTCACGCAAAGGAGACGCTCTTCTTCTTCTTGGGCTTGGCGGCCTTGGATCCTGCGCTCGCGTATTGGCTGATGTTGTCCTCGTTCTCGGCCTTGGGGTTGCGCTTCCTCTTCTTGCGCAGGGAGTCCTTTGTCTCCTCCAGCTTCGATTTCTTCTCCTCTTCCTTCTTCTCGGCCTCTACCCGGCGCGCCTCGCGGATCTCCTCCATTTGCCTCGCCTTCATCATTTTTGACTCGATCTGGCCCTCCTTCTCGGCCTGGACCATGGCGAGGATGGTGTTCATGCTCTCCTGTTCAATTCAATCAGCGATCAGAAACATTATGCCAAAAAGTTGCAGCGCAAGTTGCAGCGCCATTTGAGACGTACCCTGTCGTCGACAAAGACCTTGCCCTTTTTCTTGCCCTTGGGCTTCTCCACGCCAACAGGCGTGATTTTGTTCAGCTTGGGGATGCCGAGCTCCTCTTCCGTGTAGACCTTCTTCTTGCGCTTCTTCAGCAGGGCCTCGAGGTTCGTCTTGCCCTTGGCCTTGAGGGGCTTGGTCCCCTTGGGCGTGTCTCTGGATTTCCTGACGATGCCATCGGGAACGGTCTTCCTGTCCACCGCCTTGCTGTTCTTGATGCCAGAGCCGTTGGCGGCGTGCTTGTTCTTGATCGTTCTCGTCTTGGAGGGCGCCATCGTGCAGTATCGTGACGAGTGTGTTTGCGAGAGGTGTGGCGGGTATGTGCAATTGGGCGTTTCGCGACTCGGCGGAGTTGGTGAAGGTCAAGGTGCGCTCTCTAGAATTTTTTCTATACGCTCGGGGGCGATAAGCTCACCAAAGCGGACGCGATAAGCTTGAGTGGGCCCGATCCCCGCCATTTGACCTCACTCCCCCTGCAGGGGGTCTGGATTCCGAGTCGAGACCCTTTCACCGTGTTGAGTTCCAACTGTCGACTAAGCCTCGAGTACATTTGAAAAGGTAACGTACCATGGAAATCATTTTTACAATATCGAGAGTTAGTCCAAACAAAGAAAAATTTGCGACTAAATATGTCCACTCTCTGCGTAAATAGTATATCACGTTAACTTCTGCGAGGCTTTGCAGTGTCAGAATGAGTTGCCAGGATCGGGACTCGTTGACTTGGCTCTTAATGCGCCTTTTGCAGACCAGAGCTTTGCCATCCCTGTCAAAAAATTGGTCGACTGCCGTTATCGCACCCCTCCGTCATCTAAGTCTCTCTCTCACCTCTGCTTCCCCAAGTGACTAACATTCTTTCACTAGAAACTCAAAAAAAAAAAATTCCAGCACAATAGCAAGCCGTACGTGAGCCATTGGCTCTCGAGCTTCCTCCCCCCTTCAGGTCCTTTCCACTCCATCGTTGGGCTGCCGTCAATTTGTCAGAATGGCGCAACCTGTTAAGAGGTTTCCCGCCCACCTGGCTCAGTTCGTGAGGTGCTACTCGGTCTCCGCCGAGAGCATTCCGGCCGCCAAGAAGAAGTACGTCCCGACGGAGGGCACCTATCCCAAGGGCTTCCAGGCTTCTGGCATTCTCGTCGGAGTGAAGCCGGGAAACAAGACGAAGCCCGATCTCGCCCTGCTCAGCTCAGACCGACCCTGCGCCGCCGCCGCCGTCTTCACCAAGAACAAGTTCCAGGCGGCGCCCGTCACCTTCAGCAGGGACTTGTTGAAGAAGAAGGCCAACCGTGGCATTCGCAGCGTGCTCATCAATTCGGGGTGCGCCAATGCCGTCACCGGAAAGGGGGGTCTCGAGGATGCTTCTCTTATGGCGAAAGCGGCCGACAAGGTCGTCGGAGGTGAGGGCGATGCGTCATCCACCATCGTGATGAGCACAGGAGTCATCGGACAGAGGCTGCCCATCGCAAAGATTGTCGATAATGTCCCGGCTGCTCAGGGGGCTCTGGGCTCCTCACACAAGCACTGGCTAAGCTTTGCCACCGCCATCTGCACGACCGATACGTTCCCGAAACTCATGTCCAAGACTTTCACGCTGCCCTCGTCGCCAGACATCGAATACCGCATCGCTGGCACCACCAAGGGTGCTGGTATGATCCACCCCAACATGGCCACTCTTCTTGGAGTTGTTGCCACAGACGCGCCCATCTCGCCTGCTGTGATGCCTTCAGTCCTCAAGCACGCCGTTGACCGATCGTTCAACAGCATCACCATTGACGGAGATACTTCGACCAACGACACCCTGGCTCTGCTCGCGAACGGTGCTGCCGGCGGCAAGGAGATTTCCTCAGAGGACTCACCCGACTACGCCGCCTTCCAGCAGGTCTTGACCGACTTCTCCAGTGACCTGGCCAAGCTGATTGTCCGCGACGGCGAGGGTGCCACCAAGTTCGTCACCATCCGTGTCGTCGAGTCTGCTAGCGAGGAGGCTGCAAGGAAGATTGCCAGCACTATTGCCAGGTCGCCTCTGGTCAAGACTGCGTTGTACGGACGCGATGCCAACTGGGGTCGCATCCTGTGTGCAACTGGCTACTCGCTCGTATCGGAGCCCGGCCAGGCCGTCAACGACGTCCCCGAAGTCACGCCCGAGAAGACCAACGTCTCGTTCATTCCTACCGATGGCACGCCTGAGCTGAAGCTCTTGATCAACGGCGAGCCGGAGATGGTCAACGAGGCCAGAGCATCGGAGATTTTGGAGCTGGAGGACTTGGAGATCCTCGTTAGGCTGGGAACTGGTGACAAGGAGGCAACGTACTGGACATGCGATTACAGCCACGAGTACATCACTATTAACGGTGACTACCGCACATAGAAGAGAGGTTCAAAAAAATCATGGGAGTGGAAAAGGAAGTCAGATTAGATGGCTTAAAGCATTGTCATATTAGAAGAGCGTCTATACCTGGCCATTGTTTGTCAGGATATAGACCCAGCCAGCCAATTGAAAAAGTATACCATTAGCAATTGTCCACCGCCGTTGGCATTAAAATGTCTTTGAACGCATGGGATTCGGAATTGCTTCCCCGAGAAAAAGTGAGCCAATGCACCGGAAGAGCATCCCGCCGGCCTGGACGCCGCACCGAGGCATCGGGGTTCGTTGCGGGCATTGCTATTGGAGGCCGGCCCAGCTGGTGCTCCCCCGCAACGGTGACACACCAAGGTGGCACCACTGCATTGTCTCGAGGTTACAAGGATTGATGAGCGCCGAGGAGCGTTCCAACCAGTGAGAGACATCATTGAAGACTTCTATGCCCCAGGGACTGGGCTCAGAGGCATATGTTAATGAGGCACTAACAGCCCGCGATCCGGGATAGTCCTAAGACAGGCAAGGGTACGGAATTTGCTACTATTGTCATGGGAATAAAGTCTGTTTTCAATCCAGCCCATGGGCACATTAGCAATTAGGGCAATTAGGCACCTAAGCAGTGCTTAAGAGAGCTGTACGTGTACGGTAGAAGCCCACTATGAAGTCTACACCACCTCCAAATCTGGGGCCATTCTCAGACGCGGAGGCGGAGGTCAAGACGGCTACCCCAGGATCCCCACCTTTGGGGTCCCTGTAGCTCCAGAATCAACCTCGGCTCCGGCTCGTCCCATTGCTCGTCTACCGTACGATGAGACCAAACACTCCTCACTCAAAAGGGAGTTGAGATCCATGCCCTTGAGGTCGTCCCCATTTCCTGCACTTCCGTATTTATCTGTATTCTAACCTCGCAATCACACTTCTAGACGTTCTGTATAGCCAATTCGTGTCGCCCTCAGATTCCAAGATGACGTCCCGAGTCCCAGCCATCGTAAGTAGCCAGCGCAGCAAGCTCTCTACTTTTGCTGCAATGCACAGCTGACTCAAGCCGTCACCAGGTCCTGGATCGCCTAAGCGATCGCGCCAAAGAGGCGCTCGATCTCGTAGCCAAGTTTGTCGAAGAAGAGTGCATCCCGTAAGCAACCCAGCTATGCCAGTACTTCTCAATCCTGGCCACAGCTGACAATCTACGTGCAGCGCAGACCCCGTCTTGGATGCTCAGATCGGCCAGGGCGACGCGAGATGGGACCACCACCCGGCCATCGTCGACGAACTGAAAATCAAGGCCAGGAAGCTGGGCCTGTGGAACATGTTCCTGCCCAAGGGCCACTACAAGGAATCACCGGGCTTCACGAATCTCGAGTACGGCCTCATGGCCGAGTGGCTCGGCAAGTCGCGGGTCGCCTCCGAGGCCGTCAACTGCGCGGCGCCCGACACCGGCAACATGGAGGTCCTGGCCAAGTACGGAAACGAGGAGCAGAAGCAAAAGTGGCTGAAACCCTTGATGGAGGGCCAGATCCGGTCTGCCTTTTTGATGACGGAGCCCGAGGTCGCCTCGTCGGATGCGACCAACATCCAGCTCAGCATGCGCAAGGAGGGCAATGAATACGTCCTCAACGGCTCGGTACGTGGTTGAAACCCCCCTTGAGCGCCCCACCAGTCTCTAGACGTGTTTGCTGACCAAAGAGTAGAAATGGTGGTCCAGCGGTGCCGGCGACCCTCGATGCTCGATTTACATCGTCATGGGTAAGAGCGACGCAAACAACAAGGACCCCTACAGGCAACAATCGGTCATCGTCGTCCCCGCGGAAACGAAGGGCATCACCATCCACCGCATGCTGCAGGTCTACGGCTACGATGACGCGCCCCACGGCCACGGCCACATCAGCTTCAAGGACGTCAGAGTCCCCGCCAGCAACTTGGTGCTCGGCGAAGGCCGCGGCTTTGAGATTATTCAGGGCAGACTGGGTCCTGGCCGCATTCACCACGCCATGCGAACCATTGGAGCAGTAAGGTCATCCACATCTTGTGTGACTGCTACAGTCTAACGTGTATGTCTCTTAGGCCGAGCGAGCTCTCGAGTGGATGCTGATGCGCATCAACGACCCGACCAAGACGCCGTTCGGCAAGCAGCTAAAGGAGCACGGCGTCATCATCGAGTGGGTAGCCAAGTCCCGCATCGAGATCGACGCCGCCCGCCTCGTCGTCCTGAACGCGGCCATCAAGATGGACGACCACGGCCCGAAGAAGGCCCTCAAGGAGATCGCCGAGGCCAAGGTGCTTGTCCCGCAGACGGCTTTGACCGTCATCGACCGTGCCATCCAGTCGTTTGGCGCGGCCGGCGTCTGCCAGGACACGCCGCTGGCGGGCATGTGGGCCAACATCCGAACGCTCCGGCTCGCCGACGGGCCCGACGAGGTGCACCTGCAGCAGCTGGGTAAGAACGAGAACAAGAGGGGCAAGGAAGTCACGGACAAGATCCAGTGGCAGAGGAAGAAGACTGAGCAGCTGCACGCGCAGTATAAGACCAAGACGTTCCAGCCGGGGGCCCAGATTAATAGGTCCAAGTTGTGAGGTCGCCTCGGCAGTTAGCTGTTCTGTATAGTTGATAAAAGTCTCGTGTACAATATCGCGAATATCAGGCCTTGGCCAGTCCTAGGCCAGTCCCCGGATGAAAATGACAGTTGGGATGAGATGCGATCTGCAACCCCGTTGGCCCGCCGCCTCTATGTTTTCTGAGTCACACTAAGTCCCATTGTCTGGCCATGTGTGGCGCAAGTCAGGCACATTCTAAGTGATCGGCCCAAGAGACCCTGCGGCATTAAGGTCCGGGAGGAGATGCTGCTAGTTACCTTGGAGATGGGCGCGTTCGAAAGCTCAGAACCGTTCATATCGGTAGCATTGACCACAGATGCAACCTCTTCCCCGGTGGAAGAGATGGAGGGTCAGGGCCACTCCACAGACCAAACTAGAGGCACAAGCATTCCCATAGCTCCCGACTGCTTTGCTGTACAGATGGATGGCAGAATGGATACACGGCAAGGAACCATAACTGGCGACATAAGGCCCGGGGTGCTGGGTTGCCCAGGAAGCCCGCTATTAATCTAGAAGGAGGAAAGAAGACCTGACAGCGCATCCATATCATCACTCTCATCACACGGGCGACGGCCGCAGCTTCTTCACCCGACTGACAAAGGCTCGGCTGGTGTTCTCCACCTGAGGTTAGTGCCGTCCCCTGGCAAGTCAGGGCTGGGACCCACATTCCCATCAACGCAACCTCCGTCCTCCCACCCCTGAACCCCTGTACCATCTGCAGTTTCCCAGCGAGCAGTCGCCGTTTCGATTAGGCCGTTGCCCCGTCAACATCCCAGAAAATTCGTTTACTTTTGACACCCAGCAACTGCTCCACCCACTTTACCACCCAGATACCAGACTGGGCCTACTCTACCTTACAGAGAGAGAGCGTGCATCCTTTTCACATCCATTCACGAACGTCATAAACACTCCACGGTAAATCCTGTGCACCAAAGAGAACCCACGTTGAGTACAAAGACCTTCTTCCTTCTCTGCTTTGGGCCCCCGAGTCGCAAACCAACCAAACCCACTACACATCCATCCTCCTTCACCATCCCACCACAGACCAGACCAAACATACACGTACACTTTGCGCCATCAGCTTCACGACTTTTCTATCACCTCTACACACATTGAGCAGTACAATCGCCTCTTCAACACCTACTACCGCTCAGCATTGCGCATTGCAGAAAACTGCAACCAAATCAGCACACCACTCAAATCCCAACCAAATATGTCTCCCAACGTTCTCGCCGACAAGGACGTCAACGCCGCCGTCGTGGCCAACGACCCGCAGGCCGCCAAGGACCTCAAGAGCATGGAGTACCACCGCCAGGTCCTGCAGAACAAGATGGCCCAAGAGAAGTACGACTGGCTGCAAACTCGTAACTGCAGCAAGAACAAAGCCCTAAACTCCACTGTCCTCGATAGGTCCAAGACGTACATCTCGCCATCTGACGACATTATGAGCCCTTGCACTGCCAAGCTCAGCGCCCTCCGCAACAAGCAGGTTGGCAAGTAAGTCACCCTCTCTTCTCCTCTACAATTTTGGCATTTCCCAAGATTGTCCACTCCTGTCCCGTAAGCAGATGCTAATCTCTCCATCCATCAGGGTCAAGCCCAAGTCCCTCTTCGCTCAGACTTCCGCCAAGAAGCTCAGAGGTGATGCCGCTCTCTTCGGCGACCAAGCAGGCACGCCCACCAAGGACAATGCCTTCTAGGCAGTGTCGTCGCATCTTCTTCTGAACAAAACAACAAAAAAGCTTCACTTCACTAATGGGATTGGCTCACGGGTTGTTTTACTAGTTTCATCTCTTCTTTTCCGGAAGAGACACTGAATTTGCGCCACTACTGGCTTTCCAGGCTGATTTGATGGTGGGATAGGGTTCATTGGCGTTATACGGGTAGACCGATGTCTGACTCCAGGATAAAAGGGGTTGGTTTGTACTACACCATGACATGACACGAAACGATATCAAGGGCTTTTTTGCTTCTCCAAGACTAGCTTTTTTTGCGGCTAGCATTCTAGAAGAACTGTATTCATCAGCCACCGCGTTATCGTCGGTCGGCCTGAGCAGCAAATACAATTCTTCATAACCTTTTTAACCACTCTTTTTTTATCTCATGAATTCGTTTCCTATGCCTTCCACGCGCTCACAACGCACACCACATCCTCGTCCGCCACCGCGTGTCCGAGTCCCACTCTCTGCGGAATATGCCTGGCGCTGGCGCCCCAGACAAGGGCGTACTTGAAGGTGTCTTTGAGCGTCCTGTGAATGCGGTCGCACACGTCCTCGATAGTGCTATTGCTCCGCACGATGAGCGCCTCGCTAAAGTCCGGGTCGGCGCCCTGGCGCTTGGTGTAGATGCGGATAAGTTTCAGCTCCTCCCAGCAGCGGTCGACGACGTCGCGGATGCCAAGGTCGAGCTCGCAGGACATGACGACGGTGTGGGGTTCGCGGGCGAGGGTGTCGAGGAAGTCGAGAGAGACGGAGTCGATCTTGTTGTACACGTAGAGGCACTTGATGTACTTGCGGTGGTCCTTCATAATGACGTCGATGAGGTCGTCCACGGTGGCGTACTCGTCGCGGACGAGGACCTCGCAGTTTAGAATCTTGTAGTCGCGGAGGATGTTGAAGACCATCTTTTCGTCCATGTTTTTGGGGGGACTCTGGAAGGTGATTTTCATGCCGCCTGCTTTCTTGGCCTTGAGGTAGATGTTTCTGCGAGCAGTTCCGTCAGACTGGCCAGTACCATATAGGGGGTCAAAAAGAAAAACATCGTCTTACGGTGGCTCTCTGTTGAGACGGATGCCGACGGCTTCCAGCTCGGCCTCCAGCAGCGCCCTCTGCTCTGCCTTCTTGGTCGCGTCCAGCACCATTAGGATCATGTCGCTCGTCTTGGCCGCCGAGATGACCTGTCTTCCTCTACCTTTGCCCTCGGCGGCACCCTCGATGATACCGGGCAAATCGAGCAGCTGGATCTCGGCGCCGCCGTATTCCAGGACGCCGGGGATGGCCGTGAGCGTCGTGAAGGCGTACGACGCCACCTCTGACTTTGTCCGCGTGACTTTGGAGAGGAACGTTGATTTACCCACCGAGGGGAAGCCGACGAGGGCTATTCTGGCGTCGCCGCTTTTGCTGACATCGAAGCCTGCGCCGCCACCGCCTCCTGCTCCTGGACCTGGCTCTAGGAGCTGTGCTCTCAGACGGGCGAGTTTACTTGGTGTTGTGAGCAAAGTACATTCCCAGTCATGACGGCGCAAGGAGAACTTACCCCTTTAGCAGACCCAGATGATATTCTTTGAGGGGTGTTTGTTAACATTGGTCGGTTGTTTGATCCGAATTATTTCATAAACATACCAGTTGCCTTGTTCTCTAGATTAAGTCAGCAAAAGTCCTAAACGCCAGTGGTCATCTTTCTCAAGTCATATCCTCGACCAACTAGTGAAAAGACCAATCTCGGTGTCCCTTTCATCCACATAGTCTCTCTAATTTGGCAAAAGACCAGATGAAATGACTTTTGAAAAATAACGAGAAGGCTTGTGGGGATACGTCTTACTCTGGGTCTTTCTCATCTCATCCTCAATCCTAGTGGCGCATCATCAGCCTCCCGCTTCGCTTTGATGGTGGTGCTGGGGTTCCGCACTCCTTGATCTTTTCCGTAATGTTCACCATCTTGGCGATTTATTATCCGAGTCTACAGACTCTGGTAATTCCTATAAATCAAAAAGATGGTGATGAACCACAAGACTTCTCTTTCTGGTCGACGAGGAGGGCTTCGCAAGATCATGGTGGGGCAGGTCGGCAACTCCCAAGGCGTGGGAAGACTGAACTGTGGCAGAATTTACCGCGGGGCTAGGCCGAGTAGCAGGGGTCTCCACTCACCGCCCTTAGCCACTAAGGTGTATGCCTGGGTTTGCGCCACAGCTTTATCGCGATAACAATTTTCAAGCCTCGCCGCGTGCGCCCAGTGTTGCCCCGTCGCCGACCTGCAGCCAGAAGGCACCTTCATTCATCTATCCATTCCGCAAGCCTTCAACCACGAAACCTACCAAATCGACGTCTTCCCCACGAGCGCAATCATGTCGGACGAAATCGAAACAGCTCGGCCCGAGGAGGTCGAAGGACGAGAGGCCGAGGACAACGCGCAGGAAACCGCGCTGGCGACAAACAACACCGAGGTCGCCGCGCCAACAGAGAGGAAAGTGAAAAAGATCATCAGGAAGAAGAAGAGGCCGGCGCGCCCGCAGGTGGATCCGTCCTTCATCACGTCCGAGCCGCCGCCGCAGACGGGCACAATCTTCAACATTTGGTACAACAAGTGGTCGGGCGGCGACCGCGAGGACAAGTACCTGTCCAAGACGCACGCAAAGGGCCGCTGCAACGTCGCAAAGGACAGCGGGTACACGAGGGCCGACAAGGTCACGGGCAGCTACTTTTGCCTCTTCTTCGCGCGGGGGATCTGCCCCAAGGGCCAGGACTGCGAGTACCTCCACCGCCTGCCGGGCATTCACGACATCTTCAACCCCAACGTCGACTGCTTTGGCCGGGACAAGCACTCCGATTACAGGGACGATATGGGTGGTGTCGGTAGTTTCATGAGGCAGAACCGCACAATCTACGTTGGAAGGATACACGTCACGGATGATATCGAGGAGATTGTGGCGCGTCACTTTGCGGAATGGGGGCAAGTTGAGCGAGGTGAGCTTCTGCATGGTTCTATGCTGCATGAGTGAACATGTGCTAAGTCTGTTTCTAGTTCGTGTGCTCAACACTCGTGGAGTCGCATTCATAACGTACTCCAACGAGGCGAACGCTCAGTTTGCCAAAGAGGCCATGGCGCATCAATCTCTAGATCACGAGGAGATCCTCAACGTGCGATGGGCGACTGCAGACCCGAACCCAATGGCACAGGCGCGCGAAGCGAGACGGATCGAAGAACAAGCCGCCGAGGCCGTCCGGCGCGCGCTCCCGGCGGAGTTTGTAGCCGAGATCGAGGGCAAGGACCCGGAGGCCAGGAAGAGGAGGAAGATTGAGAGCAGCTACGGGCTCGAGGGCTACGAGGCGCCGGACGAGGTCCACTTTGCGCGGGGCGCCAACGCCGTGAACCCGGTCGGTCGTGAGGGCCACGAGGTGGAGTACCAGGAACGGCCCATGATTGAGAACGGCGGCCAGCAGGAGCAGTACGAGGCGTTGCCGATGCTGCAGCAGCAGCCGTCGATTGTGTCTGGCGGTATCTTTTCGAGCAGTACTCTGGCAGCTCTCAACGCGTCCAACGTTGCTGTGGCGTCGAAACCAAAGGTTGCTGTGTCTTCGGGGCCGTTAGTCGCCTACGGCAGCGACGACGATTCCGACTAAGACCCAGTGCTAGTGGAATCTTTGTATGATAACTGGCAGGGCATGAGAGAGAGAGAGAGAAAAAGCGATCATGATACCCCATTTGAAAATGGAAACACATCAAAGGAAGAGAGATTGAGCAAAATATCAACTGTTGAATATTCGTGAATACAGAACTTCGTGTCTGCCTATCCATAAATCCATCACTGGCATGGTCTGCCCGGCCATCTCGACGGGCGTGTTCCACTCCCGCTCGATGGCAGCAGCGATGAGCTGCTGGACGCTGGTGCTCGCGAGCACCTTTTGCGCCTGGTACGGCCCGAACATGCTGGCCCGCACGGCGGCCGAGATGAGGGCCTTGACGTGACCCATCATGAAGATGTAGGCCGTCTGCTGTAGGGTGAGACCTACGAGGTTGCAGATTGCGCCGAAGAGGGGGGCCAGGTGGGCAAAGACGAGCGGTGGCTCGGCCTGGTCATCTGCGCTGGAAGACGATGACCGCGACGAGGTGGCCGTCTTGAGCAGCGCCACGTAGGGCTGGAGGGTCGCGAAGATGGGGCTTGGGAGGGAGGAGGCGAAGGAGCGTTCCCAGATGGAGAGGAGGGCGCGGCCTTGGGCTGTGGAGGCGCGGCGGCCGACGGTGCAGATGATGGCGGCGTCGAGGTTGTCGTCTAGTTCTGCGACGTCGTCGGGGGAGCGGTGCGCTGCCAGCACGAAGGGAAGTGTCGTCGAGGCATAGGCCGAGATGGATTCCGGGAGGAATATGTTGAAGGATGAGTGACCGCGGGTGTGGGCTAGATAGGACTCGAGGCCGCTGCTGAAGGCGAATGAGCCTAGGGGTAGGGCTGAGTCTGAGAGGAGGAGAAGATAGTGGTTTGTGGGTGAGGGTGATGGTGGTACTAGATCGTGTTAGTTGAGAGAGTATGTGAATGTTTTAAGACATTTCATCATGAAGAAGATACTCAGTTGGGGTCATCAACTCACATGAGGGTTTTGATGAAAGACTTCGAGACGGTAGAGATTCGACGGGTTCTTTTATCTGTCCGTTGAGGCCCTTCAACTTTCCCCTGGCAGCTTTGAGGCGCGCCTCCAGTTCCAAAATCTCCTTCTCAGCATCGTCAACGGACTCGTCCCGAGCACCTGAATCCATTGAGAAGCCGTAGGTATGAAGGATAGGTAAGACTTGGTGTTGCAGTTGATAAGCGTCCGATAGCGGGAAGGGGTCCCTGCAGGATCGGGGGAGTTTGTCGGGGTCGTTCAGCGGCTGCATCGAGCCTAGGCGACATCCTCCACTGGAAAGAACGGCGCTGGGGATTCAGCAGGGATATTGTTCGGCGTCTGCTCTCGTCCCACCCGCCCGTACCAACTTGCTCACCTCGGCGATTGATGGAGTAAAAAAAGGCTTCACCTTTCGCCTTACAAGGAGCTACTGGAAGCGCCCGGTGAAATCGTACGATTTCACCAATCATAAGTCTAGGGACTTTCATTCCTAGACATCCTCAATTATATTTTCATATTGTCCCTGTCTCATCCCCATACGCTGCTTCTTAAAGTTGTCGGACGAACCGCACACTCGACGTCATCAACTCTCAAAGCGACCGGGCCCCGGTCGACAATGCCAGCAGGATGGCATCGCACGACAAGATGAAAAGCGCCGAGGCCGACGATGCCGCGTGGGAAGCCACCCGAGGTGCCTTCGTCGGCGCCGCGAGATGGGGTGCCGGCGCCGCCGTCCTGGGCGCCTTTGCGTACAAGTTCTCGCCTCTTTACAAGGGCCTCACAATTCAGTTCAAGATGTAATACGTCACCTCACGCGACACAACCCAAATCCCCCTCTCCCACCCCCCTTTTACCCCTTCCTCACTCACTCCCTCGCTCATTCACTTTATTATACTCTTGCACGAAATGCGGCTGACACGATCACGGCAGCTATATGCAAATGTCGGCCATGGTGTTGGGTAGCATGCTGGAGGCGGACAATAGGTTACGAGAGTATGAGGCCCGAGTCAGGTTGCAGAAGCGCATTCTTAGGGACAGGGCCAAATGGGAGAGGTTCGAGCAAGAGTTTCTCGAGAATCCGAATGAAAAGAAATGAGCGGTCACCATCACCGGTGAATAAACCGAAATTGCAAACCCTGAAAGAAAGAAAACAGGGTGATCTAAACCTGTATTTCATAGTATTGTATAAAATCGGACATTCAAATCTTTGGCTTTTGTTTTTTGAGCTACCTACACAGACAAGGTACCGCAGACCTGTTTTAACCCCCAACGCCGGATCATGCAAGTCATTATGTCCCGCTAGCAGCGAGATTTCTATCGGCGGGCATCTCATTTTGAGGGAGCCTCGAATTTCTTCGGGTCCATGTTGATCTTGCAGAGCCTCGCGACACAGCCGCTCAGCTGTAGTAGCGTTTGTACGCCCTCCAAGATTTTCATGTGCGTGAAGCCAATCTCCTTGATGAACTCGAGCTTGGAGTGCTCGCTCAGCGTCGGGATGGTCTTGGTGACCTTGAACATGGTGCTGATGATGTCGTGGCTCGAGTATCCCAAATCCCAGAGTTCGCGCAGGCTGTCGAGCGCCGAGTCGACGTTTCCCTCATAGCACGCCTTGAGCATTGCCTGGACCTTGATGGGGTGTGGCGAGTCCACCACCTTGAAAACGTTGTCGCCCGACACGAAGCCGAAACCGGCAAATGTTGACTGCAGGTTGTTGATCGCCTGCCGCATGTCGCCCTCTGCGCTGAAGACGAGCGCTGCGAGGCCGTCGTCACTGTATTCCACCTTTTCGGCCTCAATAATTTGAAGGAGACGTTTAACGACCTGCTCATCAGTGAGTCGGGCGTAGCGTAGGATGGCGCATCGCGACTGCAGCGGCTCGATGATCTTGTTGGACTGGTTGCAGGCGAAGGCGAAGCGCGTCGTGTTGGAGTAGATTTCCATCGTCCGGCGGAGGGCCTGCTGGGCGCCTGATGTCATGCTGTCGGCCTCGTCGAGGATGACGAGCTTGTGGCGGCCCTGGGGCAGGGTGACCTTCTTCTGGGCGAAGCCCTTGATGCGATTGCGAACGACGTCGATTCCTGTGCTCAGGTGTTAGCGCTGGGCGTGCCAAATAGACGACATGGTCGCTCTCATACCTCTCTCGTCACTGGCATTGAGCTCTAATACAGCCTCCTTGTATGTATCTCCGAGCAGTTGTCTCGCCAGGCAAAGCACACTGGTGGTCTTTCCGATACCAGGCATACCTGAGATGATCACGTGCGGCATGTTTCCTTCCTTTGCAATGATCTTTAGGCGATCAATCGTCTCGGTATTTCCGACTACATCGTCGAGGAAAACAGGCCGATACTTCTCGACCCTAAGGCGCGCGCATTAGCAGTCCACTTGAAAGTTCGAGGAAGCCAGAATGACGGACCAGGGAAGCTCATAATTAGGCACACCGTTTGACGCAGCAGTCAGCGCCTTCTTAGCCGCGGACGTCGAGGATTCGCCAGCCTCCTCTGGCTTCGTGATCTGCTTCTGAGCGGGCATGGCGGCTTTTCGCTGGGGTACTGGGAGTTGCAGATAGCAAGTCGTCAAGCTGCCAGAGTTCGGTGCGGGTAGTGGGCGGAAGCACTTTACGCGATGCTTGTCGAAAAGACGCGTCGGGTACAGAACGCGCTAAGCTTCTTTAGGACCCACCTGTGTCCGGGTGCCCCAGTATCTAGGTAGGTCCCTACTTACAGGCTACCTATTTTCCAGCGTTCAACCTCACCAACTCATCTTACTCCCACTCCTACGATGCTTCTTTTTGTGTACTTTAACATGTCAAAAACATGTCAAAACAATTGTCATGATTTCGAGGTCATTGTTTGTTTCATCAGAAACACATTTTGTGGCGACTCATCCCCCCTACGAGGGTGTTTATAACCTCAAGGCATTCAACTTTTTTTTCATTGCATTTTGTTCATCCAAGGTATCTAGTCGTCATCCTCATCGGCCTTCTTCTTACCCTTTCTGGTCTTCGCACCTCCTTTGAAATGCTTCTTTCCTGACGACAGCTTTACGTCTTTGGGATCAACGCCACTCTCCAGAGCAATCATTGCCCGTGCCTTTCTCCCACTCAAGTGCTTCTGGCCCTGCTCCGTGTACTTGTGGCTGAATGGCATCTTGGTGTGACCGCCGCTGTTGGTGGGACCAAAGAAACCCTTGTCAATCTGCTTGGACTTAGGGCCGGCCGGAAGGGCTGCCAAGTCCGAGGGCGCTATCGAAATATCGTCGCCAACAATGGACATGGTATCCAGAGACGCGTTAAGAGCTTGACGCCGCTTCTCGGGGAGATGAGTCTCGTCATAGAGCTCTGCGTTGAACTCCGGCCCGTCGACTGTTCCTGGTGGTGGCTCACAGTACAGCAACTTTCCGGCGACGTAGTCCTTGAGAATGTAGCGAGAAGCTCTCGACTCGTCAGGCTGACCCAATCCCTGGGTTTGGAAGCCTCTGGCCCTGGCGTATGCGCGGAGCAACTCCGGAGCGGTGGGAATACCAGTACCTCCCTCTTCGATAGCGCGGGTCTTGATCTTGATTCCGTAGACGGCCTCCAAGAAGGACTTCGGTATCCTCCTGGTGACCAGCCCAGCCGGTCCCTGGAACTCTCGCAGTTGATCAATGGGCAACACACCGTTGCAGACCAAGTCGGCTTTGGTGTTTGCAAAGTTGGGATAGACCAGACCAGGGCAATCGCACAAGACAACGTTGTCGCTGAGGTGGATTGTCTGGAAGTGTTTTGTCTTTCCTGGCGTTGACGAAACTGAAACCTTCTTGGCACCAATCAAGGCGTTAATAGTGGAAGACTTTCCCACGTTGGGGTATCCAACTAGACCAATCTGCAGCTTGTGGCTAGGCTCTGATAATGTAGCGTCAGTTTCCAGTCATCTTTCACGTTGTTTGGGTACCCGCCATACCTGCGTTCTCAGGAGCGTGGCTGAGAAAGATGTCCTCCAGCTCCTCGACTGTAAGGATTCTCGTATCCTCATCATCAACGTCGACTTCAGGCTCCGGCTGAGATATTTCCGCGCCGCCCTCTTCGTGGTCATCCTTCTCTTCCTCTTCCTCCTCCGAGCTCTCCTCCTCGGCGGATGCGACATCCTTCGGGGTAGTCTTAGAGCTGCCGCCAGCCGGCTGTTCTTCTGACTCTGATTCTGACTCTGACTCTTCGCTTTCCATGGCCTCGAGTAGCTCTTTCGCAAGATGCGCAGAGAAGAATCTGTACGCAATACCGTTCTCCTTTAGGTACTTGGCCCACATCTTCCGCTGCGTCAGCGTGAGCATGTCTGCCTTGTTGATAAGCAGCAGATTCTCCTTCTCCGAGTCGATGTCTTTGACGTAGTGCTCCAAATCCTCAGATCTGAAAAGCAACGGATTCCTGGCATCGACAATCTGAACGATCAAGTCTGATCTTTCGATTACACGCCAAAGTTGCCTCCACACTTCGAGGTTACGCTCGAATGGCGTCATCAAAAGATCGTTGTTCTCCTGAAGTTCGGCAAGACCTCGGCGCCAGTCCAGAAAGCTCTCTCTCTCTCGTCTGTCCAGCTCCTCCGGTGTGGTGGAAGCATCCCACTTTGGTCTTCTCGGGACTGTCAAGCGTCCCCTGTGAGCCTTCTGCTTGCCAATGATAGCTCTTTCCTCTGCTCCAGAAAGCAAGTACGGGTTCTTCTGGTCGGTGTGGATGATCTTGACGTTGTTCATTTTCTCCGCCGTGAAGTCCGTGCCCGCCAACTCTGCGGTCGCAAGAAACTCGTCGAGAGCGCCTTGCTCCGTGACTGATCGCATTTTGACCCATGATGCTTCTGGTCGCTCGTTCGTGAGGTACTGTAGGGTGTAAGTGCATGTCTTGCAAACAAAAGGGAAAAGAAATGCGGCATTGCCTCGTTACCTCCTCTCCTGTAGCATGGTTCACTCTCGTGATGGTACTCTTCTTCCTATCCGCGCCGCGACCCTTGCCAAAGCGATCGTTCATCAGGGCGTTGCCCAGCCCGGCGGTTTTCTTGGATTTGGCGTGCACCATTTTTGCGGTGATATCTCGTCTCGTGCCGCTTTGAAAAGTAGGAAAAATGCGCAGTGGAAAGAATGCCCTCCAAAGCTGCTTTGTGAATGAGTAATAGTGGGAGCCGTCGCAAGTGCCCGCCTTGAAGAGAATAGCAGTGCCCCGCGACGATTAATCAGCGGGGCAAAAAAGTGATTTTGGGCGTTTATCGATAAGAGATTTTTTTCGCGACCGCGGGGCTCTCACCTGTGTGTCCCACCGATTCTCCATCCGGCGCACTCACCAGACATTTCACAGACCGTTGCGACTTACCCCGGAACACCCTATATCAGACAAGATGGCGAAGGGAAAGAAATTGTAGGTTGCCTTCTGTTGAGGTTTGTGGGGTGAACCCTGACATAAATTGCAGCGACAAGAAGAGTGCGCAGCACTTCACCCTCGTCCATCGACCGCAAAATGACCCCCTCATCCATGACGAGAATGCGCCTTCGATGGTGCTCAACCCGGTGCCTCAGAAGGGAGGACCGTCGAAGAGCAGGCACCTGAGCGACCTTGCATCTGAATTCGGATCAGAGGCTGGCAGCATACGAGCAAACGAAGGAGAGGCGGCAGAATACGGCGTTTACTACGACGACACCGAATATGACTACATGCAGCATCTGCGCGGCTTGAACTCTGGAGGTGGTGAGGCTGTCTGGGTTGAGGCTTCGACAACGGCAAACAACGACAGGAAGGGAAAACAGACGCAATCACTCGAGGATGCATTGCGCCAGATGGACCTGGAGCACAAGAGTGAGGCTTTGCTGGATTCGTCGGTCCTCCCCAACAAAAACTTGCCGCGGACAAACTACGAGACTCAGGTGGATGTCCCCGATGCCATCGCTGGATTTCAGCCCGACATGGACCCCCGGTTGAGGGAGGTGTTGGAAGCATTGGAAGACGACGCTTACGTGGATGATGATGACGACGACATTTTCAAAGAGCTTTCCAAGGACTCGCGCGAAGTCGATCAGTACGAATTTGAGGATCAATACGAATACGTCTACGATGACGAGGATGAGGGCTGGGAATCGGACGACACCGCGAAGCCGAACAAGGAGTACAAGGGTGAAGCGGTGCCTCAGCTGGTCCCTGTTGAAGGGGAGGCGTTACCAGAACACCAGAACGAAGACTGGATGGAGGACTTCAAGAAGTTCAAGAAAGACCAAAAGGGTGGGAAGGTCCAGGCAGCCAAGGACACTCCGTCCGAGCTTCAGTCATCTATTTGGACCACGACAACCATGGGTGGCCGGAAGAAGAAGAGAAAGGGAGCGTTGACCAACCCTTCTGCCTTTTCCATGACCTCGTCTGCCATGGTCAGGACTGAACAACTCACTCTTCTGGATGCCAGGTTCGACAAGATCGAGGAGGAGTACACAAATGAGATGGGCGACGACATGGCCTCTGTCTCTGAAGTATCAACAGCGACCAGTGTGACCGGACCCACCAGAGGCGACTTTGATAGTATCATGGATGACTTCCTGGGCAGCTACACCAAGCCTGGAAAACGTACAAGTAAGAAGAGCAGGCCGCAGACTGGTCTTGAGCAACTGGATGAGATCAGGCAGGGTCTTGGCCCAGCTCGGTTCCGTTCACTCGGGACAAAGAGGGTTTAGGTCTTCTTGCGCCTGGATACTGAAGCATTTGGCGCAACCTAGATTCCGGTCATTGAGATACCCTCACTAAGCGCCAGACGCTCCAAGAGATATGCGCCCCATAGTGTTATGATAAACAAAATTGACGTTTCATGAACCCTCGTTTCTTCCAACTTGACCTGGCGACTTCCACACAGCCGAATTTCCGTAGTCCCAAGGTTCATAAAATTGCTGCGACAATCCCCTTAGTATAGCAAGTATAATGCCTCTCGGTCACAAACTAGACGCGACCTTTACGTATTTAGCTGGTGCGACCAAGATCCTTGAAAAGGAAGGTTGACCATCAAGGTACACACTACTTGCTACCTACCTGTCAGTTATTTTGCTCCCGTTTTCGCACTTTCGTTCGCTTCACTCACTTTAGCCCTCAACGCCCTACTTGTAGATTTCCACAGCTGGGCCACACTCTTACCCCTCCTGTCAGCATCAAGGATCTGCCATGGAGACTGTGTCAATTGCGAAGATAAAAAAACCCTAGTCACTGACATAAACTGTCACTTTCTACCAGAAACATTGGTCAAGACCTCCTTTCAACTGGAGGCAATACCCGACAAGACCTATGAATAGTGTTTCCGATCTCAAAGAGATAGAGGATGTCAAGTGGAAGTTACAAACTTGAGGGTGTGGCTTTATCCCACGCCGGAACGCAATTGTGGGTCTTTGTCTCGCTTAGTTAAACGCCGTTAAACGCTACACGCGCAAAAACACGCGGCAAACGCAGACCAGCTCCATCCCAGTTCTCCACTTGAATCTCGCCTGCCTCGTGGTTTACATTTTGGAGTTTCCTCTCGCGAACCCGACATGACGTCGGTCTCTCTTCCTCCAAGCAGACCTGACAGGAAGCTATCGCCATTCGGAGGCACATCAAACGGTGGCTTTGGAGGTCGTTCTGACGCGAACAAGAACGTTTTCGGTCTCAATGGAGCTGGCGCCGGCGGTGGGCAGCGGTCGACACGCAACTTGAAGAACCAACCTCTCGATATGACTACCCCTACGACAAAGCGCAAGGGCGTCAACCCGTTCGATGGCGCGAGCTCAGACGATAACCGACGAAGGAAAAATACAAAGGGAGATTCACAAGGCGACTGGAAGAAGAAGGGACCCAAGGCGCAAGGTACGAAGCCAAATGGCGCGAAGGCGCCGAAAGGGTTCGGAACCACGCAATCGCGCGGTGGTTTCGGCACCCAAAACAACAATAACCACAGCGCGGGCTCTACCGACTACGAAACGGACGATGCGAACGGCGAATTGAACGGCGACGGCACGCCATACTCCGAGAAAATCTTCTCGCAACTACGACAGGATGGAATCGCGCCGCCGAAATGGCCGTCCGATCCAGGAAACACGACATCAAAGGTCGCGATGGCGAAGTTCAGGGAGGAGTTCAAAACGTATCGCGATCGGGCTAGAATGTCATTGATGCGCGCCGGCTTGATTGACGACCCCGATAAGCCTAAACGACTGGAAGACGCGATTGACTTCAAAGGCATCTGCGACGCGATGTGTCCCGACTTTGAAAAGATTACTCGCATCACCGAATTTGATGTTCAGTCCGCCGAAAAAGATCCTCGAACCACTTTCGCCAACACGTCAAAGATGGTCAAGAAGCTCGCACGTTCCGCAGCTGGCCAAGAGGCTCCGTTACCCATGGATGTCAGGTCTACCGCAGCACTCAGAAGGACACTCGACTACCTGATCGACGATCTTCTCCGGACCGATGACAAGCTGCCCACTTCTCATGGTTTTCTATGGGACAGAACACGCGCGATTCGCAGAGACTTCATCTTCCATTCGACAATGTCTCCTCAGGAGATGCAGGACCAGGTTTACTGTCTCGAGACGATTGCGAGGTTTCACGTTACGGCTTTACATTTGCTCTCCCAGGAGGGTTTTGCGCCGGAAGATTTCTCAGAACAACAGGAAATCGAGCAGCTGGGAAAGGCGTTGCTTTCGCTCATGTTTGCGTACGACGACTGCAAGCCCCAAGGCGTTGTTTGCGAAAACGAGGCCGAGTTCAGGGCGTACCACTTACTTTTCAGTGCTAACACCCCAAATATCCTCGATAATGTGCAAAAGGAATGGGGAGACTCTCGGTTCTGGACCGAATCCGATACTATCAGAACAGCCGTCTCACTCGTCGAAAGCCTGCAGAGTGCGGAGGACTTTCACGGCCCGCTGGGCTCGGGTCCGTCTATGGCCACATCGGGTGCACACCTCACTTACTTCAGAATTCTCGAAAGCCGGGAAGTATCTTACACAATGGCTTGTTTTGCAGAGATTCACTTGGGACAATTGCGTCGCTCAGTTCTTCGCTCTTTGAAAAAGGCGTATACCAGACCCCGACACGGGGCAAAAGACATCACGCCCTCTACACTAAGTCGATTTCTTCACTTTGACACAGAAAATCAGGCGATTGAGTTCGTTGAGCAGCACGGCCTAAGCTTCTCCAACGGAGAGGGACCAGCGGGCGAACCCGTACGATATCTCGACACATCGCAACGCCTGACATGGCCGAGAATTCATCACAGCTTCTCTCAGAGATTGGTTGAAAGGAAACGAGGTTCTCGCAGCCTTCCTGAGATCATCCACCGTACAATAGCCGATGAATCTACGGGTACCATCCCACAGGCCTCCAGAGGGTTTACGACAGGAGCCGCTTCGTTCAAGCCGCCTTCACAGCAGGGCCACTTTGGAAACAACTCAACAACAAACGCAGACTCGCCTTTTTTTAAGTCTTCCTTTTCAGCTCCCCAAGGAGGCACCTCGACGGGGCTCACAGGGACGCCGTCTTTCGACAAAGGTAAAGAATCTTCCATACGCTACCCATATCGATGTTGCCTCGTCTCTGCCAAGGCCGATGGCGACTTGAAAATCATGGCGGCTCCCCGCCAGACCATTTCTCTTCAATGCAGATCGAACGTTGCAGTGTCGTGGTTCAGTCAACACGACTTCTGGTACGATATATCGACTGGTGGTTGTTCCAGGGGTTGAGGAGCGCTCAGAGCGCGTTCACAACCAGGACGAGATGGCTAGCACCGCAGTGCCACTGGCAGAAGACGAGGAGGGCAGGCATAGCCAAAGCGAAACTCTGCTAACATTGTGTCCCACAGCAACCGAGGGCCCAAAGCCCAGCATAGCGAATTCTAATCCGTTTGGAAACCCCTTCTCAACGGCTCAGTCAACGTTTACTGGTGCGACACCTATTCAACAAAGCGGCCAAGCCTCGTCGTCGACAGCAGCGCCAGCTCTTAATCCATTTGCAGCCCAGACAAGCCCATTTGGCAAGTCAGACGGTGCAGTAGAGAGTGCGACGCCCAGCAGCAACCCATTCGGGTCATTAAACCAGCCAAATGGCATTTTGCAACCCAAAGCCCCGACTATGCCGGCGTTCCCTTCTCCGGCGTTCGGGACCAGCGCGCAACAAAAAGCGCCGGAGCAAGCGAAGCCAACAGCCTCCGTGGGGGCCTCCGCGGCCATCACTGTCACCCCACCGACACCAACATTCCCCTTATCAACCTCAAGTACTGCAGAGTCATCAACGCCTTTCAAATCCCCATCAAGCTCAGGCGTACCGTCTGCGGCTCCGAATGCTGCCAATAGTCCCTTCCAGTCAATTTCCAAGTCATCGGATACACCACAGTTACCGTCCTTGTCAGTAGGCGCACCGGCTCCTGCCCAGTCAGCGAAGCCTTTTGCAACATTTCAACCCCCATCGACTCAATCACCAAGTCCACTTCCCAGCAAGACGACTGCGTCCGATCTCTTCCAGAAACCCACACCCACGAGCTCTGAAGCCGGGCCCGCACAGTCTCCATTACCTTCCTTCACATTCCAAGGAGGCAATGCGTTGGGAGCCGCGAAGCCAGCGCCCACAGCTCAACAGAGCTTCCCTCCGGCTGCCACCTTACCCGGGCCATCTACAGCTTCGCCGCTCGCCCAGGCCGCAACTGCTAAAGCTCCAGCGGTGGAACTACGGTCAAAGCAGGATGACATGGCCGACTTTGCGAAATGGTTCGTTACAGGTGACAACGGGCTAATGCAAGAGTTTGAGAAATTTGTCATTGAGCAGCTTGTCACGGCTGCCTTTGAACAGTATCAAAGGGAGGAAGAAGATCGGAAACGAAGGGAAGAGGAAGAGAGAGATCTGGCAGAAGCACGGAATTTCCAGATTTACAACCTATCCGTCAAGTATTTCTATCGCTGGAAAAAAATCGCGAGAAACCTTCGCCTCACCAAACTTCGCAGACAGGAGAGGGAGGAGTACCGAAGGGTTCAACGGGAACAACGAGAGGAGGGGGCTAGGAAGAGAAAGCAGGCGACCAAGGCTGCCGAAGCAAGAAAAAGGGCCTTGGAGAGGAATGGTTTCGATCCCGTGGAAGAATTCAGAGAGCTTCTTCAGCTCAGAAAGGATGGCTCGCATGCCGACCTCCAAGCAGAGGCAGAGGCAGAGGCAGAGGCTTTGCTAGCGACCGGCATCCTGTCAGGCGTCTCGGACGAACGAGCCGCAGTCGCCAATGTCATCCGGACACCAGCAACGATGGAGACTCTTGCAACGAACACGCCACTTCCCCGATCCCGCTCGTCGACAGCCCTATCGCAGTCAACGTCGGGCACCAAGCCCTGCGGCGCGAAAACACGGGCCATTCGGGAAGAGTTTGGAAAGAGCCGCACCAACTTTCGACGTTCGCTGCCTCCCATGTCAGCTCACTCCTCGTCGTCACGCCTGTCATCAGAGCCGCAGAAGCGCGTTAGCAAGGTGTCTGATCGCTGGCGTCTGAAGGCGATGGGGCTCGTGACGATGCCCGACGGATCGGCGTTGCCCGAGTCCATTGCCAATGAAATGCGGTACAACGGGAAACGATATGCAGGGCTCGGCTCGTTCGGCTTGGACGGCACCGAGCGACGCCGGAGCGTGTCAGCCGACCTCAACCATGCTGCCGAGGCCCGACTGCGCTTTTCGCAGTCGCTGAACGGCGGCAGCAGCGGCAGCAGCGCCGCCGTGCCGCAAGTCAACGGGACCTCACCGCTTAGTAAGAGGAAACGGGCTCTTGACGACGACAACGACGATAACGGGGTCGGGGCTGCGGACGAAGCCGCGCGTGTCAAGAAGCGGCCGTCGAGCAATGCGGACATTGACAGGATACTCCGGGAGGCGAGGGAGAATCTGGAGTCATTGCGGAGTTCGCGGATCGAGCTTGATGAAGGGGCGGATTGGTTCAGGGAACAGAACGAGATGATGCACGCGGAGGAGGCGAGCAGGGCTAGCTCGCCATGGAGCAAAGGCGGTTATCGGTGAAGGGGGGAAGTGAGAGGGGTACGATATGCATAAGCACAGGCGTTTCACGGATCCTATCTGGCGAGGAGTATGAATGAGGGCCTGTTTTTTTTTTCCTATACCTATGCTCTCTCGTCTTTTTTTTCCTCAGGTACAAAAACAACGCGGGCTACTAATACCCAAAGAGAAGACTGGTTTGGATTATCACCTTTCGCGTACGAGGAGCAGTGCATGTATGGGCCTTGGAGTGACATGATGAACTGAAGTGAGAAATGTGATGTAGGATTGGTATTATTGTCTGGTATCGGTTGTGATAAACTTCGTGTCCTAGTGTCCGCTGACTCTGTCCTCGTGTAGATTACTCCAAAACGCCACTCGCTGTCGCTATCCCGTGACATTGACATTCCACAAAAGAAAGCAAAACGCCCGTTAGACAAGATTGAAACGAAACAGCTACCTCTTCTTGGGTGGCGGCGGCGGCGGGAACGCGACCTGGATCTTGTAGCTCTCTACCGGGCTGCCTCCCAACGAGGTGATCCTCTTGGGCAACGGCCGCGCCAGGTCCCGGACGATACCCGGGATGGTCTTGGACGCCTCCGATACCACCGGCGACGACTCCGTGTGGATGTGCCGATTATGCGCAGGCGCGGGCCAGCCGGCCTGGCTAAGCAAGGGGCTCGCCGTCGTGCCCGAGGTCGGGGAGGCGTATGTGGTGGACGGGCTGAAAGTCGCCGCGTGGCCCATTGACGGGGTCGAGAAGCCGTGCTCTGAGGGGACGTAGGACCTGAAGGAGAGCAGCGGGACGGCGGAGGTCGTGGATGTGGGTGTGGCGTACTCGTCTTGGGGGGATGCCATGTTGTATTTTGGCGAGTGTGCCTTAACGGGGATGATGGGGAGGCTCGTGGTGATGTTGGCCAGGGCCAGGGGCTCCTTTTGCGTGGGCTTCTTGTCGGTGTAGGGGATTTGGTCTGCGGCGCTGAAGGAGGTGATGGAGTTGTGCGGCATCCAGAGGTTGGGCTTCGTCGTCACGGGACTTGGGGTCATATCTTGCTCCTGCTGCTGTTGATGTTGCTGCTGCATGGATTCGTAGTGATGCTTTTCATTTTGCGCCTCTTCTTCTTCGATGGGGAAGAAGTGCGGTTCCTTGGGTGTCAGGTGCGTCTGGCAGCGAAAAGAGAGGGATGATGCCGGACGGTGGCCCTTGGCGCGGCGAGAGAGCTCGGGATTGATGCCGCGGCCTTCCCTCCGCGCCTTGCGTTTGCGGCAATGGATAAAGGTGCAGCCAGCAACCAGGAGGAGTGCCACGATAGCTCCGATGACGATGCCCACGATGGCTGTCATGGGGAGAGTGTGAGTCTTATCTTTATCAGCATCTGCTGCATCCTTTGGGTCAACGATTGTGATGATGCCATTTGTGAAGACGGTGTCGTTGAGGCCGACCAGCGTGCCTGGGGCTGGTCTCTGCCGGCAACCAGCTTCAAGGGCAACAAGGTCTATGGAGTACGTTAGAGGCATGCTCAAGAAAGATTATCGACAAAGATGTACATACAATTTGACAGATAATAATGGTCACCACCTGCCCTTACGCAAGACAGGCACTTGTCGTAGGCCGAGCCAAGCATAGCACCGCCGTCCGCATCGCAGTACGAGTACTGTGATGATTTTGTCGGATCCAATACCCCGTCTATGAGAGCAGTCTCCAACACGCCGCATGCCGTAGATGTCATGCACGGGTTGGAGCCTACGCCGGTGGCATTGGGGTACCCAAAGATGCAGTAGTCGAAGGAGTACCTCAAGTTGTCTAGTTTGCTTGGTTAGTCCCCTCATCTTCAACTGTGATTGGGCTGCCGACTTACACAGAAACCAGTCTTGGTCGTTCTCATTGCCCTGAACAAAGGTGCTGTCCTGGAGACAACCCAAACACTGCTGGTACTTTTGTCCAGCGGCCTCCGTCTGATAATCGTCGTCCACACAAGTTATGTCCTTGCCCTTGGTGTTGGATGAATTGGGGTCCGAGGCATCGAGACCGTTGGAGTCCAGACAGAAGGACGCACATGGCGAATTAGGTGTGACTTGCAATGCTGATACGCAGGCCGGTACGATTATGGCGAGGAGAAGGAGGGCGGATCGAGCGGCCATTGTGGGTTGCGGCCGGATTGGCGGGGGGATCAGTGAGTGTAGTCGAAGTGAAGCAGAGCAAGACTCCAGAGTCTTGCGAACTGTAATTAAGTAATGGATAGTAAATGAGACAGTTGATATGTCAGGAAATGGTATTAGATATCGCCCAGTGCAAGCCAAGAACACAAACGAAACAATCTCACACAACCAGTCAGAGTAAGCTCAACAGGAAGTAACTGCTTCTCAAGTTGAGGAGGGAGCAAGGTGATATATCTCACAGAAAAAGCAGATCACATCTCCATCATTCACTCGAGCAGGGGGGAGGACCATATGCAGATGCAGGAGCAGATGGTCTGGAATGGTAAGGTGATGGCTTGGAGTCGCCTGCAGCTCGCAGGGCCCATGGACAGGATTCCGAATGTATGGGGAAGAGAGGCAGGCATTGGCAAACGCAGCCAGATAGAGTAGAGAGCGACGTCCCAAAACGAAGACGGGCCCGTCGCCCTGCCGCCCACCTACTCGACCACGGTTCGAGATGGGTGTTGGCGTCGACAGAGGGTGTGATGATGTCGGGTCGAGGCGGCCAATGATGAACCAGCCCAGGTTCCCGACATTCACGGTTATGGAGTGGTGGATAGGGTGGCGGGGGACTCTGGACTCAAGCAATCGCGCAGACCGTAGACGCCGTTTGCCGACAAGGTGAATGTCTTCTGTTGGAACCTCGTCAGGTGAACAGGCGACGGAGAGACGGCAGAGCGCTAAAGACTTCCCAGCACTTGCAGGACGGTGTGCATTGCGACCTCTCAGGCGGCAGCTTGTTGGTCTACCCGCGATGGGATTTGGTTAGCGGCCGCCGGACGACATGCGCCATCTCTCCATCTGTCCCCATTGCGGTGGTGCAAGCAATCGATAGTGTGAGTTTTTCCCCCTGACTATTCTGAATGTGCCTGTGCCTGGCCCGGTGGGATGCATTGTGCAATGTTAGTGATCACGGCGGGCGGCTGCGAGATGCACCACCCATGGGACGTGCCCAGGAGCAAGAAAATGTGAGGTATCATTTTGCCAATAGGAAGACGGCGTTTGGAGATTGATGTGGTTGGTCTGTGAGGTCTGTTGGAGAAAACTGGTAAGGGTGAGGTGACAGTCAGCGTCGGCCGGCGCTTATCTGATTTCCTAATGTGCCAACCAAGCGTGCTAGCTAGGTAGACTTTGCCATCCATGGCAGTTGGAGCCTTCCAACGGCGCATTTGCATTCTCCACTTAAAGCCGTGAGTTCGGCCCCAGCTGGTCCACTGTGTCCACTACGGGACCCAAGTGGGGGCTGCTTCTTTCTCGTTGGCGATCAGTTCTGGGCCCCGTCAATGCTCTACACTACACTACATTGTACTTCCCTTTTCTCTCATTCTCTACAGCGTAATTACCATCCGTACGGATACGGATACTTCTCTTCTCCATTCTCCATCCTTGGCCCGCGCCGTCAGCCCCAACCCACCCACCCCGGTCGCTTTCAATCTCAATGCCTTTACCATGTAAATCCCGGCCAGTCTCTACAGAGTTCACTTTCAACCCTTTTACCAGACGTCTGCTATTAGGGGAATCGGCCTGCTACGCCCAGTTCCGCATGGGTTCCCTGCTGACGTGGGCTTCCATTCTCGGCGTTCTTCACCCCTCCCTACGAAAGCTCTCTGCTCAGGCACCTTACTGAGCCGAACTTTTTTTTCCAGCCTCTGAAAGTTTCGCTCAGTACGGATCCATGGGAGTTCATCATTCGTCTGTCTATACCTCTCTAACCAAATCTAAAATAAAAAAAACTCAATATTTTTGTTGCTCGCCTTCAATTCCGATTCTCCCGTGTCGTGCGACGTTGCTTCGGTCATTTGCGACTACCTAACTCCATTACACTCTTCCTATCTCTCATTTGTCTCATAAAAACGGGCGTGTGTTCAAAGCTCCAGTCGCTATGTTGTATGAGTGTCATGTCCAATGTATCCAAACGCCCGCAGATGAGAAGAAACCCCCCGAACAGGTCCGAACAAGATAAGCTCCGAATTAGACTTCCGGCTGTGCATGCTTGCATCTCTTTTGCATCGCTAATGTGTCCAAACGCTTCGGCGCTGTTGATCCTGATCGAGCGGAATCTTCATGATTACTTTGTCATTAATCGCCATCATCCATACTCGTGTTTCTTACACATGCTCTCTCTCCCCTTGTCCCTCTCTCCCTCTCTAACTGATGATTACCTCTCTGCCGGTAACCGAGTAGCTCGTCTGATAGAGGCATCGCTGGGGCGCCTTATCGGGACAATTGGCATGAAACAGCATCTCTCCGCCCCCTGCGACGCTCGTCGCGCCGCCCGGCGCCGTGAGGTTGAAGTCGCCCGTCTTGAGCAGCATCCTCGACGGCCGCTGGTAGGGGCCCTTGATATCCCTGCTGGTCGCGTAATTAACGTTGTAATTGTCCGAGTTGAAGCAGAAACTGCTAAAAAAGAGAATGTAGAGCCCGTCATCGGTGCGCACCAGGTTGGGCGCCTCCACCAGCGGGCCGTCGGCCGCCGTCCGGCTGAGGATCTGCACCGAGTCGCCGACCTTGCTGGTGCCGTCGGCCTCGACCTCTTGCAGCATGATGGGCGTGTCGACCAAGGGCTGGACGCCGTTGTTGCAGTCGCCGCCGTGGCCCACGTTGTTGCCGTCCACCTTGTACACCACGTAGCGCTTCTTGGTGGGCTCGTCGTAGTAGCCCGCGGCGTCGATGGCGCCGCCCTCCGAAAAGGGACACACCCACGGCTCCGACGTTGGTTTGTAAGGCCCAGTGACGATGTCGGAGATACCCACGCCGATGCAGTGTCGTCCACCGCCGTCCTTGACCTCGCCCGAGTAGTACATGATGAAGGACCCGTTGTCGAGCCGCCTCACGTCGGGAGCCCAGGTGTTGGAGCCCGTGGCCCAGCCGACATTGGGAAGGGCATCGTTGTCGAGCAGCTCCCACGAGCCTGAGATCTGGGTGGCCTTTGCTACTTGGATGTTCTTGCCATTGCCGTTCGTCGCGAAGGAGTACCAGAGCCCGTCGTCACCCTGAACAAGGGCTGGGTCTGGAAATTCGGTGTCGAGCTTCGGCTTCAGGACCTTTTCGGCTCTGCCAACTACGTATAGGGCGTCTACTGGTGCACCCAGGACGGGTTGCCAAGCTCCTAAACAGAACACGCCTGCTGCGAGAAGGGCATATTGCCGTAATGATGTTGTTGAAAGCATTGCAACTGTAAATGCCTAGCTATGGCTCTGTCTCGCTCTGGGTATAAGAAGAATTGACAATAATAAAGACGTGTGTGTGTGGTATGAGAAGACACACGTTGGTGAAAACGGTTGTTGAACCAGACAAAACTCGCGTCCGAGGACAAGACAAGCCTTTTGGCTGATGAGGGTCTTCTTTGCGTCTTTTGCTCACTCTTTGAGGAATTGGACAGGTCTATAAGATCCAATTACTGAGCAGACATTACTTCATAAGCAGGTGCTGCCGTGCTGCCGTCATGAGTGTCAATGCGAACTTCGAGAAGGAAAACGGTTTCGAGGAGCGTGCGGACGAGGCTCTTCTTGTAGTCAAACACCAACACATACAGCTTACACCGAAGTAGAGACTAATAAGTGATGCATGCTCATATGTGGGTGTGTGTAAGAGGATGAACACCCCCTTCTCCTCCTATGGCCGGAAATATGGCATGGGAATCTCTCCCCTTGCTCTTTTCTCTTAGCTTCTCCAGCCCCAGGTGTCAGGGCCATGCGGAAATGAGATTATCACTGCAAATGCGCGTGGATCGTTGGAGGAACAGAGCTGGACCTCTTACGGCTTGTGGTGGTGGGCCTGTTCCATGGCAAGTCAAAGCAGATGATGCTTGAAACAGGTGGGCCGGGGGGGGGGGGGGTGGGGGGGGGGGGGGGGGGGGGGGGGGGGGGGGGGGGGGGGGGGGGGGGGGGGGGGGGGGGGGGGGGGGGGGGGGGGGGGGGGGGGGGCTTTACCATGCCGGCCATGTTGAAGATGTAGACAAGGTAGTAGAGCATGACGTTTCCTCCGAGCAACTGTTGCCATACCTGGACGCTACATCCAGCAAGAGTGCGTTTCCAGACGCGCGGGCCAAAAAGACCGAGGAAGCTGACGTTCTTGGACTCGGCGGCCACCCGGGCAGCGTCCCTGACTTCGTCGAGCTCAGCAAGAACAATGGGAGCCTCGCGATCACCACCTGCGTGGAGATGAGCGAGAACCTCATGGCACTCCTCCCAACGATCCTTCTGGCCTAGCCAACGAGGTGATTCGGGGAAGAAGAAAAGAGCAATGCCGAGGATGAGGCCAGGAATGCCCTGAATACCCCAAGCGATGCGGAAGGACTTGGGATCGTTGGGGATGCTGACAACACAGCCGTAAGAGATAAGGTACATGATGAGAACACCCCATTCGATTGACCATTGCTGGATGCCGACGATACGGCCACGGATGCGGGAGGGAGCGAGCTCGGCGAGGTAGACGCAGCATTGCGAACTTGTGATACCAATGGCCAGACCAGAAACGACACGGCCGACTATGAGGTGGGCGACGTTCTGAGAGGAGCATTGGAGAACGGCGCCGATGATCCAGATGACTGAGGCGAGCTTGAGGGCGCCGCGACGGCCCCATGAATCAGCTAGGAAACCAGCGCTAAGAGCGCCGACTAGGGAGCCACCAGACATGGAGGCCGTGATGCCGCCCTGGAGGGTCGAACTCGGGTTACCGAAGAATTCTTTGTATGAGTCGGCACCGATCCATGCACTCATGGAACTGATATCGAAACCGAAAAGCATGCCGCCAATGGTGCCAAAGGCGGCGAGCGCTAAGAGTCACTGATCAGCATTTAGATTTTGTAACCCTGGTGCTGGGGACCTTGGTAAGAGAAGCCACAGCTTATGTTACGTACCGTAGATGTTGTAGATGCGAAACATGATTGGCGTGAATGATGCCTGTCCGAGACGTTTCTAAGATGCTTGGGGGTCAAAAGACAGTATCGATGGAAGGATGGCACGCTACGACGCTGCAATGAAGCTGATCCTAGTTCCAGGAAGGGCAGCTTAGAAGGTGGGAGGAGGGTACGAAGAGTTATATAAGTGGTAAAATCTGGTGTCCAACACGACTTCTTGCACCGCCAACCGACTAACACCGAAGCGCGCCTTTGAGAGATTCGAACAAAAGGGGCCCATAGTTTGCAGCCAGCGTCTCATTGAAGAGCCGGCCAGGAGAGGCTGAGCGGGTGGTGGAGATCTAGGTCAGAGCCTTTGAGGTAAAAGTGCCGTAAAGCCATGGCCCGGGACGCAGAAGCAAGGCTACCCGGTGGGCAGCAAGCGGGTTGAAGCCATTTCACAGTGACAGTAAGCGGTTGAGTGAACTAAAGTCGTAAACATGCGGCGATATAATCGAGTCGTGTTAAGCGCACGTATGAGAAGGCGAGAAAGTCAACGGGTTTAGGGCGGACGACGTCATGTCTGAGTGAGAAGCCAAGTCCATGGTCTTGTGCGTCTGGAGCAACAACGCGTGGACATGTTCGCGCATTCGTGCCAAACCCAGTACGGCATGGGATGATTGTGCTGCTATGCGGTGGATGTGTGGATACGTGGATATGTGGATGATTGGAATTTGGACTGGAGGTACGGGGTTTGGGGCCTTTGAGAGGTAAACATCCTATCATGATGGACAACCGCCGCCGACAGAGAGAAACCGTGGACAGTGAGGGGAACCCGGGAAAGAAGGGGAAGGTGCAGGGGGGGGCAACAGTCGTGGAGGGGAATGGGGAGGGAGTAGATTGGGGAAAATTGGGGGAAGGAGAAGCAGTGCAGCACGGCGGCGACTTCCTTCCTTCCAGACTTTCCCTTCCCCACCAGAACCTGGGCAAAAAGAGGAAACAAAAATTGACAAAAGAGCAGAGCGGCTTCAGCTTTGGACGCCATAACCGGGCCAGTCATGTGTCGTCGTGTCGAGGTCGAATCGACACAATTGGAACTGAGAATGGCACCTTATCCTGCCATACTTCCTAGGTATTTTCGTCGTCCTTTTCTCGTCAATGACGGGAATAAAACAATTTTGTCGTAACGAGAACGGTTGATGAGATCGGGGGCCAATCAACGTGTGACGGTGTAGGTGCCTCGGGCAAATTTCTGGGGCTCGAGTCGACATCAGCCGGCTCATCAAGATCGGCGGTATCACCTGCCGAAAATAGCATTTGGCACGGTCCCCATCTCTCCGGTACCCGCACCTGTTGTATCCGCTTGTGGGCTCCCCAGGTAGGAAAGCCCGGGGCTCGTGTGGCAGGAGCGCCTGAGAGAGGCAAGGGTTGCTGCAATGCTGCGTCACTTTTATCCCAAGAGCTTCTTGTTTGCTTCCTTCCAACAACAACGTCCAACGTCCCGGATGTCTCTTCCCCCTCCCCTCCGACCCAACCCGACTCGGTAGAAATCGTTGGCTTCAAGGAGAGCACATTGGTGCCAGAGATGGAACCCGGCCGAGTTTGCCAGTGTCTACCTCCTCGCTGCGTCAAGAATGGGCCGTCTTCTCCGATTGCAATTTGATAAATCTGCACGTTGGTTGCCCTGCATGAAGATGATTGGAACTTCGGCGCAATACCCTGCAGAGCCACCTAATAATGCAACCTACCTGCTACAAACGCTTCGAAGTCTGGGTGGGAAAACATTGCAGCCAGTGATGATCGAGCCAGTGATGATCGTGTTCGTGCCAATACTGGGAACAGGAAAATTGAACCGGTTAGACACTTGTTCTTGATAACAAAGACGCCATCTCATCCTTTACTTGCCAGAGTGATTATCTCTAGCAACTAACAGCCATCCTAAAAACCTTGGCCATGATCCTGTTGCATTGAGCCGACTCAGTCTCTGTTCTCAAGACTCGGCTTCGTGGGCCGTGTCGGCGCCAAGATTCTCGGATATTTTGGAACCGGTGAAAGCCCGGGCCTTATTCATCGGACTGGAGGTAGACACGGAGGCGGCCCCACTTTGTCACTTCTCCCCCACGCTTTCCTTCCAGCCTTCAAGTCCCGTGTTTTGAAGAAGGAGCCACTGGATGAGAAGAAACTTCAGGCAGGAACATCAGAGGTATTGCCTCCCTAAGACTGACAACTTCCGACGGTGTCAGGTGCTGCGAAACACCACTACGGCCGGAAGCAGGAACACCAATCCGCCGACAAGTCGCCTAGCGGGCTGGGTGAATGAAGTCAAATTGTGGTGTTCCACTAACTCTTTGAGCTCTCAACCAGCAACGCAACTCTTCTAGCCTAGTATGCCTCTGTCGATGTTTTATTCTTCTTTGCGCCCGTATTCCATGTCGCCGCAGCCAAGCCATACTCAATCTCGCAATTTGCATTAATGTCCGAAAACTCCGCCATCACCATCACCAATGCCATTCTTCACAGCCCCTCCACTCAGGCAGCCGGGGCAGAATCGCCAACCAATCCGTCAGTATTGGTACCGTACTCCCGAAAATATTCCTGAATCCACGCATCAATCTTTGCAAGAAGAGCATCGATACCCTGTATCTAGCAGTCAAAGCCTCGCTCCATGTCGCTGAGCGCCGCAGTCATCCCTGCGGTCGACGTGCCCTCTTGCTGGCCCGAGATTCTCTTCCGCTCGTCTTGGATAATGTCCTTCTCGGCCTGTGCAGCGGTACGCGAGCGAATCATCTTGTTTTGGGTGTCAAGGATGACCGCGTAGTCCAACGGCGTTTTGGCTCTGGGTTCGTCTCCTCTGAGGTTCATGCTGCTGATGGCATTTGACAAAATCTGTGCCGTCATTCTGGGGCAGACTCCTTCCAGGCTTGGGATGGCGGGCGGAACGGTGACATCGTCACCTGCAGTACGACCTTGAGACGCCTCGAATGAAGGATGAACGGGAATCTCCTGTTCCTGGTGGTGTTTCAGTATCTCTCCCAGGGTATCTACGACCACCAGCCTGAGTAAGGGTACACAAACCTTTGGCGGTTCAGCCATGTTGAAGGAAGGTTTTTCACAAGACTTGAGGACTCGAGTTTGATACGTTGGTTGTCTTTTGAATGTCGGACAGATTGGGCCCGAGGTATTGGAACTGGTGCACGTGGAGATGGGGAGATGAAACATGAGGAGGTGGAATGCCATTTATCCAGGGATTTAAACAGACAGATGCTCAGGCTTAGACCTACTCGCGAGGAAAGGTCTCCTTGATACTCCTTCCTTCTTTGAAGTTGAAGTCGTGATGTACGTGCTCTTTCCTCTCTACGGGTGTTGCTACATCGATAGAACGATCGTCAGGAACCATCTAGCAACTCTGATGGGAGACAGACGGAAAGAAGCGGATCCCAAACAACGAACTATCGGGAAGTAGTCCTCGATGGTAGATATCAGCACTGATTTCATGTATTTCTCACCTGTACTGGCTTTGTGCTCACCGGATACTCTTCGTCAGCTAGGAAGATCCGAATTCATTTGCACAACCATCTTCTCGAGATTACTTTGGCTGGTTGATATTGCTGGCTTGAAATGTGGTAATTATCAGTGGTTCTATTACCACCAGGGATCTAGAAGAGTGAAAGACACCGAGGAGTCTGGATAATGGATTACTGGATTATCAACCAACGTCTCCAAGTCCACGCATGTATATGCAAACTCATCGTGAATTTGCTTTGAAACTCTTCGGGATGTGATAATGATATTCTATTCTACGACTTCAATTGCTAGAATCACACAATCTTTGGGAGCCCTGCCGCATTTCTCAACGGGTTCAGTTCTGCGAGTTGGACCCCAGCATTGACGTTCCAAGGCCATTCCCAGTGTTCCGTGACCGATCACCATTCAGAGGAACGACGAATGCGATGAAGGGTAAATAAGGTAGTGAGCTATTGCTGACTAAGTGATGGAATTGGGAGGAGGAAGCCTCCAGGTGAAACCGAGAGGCTGGAAGTGGGCTGATGGCTCTCAGCTAGAGCGCGGCCGGCACACGAAATACGCCGAGTGCCCAGCCATAGACCCAAAAGTTTACGTCGTCGGACGAAATGACCTGGACAGGTGCGGACTTCTGTTGCGATCCAGTACCTAGGCGGAGGCGGAGGCGCGGGTTTCTGACCTTGCCCGAGAATTCCTCGAAGGCAAAGTCACCACGTAACCATACTAGGCCACCATATCCTTGATGAAGCCAAGGGCCAAAAGAGTGCTCAAGATGACTGGCACCGCCAGAGCAAAGGCAGATGCAGGGTCCTCCGTCAAGACAACGACCAGACTTGATACAACCATTGTCGTCGTAAATACCCAGACCAAATGCCTGTCCCCGAATGAAGTCTCCCAGAGCAAGTAGAAAGCAGCGACCAAAAACAAGGTTTCAAACACCGCCAGCTGGAATATCCGAATATCGCATGATAGGCTCGAGAGCCAGAGGTCTGGTCGGTGAAGCAATAATGGTGGCCGATGCCCTACCGAATTGCAAGTCTGTGAAGAGTACAGTTAGAGACTTGGTGAGTTGAAGGAGCGGATCTCAGGACTTTACAGGAAATCTTTTTGTCCAGCTTTCCAGGCCAAGGCCTCTCGGCGCAAAACTGTTGACCAAGGCGAGAATCGCGAATGTTATGACCCAGTTGATAATGAGCAGTCCAAGGGATTTTGAATCGACCTTTTGTGACAAGCGTTTCGTATTGCCGCCGGGCCCAATATCTCGAGATGTGCCCTTTTCCACCGTCTGTTCCCCATGTGATGGATCCTCGCAAATAGCCAGGTACGGGACCTGTTCATACATGGCAAGCCTGACCGGCACCTCGACGGATAGGACGATAGTATATGGACTCTTGTTTTTCGCGGGATGAGAGGGTCAATGGCGCAGTGATTTTTGAGAATGGGTTGAACATTCAACGATGCCTGTTCGGGGGGGAATGTTGTCTTGATGCGATGGAAGAGTTGAGATGTCCGCCACCTTCTTGCTGAGGCGACCCCTCGTAAGCTGGATGCCTTATCGAGCTAATGTAAATGGCGTTCAACTTTGCAGGGGTTGATAGGACAAGTTGTTGCCGTCCAAGTTTGACGTCCGCGGTGGCGTCCAACCAGACGAGGCCACATGGTTCGAGCCATGCTGTGAGACACGCTCTGGTTGCCTCTTGTCCGTTGCATCAAGTCGAGTTGTTAGAACGGTTCCCCTCTTTCCGCTGCGTTCATTAACTTTGAAGCTTGGTAGGAAATCCTGACCTGCTCAACATCCTTGACTCCGTAAGGGCGCTAAAGCCATTTGGGGTTATGAACATCAATGACATCTTCGGCTGACCGAAACCGAGTCTCCTCCATCAGCCAGAAATGCAGTTCCTCCAGTTAGGTCAAGCGGTCAGCCGGGCGAACCATTTTGCAAACTGAAATGACCGTCCTTATGCATTTACTAATAAGAGCGACGAAAACCGCTGCCTCATTTTGTGGCTAAGTACTGGTCCGCTTTCCAAGGATGCTCTTTGCAGGCTTTAATCTTCCCACGCTTTCTATATCCATCCTGCATATCACGACCCCCTCACTAACCCGTCATCTCGGTCCCGCCATCCTGCACTCTTTTATTTGCGTTCACTCTCAGACCGACACTTAAACCGGAAACGCCCTTCAAGACCCAGTGACTGTAATATTCTGCTCCAACATTCCCCATCGTTCCCTTAAGGTAGGCAGAGCTTTCCAAGTTCGCAGCCCAGGGTCCATCGACACGGACCGACATCCGCGCAATGCCCAACTGGCTGGGCAAGACGTTGTTCTACTTTCAATCAATTGCCGCCTACTCTATCCCTATTTTCAAGACACAAGAGGTTGATTTCGAGTGGCTTTCGACTGTTGTTACTGCGTAGGTTGCACGTCCAACTTTCTACCCACGGCTACACGAGAAGGCTTATTCTCTGGCATCAACTAGTTACCTGGCTCTGTGGTTTTATCTGAGTTGTGCCCTTGCCTGGATCTACTGGGATTCTCTGGTCAGGTATTGTCCACAGCCCTCCTGCAATTGTTGAACGTAACGCATCCTCACAAAGTCGCAGAAGAGCCCCGTGGACCATTTACGCGATTGCCCTACCTTTCGCGGCTTGGACAACCATTGTTCTCACAAAGGGCATCGACATCTCCACCGCCGGACAACTTACTCCCGTGTGGATTTCATCCGGCTTGATCAGCCTCGCCATCTACGAACGAAAGCACCGGTCCGTTTCAGAGACATGTCGGCAAGTCCAGTCAAGTCCAGATGTGGAGACGGGCTTGACTTCGCAAGCAGATTCAACACAGCGTTGAGAAGACAAAAACAGTCTCAGCGAACGCATTTGGCTGTCCACCCTCAACCAGAAGATTCAGACAGCAAGAAATTGAAGTCTGATGGGCCCTTCGACGCCCCGAAGGCGAACAACGAACCCATTCCGAAGCCTCCTACCTCCAAGTCGTCTCCACAACGAAGCCGCTCCAAGAGACGCATCTATCCGAAACGAAGTCGTGCTCGCCAATTCTCAATCATCAACTGCCAGGAAAGCGATCTGGCGCCACATTATGAATCCCAGAGAGAGTCAATCCAGAAGATCCGCAAGCTATGGAACCCTGACTATGCCCCGCCTTCCCGGGACCGAACTCCCCCCAGTAAACCCCAGGGATCACCAGCATCATCCCGACCTCCTGAAGTTGATACCACAGATGTTATGATCAAGCAACCCGAGACGCGACCGATAAGCCAAGAACAGCTCGTCGCCGAAGTCAAGGGCATATATGCCGGCCTTGTAATGGTTGAAAGCAAATGTATCGAGGTCGACAACGCGCAGAGCTCAACCTCAGCATCTGAGACTACCCCGAGACTAAACAATGAACAGTGGCAGGCTCTCATAGCTTTACACCGTACATTGCTACATGAGCATCACGATTTCTTCTTGGCTTCGCAGCATCCATCAGCTAGCCTTGTTCTTCGGCGACTGGCTAGGCAATACGGGATGCCCGCCAGGATGTGGCATGGGGTTCACTCTTTTTTGGAATTCCCTCCCCACGCTCCACCCGCCTCGCTTGAACAAATGTTCACTTTCATATACTTAGCATACCCCATGATGGCGTTGCTGTACGAAACAGTACCTACTTTTGAGGATACCTGGATTGAGTGTCTCGGAGACTTGGGCCGTTACCGGTACATCCAATGTCCCTCCAGCTTTTGAAGATAAATTCTGATGAAAACCCTAGAATGGCTATAGAAGACGACGACTTCAAGGAACGTGAAGTCTGGTCATCACTGAGTCGGTCTTCGGATTTTCAATCCAACGAAATGATGTCAAGGGGTCGGCTGTATCATCATCTTGCTATCCTGGCAAGACCGAATGCCCTGCAGCAACTCTTCTACTACACCAAGTCGCTGTGCGTTCCTATCCCGTTCCATTCAGCTTGGGAAAACATCATGAGGCTTTTCGATACTTTGTTCAACGGACCCCCCGGCCCATGGTCGCCTGCTCGTCGACGTGACATCGCCGATGTCGTTTCTCTCTCACTTGACAACTATCTCTCATCCGGAATGTCTGAGCCAGCCAGACACACAAATGTACGGGAGACAGCTTTTCAAGCATTGCGAAACCTTGAAGCCTACATACTCCCCCACGCTGTTCTAAAAAGTGGTGGCCTGGGGAACAGTAATCATGAGACCACCATCAATTTCCAATGCGTCCCGACGAGGAAATATCACAGTCATACAAGCATACTAAGGGAGCTCGAAACGCTTGTGATGTTGACGGAAGTTTGCTGGGATGGCCCAGCGGCTATGGCGTCGTCGTCACAACGGCACCCCACGCCGGTGTCTCTGCTCACGCATCTCTCACACCATCGACTTCATGCGACTGGTAAAGAAGCGATCTCTCTGCCCAAGTTAAGATCGATGGCACTTGCGTGTCATTTTTCATCGAGCCCGGGCATCTACCGTCACTACGACGCGCCGGACGGAGGCATTCATGTTTCCGTAACTCACTTACCTGGCGTACGAGTGCCCCGGCCGCTTCCGGAAGACTTCCAGCTCAAGGGTCAGGTATGGGCGGATAATTCCTACCCTGATGACTGGAAAGGACTGCAGTTCAGTGAATATGAGTGGCCGGAGATGCCATCATGTAAACTGAAGCGGTCCCACGTTCTTGTGGGCAGCGATGACACCGGTCGACTTGCTCATGCCAGCTGCCTGAACATGCGCACATCGTCGGGAACGCAGTCTCGCAAGGAACGAGATGAGCTGCCATTTTCATCCCTCTCCGGACGCAAGTCCTGGTGGGGGCTGCTGTGTGCATTTTGCAGAATCATGCCGAAGATAGGGGACACCAGATGCAAAGGCATCAATATCTTTTTACTCAACCATGGGCTAGCTTCTTAACTCATGGTTGGGGGGGAGGTGGGTTGGACGGGGCTTTTCTGGCGAAAACGGAGTGCATTTCAAAGGGATTACAATACTGGAGTCCGAACTCATACATACCTGAGCAGGAAAGGTGGAATAGTGATCTTGTGACACCTTGCAAGAGTTGAGTACCGGTGGTCACTTATTCCTACCGCCTTCTTCCCAGCGGCGCGGGTACATTATGCATCAAAATGTTGATTGAATAGACATCGCATGTCTAGGTTTCTTACCTAGTCGGGAAGCATGCCAGTGGCTGCTCGCCCCCTCAAAGGGCAGACAATGAATAACCAGTCTGTTGAACTTTTCTGAGGTGTGGTCAAGAACCGTGTCATTTTCCAACCCACGAAATTTATCCTACAGATAATAAGAATTGCTGAAAATTTATGGCCTAGCCGTGAGACTCTTATATCATAACAACTTCGTCCATGCTCTGGGGATTCAAAACAGCCTCCCCTTGCATGATGCCGTGCACGTAGCATTCTCCAACTAGCCGATGTCCTCTGCCGCCAACCTTTCTCAGGAGGTACGGAACATGGCAGTCATACAAGACATGAACCTCATCCCCCACTCTGCTTGTCTCTGGCAGCAGCCCCAAGTACCCCTTGGCAGTGAGACCTAGCCTTCGATTCTGCACAGCATGCATCACTGCGGTTCGCACATCCTGGAACGTCTTGCCCGCCGTGCGCGTCTTGAGATTCGCCAGTTCCAACTTCCCTTTGCCCGCCGGTCGTCTCTGCCGTGCCGAGTAGGTTTGCCCCGGGAGCGATGGTGACTGGCCTGTAGATGCGTCGAGAAGAAGAGAGACAATCTCTTCGTAAGCTGCCGGCGCCTTGGCCATTTCGGTCGCGTCTTTTCCGGCAACCAGCGTCTGCCAAAAGGCAGAAAAGACGGTCTCATGGCCTGGATACTCTTGAAGCCCTGAGACAAAGGAATGCATCTCCGTCAGAGCCTTGTTGCTAGTGCCTGGCTCATCGAGATTCAGGTCGGGATCAGTGAAGACGATGCTGACAGTTGTAATGGTGTCGACAGAAATACCTCGCATTCGTAATTCGTCCTTGGCTTGGCTTTCCAAAAGTGGATGAACTCTGCCGGCTTCGATCGTGAGATTGCCGCATGCCCTGTACGCGGTTGTTGTGGTAGTTGAGTGACCCAGCGAGTGCGTTCGACGGGGAAATCTCCAGTCCGGTACCCAAGAAGGCAGGTCGAGAGACTCATGGTCTACGCAGGTAAGGATCACCCCCAGTCTCAAGCTGCTCGGGTTGCTCCAGAGATGACGCGCTGTCAGGTCGCGATACAGATGAGTGACCGGAAAATCGTCCGCGTAGCTTAGTTTGGTCGCCGATCTGTCGCGGTTGTCACACACTCCAAGCAGGCCGTATACCTTGTCCCGATTGTCGTAGCACTTGGCTTCTCGAGATCCGACCAAAAGGTCGAACAACGACATGGTCACGCTGTGATAGCTCGACTTCATACTGCTGAGATGCTGTACCGACTCGCAGAGGTCCCTTTGAATGTCAATTGTATGGCTGCCGGAATTCAGCTTCTCTCCTAGCCATCTCGAGATGCCACAAGTCCAGAGATTTAAGCAAGCCAACGACAGGACGTCCCACGTAGTCACGTCGTTGCCGCAGATAACCCAAGCGTCAAACGAGAGGATGACTTCTTGTATGATCCACAGCCGCGTGAACCACGGCCGGGAAAGAAAGTCCCACAGGGCTCGCCAGACCTCCGCATCCGGTGAGGGAAGAGTGAGCCGCTCGAACTCCTCTGGACCGATGTTCTTCTCCGTGAACTGCAGAAGTATCCTGACATCTTCTAAAAGCTTGATGGCGGAAGCGGAGTCCGAACTCGATTCTCCCAACCAGATGACGGTATTCATCGCGTTCTGATAGATTCTCGACATGAGGGGTATCTGCTGCTCTTTCTCCTTATGGTCATCTTGGTTGATGCAGATTTGGTCAATCCACATCACCACCGACCGGTCCTCCTGCCGAAAGGCTCTCAAAGCAACTTCTAGAGACTTTGTGATATTCTTGACGTGATTATCACACTCGATTGTCTCGTTGAAGACATTTTCTCCCCATGTATAGCTGAGTGCCGTGTACAGGATCGGCGCTGCAGATCCATCGACAGAGAGAGCATGTCTGGCCTCGAGCTCGAGCGAGCAGTGACGGAGACGGCCATGCAACTTGTCGACGCCTCTGCCGGGCAGGATTTCGAGCACGCGGATCTCGAAAGAGTCAAGTATGGGACGGTAAAGGGACGAAGGCTCGGCCAAGGCCGGTGCCGTTGGTTTAGTGGCCTTGGTCGATACCCACTTCCGGATACGGTCTTTCTCATTGCTGTTTAGGTCGGGCTCATCAATTCCAGCGAGACTAAACTTTTTGTCGACATCAAAGTTGATCCAGTACTCGGACCTCAGCGATTGTTCGAAGAAATGGGTGTTATTGGTCGACATTTTGACAGTCAAAGGAGCACGCACTAGCGGACGCGAAATCTCACCCACCTAACACCAGGTTGTCGAAATCATGGAGGAACACAAAATGCGGCAGGCGTCAGCTCAGTATATAAATGCTGTATAATTAAGAGGCGAAAATGGGGCGGACTGCAAGCTGTAGCCATTACTCCGCTGTGAGTGGACAAACAACACTGAGCATGGCTTGCCCCTGCGATCTGACGCCAGTGCTACGTTGGGCAGGGTTGGTTGGTTGGTTGGAAATGTCCAACATCATCTGACGGCAAGGGGGATTGCTGACGCCGACACTATCGCAGGTGCGACAACATCTCTTTACGGCACGGTTTTGTTAAACCAAAGGCCTACCCAAATAACCAAGACAAGGCATTTAGAGTCGTCCTATTGAGTTGACTTAATAAACAAGTCACACACAGACTGGCTCATCTGCCGGAATGGGAGAAAACTGAAACGACCTGGCTTCAGAATAGAGTCGCCAAAAATGGAATTTGAACAGCAAATTTACCATCACGAAGCTTACTAGGGGGACTTCGGTTCATGAAATACATTCTGATGGGGGAAGCTTTGACCTTGTTCACCCGAACGCCGAACGTAGGGAAGCGGAGTTTTGGGTATTGGCGAAAGTCCGACGGCGTGATGCAATGAAACGCAGCCGTCCGTCCTGTGCAAAACGGGCAACATAGCAGAACGGAGCTAGTTTAGTCAAGAACCTCGGCATCGCAACTCACATTCAACTTCGCGTGACTGGGTGTGCATGCGAATTTCCGGAGGCGTTGGACATTTGACTAAAAGGCCGACAAAAGTCAGAGCCTACTTCATCATCACATGATAACTGCCAAAAATAACAGGTAAAAACACGTCCACACCTCGCATCACAGGAAAGTAATTTGAGCATTGATCATGACAGACTCATCAACTGTATTCAATATGACTGCAGAAAATGAAATCAAAAAGGTACATACCATCTTGCGTATTGCGTCAGCCTTTGCCGCTCAAGTCTCCCTTGATAACAAGAAACACAGATCATCATCGTCGGCGGCGGCCCAGCTGGCATCCTTGCTGCGCTTCAGCTGCAAAAATGCAACGGAATCACGCCGGTAGTCTATGAGATCCGTCACAGGCCAACCACACTCGGAGGAGCAGTGGGCATTCCCTCCAACGGTCTCCGGCTGCTCCATCGCCTTGGACTATACAATGACGTTGCAGCCCGAGGCGCGCTGACGCCCAAAGTCGTCTTGCACGCCCTCAAAGGCTACGTCATGGGCGAGATGGATCTATCGTCCTGGTCCGAGCAGCAGACCGGTTTCGGGTACTTGCGTATTCAGCGAACCGACTTGATGGAGGTCTTGCTGGGCGCCGCAGAGCAGGCAGACATCAAAATACACTACGGCAAAACCTTGGAGCAGATTGTAGAACAAGACAGCACTGTGACGACCCGATTTGCCGACGGAACGATAGACACGGCCGACTTCCTCCTGGGCTGCGACGGGATCCACTCCGCCGTGCGGAAACTCTACGTCGACCCGGACTCCGTGCCGGAGTACTCGGGGTTTGCAAATATGTTTGCTCTCGTGCGGCCAACCGAGGTATGCCCTGCGGCCTCCTCCATCGAAACCATGAGTGCAACGCTCACCTCTGACGGGCTGTTCGTCATCACGCCAACGACCCCAAACCATAATTTGCTTTACTGGTTCTTTTCCCGCCAGGTTGCTCTTCCCTCTTTTGGCAATGCCCGTGACGGATGGGAGGAGCGTGGGAAGGAAGCAACAGACACCTTCAAGGCGACCCTCCTTGATCTCTTGGGGAGTCAAAAGTCTAACTGGATGGATATGATACACGAGGTGATTAACAACACGAATGCCGTTCAGTTTTACCCAATCTACAAGATGCCACGGGGGAGACCGTGGTCAAAGGGCCACTGCATGCTTCTCGGCGACGCTGCGCACGCGATGCCGCCATACGCAAGTCAGGGAGTCTCCATGGCATTGGAAGACGTATTTTTGTTCTCAAAGATGTTGAAGAGCAACTTGTGGAGTTTAGATGATGCGTTGCAGGCGTACGAGAAGAAGCGGAAGGTGAGGACGGAGGCAATGCTGGAAAAGACGGAGTCGAACGGATCTGTCCGAAAGCAAACTGCACCTTGGCGTCTTCGAGCGATGGAGTTGGCCATCACGGGAGGCTTGTGGATATCAAGGACTACCGGTATTGAAAAGATGGGCTTTGGTCAGAAACTACTTGTTTATGATGTTGAAGAGGAAGAGTTCTGATATCAACCTTGGGTTGGATTGGATGGAGGGTTATCTTTACAACATGGTGTAAACAGCTGTGGGATTCCATATGACCCTGACTTCTTCAATCATTGTATTGAAGATATCATAGGTTGGCATCAGGAGTTTATGATTTTAAGCTGTCTGATCTAATCAACTTTCTAAGCCTTTCCTGCCGAGCCAAACCATCGCATGTAAGTTTCGCACGCCTTCTGCATCTCTTTCGTGCCAGCTTCAATTGTCGCAGTAATTGGACGGCCCCGAGCTGTTTCCTGAGATGAGACGTAGTGGTTGTTGATGCCTTTGTTGATGTTTATCTTCGTCACTCCAGCTTTGATGCAGCGGTTGTAGATTTCCTCTGTAAACGGATCCGCCCCGTGAAGGATGAGCCTGACCCGTTCTCCGACCGCTTTGTTGGTGTTTTCGAGCCGATCATACTCCAGCTTGATTCCCCGCGGACCGTATTCGCCGTGCACGTTACCGAAGGCGGGTGCCAGCATCTCGATTCCAGTCGCGACAAACTCTTCAGCTTGCTCTGGTGTCGTGAGCACCCCCTCTAGATCTATCGTCTCAGCCACGCCGTCTTCGCCACCTTCGATGCGCCCGGGCTCTGCCTCCGTTGCGATACCGCGCTGGTGGCAGTACTCGACCAGCTCGCGAGTGAGAGCCAGATTCTCTTCTTTCTCGTAGTGGCTCATGTCAACCATAATACTATCGAAGCCGTCGGGGATATCCGCGGCGCGTCGGACCAGCTCTGGCGTCTGGCAGTGATCGAGATGCAGCGATACTGGCACGGAGGAGCTGTGGCAGAGTTCTGCCGCGGCGCGGACGAGTGCGCTGCCTGCGTACTCCATCGCCCATGGGAAGAGTTGCACCACTGCTGGCGAAGAGGTTGCTTCTGCTGCCCTGACGGATGCTACCACGGCTTCGAGGTTGTAGCAGCAGAAACCGGCGACTGCATAGCCCCCTTGCTTTGCAGCGTTGAGGATCTTCATAGTGCGGTTATCCGCAAGTGAAGGTCGAGGCATCTTGGAGACTTGGTTATTTGATGAGCGTGGGATAAGATTGACGGTTCTCAGAAGCTTGCGTTGGTGTCAAGTTTGTGCAGGATGGACGGACGGACTTCAGTAAATCTTTCTGACTTCGGTCACCGATTCGAGAAGTCAAAGTATAAGAGTCAAAGCCAAGATCACAAAACAATGGAAGCTCTTTATGATCAAGCTTAAAGAGTGAAGCCATTAAGAAACGCTGGATTCACAACTTGAGGGTAGAGCTGTGGATTGCGGGGGAGTCCAGGACTGGAGCGGAAATAAGCCGATTTTCCGCGCCAGCCGTGGTTACGGAGGGAAATCGGAGCACCATTCGGTTCGGGAAAAGGCCCTCATCGCCCCGAGCTACCGACCTCTACCGAATCCACGGGTTACCTGGATCCGAAGCCATCTCTCATTCGCGGTCAATGAGCTGATATCTCCTCTTCCTACTTAATCTTGGGGGTCATGCCGCCGATTACGGATTGCAACAATCTGTTCACCCTCATCCGTGCCCTCGGCTCATCATAATCTCAACTTCAGTCCAAGATATTCCATTAGATACGCCTGTGATCACTCATCTGATAATATTATGGATTCAAGCAAGCAACCCACGGCTTTTATTGGCCTAGGGGCCATGGGATTTGGAATGGCGACCAACCTCATCCGTCTCGGATATCCCGTCACGGGATTCGATGTCTATGGGCCGACTCTGGACAAGTTCAAGAAAACAGGAGGCCTCACTGCGACGAGCCCGGCCGAAGCTGTCGCGGGCAAGGAGTTTTGTGTATGCATGGTTGCCACAGCGGAACAAGCACAAGGTGTCTTGTTTGAAGGTGAGGCTTCCGCTCTCTCGGCCCTTCCGCAAGGAGCTGTGGTGCTGCTGTGTTCCACGGTACCATGTGGTTACGTTCAAGGTCTGCAAAAGGAGCTGCTGGCAAGAAATCGAGGCGATATCGCTCTGGTGGACTGCCCTGTGTCTGGAGGTGCTGCCAGAGCCGCGGCGGGAACTCTATCGATCATGGCCGGCGCGGAAGACGAAGCGATCCGCAGAGGTCTTCACCTACTACAAGCCATGTCGGATCCTGCCAAGCTCTACATCGTCAAGGGCGGCATTGGAGCTGGAAGCAACATGAAGATGTGCCACCAGGTACTAGCGGCCAACCAGATCCTCTCCTCGAGCGAAGCGTTGGGCTTTGCTACGCACTTGGGCTTGGATCTCGCAAGCACTGGCGAGATGATTATCAAGTCAGAGGGTTGGAGCTGGATGTTCGAGAACCGACTACCACGCATGCTCGACGCGCAGTTTGGGCCTCTGGCCAGCGCTGTCACGATCATCCTCAAAGATACTAGTATCATCACTTCGGAAGCGCGGCGGGCTGGTTTCCCTACCCCGATGACTTCTACGGCGGAGCAGGTCTATTTCACTGGTCTCGGCAAAGGCTACGGCGCGGACGACGATGCTAGTCTCATCCGACTGTATATCGAAGGAGTGGGAAAGGTTGGGCCGGTTAAGCCTACCGTCACGTCCGAGGAAGGCAAGCTGGAGCTCATCGTCAACCTACTTCGCGGTATCCATCTTTGTGCGGCGGCCGAGGCGATTGCATTTGCGCGTTTTGTTGGTCTGGACTTGGAGCAGGTCTTTGAGCTCTGTATCAACGCGGCCGGTGGCAGCAGCATGCTCTCTGGCGAAGGCCGACGTATTGTGGATGCCATCTTGGATGGGAGGGCAACGCACGATTGGGCTGCCTCGAGTGGCGAGAGCCTGCTTCAGACAATATCTCACGAGCTTGAGGAGGTGGTCGACGAGGCGCAAAGACTGAAGCTGCCGCTGTTCCTCGGGACCCAGGCTCTCAACTTGATCCGAAATGTTTTGCTGAGGGCCGGACCAAAGGCGCCTGGTTTGGCACTTGGCTCGGTCGTCAGTGGTTGGACCGCAAGAGGCAACCCCGCGGCGTAGGGCCGGATTACGTAGATGGCCCACATCTTGGCACCATTTTCCCATCTTTGGACTTGTTTTGGACGTCAGCGTTCGGTGATTGATGAACGAGGTAGAGCCATCTGGTTCTACGCGGAAAAGGGGTATCCGCATTCCCGTGTTATACACGAGTCATCTCAGCACTGAATTCTAACTCTTCCAATATCGCATACCGATTGTAAAGTGGTTGAACCGAATTGATCTAGAATAGTCGAACAACTGCATACATTTAGTAGCACGACTATTGCAAGTGTAAAAGCTCGTGGTGGCTACCGAGGTAACACCTCGCTCACTGAGAACCATGGGGTTTCTGGTAATTGTTCCTTGATTCGGCCATTCACGCCCACCCGCCAAAGCCTTAATACAAATGCTAGAATGGCAATCGCAATTCGCCCCAAACTATATTGATTCTGCTTCAACACTCACTGGTGTAAAACCAGAGAGTGTAACCATTATTACTGTAACAAAGATTCAGAGAAACAACTTTTGTACATTTATTCAATACCAGCTACTTCTGTATCAAACAGCGTGTCATAGCCAAAGAAGATAGCCGCCCGAGAAACCACCGTACCAAGTAAACCATTGTTGAAGCCAGCAACCATCAGCACCTTCGTCCCCTAATATAGCACCAATTCTCCAAACTCCAACCAATTTGAACTCCCTGGGAAAGAAATGCGATTAAGCCTTAAATGTCCTAGCAACCGAGCGAGGAGCCGCCGGTGCGGATGCAGCCAGAGGAGCCGATGCTGCAGGCGCCCCGGGAGTAGGTGTCTAAGCCGGAGAGGCTCCCGCTGCAGGACCCGGCTGAGTGCCGGCAGCCGCGGCAGGTTGAGCACCAGCAGCCGGATTGGCGTCGGCCTTCTCGGGCTTCTTCTCCTTCTTACCCTTCTTCTTCTTCTTCTTCTTCTTTTTCTTGCCTTCGGCTTCGACTTCGCCTGGTTTCGTAACGTCGTCAACTTCTTCGACTTCCTCAAACTCGTCCATGTCGTCCTCAGGTGTCGCGTCGGGGATCAGAGCCGATGGAGGAGGTTGAGGAGGCTGGGCTTGGCGATCTTTGATGCCAGTGTCGTGCAGAGACATGTCACTGACGTTGTGTTAGTATGGTGGCATAGATCAAGTTGGAGATCCTTCACTCACTGGACAGTCTGGGAATCCTGTTCCTTGGTCACCGAGACCGGAAGGGCATCGATGCTAATCGCCAAGGCTGACAAGGTGAGAAGAGCGTTGAGGAATTTCATCTTGAAATATCTCGCAATGGGTTAAGAAGTGAGAGCACAAGTGATTGTGAAAAAGAGGCTGAAGAGTTGATGTGTGTAGGATGAAGAGGGAGAGGACTAATTCAAGGTGGAATGCTGCTGGGATCTTATAGTAACCCGATCTGTACACATCATGCCGAGAAAGGTGACGTTCTCAGCGGTTATGCAAAAAAATAATAAAAACAACATTAATAATGAACGGCGGTGACGACAAATTCTATGGTGTCAACACGTCTCTGAAAGATTGTCGGCGGCCCCAATGGCGGAGGAACTCAATCAGAGAGCACCCGCCGCCCCACGGAGCCTCCGTGTTACGGTTCGCGAACTCGACAAAGTTCCAACGCTCACGGCCACCTGGCCCCGGCTTCTCCGTGGGGGCTCTTGCTGAGTTGGGCAGGTCTTTTCGAAGCCCGGTGTTCATAGGCGGCCCAAAGCGTGGCATCTCACCACCCTTTTGCGAGAGAGTGTCGACGCTGGGGCCACGGTTCCGGGTTCTTCAAACACGGACATTGTCGAGTAAAAGCCGTTCGTTCGTCTAGTTTTTTTTTTTTGTCACTTGACAAGCCGGTTTTCTATCAAAGATGTGCTCGACGCCCGTCCGCGCAGCACCAAAAGCTTCTCCAATCCGAAATTTATGAGTTTTCTTCGGCGAGTACGAGCACATCCGCACAGGAAGTTTTGCGATCTCCGTCTTCAATTAGTGTCTCTGTCCTCACTCGAGCCCGGGTGACGTAGTATAGTCGCGTTTGAGCCGCCCTTTGTGGGCTTCCATGCAGCATTCCATGCACGTTTAATTCACCTTGCCGAGTACGTGGACTCGAGACGCGCACAGTCTTCCACTAATCTCGGCCGGTACCTTACAACCCACAAGTTTGGCTACCGGGTCCGTTTGCGTGAGACACAGGTCACAGGATTCAAGTGGAAAGAGAATTAAGCTAATGATATTAATACCCTTCCCGGCCTGTCGGGAGCGTCGGGAGCGCCGTGGTGTCTAGGCCTTGAGCGAAGCCATTCTCTAAGCATGGCGATCGGGGACCGGCCCCAAGCTCCCCGACTTGAGCGTAAGGCTCTTTCATCTATTATTGAGAGTGCCACTTAAGCATCGGAGCACAGTTCATTAGAGGGCACGCTTCCTCTCCTCGCTTCTATTTTCCTTATGTATGTTTTCGCACTACCAATCTGAATCAACGAGAGGTGAAATACCGCCGTGCTGTTGGCATCATTGCTAAGGTAAGTACATATAGACTTGGATGAAGCTATATCGTCATGTGTTTTCATCGTTAGTGAATCCCTATTTAGTATTCGAATGAGATATGACGTCTCGGGAGTGAGTCTCCTAATCTTATTATAATTATAATGGAAGTTGGGCACAAGTCACATCTCGACAAGTTTTGGCAGTGTGTCCCAAATTTCTTTTCACTGCACAAGTGCCCCCAAGAAGAAGAAGCCCCACGAACCGTTTGAATGCACAGACCAACAAGCAGGATTGACAATCTACATTATCACAAGAAGGATCTATTGGTGGCCTCAACTTGCATGTCGGCAGGGAGCCGAAAAGGTGAACCGAAGCAAATCGACAACTCCCGGACATGGCTGCATATACCTACGTTTCGCCGCATTGAATGATTCGGATGAGTGCAAATCAGATCACAGGGCTGCTGTGAAAAAATTTCGCTCTTGCCTACATAACGAGCCATGTGTACTTAACGCTTCGTCTGTTCGCAATTCATCCCCGTTGAGCCCCTCTGGATATTTGTCAGTCTGCACAGTTCGGCCCGAGAACCTGAATGAATGAATCAGAATTGCTCGCAATGTGGAAGTAGAAAACAGCGAGAAACTTTACATAAGGTATGCATGAACGACGCTGCACCACCGAACCACGTTTTTCTTGATAGAAACGTCAAGCGATGTTGGTAATCTCGTCGGATTTGATTGAGTTTCTAGAAGAACAGCTACGGAGGGATCCGCAACGCGCATTCTGCAGCCAGAGGGTACATGATGCATGGATCATCTGATAGACTGAGCATATGACAGGTCCAATGGGCTTAACTTCGAAACTGACTGCGTTACTTTCGGGTTCGGCACTGGATCATCAGCAAAGTCGCTAGCATAACCTACGGCCACTGCTGGGGTTCTGCGTGCATCGTTCGGACTTGCGTCTATGACGTACTGAACGGCTTTCGCGGACTGCGAAGTCTCCATGCAGTAGTCAGTATCAATTGTTACTCCGCTTGAGTGATGCTACTGGTTATCGCGTTAATCTTTGGTGTTTTGGCCGCAAACAGGTCAATTATCCAGTCATCCCTGCACGATGAGTCCAAACCTTGTATTGAAGCTTGGGCAATAGAGTGAGCCGACTCTTTGAAGCCTTTTCAGTGATCGGTGACTTTAATCATCAAGTGAACTATGATGCTGAAAAGCTATGGCTTTCCAGTCCTTCTCGGGTCTGTGGCATGGCTCTAACAATGTATCCCAAGTCTACACCTTCGCCTTTTCCCAGGTGCCCCAGAACTCCACGGCCGCGAAAGACTCGACCGTGTCAGCGATACAGTCCTACAGAGTCTGAAATTCTATTCCAAGAACGTCCATAGAACGCTGGGTGCCGACCTGATACACAATCTGTGGCAACTTCGGATTTTGGCATACACGAGCATATTGCTGGACACCAAAGGAAATTGCAGAACTATTTGCCTCGGTCGCGTAAATCCTGGTCTTCACCGACCCATTGATAAAGTTCCACACAGACTGGTTCCCCTCGCTCAGGGAGTCGAGCTTCTCTAAACGCTGGAGCGCGAGACCAAAGACAAGGACTGGAAGGATGATGGACATTGTGAAGCCTGGACACTTTTCGCCCTGGAAATCCCACGCTGCTCTTTTGTCGAATGCCTTGCTTGCTGAGGCATGTCGTTAGGATCATGTAGATCAAAGGCTCCAGTCAGGATCAGGGTTACCTGCATGAACGGGAGCTGGGCTCTCAAATGCCTACTCTCACGTGATGAGGTTACATTCCATCTCGTCGTACGTATGTACGGGTCAACGTACCTTGAATATGTCGAGCATCGAGACAATGGACCCCTTAACCACCTGAAAAGAATCAACTGATGTTACAAGATGCCTGAACACGGATTAGTTCGTGCCACTCGCTTGACCACCAGGCTCCCTACTGGATAGCTCAAAGAATGCTGGGGGTCCCTCCAACGGCTGGCTCGATTAAATTTGCTTCAAAATCTTTAGCTTCATACATGACGGCGCTCGCAGTGTGTATTACAGCATCGTAGGAAAGATCAGACCAGACTGCCTCGTCAAAAGCATCAGGGTCCAACGTCGGGATCGAAAAGAAAGTCTAACTTATCGGCCAAATATCCAGGGAGTGCTTCTCTGATGATATCTGTCTTGGTCTGATTCCAAATTGCCGTGATTACCGAATGGCCCGCCAAATATCAGTGATGGTTGTGGGATTAGACCACTCTAGTCTCAAAGCGCATCGGAGGGGAAGATGAAAGATGCCTTCTGTCATTACTAAGACATTGCGCCTACGTTAGAATGTGCCGAAAGGTTTAAAGTTTACGATCCCTCACTCTCATCTGTTCAAGCTATTCTCATCGTTTTCATCGTTTTCGTTGTCGTCTTCAAACGATTGAGAGCTTTCGCCAAGGAGATGTTCATCATGCAAAGTCTCTGATCCCACGGCACACTCCAGCTCCACCATCTTTAGAGCATTCTGCTCAGCAGGAGAATCTTTCTTTCGTGCCACCACCCACATAAACTCAGCGTCAAAGTCTGGATCATCCTCCTCAAGTTTTCCATCGCCTGCCTGCAGTACTTCCACCTGCAATAAGTCGAATCCGACTTCTCTCAGCAGGGCTTCATTCCCGCCCACGTCATAGCTGCTCCAGAACATTCCATATCCCAAGAACTCGCCATGGATTTCCTCTTCGTCGATGGTGGCAAGATTGAAAACAAAGACCCCTCCTGGCTTTAGCCAACTATGGATCCTGATGAGCATAGCCTTGAGTTTCGACCGCGGTAGGTGAAACAGTGTATAGAAACTGACAGCTCCATCGAAGCTCTCAGGCTCAAAGTTGAGTGCTGTCATGTCGCCTGCGACTAGCGTAGCACTCGCGAAGCGGGCTTTTGCCATTTCAATTTGCTTGGTCGAGATGTCGTTCGCGACTACTCGTGCGCCGTGATCTAGAAGCATCTTCAAGATAGGAACGCCAGGGCCACAGCCAAGCTCTAGAATAGCAGGCGAAGGTTGCAGCTCCTCAAGAAGCCTCTTGGTGTATCTTTCCCGCGGCGATTTCTGGCTATCGACCCACTGCAGATACCATTCTGAGATGTGGTCGTAGGCGTATTCGACAATGACTTCAGGTGTCTCAGACATCTTGTAGCGGATCACAACAAGTAGAAAAGTTGGATGATAGGTGTGAGACAGATTATGTGTGTTGTATGATACCAACTGCAGAAGGTATACCCAACCCCTTTTCTTTCTGGTTCTCTCTCTCGGTTATGGCGCACCATCTCCTAGCCAACATAAATGGAGATTTGCATATAGCAGACATGGCATGGTGTGGAGCTTACTTTCTGACTTGATCCATTGTTTTATGGGGTGTGCACAAAGTACAAGTAATCACGCTGGGAATCCATGTTCCGCCCGAGGCGTAATTTTGCATACGCAATGTAAGTCCAACAGGCAAGTTGTACTTTGCGGACATCCGGAAATGCTCGGGAATCGGTATTACTCTAAAAATAGAGAGAATGATTAAAAGGAGAGAAACCCTAGCGTTTTCCCAAGTTGATCCAAGTGTCAGGCATATATAAACCCTGTTCACTCCTTACAATGATACTCACGATATGTGTATAAGAGACTATCCCTAGTCATTCATTGTATGATCAGCCCCATAATACATTTCACTATCCTGACGACTCTGCAGGGCCATTCTCCTTTAAGCCTTCCTAGTTTCATGCGCTCCTACAGTACATGTAGAATAACCCTAGACGCACCACTCATTCAGACCTTCATCCACCCTTTCAAACGACCACTTCTTGTCCTTGCAGATTTCAGAGGAGGCCAGGCGTTGATGCGTTGCAAGGATTCTGACCACTCTGACGACATGGCCGACATGATCCTGGGTCTACTGCCCAACCCCTGCATAGTGAAGAAGACTGATGCGGTGTGGAAAGCCCAACGTCTTCTCATTAAGGACCTCATGCTTTCCTCGTGGCTGCAAAGCGTTGTGGCTCCTAAGCTATGTTAGCTTGCCCTCTCGCTGGTTGATTTGGGGGAGCGCAAAGCCGAACTGGCTGATGGAAGAGCCTTCGAGACATTGGAGGATCTACGTCACGTGTAAATGGATGAGGTGATGTCTTTTTGTTTCGGAAAGAGATTCCGGGATGCGGCGACCGGTCCTACAATCGAAGCTTTGCAAACTCAAGATTTGGATACATCTAGGTCCGACGACGCTGACCAGTCCGTCAGATTTCCTCAGACGGGGCGAACAGCCCTGTGATCAACGCACTCGACACCCCGTTCGCATCAAGAGAACTACAACGAAGCTTATGGTCATCCTTCTGAGGTGATGCTCGAGTTCAACTCCCGAGACAGAGCCGACGCGGCTACACGGGTGAGAGTGGAAGCACGTAAGAAAGGTGTCTTTGACTGATAATCTAGTCGAGAATAAGATGGTAAAGTTTCCAGCAAACCCGCTCCTGAACAACGTTTAGTCAAAGAGGTTGTGCAATTACGATAAGCGATGCCCATCAGAGTAATACTCAGGTCTTGTTTCTGACGTCAAATGAGCTTAGACAGAACAGAGTGCAGTCATTGTTTTTCGGCCCTCCATCTCATCATGTACCTCTCGATCTCACGTGTCCCCTGGTATGTTTCCGCCAAGTGCTCATTGCCCCCAATTCCAAGCTCCCGCTCGCGTCGAACAATCTCCTTTGACCAGTAGTCGTTGTCAATGGTCCAGGTTCCAAGTTCCTCGAAGCCCAGCTTCTTATACAGATGGTATCCTTCTGCCGAAGCGACAAGAAAAGTGGGGATTTTCTCGGCATCACTGACGTCAATGACCATCTGGAGGAGTTTTGCTCCGATGCCCTTTCTCTGATGTTCAGGGTCCACCATGATATTCTTCACGTCTGATAGTAATGTTAGCCTTCTCGTACATGAACCCTGCTCAGCTAGCAGCTGGATCAAGTTATGACCAATGCCATGTTCAGAGCCCTTACAAGTATGCTGACGCCCGTCCACTGCCTTTTCGTAGCATTCATCCATCTCGTTGTCCCTTGGATGACCAAAGCGCTCCCAAAGCTCCTTCATGTGAGATTTGATCGCGAAGATGGACGGCACGGCGGGTTCGGTATCCGCGCTTCCCGTCGGCTTCGCCAGTGAGATCGCACTAGGCGGCTCTGTTGCATCGACGATGTGGTATCTGATGAAACCCACAACGGCATGCGTGTCGGGTACGACGGCAACCAGGAAATGCTTCTTGGGGTCTTTCAAGGCGAGTCGCATAGATAGTGGAAGGAGTTCTCTCGGATGGCGCTGGAAGAATGCCGCGTAGAAATCGTGGAACTGATCAAGAGCCGCATAATGAACCGCAGCAATAGCGTCTGCGTCTGCCTCGGTCGCTGGCCGTATGTGCACTGGTGGTTTCGGAGATGTCATGGAGAATTACTCGACAGAGTTTGCGGACAATGAAATATTCGCATTCCTCATAAAAGATATCAGACCAGTTGAGAAGTGGTGAACCAGATTTTCATACGATGTACGGGGTCAATTAGTGCTGGAGGCGTCCTCAGAGGATTTCAGCGCCAATACGTAACTTTTCCGTTTTCCGCTCTTCGGCCCTTCCGAGGGTGGATTGGCCCGGGGTTTGTGGAGCCTGCCGCATGACTCACCCGCCGAAACTCCAGTCGACACGGCCATGGCAGTCCTTGAACCTGCTTAATTCGGCCACAAATACATATTGGCAATTGTTGATTCCTCAGGTTAACGTGTTCTATCGACTTCAATTAACACCTACACCTTAAATATCCACGAGAAGTCTCACACACTTTTGCCTGAAATGAGGTAAGAAAGGGCCTCAATTCGTGGGATCAACAATCTTCCATGACGGTGTCGAAGTGGTGATTCGTGTCTGCGATCTAAATCGCGGCGATCCATCAATCAATAGCATTATCTGTTCTTTCAACAGCCAAGAGTGCCGTAAATGCTTTCTTGAGAACCTTGATGTAGGGTTTCCACGTCACAATCAAGGTTCAGAGTTGCCATGGAACTGCGGACGCCACTCTCAGAAGGAACTGATGCCAGCTGTTCCTTTCTCCGAGCCCATCTTAATGGTATATAATATATGCTTTTGGACGAATTTCTTGGCAGGATAAACTCATCAACCACAACTGTCAAGAATCATCATCTAGGACAACTTGCTTTCTACCATATGAACCATTCAATCATGGACAGCACTACAGGTAGTAACGATGAACGGAAAGATGACGTTCCCCGTCGCGCCAAAGATATCGAAGCGGTTGTGACACTGCCCTCGTACCTTTCACTCCAGACCGTCCTGGATCCGCAATCTCTTCTGAAATTACAACAAGGCCAGAGTGATGAGCGCCGGACAGATCAACTTGAACAAATTGGCGAAGGTTTCTGCGCTACAATCTACGATTTTGGAAGTACTGGCCAGGTCATCAAACAGGCAAAGGAACTGAGGAAGTTCCCGGAGCTCTTGGTCGACTACCTCGCGCATCAAAAGATCTATGCAGCCGGGCTGCACCTGGCGGTCCAAGTCTGCATTACCCGCCCAGCAGAGTTCATTGCACCCGCAGAGCTTGGCCAATGGTACACTAAACACAGAAACTCGGGCAAGTTACCGGATGATCGAATCCTGGTCAACAAGAACATGGCGCTGCTCATTTCCGAGAGAATCCCTGCGCTGCCTCTGGAAATTCGCAGAGCCCTCATTGAAGTATTCTGCCCACAGGAGCAGAAAGTGGCAGCACGCGTGATCCGAAGAAACAACAACTGCCTTGCCCGATTGTACCTGGGCCGGCGTCGACAGAACACCAGAGTCGAGGGAGCATTCGAGCTGCGGAACTTTGAAATGACGTTGGATAAGATGGAGGTGCTGCAAATCGATCCGTTGCAATATGTGGCACCCATGGCAGAAGCTCTAGCAGTCATGCATTGGGAAACCAAACATGATGCGTTTGATGTCGAATTTGTACTCGCCTCGTCACCGAAGCCGACAACTCGGATTGCAGAATGGGCGTCGATCAAGACGACCCGGGAACCCGTCGATGGATCCGAGTCTTCGCAAAAGGCTGTGCAGGTGTGGCTTCTGGACTTCAACCAGATCGGAGAGATCACCATGGACGACAATGGGGTGCGTAGGGCTGTAAGGGGGTTCTGGGATAATGATCCGTATTATCCAAGGCCGACCACGAATGAAGGGTTGCTGAGAACTACCGAGGCCAAGTTGTGGAGCAAGTTTAAGCAAGTATATCTGGCGACGTCATCCAAGATTCTGAAAGACGATGTATTGGCCAAGTCTTTTATCGGGTTGGTTGAAGAGGAAGGCAAGACCAGAGCGGGAGGCGGTTCCCTTCTCCAGGCCCCGCCGAGGACATCGACATCTGTGGCTATGCCGCTGCGATCCGCTGGCAAGAAGAAGCAGAGGAACTATGCATCCCTCGATGACTAGGGAATATCGATTCATTTCAAATAAGGTAGTCATAATAGGGTCCGTATAGCCGGGCTCAAGGCCTCGTACGGCATCCAAACGACACAAAGAATAGACATAATCGTTCCTCCATAAAAATCTATCCTGGAGGTAGCCTCGAACCTCGATCCTTTGAAATTTTAATCAGTATTGAATATCACCATCGTAAGCTTGACCACTCAACCAAACGCGCTGTCCTTTGATCAGGAAGGCACGATGCACTCAGGGAACGGGGCCGCTCACGGGGTGGGGCCGGGAGACCGGATGAAATTTGCCCCACTTCTTTGTATCGGCCGATGGCGAACAAAGGCTCCCCGGCAGGTACCTCATCAATGGGCCAAACAAAGTGCATGCGCAAGTAGTTTATGAGTGAATCTGTTTGAAATTGAAAAAAAGAAAGGCTCGGCTGGAATTAACTCACCCTCGCCGCCTCAGCGCTGGATCTGCTCCCGTTTCCTCAGAACATCCCGTCGAAAACTGAGGCCATATTTAATAATTTCGCACTCTTTCTCAATTAAGTATACTCTCGGCCACCCCATTCCTCAATCCATTTCCTTCCCATTGAAAAGGATCGTGGATAACCTGCAGCTCTTTTCGCCTCCAGAGTCTCCATCAGGCTTGCCCTATATTAGAACACCTATTCTGAAGACTAAATACGCCCATGCCACGTAATTAACAAACGAATTTGGATGTTTTCTATTTCTTTCTCTTCACCTCCATTAATTTTTCTCATTTGGAAAAAATAACCATCTTATTGACGTGCCTTGATGAAGAAGGTAAGTACCAAGCATGACACTAATCTTACTTAGAGTCGAGCTACTCACGTGCCTCCGTTGTTCGGTCGATTGCTTCGTCCTTCATCGTCCAATCCTTTGCGACTTCCATTGGCAGGTTCTGTAAAGGCTGCCAGGTATTCTGACACCCAAATTTACAAGTCAAGGAGCCTTAATCAATAATAACTGGCCAAAAAGGCGGCGTAGTGCAAGGGGCTCACATGGCCTATCCAGTGGTTTGGGGATAACATGCATGATATAGTTCGAGCCATCTGAGGCTGTTAGAGCACATGGATTCCAGAGCCAAGGGCGGTGTGCCTTCCGATTCCCAATCTCAGTTTGCAGCGGCATGAATTTTTAATAAATCCCAACATCACCTTCTCGCTGCTTTCTAGGAATATGATATGAGGAAATGGAAAATCACCACTTTACTAGCAATCATGGTCGATCTTGTCCTTGGTGTTTCGAATTGATTCCGCTGCACTCCTCGAACTTTTGCCTTTTCTCCTCGGACTTTGTCTCAATACCAGTTGGCGCCTGATAGATGCTCAGCTTGCATATCAAATATAACATGATTTCCAAGATAGATGGAGCATCCCTATGCATTGTAAGAGATAAGGAGTCAACTTCTGACTGACATTTGCACCGCCGACTTGGCTTCTCTGACGCGCGGCAGTTGCAAAGCACAGATGTCGCCCTCATTGAAACGTATTGGCGACTGATGCTTATTGTGTAGTTAGACTAGTTGGCGTCGCAACGAGGCGGGTCCTAGTAAGTGCACATCTAGCCAGGGTGTCCAATTCCTCGCGATCACGGCGGTGAAAAGCTGGCGCGACGCAATTTTCTCTCCGCAAGCCTGCACGTGCACGAGAAGGTTGCCCAAATACGTCAGAAGTAGAGAGACTACCATTGACTTCAGAGACGACGATTGAATTCAAAATTCCAACCTTCTAGTTCACGCTTTGTGTGATTCCCAATCTTACCTCAGCAATACGATGGGGAAATGCAATTACTCAGCATGCTTCACAATCATGTCACACTTACTGCTGTTTTGCAGCTCGGGAAAGACGGGATGACACAGCTCATTCTATCCAACTTTTCTGTTCAATTTGACCAAAAGCGGAAAACTGTCAACGCAGCATCGTCCAATGGCACCCCCCCTACAAGCTTTGCGATTCCTTTTCCAACCGAACCAATAAACCCAGTGAAACTATCAAATCTCAAAGGGCGGCTGTCGTCCCCGAAAAGAAACCTTATTTGAAGAAGGTTTTCATGTAACAGTCGAGGTTTTGCTGGAGTCGTATCTGCCGACCCCTTCCCTCCCGCCTCGACGTCGTCGCGCTAATCAATAACACCTTAACCCCAACCAGGTTGCATCGAAGGAAAACAAGGGGATCAACCCCGGCTCTGCAACCTTCTTGATGGCACACTCGACATTACTCCAATCACACGGCACGTCTCCCTCAACCTCTCTAGCAAAACTGGCCTGTTGGTAAGCTTTTGAAAGTTTGTCTCCCCGCTCGGAGCAAAGCTCGGATACTCTGTATCCCAATTTGTATATGAACAGCCCGTGCCATGTCGCGGCTTCTTCAAGATGAGCTTTTGAGATTTTCATCGTCACGTTTCGGGACTGCTATTGAACAGAAGCAGTCACTTTCATCTCTCTTCTCTATCTACACCTCAAGAGTTCAGTCTCTTTGCGTACTTTCAACATGTCATACAACGAATCATCCAATATGGGGCGAGATCGCGAGATGAAAATCCGCATGGTCCAGGAGGCCAAAGCTGTCATCGACTTCGAAGAGGATCCTCATCGCGCAGCGCTGGAGGATAACCCGCTCGAAGCAAAAGTTGGCATCAAAACTTGGATTGCAATCTTTGTAAGGATTTCCAATGCTATCAGGTTCGAAAGTGCGACACCAGCTAATATGTGTAGTCTATGGCTCTGTCCTTTGGCCCTTGTGTTGGACTTGCCTTCCTCACTGTTGCCGCAGTCGTCGTGCAAATTGCCGGAGAGCTCGGTGGACAGGACCAGTTGGCATGGCTGGTAGGAGCATGGTCTCTCTCATCGGCATGCTCCTTCTCCCTCGCGGGACCTCTCAGCGACGTTTTCGGGCGAAGAATTTTGGTCATCAGTGGCCAAGTCACCGTCATCATCGGCTCCATTGCCGCGGTAGCAGCGCAGAGTATTGGGACGCTCATCGCCGCAGAGACGCTCATCGGCATCGGAACTGGCTTCGTTTTTGTTTCCTACGCAGGCGTCCCCGAGATGCTCCCAAACAAATGGCGTTCTCTCGGTCTGGGTATCTTGGAATCTGGCATCGCTGTCCCCTGGTAAGTCTGATCATCTGACCTTTCTATTTCCCGTGCTGCGTGTCGCATGGTTCGAACGCTTCCTCGAGTCAACGAACTTTGTTTTTTACCCCACGTTCTCGGCACATACATCTGGGTGCCGACTCCAGGCGCCGTGCCGACCACACCTCCTTCACAAGACTTGAACGTGGAGAATCCCCGCACTTCGACTAATCGGTCAAAAAATCCGGGGTGTTCGTCTGCCAACAAGAAGCCAAGGTAGCTGACATTAGAATTCACAGGGGCATCTTCTCCGTCTTACTCGGCAATGCGCTTTTCAAATACGCTTCGTGGAGGTGGATATTCGGCCTAAGCATCATCATCGAGGCCATCGCCCTCGTCGGCACTTGGTTTTCTTACCACCCAAACTCGCGGCCCCGCGGCGACTATGACAAGACTCGCATGCAGCAGCTCCGTGGCGTTGACTGGATTGGCTTGTTCTTGTTCACGAGCGGCCTGGCCATCTCCCTCATCGGCCTGACATGGGGTGGCAGTCCGGCCTACCCGTGGAACAGCGCTGGCGCCATCGCACCCATCGTCATTGGCTTCGCGGTCCTGGCTGTCGGCTTCTTGTACGACTTCAAGATTGCCGCGCATCCCATGTTCCCGTTGAAGCTTTTTGTCATGTTCCGTCGCTACTCTGTCCTTCTTGTCGTCCTCTTTGTCTCTGGTATGAACTTCAATTCAATGTCGGCCCTCCTACCCCAAGGCTTCCTATACATGTTTACGACAGATGGGATTGAGATTGGCTCGCTCTCACTGCCCAATACCATGATGATTGGCTTTACCGGCGTTCTCGCACCTCTCATCGCCCACAAAGTCGGCCACCTCAAGTGGCAGCTCGTCATTGGCATGGCGTTCCAGGCAGTCTTTATCGGCGCTACTGCTGCGACTGTTTACCCCAACCACAAGTTTGCCTACGCCTTCGTCCCTGCTTTTGGAGTACCCATGTTCGTCTGGGTCACCATCTTATCCTATGCCGTCGCCAGTCTTCATGTTCCGCATTCGAATCTGGGAGTGGCGATGGGCCTGTTGGGTACCTTTAGATCTGGAGGTGGCGCTGTCGGCAATGCTATTTTCAACACAATCTTCCAAGAAAGGTTCCGCGAGTTCGCGGGTGAGGAAATCACCAACGCGGCCATCAGCAACGGACTAGACCCGTCTGACCTGGGCACCATCATTCCTGCGGCAATTGAGTACAATATGGGAAATCCTCTGGCGTTGGTCGACGTCCCAGGCATCACTCCGGAGATCCAAGACGCTCTGAGAGACGCTGTCCGAGCTGGAGCCGGCCATGCCTTCAAACTCGTATTCTACATCACAATCCCCTTCAGCGTTATTGCCTTGATCTGCTCTCTGTTTATCGAAGATCCCACAGTGTACATGACGAACCATATTCAGTCCGCTATGGGGCAAGAGATGGCCCAGAACCGTAGCAAACGGGCAGCCACTCCCGAAGAGGGCGAGGCAATCGAGTTTGAAACCGTGGGAACGGTTCAATCTGAGCGGATTGTGACCAAGAGCTGAGAATTCCACACGGAGCTCAGACACTTTCGATTGAGGACATTGGCCCTGTTTGGAATTAGTAGCTGTATGACGCGGGGAGACGTAATGTTTAGAAACAAGATCTGGTATGGTACTTGACATGAATTAGTCAATACAATGTACATGATTTCCGCTGCAAGTCTTCTAGTATTTGCGATCAGACAGCTACTTGTGCTCGTCATTCTTCCGTTGATGTCCACTGGTAGCACTGCTGTGGTGGGGACATGGGGCTTGGCTGCCGACATGTGGGGCCGTTGTTGCCGTAATGTCGGTACATGTACTTTATCAAGACCCTCCCTTGACTCCACCCGGAGTTTACCTCCGTTTTCGTTCGCGACTCGGTCACCCTTGCAAAAGTCTCCATCAATATAGGGTATAAGGGAAAAGCGCAAACCGTCTGCTGCTGCAACTCCGAGTCAGACCGTTGATCCTAAATACACATAGCTTTGTAGCATGATGTGGTGATGAGAAACATCGCTCCCATGACATGTCCTTACTCCTAAAGCGGATGGCGAATAGCAAAGCATGATTACAGGTCACTGCTTTCTGATGACGACAAGCATCTCCAACCAGCATATGGTTTGAACTGGGTTGAAAAGAAAAGAGTCAACGTCAACTGGACCGTGCTCGGCCGATATCATTATCTGCGTGTCCAACGAGTCCCAACGCCTGGCCCCAAATATTCACATGAGCCGTCTCGCCCTCTCGAGCCGCCGGCATTGAATGGTATATAAAAGAAAGAGAATGATTGTATGCCCATGTGCTCCCCTTTCCCCTCGTATCAATCGCTCAATTCATTTTAATGTCCCTTTTCATCGTCTTCCCTGGTCGTCGGGTAGTTGAGCAGGACCATTAGGCGCTGCGTGATGCCCCGAGTCCAACTCATACCGGACCTCAGTCGGGGCTTCGTAGATTGGACTTGTGTTGGCTTCGGCGGCATAGGAATGTGGCTGCGTGTGTCCGAGAACCTTGGCCTCCTGTCCGCCGTAGTAATCCTTGGCCGGCGACGGCGAAGAAAGGGTCGAGGCGTTGATGGTACCCGGGCTATGCTTTCCACCGACTGTGCTGCCATCGTGGCCAAGCTCGTAATGTTGTTCGCTCGGCTCGTCGACTACCTCCTTCTTGGCCTTTCTCCGACGCCACCAGAAGAAGAATCCGGCACCGAGGAGCGCAATGGCTCCGAGAGAGACACCCACGCCGATGCCGGCAGCGGCACCTGATGATAGACCTCCCGAGGATGATCCCGCTCCCGCGCCAGAGCTCGCAGTGGCAGACCCGCTGGTAGCTGTAGGAGTGGTGGCGCCCGATCCTGTTCCAGTTGCCGTGGCTGTGCTAACAGGTGTGGTCTCGGAAGTGTTAGAATAGGAATATGCAACATCCTGGAATGCAGAAAGAGACTTACGCCTGCGGAGTAGATGGTAGAGTATGCACCATCGTCCACAGCTTTTGAGCTCGTCATGATCCAATGCTGAGCCGGCTGGCGAGCCGAAATACCGGCAGAACCTTCAATCTCACTCGACATGAAGAGATTTGATCCGGGGTGGACATCGAGCACATAACCCGTGCCATTCGCAACATTGGTGAACTTGTAGGTACCCGGTTCGCTCGACCATTCAGTAACATCCCACTGCTGAGTCTCATCCGACTCTGTTCTCCTCAAGCATCCTCTTGTGCCACTGGGGTGAACCTCCGCCGAGCTCCAGCACACAGAAAGCTGTTTGCCAACACCGGCCGAGCTCAGTCTCATGAGATACCGACCTTCGTGATTGGGCACTGGTTGAAATTGCCACACCGCGTCTGTCTTGCCGAAGACCCTGAGGCCATCGCTGGTATCTTGGAGGTTGTTGATAAGCGGTGTTGAGACATTCGCGACGCGCCCTTCTGAAATGGCGAACCAGACATTGGAGTCTAGCTTTACGGCCGACATTATCACGTTCTCGTTGAAGATATAGGATGTGATAACTCGGCGTTTTATAGTCGACCTCCAGCCGCTGATGAAAGGTAGGTAGAGTCAACGATTCATCTGTCGCTGAGGTATCCACAAGGCGCTTGAGGAGGATCAAAACGTTCAAACCACGCCAATATCAGAATGTACAGTAATCAGAAAGTGCGAAAGATGGAAGGGGAAAAAAGGTCTTCAAAAGGAAAAGAACCAAAGGGGGCTTGCCAGGGGCCCTTGACGAGTTGTCGACCCCAGCCTTTGAGGGGCGGCAGGGGGTCAGATTAACTACACCATCTCAGGCGGAGGAGCGGGAGAAACACGCCAGTCGGCAGGACTGGCTCGTTTGACACTCCGCCACTTGACGCCTCGAACTAATTCATGGAAGATCATCTCTTCTTGAGGTGGCTCTGCAGCATTGAAATGCCTTCTTACTGGCCGGCAAATGGCTGGGTACAACGCTGCCGCTGCAGGTGTGAAACCATCAAATGTGGCCAGGTACCAAGGAAAGACGCGGCAGGCGACATAAGCACACCAAAAGCTCACGCCAAACGTCCCGTTGGGACGGTGAGACAGCATAAGATAGGCCAGGCTTTCAGGCAGCGAGAATGGACCTCTCTCCGATTGACAAGATCCTTCAGGCCTGCTCGTGCCTGCATTCGTTGGCAATCCTGGGCATCATCTAAAATGCTGGAAGGATAAAAGATGGACGCAGTTCTCGAGATAACCGCGACCTTGGCAAGGAGAGGTCTCGAGATACAGAGAAGCGCTGGCTTAGCGTTGCCCTGCGGCGGCAAAGCCAACTCTAAATTCGTAGAGCCGTCAGGAAGAGTCAGCCACGCGGCCGTTGATGACAAGAAGCGAAACGAACACAGTGAGGCCAGAAAACGAAAGGCGGGGGGGTTGCCGCCACTCAAGAATTAGCAGCGGGAGCTCGAGACGCCGAGCCAATCCACCTGTGGCCGCAATTATAAAATAGTAAGCGCTAGCAACTCAGCCCTGTCTATTTGGGGGCGCGAAATGGTCGTCGAGGCAAACATGGTACCAGGGACAACCCCAGCTCGCTCATCATCGCTAATTTTTGGCCTTGATTGGATAAGATGGGCGACAACCGCGCCCGTCCGCAGTCGGAGCTTGGACGCTGATCAGTTTGCTCGGATCCAAAAGTCCGATGAATCTTCTGGGGATTGAGGAGTTTGTGGGCACGGGACTACCCCCTCGGGCTCCCGTAGGGGTTTACGTGAAATCGGGTAGTCTTTGGCAGCATGTTTCTTGTTTTGCACCATTTATTTTTTGAACTTGCGAAGAGAACTCGGAGAGTTCTCTTCTCGGAGAGAAAGGAAGGCCCCTTCCTTACTAACATACCCAGAGTATGGCTCCGGGACCCTGGCTAAAAAGCCACATGCATGCTCGTGCAGTGTGGTTACCGAGGACATGCAATGTCCCGCGGGCCGGTCAAGCTCATGCTCCTTGTCACCAGGTTCTTCCAAGTCCCCCGCACGTAAAAAACCACGCGAGAGCTTACCTTCCGTCTCCCGCGAGCTGGTGCGCTGGATTTTGAGCTACCAATCATCAGCTGCATACTGGCAGCTGGGTCTATTCTGGAGACGCTCATCCTTTCTTGTTACTGACAGCACTGCTACCATCAAGCCGCCACTCTCGTCGCCATTTTTGGAAAATCCTTCCCCAGCCTACGTAACATTTTAATCAATAGTAACAGCTCAAGTGTTCAAAGGTTCTCTAGTCTTCTAGTCTCACCGTATTCCGTGCGACTTGCATCCAAAGTGCATCGATTCTTCATTTCATTATCGCTTATTCCCGGGCTTGATCCCGCTTGCACAACAGTTTGCTGATCAGAAAGCATTGTGCTGTCGTATGCGAACGGGAAGCGGCTTGGCATATGTATGTCGGTTCATGGCTTATTCCAGGCACAGTGAAGGAGAAATCTTAGGAGCCCTACAGGATTGGCCAACTCGCATTCGTCCCATCCGATGAAGGAAGGCTTTTTGTGATTAGTCCTAGATGGCCCGACGGACAAGGTCTTACAGGGCCCTAGACAACAGAGTTTGTTCCCTGGCGTCTGGCCTCGACTGTTATGTGACAGTCGGATCTTCTCCTCGAACACGTCACTAGGAATTCGAATGCCAATGGAGCTGCCTAACTCGACCTACAAAGCTATGGCCCCATCTCTTTACTTTACTTCCGGTCTGGAGCAGCTGGGATTGGGTTGATCATTGTTTGGGCATCAGATCCAGCGGATGCTCTTCCGGCTGACTGCAGTTCTCAATTCCCTTACGACATTGCAACTTGGATTTCGATTTTCCAATATAATTCATTTACATCGCTGAGGTAGTCGAATCCAATCACTTTCCTGTTTGGGAAATTCAACATTCTAACTAGACATGGAAATCATCTCCAGCCCAATCTCAAACTTCGCGATATCTTGAAGAAATCGTCTCACGAGAATTTAGGAACAATTTCTTTAGCGAAACAAGAGAATGACTATCCTGATTATCTTCATTAAGGACTCAGACCTAGTTTCGGAACCTCGGGTACTCTCACGAGGATATGATGTTGGCCAGGCAGATTATCAAGTGCTAGACCAAGTCTCCTGCTTAAACTGATTTTGAGCCTATCCCATCGAATGCTAAATGTCATCAGTACATGCATGTACGTTTCATAATCTCTCTAAATTTGATCCTTGTCAGATTCTCTAATTCAAGGACATATTGGGAATTAAACTGGATCAGTGTAGCATTTGCTGTTACCCTGTATAAGTATGTCCTGGCACCATCTGGCATTCAATGGGGTAGGCTTTGTTCCTCGATTCAAGTTTCCCGAGTCTCAATATCATTTTCCATAGATCTTCAGTAGTAGCTTCATCAGATCGCTTCCGAAATGAGCGCAAGAACTTTACCTTCACAGCCTTTACTCCCACCCATATAGGATTTCTACCCGGCTTTATCCCCAGCGGCTGAGCTTTCCTCCCACGCTAGATTTGGTCCATTTTTCACCTTGAGATCAGTCTTCCAGCTCGGCAGCATAATTCAATCCACTAGGGCTCTGTGCGCCGGGATCGGTTCCTTCTTTAGCCCCTACAGCCACGATATTGGATGGATGGTCTGCTACATCATCAATGCTCGAACATCTTTAGATAGGAATTACAGCCGGTGCCACAGCTCAGATAATTGTCAGAAACTCATTGACAATGGCTCTAGCATGTCAAATCCGAAGACTTTAGATTCGTGTATTGAACCTTGTATCACCTTCATTTCAGCTAAAGAATCTCCTGGAATTAGAACGGGCTTTCGCTTCATATGTATTTCCTGCAGGCTCGACGGAGACTGCCGGAAGGTTTAACGATACAAAATTTACTACTTGTAGTCAATTCTAAATTCAACTTAAAAAGCAGTCTTCTTTCCAATTTATGTGTGATTCACGAATGTGTCGCTTTTAGAGATTCTTGATTACAATTTCATGAATTCCATAACTGCCTGCCAAGCTGCTTTTATCTTCCATTCCTCCGGTTTCACTGCCTTGAGCCATGAGTTACGTTCTAGAAGCTCAGTGTATCCGGCGCCCGCCAGTCATGGAGCCATTAATCACCGGACTAGTAGCCATATTTATTACATCTGAGGTATATTTGTTGATACTAGTTACGTAGATACATGGCTGTTAAATTCTGCGTCCTTGAAACTATTTTCATTGTTGGTTTAAGAAAAGAAACACTGCAGCTCAGGTGGTGTCTTTAGCTGTCACGATAGCCTCATATTTGGCAGAGGCTCTTTTGGTTAGCCTTGTTACGTATCGTATAAAAACAGACCTGCCATTGCAACAATGCTTGAAGTACTTCCCGACTCCCAAAACCGGCTGTTCAAAGGTTAACACATATATGCCTGTTTCCTTGGAACACACAAGCTTAATCTTCCTCGGTTGTCCTTCTTCCTGGTAGCCTTATCTTAGTGAATGTAACGTTCTGAAAACAAACATACTTAGGCTACTTTAGAACTAGCACCCTTCGTGTTGCACCCTTTCCCCACGCGCTTGACCTTTGAAAGAAACACAGGAGGTCAGTGCAATATCTCCACAAATTCAACTCGTACCGGTCGAGCATTTCGGACATGCCCCTTAGCAAGGAGAATTTTGACACTGATCTCGTCTGTGTGCAGGATATAATTATCATACTAGCTTATTTTGCAGAAGCACAAGTGCTCTTAAGCCATCCAAACAGTCACATGCATGCATGCACCGTCACTGCCTCCGCCTCCCCGCAGTACTTTATCAAGGATATGGCAAGATTTTCGATGGTCGAACTTGGCGTTGATCTCTTAGGGTTGCCGACCATGGCCTAGAAATTCTAATACTTCTGGAGAGTAAATGGAATCATCGCTCCGTGGTACGATATTGTAGACTTTCATAAACTGTGGCGCGAAGAACTTGAGCATTTTGAGGTGCCGGCCTTTGAGTCAACATAACTCTTAGCGGTCCTAGCCATGTTGACGCATCCTAAAACTTAGCGTACGGCCAGCGGCTACGGTAGTTGCCATTCGGCCTGTTTGACTGGTGTGGCCCGGCGCCTCCCAGAGACGGAGCGTTCTTTGTCTGGTTGGCCTTTCTCCCCTGCATCCTCTGACTCTTTCGAAGCTTCAGGATCAGGCCATTCGGAGGACCGGAACCTCTTTGCTCCCAAGAAGCTGCCCCGGCTGAAATCAGACACAGTCCGGCACGGCAATGCTACCTTATGAGGGCCCTCATATGTCGATCGGTGGGGGGACTTAGACCGTATTCTGTGCGGTATCGCGAGAAGCTATCCGGGCGATCGTGGTGCCCAACGGGAGGTTTATTTTTGACTTTCTAGCCGTGACGCCTTACATTTTGTACTACTTCCAAGTGAATTGATCAGAACGACTTTCGGAGGTCTCATTCGGATAAGCTCAGCAGCCTCACGCGTCTTCAGCTCTGCCGTCAGTAACAAGCGCTCGCCCTGCCGCGCCAGAAAGCAATTTACCACCCCTATTAGTTCAAAATTGAAAAGAACGACCCTATAGCTACACCAAATGCCGGGTTTAGAGCCTCAATTCTCTTGCAGATGCAGGGTCATGACGCGGGATGGCACGAGGGGGACTGCAATGGTTTCTGCTAGCGCCGTTTCCGTCTCAAATAGGGCGGCCGCTTCTTGACTCAAGAGAGACTAGCTAGCTCTTGCTCAGACCTTTTAAGTGGGAACTCGATGACCTCAAAGCCTCTTAGCTCCAGCTCTGCCCACGACTAGCCGTGTAGTTTTGGAAAGCAAACCGTAGCGCAAGCGACGGCAAGTTTCTGACGGGATCTGTCAAGTTTGCCAAGCTTGAGACACAGGCACGGAAAAAGGACAGCTTCTACCGTAGAAACTTGTCAAACTCGGATTTGCGTTTAGCTGGATTCAGTACCAGAACTGCGCTGATCTCCACCCCATTTTGAGGTCAATGTCCTGAGAGAAGGCTCAAATTGGTCAAGTCTCTGGTATTAAGATAGCGGGAGCACGGGCTAGCGCAAATCCGAGTTTGACGAGTTTCTACGGTAATGCTGTTGGAATTTCGAACCGTTGACAAATTGATTCCTTACTTCCAGGCACACTCGTTTCGGTCCCTTTGGCTTTCACGATTGTTCTTACATAAATTCCTCATGCCACCTACCATCGCGTGGTTAAAATCTCAACCCCTGTTCTTCACCGTTGACTTTGAGAAAGAAGAATATCCAGAACCCGACCAACATCACCGTTCAATCTTGGATATGTGACCGTCCCCAACCTCCGTTATCCGATATCCACCATGAGATTTCCTCCGGCTGAAGTCGTCTCGTCATGGCCGGCTCCAAACTACGTTGATCCCGCTACAAGGGGACCAGCACTTATGATTATTGATTTAACGTCGTTAGGCGTGGCACTGGTCTGTCTCGCCTTACGGCTGTATGTTCGACTCTTCATGATACGCAGGAGCTGGTGGGATGACTGGTTGATGATTGCCGCCGTGGTAAGTAGACCATGCATTGTACCTGTCTATCAGAGCGAGTACTCATAGCCCAATTTCAAGATCTTCTGCATGTCCGTCACAGTATGCGTGATACTCGGTAAGATATTCCTTTCACGCTGCGGTGTGAAGCCCAAAGATGAATGGTAACTGATATGTCTCGTGATAGCGACCCAATTATACGGCTGGAATCTCCACGTATGGGACCTGACTCCCGTCCAACAAAGATTAGGTCGGCAGGTAAGGTTCATCGGGTTCTGGCAACTTGAGTTAAGGCGAGAAACTGACAGTGGTAACACAGGCATCTATCACAGGCCAAACCCTTTTTTTGTTCGCATCAGGCCTCTCGAAGCTTTCCATCCTCACAAGTTATTTGAGAATAGCCCCTCTCGGGTCATGGTTCCGACGACTGACATGGGTCACCATGGGCTTTGTATTCGCCTTGATTTGGATTTTTCTTATCGCCCTATGGACTCAGTGCGGGTAAGAAACTCTTATTGCACCATACTTTCAACAGAAAGAAAATTAATGGCTTACAGACCCGCGTGGCACTACTGGGACCTATTCGTGGAAAATCGCAACTGCATTGAAGAGTGGCCACCTCTGGCGGGCCAGACTATCACCACAGTCTTGACCGATTTCGCCGTTTACATCCTTCCTATGCCTACACTATTCAGACTAAGGCTACCAATGATGCAACGACTTGTTCTCATCGTTCTCTTTAGTCTCGGCACAGTCGTCGTTGTGGCTGGGATTATGAGAACTTGGTGGGTCCATTTTGTTGAGAAAGAAACTTATGATGTGACATGGGACGGGTTCGAACTGTGGATTTGGACAGCTCTCGAAGCGAATCTTGCCGTTGTATGCGGCTGCGTACCCGTTCTCAGACGCCTATTGCCGTTGATGTCGGATAGCAAGGATTCAACTGTGGCTGAAAGCGCGGCTCCCCCGACGATTGGGTCCGGCAAGAGGCGTCAACAAAAGTTCGACGATCTGGATATCGACGTGGAGAGTCAGGCACTGGATCACATCAACACGACTTCAACGACGGATGGCGAATCGGTAGAGATACAGCCAGCGGGGTATAGTCCTGGGTGGTTCCCGTTACGAGATCCTTGGAGAAGATCAAAACATTAACAAATCCACTTGGGGATGCACTAATGTGTAGAATTAATAATCGCATAATATTATTCCTTTCATGTGGCTACGGAATGACCAAAAGTTAGGCGAGGCATCTTTCAGAATGAGTTAGCCAATGGAACACAGTCGTAGTACATCTCATCCAATGTTCTGTTTTTGAAAATCATAGGATGAAAAACTCCGTATAGGGTATCGTCATGGAAAGAGGAAAGTTTCTGAGGCTCTCAGATCAATCACCGGCCTTCGCGTCCTACAATTTGTTGAGAAATGACGCCTCTTCAACTCAAACGATTCCGACAACACCAAAGATTGGATACGAGTCACTCATCCAACCACTGTACATGTAAAAAGTAGCTCTCGTAATATCAGTGGCTTTCTCTGGGTGAAAACTTCCTGAGTTTTAATTGAGCATCAACTAGCGGTGTTCACACCCTATGCCGATATGCCAAAGTCTTGAAAAATTAGAATTTCTCCACCGCATTCATTCAAGAAATAACAAAAGATACGGATACCTCCTATGTGGAAGTTGAGGCCATTTCTGATCACTCAAGGTATCCTCTCCAACACCTAAATTAAGTCTATATCGACCCGCCAAGCCATCAAAGATTCAAAGTGCACACTTGTGTTTAGTGGAAGCCGAAATATGCAGGTGACGCGAGGTCACACCAATAGGGTCCTCGACTGTGACTTTATTCGCTCACGCCACAATCCTATGGTCCAACTGCCAGCCAACTCGTGCAACCTGCTGATCACGCCTCTTTTCCCGACACACTAAGGACACATAAGGCCTAGGTCCTCTCCCCGCAGTCCATTCTTCCGATCTATTCCTCAACGGCCTCGGCCACCTTCTGAGCATGCAATTTCCCCTCCGCTTCGCCGCAATCATCGAATTGCTGTGTGCCTTTTTCAAGCGCCGAATTAGCGACCGCTGTCATTCTCAGTCTAAACCTACGTCAAAATGAACAGCGTGAACCCTGCGATGGAGTCGATCTCATCGGAGATGGACATTGAAGGGAAAAGCCGGGAAGAAATGATAGCCGAGTCCGTGAAAAAGAACGAGGACATCCAAAATCTGTATCCTCAGGTGGATTTCAAGGGGGCCGTTCTTGAGCCCACTATTCATTTGACTTATGATATTTAGGTATTCCATCTAATCTACTCACAGCCTATCTACACATTTTTATCCCCAACTCGGCCGTAGCTTTCAACACCAGCCCTCTCGTGTGAGTTTAGGCATGATTCTGACAGATTATTTAGGAACAAGTCGATGAACCAAATCAAAGAAGATATAATACCCTGATCGCAGAGATGCTCGAACGTACCGCAGAGCCAGACCTCGCTGAAAGGCTACTTTGGGAAGCGAGGGAGTGCCTTACTGGCTACCCAGAAATCTTGGCCCAGTTCGACGCGATATTCATCGGCCAGCGGTCTTCTTCAAGTGTGATCAGGGAATTGCACGAATGCATGATGATGAAAAAGACAGTAGAGAGGAGGATGAGCCAACAGGTGAACGATGCGGAAACCCACAATAGTACTCATTAATAAGACTTGGCCGATTTTTTCGACAAATTTCGCCGTTACAGGCAACTCAAACTTGGGAAACGTCGACTCTCGTGGTCTTCAAGGACGACGCATACGAATTTACCGTGTTCACTACGTCTATGATTCGCTGCAAGTCAGTATGAGTTGAGAACGGTGGACAACATCTGCAAGGCCCTACTATTTAAACTTTGTGATGCAAATTCAAGGTCTTATCTCAGCTTCAATTCGGCAGCTGTCCCAGGAAAAGAATGGGCTCAGAAAATGACCTACGATCATGCTTCAAGTCGACAGTCAACAGGCTCCGCAACTCCCATTTATCCTCTAGCCACAGAACATGAACTGATCAAACAGTGTCTAGCACCGCTAGCAAACACGCAAAGCCACACACGCAAAGCCCCTCTTCCTGCAGGAAAAAATACGAGCTGCGGCGATAAGTAGACTTGAGTGTTTTTTCTGTGTTGCCCGGACCCGCTGTCAGCTTATTGCAACATTGCAACTGGATTCCTTTGCGGGACTTGCACGAATCGAGACATGTCACATCTCCTTGAGGGCAAATAAATCCGGAGAGTACGACGACACTCACAGAAATTATCTTTGACGGACGATTGAAGACGATGTTGGCGCCCCGCTCACATACTTCCCCCTGCCCTTCACCCCATGATCGACGCTGCCATCTCCACGCCGAGGCGGATCCAGACAATAAAACCCCCGCACGGGACGAGCTTTTCTGCAGTCAGAGGATGTTCGGTGATGGGCTTGGGCGACCTTGGTTCCGCTACCCTGCATGTTGGGCAACAGCCAATAGGGTTGTCTGTGACAGAAACGTCTAACTTATCATCGTGAAGGGGGCGAGCTTGGTGATGCTAAGTCGTTCCTACTGTCGGTTCCCATTGCTCAGCGAATCGTGGCCACAAAATGCCGCCAATAGACTCTATCGTTATAGTCGAAGTATCGCCAAGGCTAGAAAAAGAGCCATTCCGTCGGCAAGCCGTAGATGTGTCGTAAGAGAGGACAAGATCTCCGAGTCCTGAGCATCCTCGGGTTACCGAGTGGAGCCAAAGTTGCGTGAAAAGGTCAGACGATGCCGAGACTGACGGATCTTTGCCGTCCGGAGTAGGTGCAAAAACATTTGCGATACGCTAAGATATGATACTGCCTCCAGTTCTCTGTTCGTAACAACGGCGGTGTAAATAACAATTTAGCAACCGCTTTCAGAACAAGCAAGGGATGTTCTCAGCGTTTTAACAGGCCATATAAACCCGCCGATACTGAAGATCATCCCAGGTCGTCTTCCATCATTCATCATCATCACCAATCATCTACCAATCTGCCCGTTATGAAGTTCACAACCCTCTTCACCCTCACCTCAGCCCTCACCAACGTCACCGCTGCGCCCAACCCGGCCCCCGTCTCCGAAACCACTCCCTCCAGCCACCCTCATCAGTTATTCAAGGGGCGGGAATGCCCCAGCTACTACGCATCCAAGGGTGTATGCTCTTCCTCTGTCTCGCTGCTGGCGATGTTTCGTAGACACTGCGGGTCGAAAGTCACTAATCCGATCCTATACATAGAGTTGCCACGGTACCTCCTGCCGCTGGGGGTTGGTTAACTACTAGTGCAACATTGGCTCATGTGTACGTTGTAATCCCCCGGCAACTTCAATCTTCCTTCATATCGATGGGATGAGGTCCAAGTCTACTCGAGTACATGTCTGAATTTGCATAATATAGGTTGGTAGTGGAGGCGGCGATGGCTCTTGCTGCGGATGGCCCAGCAATGGTGGTGGTGCCCATTGCCCAAACGGCGGGTGGTGAAGGCCAGAGAGCAAAGTTCAATGTTGCTTCGAGCGAGTGGACAGCGAATTACTACAACGGCGACTGTACCTGTACTTGATGGAGAAATGCAATTTTTCCCGCTCTCCATGAAAACGATCACTCAACACGAATTCTTTGCAGAATTATTGGCGGAACATAGCCAATGCGAGCATTACAAGGTCTATACTTTGCGATTCTGTACTTTGTCTGATTCACAGCATCGACTTTCCGACTGAACCGCTTCATTGATAGTAAATTACATTCCTTAGCATTTCAATAACTATTGGCGAGTGTTTAATCCACTGTGACTAAGGAACATCTTCTGTCATTTCTGTTTTCATCGCTTTGAACAACTACGATGTAATTTACATATTGGAATCGATCACACCCCTTTCAAGTATTGCTCAGCTTCTTCCACCTTAGGAAATTGACCATAATCCCATTTTGAAAAAAAAATCATGCCCTCTCGACCACGCCTTAATACGGCTTAAAATGCTGGCGTTTCGCCGTCCTTTGAGACTGCGTTAACATACGCCCCTTTTTCACGCAGAAGCTGAATCATCTCTCCGTAATCATGTCGCACAGCATAATACAATGGAGTGTGTCCATAGATATCCATGGCGTTGGGATCTGCCTGGTTGTCAAGGAGAAGCTTGACAAGAGCCAGACGGCCCCATGTTGCAGCCCGATGTAATGGTGTTAATCCGTTGTCGTCACTCTTGTTGACATTTGCTCCATTCTCAATGAGAAGCTTAGCAACCGCCATGTGGTCTCCTATGGAAACATGATGCAGTGGTCCACGGGAGTCTATGTCTGTGGCATTGACATTTGCTCCATTCTCAATGAGAACCTTAACAACCGCCACGTGGCCTCCTGAGGAAGCATAATGCAGTGGTCCACGGGAGTCTATGTCTGTGGCATTGACATTTGCTCCATTCTCAATGAGAACCTTAACAACCGCCACGTGGCCTCCTGAGGAAGCATAATTCAGTAGTCTACTGGAGTGACTGTCTGTGGCATTGACATTTGCTCCATTCTCAATGAGAACTTTAGCAACCGCCACGTGGCCTCTTTGGCAAGCAATATGTAGTAATCTCCCATTCTGAGTAGTGAGACCTGCCCCTTTTTCAATCAGGAGCTTCATGATCTCATCATAGCCATTTTGAGCGGCCGTCACTATGAGTTTATCTCCTTCAAGATCACCGTCACCAAACTTAGGCATTGCCCGAAGAAGGATAGTAGCTATGCCGACCCGGCGATTTTCCACAGCCCATGATAACGGCGCTAGGCTCTTGAAGCTTGAGAGGTCCTTCCTGTGATTGAAACCTTCCATGATGTTCGTCCCATTGTAGATGACGGAAGGTATTTTCAGAAGAGCAGCGACGGATTTGCTATTCCCGTGAGCCAAGGCGGCAAACAGGGGATATTCATAACGTTCCGCAGAACGGCATTGCAAGTCTTCACTCAAACCCATGCGAATGAGCCTTGAGCAGTCCAATTCCGCAAAGATGTAAACGAAGCTCGCTTGCGGTGTGTAGTGACGCACTTTGTACTTTTGAAAGTGATTATGGATCCCAATCCACTTTTCGAGGGGAAACTGAGATAGGAATTGGTCTTGAGAGATGCCAGCAGCTGCGACATCAGCATGGAAGAAAACCTGCTGGCATGCGTATTCCATAAATGGATACTGATTCAGAGATTCTGCAGAGGAATTTGAAGCCAAGTAATGTCCAATGTACGCGTCGCAAGAAATTTTCAATCTTTCATGGCTCGGGAGCTCCCAGTCAAAGCCCAGCTCCGGCCAAAGTTCAGCAAGTCCCCCGGCTTTGAGAAGATAATCTCTGACAGATTCATGTATGAATTGAACTGTTGGCCGGGAGGATTTGGTAATCTCTGCTAGCCCCTTTGAGAAGCCGATGACGCATCTTGTGGCATTGTCTTCGTCATCCGAAGCAGTGACTTTTGGAGGATCAGGATCCACGAGGTCCTGCTGTGATAGTCCTGACCAGAGCGCATGATAGAATTCCTCGGGTTGTAAAGGTCTCTTGGCGCAGAGGATCCAGATGACGCACAAGAACAAATGTTCCATGTTCTTGCTATCACGCGTGAGGATATCCTTGAACAAGGCGCCCAGGTCGCTTGGTATCTCGACAAGCCTTTTCTTCATCGCCAATCCACCTTGCGAGTATTCGGTATTGAGGATGTCAACAACTAGAATGAGCCAGAGAAATACGCCCGCAGCCTTTTCGAGAAGTTTGATCTGTAGCTCTTCAAAAAAGGTCGGATTCTTGACTATGAGACGACTTTTGATGTAGTTTTCCATGTCCTGTGTGTGGCCTGGCTGGTTTTCAAGTATCATTTCCACTCCTCTTTTGATGACAATGTATGGATAATGTCGACTGGAAAAACAGATTCGAAAGGCGATACCTTCTACCGAAGCCTCTTCTGCCAAGTCCTCAAAATCTCGAACCATGTCTGTGACTTGTTGCTCGTCGCATTCGTCAAGAGCATCGATGAAACAAGTCAGTCGAAGTTGGCCAAGAGCAAGGATAGCTTCAGAAAATAGATCTTTGAGAGTGTCCAAGTTGGGACAGCCCTCGTTCTCCTGTTGAGTTGAGCACAACTCGTCAAGCACTGTTCGGAGTTGGGGATATCCCTGAAAGACCTGGAACAGCAAAGAACGGTACATCCCTTCGATTGACCTTTCCAAGTATTCACCTCGGGCGTTGAAGAAGAACGAAACTACGAGTGGTGACCAACGAGGATCCTTCTGCATTTTCGACAAGACGAATTTCATGATTGTCGACTTTCCCGCGCCTGGCTTGCCACGAATCCAAAGAAACCCATGGTGCAACTTGAGATTCTCTTCGCTCAGCCATGTTTGGTAATCTTTATGTTTGATGAACCAGGCACATGTCTTGATGTGTGCTTTTTTCACAGTAGATCGACGGGAGTCCATCTGATCAAACTTGAGAGTCTCCATCAGCTGGGTCTGTCTTTGATGTTGATCTAGCAGTGCCTGAGCTACAAAGAGAGGTCAGCGATGAATCCAAGTTCACAAATGATTTGTTGCGTGTACATACAAGGCTGAGGACGGTGGACAGCTCGTCTGCTAGCGTCGACTGAGGGGAGTACGGAGAGCAGCTCTCTGGCACATGCGCCGGCTGCAGCTGCGGCATATCTCTGCCATGCTTTATTCTTATGAGAATCTGCGTAGTCGCAAATTCCGCGTATTGGTAGGCAAGGAAGAACATCCATGATACCAGCAGCCTCCATTTCGAAACACACAACGTCTAGGTTACGAGCAGCATTGTCCCTTTCGGTGGCGTTCTTCATGACTTGGTTGCCGGACGCTATTGCTCCGTAGTGTATGGCGGGATCGTCGTTCAGTCGTGCGCGTCGAGGCATCTGCTTCAGTTGGTCGCAGTCGTCGCATGTAGTTGCCGATTCTGCATGATCGTATGCCGATAGGAAGAGACGATCAGCGGCTGTTGGGCGACCATAATGTGGTAGTGTCGCAAATCTTTCCTTGAGAATGGAAGATATTTGGCTAGGTTCCCGGTCGTGTTTGGCCCGCAAAACTGTGATGGCTTTGCCAAATGACTGATGGAGAGTCCTAGCAATTGCTGTGCGTTGAATCTCGGCACCTGCGACAATCTTCCCTAGGTCGTACTGCATCGTCCTTGTACCGACCACGACGTCTCCCAATCGTATGTCCCTAGCACTACTCGGCACACCACCTCCAATGCCGACCATCAATGCTAGCCGAGTTGATGGAAAAGTACGGACTAGATTGGTCACGACATTCGCCGCATTGTTGGTGCCATATTGGTCCGCTGGCAGGCATGTGATGACAACGTTATGGCCCTCGATGTTTCCCAGCGTGTAGGTATTGGTGTCAGTTGTGTAGGCGTTGCCATAGAAAGCACGAGAAGGTAAGACGTCATGCTTTTCGTCTAGCATGGCTTCTGCAGCTACCAACTCTATGGGCAATGCGCAGATCCAGGCCACTGTGTAGCGATGGTGTTCAAGTGGTATTTCTTCGCTTGAAAGTCGAGTCTCGCTGTCCCAGTCGTCAAGAAGTGTTCGATGCCGCTTGAGTGGGCGAGAGGGGCTGCATCGAGCATCATCAGGCCAAAGACGCTTCCCTTCCATCGTAAGAAATCACCTAGAAACTGTCCTTGACAGGAACTTTGGTGCTATCGCTAGATCGATGGTAGGAGAGGAAAAGAGATGGAGCAAGAAGATGAAGAAGGCAGATGGGGTGAATGGGCGGGAGGAGCAAAAGGGATCATGGGGGCACATCAGGCTGTGGAAAACACAGCCACGCAGCAGGCAACCAAATGTTGGCGACTTCGACTTCCCAATCATTCCATTGTTGGATTTGTTTAGGCGCAGGGATGGGCTGACAGCGATAAGCGGGGTGAGCCTGCCTGGTCATCATTGGGTGAGGCTGATTTCTTCCCAACACAGAACATCCTCCTCAGGTAAAAGCAAGAGACGATGAAATCCACTATGGATGAGATAGAAAGTCTCAGATGTCAATCTTATACCGGGACCGTTGTTTTATGATTGCCTCACGCAATCGAAGGCTTTCCGTTGAAGGATTTCATGCACAGTAAGAGTCCACCTAGAGGGGAAGGTCGTGAGCAACTGACCAAACAGTGACCCCCGCCACCATGCATGAGGAATCCTTTGTTCAGGATCAACAAGACGCTTCGAATCTTATTTGAATGCTGAGATTCGCCTCTACCTGTTTAGAGCGGTTTCTTCTTGTAGCCCTCGAAACAACACATGCAAATGATAACACGCTGAGAGGGACGATACGATGGAACATCGAAACGCATCAACACCGCGACAAGTTGCCTGGGAGAAGAATCGAGGCGGCGAGGAAGACAACGACGACGATATGAATCTCACTCTTGAAGAAGCGTCGCAGTCCCTTCTCTCCGCCCACAACACCAAACCCTCTCACCAAAAACACCAACAAACCCAGCCCAACCACCACCGACGACGATTCACAGCCACCTACACCCGCCTCGCCCTCCTCCTAGGCGCCTCCCTCCTTCTAGGCGCCGCCCTCTCAGCCCTCATAACCACCGCTCTGGCAACGCGCATCCGAGCCCTCCACGCCTCCCACCGAAACGACAACACCCTCGCCTCCTCCTCCTCCTCCTCCTCCTCTTCCGCAAAAGACGACCCCTCCACCCGCCCAGTATCCTACCTCCAACAAGCCCCCTGCGGCTCCACCCCCACCCAAGCCCGCGCCGCCGGCTGCGAATTCGACCTCATAAGCTTCAACTGGCTCCCATCTCAATGCCACGACGCCGCCCTCGCAGCAACCTTTGAAGCGGAACTCGTCGAGGCGGGACAGCTCGCCTGGTTCGAGGACGCAAACCGCACGCGGCCTTCGCTTACGAGAGAGCAGATCATGACGGGGGAGTATACGGGTGTGTACGTTAGTCTGGGATACCACTTGCGTCACTGCACGGCCATGTGGAAGCGGATGCACCGCGCGCTGATGCAGAGTCAGGGCGGGAACGGCGGCGGCGGCGGCGGCGGCGGCGGGCTGGAGAGGGTCGATAGCTATATCTGGAGTTATCACCACACGCGGCACTGCGAGGAGGTGCTGCTGACGAGGTATGCAGAGGCCGATGTCGGGGAGGTCTTCACGACTGAGGTGAGGATTAAGTATCCTGATTGCGGCGTCGTCTTGGGGCCCGCAGATTGATGTCGATGTTTGGATGCTATTGTGTCGGGCAAAGAATGCAGAAAGAACCTTGAATTTCATTCGACATCAGGCGTTGTTGACTTCGCAGGTGTCTCCGCCTGCTCAGACGCAACCCAACTCTGTAAACTCTCCTCCTTCTCCGCCTTCCTCTCCTGTCTCGTCTTCAACCTCCAACTTCCACTGCTACCGTTCCCATCCTCCTTCTCACCCCTGCCGCCACCACCCGACGGCAACGGCACCTTGGGCTTCGCAAGCAACTTTCTCGAAAACGGTATCCGCCAAATATGCGGCCCGACCTCCGTCCCCGTCACCCGATTCGTCTCAATCACCGTCCTCAACCTCTTGGCCGCCTCCCAATTCGACGTGACCGTCGTCAACCGCGTCGTCCACCCGTACAAGAATGACGAAACATTCATCGCGTTGAGCCCTGACCCTCTCTTCCCGACCGCCAACGCGACGGCCGGCAGCTGGCCCTCGGCCACCATCCGCTGCGCGTCGTCCCACGAGACAGAGTCCACGATTTCGACGGGGAGGCGGAGGTCTGCCGGCACAGGGTGGACGGAGAGTTCCTGCAGCGCGGCCACGCGGCGTCGTCGGTCCTGTTCGACGTCCTCGGGGACGGTGTCGGCGTCGCTTGGGTCAAAGAGGATCCTCGTGCGCGACTGTTCCGAGTCCGTGCCAATCTCGTAGACAATCTTGAGAAACGTATCCGCCGCTTCCCTCGTGCAAACCAGCGTCCGGCCAGTGATGGCGGGGTACAGCGTATTCACCAGCCGCGGCCCGTTCTCCACCTCGTCCGTCGCGTCGATGCGGTGCTGCTTCGACCGTAAGAGGTCTGAGTCCGGCCCGATGGCCATGTGGCTAAAATCAGACGCCAACGCCATGAAGACGGAGCAGTCCACGTTGACCGTCTGCGTAAAGTCCTTGTAGTAATCTGTATTAACAAGGTTCGAGATGGTCTCCTCCAAGTCCGGCGTGGGATCCGTCAGGATGCCCGCACCGTTGGCCGTCTCGACGAGGAGGTCCACGTCGTCCCCGCCCATTTTCCTCACGAGCCGCAGCAAGTGATCCACAGACTCATTTTCCCCCTCTGATATTCTCGACATCAGTATCCGGACCCGCGGACGGCGGTAGTCCTGGTAGGACGTCCTCGCCGCCGCAACCATATGCCTCGCGACCTTGGCGACCTCGATGCTATCCTCCGTCTCATCCTGAAGGACCTCCAGCATGGACTGATCCGCGCCCTCGTCCGTGAAATCCTCCTCCCAATCCCACCCGGCGTCCGCCATCTCGTAAAATAGCCGACGCTCCGTGGTAGTCACGACCTTGACCCAATCCGCGCCGCCGTTGACAACCAAATCAATCACGGCGCTGATACTCTTTTCCCCGACCGTCTTATACGCCAACTCTCTCCGCATCCCCGCAAGATCACAGCACCGCTTCGTAACCTCCCAGACCGTCTCATAAAACTTGTAGTTTGACGCATCAAGCCTAAGCCTGATCCTACTATCAAGCGCCTCGGTATCCACCTCCTCGCCGGGCTCCACATCGTAAGCCTGGACCATCTTCGCAAGATGCTTCTTCTCCGAAATAATGAGGCGTTCAAAGAGCCCGAGCCCCGGGACGGCCTGGTTCCACGCAACGGGCTTGTGGCCTGACGCCGGCCGTCTTTCGATGGCGGCCTTGAGCCGCTCGAGCTCATCGAGCAGCACCGTGACGCGGTGAATGATGTACTGGCATTGCTGTAGTAGTGAACTTTCGGGGTCCGGCCCGAATTGCGGGAAGATCGCCATCTTCTTTCTGCTCAGGGACGGATATGCAGGTGGGCAGATGCCCCGCTGCTGGCGTCTTTGCAAATTTCAAATTCTGCGCGGGAATAGCGAATAAGTTTCGGAGGACAATGACAAAGCTACCTTTGCGCCCATGAATGGTAGGCCTCCAATTCCTTGAAGATCATCAAAAATTCAAGTGCCTTGTGCAGGTGTAAGGTAGTCAAAATTTGGGGTTGAGATTGAGGTGGTGTGTGACAGACATGGATGAAATTGGCACAGGCTCCGGCCCGTGAGCAGAAAAGGCAGCTGTAATGTGGACCCGCTAGGGGTCCGACGCGGGGCCGAGAAGCGGATCGCAATGTGGAAGACGGGACGAAGAAGAGGCCCCTTCTCGCCGGACATCCCACAATCGGCAGGCAGAGTTACGGTGGAATGGCGGGCCAAGCTTTGCGCCTCGGTCTTCGCATTGCATTAATCTTCCTCACTGCCGCGCCCAGCCAAGTCATGTTCATTAAGGCGCGCATAAGCCGCCGCCGTCCAATCTCATCATGCAATGTGCCCTTCATCCACTGTGGCCTGCAGGCCAGGCTCAGCGCCCATTGCCCAATACATCCCAGCGCTGTAGTCTAATCAACGGCAGAAAAGGTATAGTGCCTCAGTCCAATGCTTTCCTCCCAAACATACATGGCAGTCTAGAAAACGGTACCATCGCTATCGATCAAAATGGGCGGTTCTTTCGTATTTGGTCTGCTAAACTCGGCCATCTCGCGGCCACCCTGGATGATGATGTTAGTGCCATGATGACCAAGATCTGATGTTAAGTAGAAGCTTACCTTCCAGCTTCCGGCCTCGAGTATTTGAGCCAGTGTGAGATGATTGCCTTTGAGGTCGTTCTTCATGTGCTTATTGACCTCTACGCAAAGCCTATCCAAGAAGCCAACCGTGACGCCGCGCCATTCGACTATCACGTCGTCGCTGGGCTCGAACATGGGCGCAACTTCAACCGGCTTGACGTTTGTCCTTCTGCAGTACTCGTCGTAGTGCTCGAGGCCCCTTTCCGAATCGTCTGTTTTCAGTGTGAGAACTCCCAGGTCGATGAATAAACCGCCGTTGCGGTACTCGGGCAAGCCGGTGAGTAGTTCGACCCCGGCAAAGTGGATGCGTAGTAGTGATTGCATAGGCTGCATCAGGCTGTAACAGAGCCACTGCGTAAGCTTATGGAACGGCAGTATAGACTCCCATGCTGCGGTCGAGTTCTGGGCAGAAGGCGGAAATGGTGAGAATTGCGAAGTCGTCGGGCTCTGCGGGGGTTGCGGCATTGACTGGCAAGGCCAGGCATCGCCAAGAGATACGCCATTGATCGAGGTTCGAGATGGTGGCCAGATGGGCATGAGGCCGTTCATGAGGAGATTCCATAGCGTCGGGAGAATGACAATCGGCATGGAAGACGCTTGCGTCGAGGGATGCGAAAGCAGGTAGTCTAGAGCAGATTGGGTCAGTCCTGGTCCTTTGCCATTCTCGGTCCTCAACAGCCAAAAACTTACCTATCATATGACCTGGTCGACCGCTGTCGCCAAAAAATTCCCTCTTTTCGGTCAGAGCATTTGCTAGCCGCTGGAGGAGTTGCGTCCTGCCTTCAATGCCTGCCATTTCGTTGCCCGGCTTCGACTGCAGACCAGCAGCTACCCTCTCCACTGTGAGGCTGCGTAGTCCTTCCTTGTCGACCTGGAACTTGTTTTTGCTATCGCTGGAGAAAAGACCCTGCCAGATGATTAGTAGGCGCTTAGCCTGCACAAATACTTGATAGACCTACAGTCTTGAACATTTCCAAGCTAGCTACGGCGATGCCTTCTGATCGGCGGTATATGCGTCCATTTTCGGTGCTCTTGTAACTCCATTTCGTGCCTGCACCAGCATCCAGCAATACACTGACGAGGAAGAGATCAATCATGCGGCGACACTTTTCGCTGTTGTCGACATCCTCAGGGAACGTAGAAAGAAGCTGAGCAATACGGTCGCGGCCGCCGACGCAGAAGTGCTGGTGTCTTCCGTGGCCAGGAATCGTGTTGTATGGGGCGTCATAATCTCTCTACAGGGGGGCGTCAGGTCAGTATACTGCTATTCGCCGACCTGGACAGCGGGGGGTGTGGGAGTTGCCAGATCACTAGAAGCGAAAACCCGCAGAAGCGCTGAGAAGCTGACTCGTACCTTGATGATCTGAGAAACAAATGTCACGACGTCTGGGAACTTGCGCATATCCACATCAAAGTGTTTCAATTCGTTGCGAATTGCTTTGTCCGTGACAATCTTGCTTCTATCTCTAACCGCCCCCAAGCTCCTGAGGTATCCCGCCGGGTCAAGCTGCGGGTCAGGAGGACGCGGTAGATCGAACTTAGGTATGGAGGTAGGCGAAAAAGGCGTCAAAGGCGTGCCGGGGGTTGTGCTCGTTCCTGAGGATCTGTTCATGGTGGTACTGCGCGGTGGCGGTGATTTAATGCTAGATGCGCCAGAGGCGATGCTCACATTTGACGTGTTGATAGACGGCTTGCCCGAGGCTTTGGGGGCCTTTTCCTTGCGGGAAAACAGGCCCATTTTGGCTGATTGGAGGTCCGCTGGGTCGAGGGGTTCGTGAGATGGCAGTTGGTGGGGTTTGGCTGGAGGGGTACAGGTGGTGCTGAATTGACCTGAACTCGGTTCGAGGCGAAGCTTCTGAGTTGCCAGCTGGTGGTTCGGACAGCTACAAGCTATAACGACGCGATGCCTTGTTGCGGCGATCACCGGGGGGGCTTCCGGGTTCGTAATAGGGCGACGTTTCAGGCGGGTTGTTCTTCTTCGTCTCACCAACGATGCCGAGAGGAGGAGAGGACGATCGGGAGTGGACGTCGATTTGCAGCGTCGGCAGCAGGAGAAGCAGCAGCAGCAGCAGTGGCAGGGACAGAAGGGAGGGGAGACCACAAGGTGATAAGTCGAGGGTCTGCCACGCAAGTTTAATAGGGGCGATTTTCTGGGCTTGCGGGGAACAATATCAGCACTGCTTCTGGAGCCGTGAGCAGCTGGTTGCGCACGAAATGTCCAGGCCCTCTCTTGTGCTAGGGGGGGCTTGTCTTGTCGTGCTTGTCGGGGGGGATGGATGCTATGGGCTCAGGGACCGATTCCCTTATTGGTGTTAGAGTTCTGGCCGACGTCGATCTGGATCAGGGATACCCGCTGGAGCTAGACGAACCGCTTTTGGCCTGGTTAGCTGGAAATGTCGAGCCACCTTGAGCCATTCCCACTGCGCCCACGCCGGACACAGACAATGAAAAGACACGCAACCGCCGGAAAAATGGCACATGTAAGGAAAAAGAATTGGGGCTATTTGGGGTGGGTGGTGAAGATGGACTTATGCAGACAGCAGGTGCAGAGACGTGCTGACGCGTATTCGAGGTAAGAGATGTGCTTCGTGAATGGGCCTCATAAGTGCTGCCGCGTTTCTTTGTGGCCTTTCCATGTGTCCGTCTGGCTTCTGGACGTGCCTCGGACTCTTGAAGCTTGCCATCGTGGGGCGAGCTGGCTCACAACCTTGTAGTCGAACACCTGGCACACCCCCTTTACAGCACTATGCAAGCAATAGTCCGGGGCATCTCCCAGGAATGCAAAGAATTGAGGTTTTGGGGGAGGCGGGGAAGTAGCCGGAAGGGGTGGTCTCGAACACTTACCCAGTTCTCTCTTGACGTTCTACTGTCACTCTTGTCCCGCAAGGTGTGGATCAATGGAGCAGCGATTGAAGGTCTCTAGCAGTTGGCCTGCTGCAAAGAGTTTCGCCGGGTGTCTCGGTAGTGTAGCTGATTGTTGTAGGACAGAGAAAAGAAAGCAAGCAAGCCGGTCGGACGCGAGGATGAGGGAACAGTAGTGAGTCGAAGGCTGAACGCAAGACGAGGTCCGTGTTTGACGTCGGGATGTCGAAATTGGGGACTGGGAAGCTTTGGTCCCGGGTTGGTGGAGTTGCGGAGAGAGGTTTGGCAGCGGGAGCGAGGGCGATAAAAAGCCGCCCGTCCGTTGACCGGATCTGAGCTAGGCCAAGCGGGATCTTGGAGGCGTCCAATGTTTGCAGTAGTGGAAATGAAGATCAATATGCGGCCACTCTAGCAGAGAACGCAGACGCGGCAGAGTTGCTTGACACCGGAGGAGCTGGAAGAAGAAAAAGCAACAACGCAGCCAGCAGCACAACGTCAAAGGCCACCGGGGTTCGGACGAGAGGCGAGAGACCACGAGCTTGGCCTTTCAGAGGTTAACCGCCGTCTATATCGGGTGAGGTAGCAGCGTAGATGTATGATGTTGAGACAATGCGACAGGCGAACAGAGTGGATGAGGCCAGTTCTGCTGCTGTAATTAGATGACAACGTTTCCGATAGAAGGAACTTGGAAGAATCGAAGCAGTTCGCGCAGGGTGTGTCAACGACGAGGCGCGAAGAGAATGCCGGAGAAATAATGCAGTGCAAAGAGGTGCAAGTAAAGATAGAAGCGTCTGATTCAGCAAACCGAGCAAAGGTAAAGAGACAAGATGGAGGAAGCTTTGTCGTACGCGGGTCGAGTCGAATCGAGAAGATGCGCAGCGACTGCGAGACGAGGCGAGGCGAGGCGAAGCGAGGCCAGGAACGTGCGGGACAAGTGGTCGGGTATGGGCGTGGCAAGAGCGGCGGCAGAACAGATCAGGCAAGTAATGTACCTTGCGGATACCTTACTCTACACAGTATGTTACTTCAGAGCCGGGACTGGACGGGGCAGAAGCAGTATGACGGACGTGGATCGGATGGCATAAGGCAAACGGCAACGTAAAGGGCAGCGGGCAGAGGGAGATGGGGACAAGGGGCAAGAGGAGGAGGGGACAAGACATGGGCAATGGTAGAGTTGCGGGCTGGGAATCAGGAGCGTCAGGATAGCCGGACGCAGTGAGATAAAAGAAATAAAAAAGAAAAACGAAAAAAGGACCACTTCTCTCATCTTGCGGACATAGGTAAACGAATGCTCGCACCTGTAAGTACCTCAAATGTATGTCCTTGGGTCGACAGGACAGGTCGGGGTCTGTCTGCAGCTGCGACCGGGAATACACCCCCGTCTGCAGTACTTTTTTACTTTGTTTTTCCCAACGGCAAAAAGAATTGTTTGTTAATGAGTAGCTTGACGAATTTCGAGACAAGAAGACAACAACAATACAGAAACAGAGAGGGGTTTGCTGGATAACAGGAGTTCAAGTGATGGCAAAACACATGTTTTTCAAATTTCGGATTGGATCAGAAGAAGGAAGCCAGGCATAGTACGTACCTGTGACCTGCGTCGAATTCCATTCTTTCCGTTCCAGGTTCTTTCCACACGTGATACCAGACACGGTACCTTACCTCAGCTCCATGAAGTACCTTAAGTAAGGTACCTTTGGTAATGTGCACGTGGGTGCCTTTTAAAAGCACCTTCCTCAGGCTGTGAGGCCTGTCCAGATGGATACCGTAGGTTCCTAGTGAGATACCTAGGAACTCTGTGTTCGTCAGTAGCCAAGGTACAAAATCAGATACCTAGGTGGGCAAACATGACAAGACTCTCACTCAACTCGTCCCCGACCTTGGGGCCGGCACGGGAAGGAAGGGTCGCGCCAGAACCACAAGAAACCAGCAGGGGCGTAACAGGGAATCCCAGACCAACAGACACTGAGGGACTTGAATGCGACCCATACGCCCACGGTCCCATGTTGGCGTGTAAGTCTATTGCAGAGGCCCAGAGGGTCGCGATGGGGGACCATGTCGAAATCTACTATAGTACCTTAGACATACGAGGCTCACGCTGCTCGGATATGGAGAGTTTCCACTTGCGACTGTATCTGAGGAGCTTCCAGCCTGCCACAACGTGTCTCTTTCGAGTCTCCTCAAGCTTTCAGTGCGCATGGAGCCACTGGACTGGAATTGAGCGAGAACAAAGGTCAAAAAATAACATTAAAATAAAAAGAATAAAAAATAAAAAAGTGTCGTCCAATATCTGCAGCCCGCTAGACAACCCCGGCCAAACTGTCCTCTCGGCTCCACCACCGTGGACTTTGGATAATGGAACACCGGACGGTCTGGCCAACCGACGGAAGGCGCAGGACCCACACCTATCCCGTGCTATGCCCAAGCGTTTTCTTGTCCAGGGAGAGCACCTACCTTACCTTACCTTACCTAACCTTGGGCACCTTGGGTAAGGTAGGTACTTATTGGTAACCATGTATCTTTTATTGTTACCCGTACGAATATAAATGTTTTCTTTACATTGCGCTGTTTATTCTCACTGCTCAGGTGCAATGTTACCTACTTACCCCTCCTTCACCACTAGGTATCTTTTGGGCCAGTTCAAAGTCGTCGGTATTTCGCCAAGGGAGCCGCCTTTGGCTTCCAAGTTTGGACACATGGCATCGCCTGAGGGCAGCTGCCGCGCTTGCGTTACGCAGTGGATGCACAGACCGAGGTCCTCACAGTGGCTGTTCGTGCCGTCATCTTCCCCAGATCATCACCCATCATCCATTGGATGGATCATCCATCATCACCACCGACCCGCCCATCGTCATCGGTCATCCTCGACCACCACGCCACCAACAACGGCCAACACCACTATCGCTGCGACCTCACTGCTGATCTGGCCCACCTTTGCAATCACCCACTGATTCAGTTCTCTCTCATGCGCTCTGAACAGAAAGCCTACTGTCCAGGACTCCATGGAACCTCATCCCTCCTGCATGCGCCTCATCGAGCAAGGGACCCCTTCCGGAATCACTCCCGGCGAGCCATGACACTGTCTTGACTCTTGACTCTTGCTGCCGCATGCTCGACCACGCGGTCCACGCCTCATCTTTGCGACAATCAGAGTCGACGTTGCGGTGCCAATGACGGCCCACGATACATGACACTGGCTGCGACGCTTCAATGACGGCTCCTGTCCCCGTACAGTGTAATCGACCGACGTGCTCTGACTGAGCCCCAGTCGATGCTTTTCGTCGAGACTTTCCTTCTAACTTTCTTCTCCCCATCTATCCTTTCTATGGGCACACTCCATTCGAGCTGTAATCATGGTACGATTATCCCATATCCAGAAACGGGGCCGCTAGTTCCCCAGTGGAACTCGACGACCGACGAGCACGAGAACTTGGAGACCGAGGAACAAACGTGCCGGACTCTACGCCTACCACTAACGAGTTTGCCGCTGCCAGCAGCCGTCGGGGTCCAACTGCCCAGGGTGTCCCTCGACTGCGCACATCGCGCTCTAGTCTCAACCCAGCAACTAAGACGCTCCATTATTACCATTGTATCCGTAAATTGGATCCTTTGGCCATCGTCGATTTCGGCTCGTCCTAGACCCCTACCATGGCAACAGTACGAGGTCGTGGGAAACGACCCGGGCCTTGGGGCCCAGGCGTGGCAGAAAATCTCATTACGGCGCAGAGAGGCAGCAAGAGCCCACCTACTAAACGTGCCTACGCCATGCACGACCTACATGCACCCACCGTATCAGGTCGACCATCGTCGTCGTTTGTGAGCGTCGCCGGCATGTCGGAACCGCATCCTGCGCTCCGGTCCATCAGCCACAGCCACGCTTGCCTCCTTGCCTGCTTCGGTTGGTCAAATGTGTGATGGCTCGGCCGCTAAATGCCTATGCAGTACGCATCACAGCCAGCTCCAGTTTGTTTCGGTTCCGGAAAGTCTCCGGCCAATCAATTGCTTCACGTCTTCTCACAGGGCCGAGCAAGAAGCAATCTGCATATTCGTGCTTCCTACCGAGGTCGAGAGAATTCATCCAATCTGGTTGCCTGAAGCTGGTCGTCGACTCGCAGTTACCCCTTCTCCACCTCTGTCTGCCAGCCGTCCGGTTCGTGGGAGAGGGGAAAATTGTTTGCTCCCAGATGCAACGTCGGCCGCCGTGCACTTGCAAGTCCAAGGTCCGTCTCACTTCGGCTATTTGATCCTGCAGCTGAGCGCAATCGACACACTCGGGCTCACGGGCAGGCAAGCAGAAAAGCAAACGGCCCGGTAGGGGGCACCCTCGAGGGGACGGCTCCGACAAAAATTTCAAAGGGTATCTGCCGCCTCTGGAGTCTGGAATCTGGATAGTTCAAAGTTGCAGTATCCGTACCAGGGACCTGGGCTCTGTGGTATGGGAGGATGGACGGTCTGCGTTGTAGTGCATCCCAAGTCTGCAAGGTACGGGACACTGTGCACGTTTCCGGAATGGCCCGGACTTTAGCTGCATGCCGCAGTGCGCCGCCCTACGGAACGGAGCACACCTCTCAAGTTCGCGTGGTGGTCGTGGACAGTTGGCAGCTATTTCGTCTAATGGTGCCTCGTCACGTTTTGGCATTGGACCACGGGCCGCTGCAAAGGAGCTGGTCACGAATATGAACCAACTGGCCAACCGATCTGGCTGAATGCCGACATAATGGTACACTAATACCTCTGAAGTATCCGCACTTCTGTCTTACGGCGTAAGGTCACAGTGCATGTGCAGACCTACTCCAGCAGCTTACCATCACATCAAGGACCTCGATTGCATCCAGCATGCATTTGCTTTACCGGGTCCCACTGGACGTGACACAGAGCGACTTCACAGCTTATTATCACAGTCTCTGGTGGGTCAAAAGAGCCCGTCCATATTACTCGCCTTTTGGCGATTCGATCGAAGTAAAAATAACCATGGACGGACCAAGGACGCTCACCAACTAATGAACTGCCAACTGAGCTTGAGACGCCACCACAAACTTCCAGGGACGGACTTGAGAGCACAAAAATGTGTCGAGACCGGAATCAAAAGAGCCTCGTGCGTGATTTGTCTCGTGTTCTCGGCACCCAAGCACGGACATCCGGGCCCCTGGGCATTTGCTTGAAGACCTCTCAAAACCATTTTCGCAATGGCAGGCTTTGAAGCCGAGGTGTGAGGATTATGACCTTCAGTATTTTTCCTTATCACCTTGATAAGACGATGGGGCTTCGCCCCTATTACCTGCCTACCTTAGCTCATGACTCTCTGGCCTGCGCCCAGGACCTTCAAAGAGGATCCCTCCCGTCGTGGAAACACGTCCATCCGACCGCGCTTGGCGCTGCTTCTGATAGCGTACACGGTGGGCGCCAAATTCAACGACAGTTCATTTCTTTCTTGCAACAAGGCAGTCTGGCATCGTCCCTGATCCCGGAGCCTCGTCGCTTCAGTACGGACCCCTTTATCTCTCTCTGCGGCTCTGCCAGAGGAGCAAGAGAAGATTCGAGGTTACCCATCAGCTCGTGCCACTTTCTTCACCGAACCGGAGCTGACCGGGCCCTCCCCTCCCCCTCCTCCTCTCCCATCCTCGCATACCCGGCGCCCTTGGCCCTGGTCTACGTAGTACGAGCTTAGGCCCAGTGTCGTCCTGGACCCGGCTCCCAAGGATGGCCCAGCTTCTCAAATTTGAGAAACAGCTCCAGAGTCCAGACTAAGAGCGGCTAGCCTGAAAGGGAAGCTGCTTGAACAATCTTCCAATTTAAAATCGTCTGTTGAACTTTGCCATGTTCTTTGTCCCATGGGCACTTCAGCATGGCTCCGCTCCCGGCCTTCCTCTCTGTCTACGATAACTCTGCTTTCAGGGTATCTCGCTGGGCCTCCTTTTTGCCTCCCTGCCAAGCCCATCTGGAAGATGCAAAGGGGCTTGCTGATTGACGAGGGCGCGCGCCTTCTCTAGCACGTTTCCGGAGACAACTCCGCCTTGCGCGACGCTGCCACGAGGTGGCCATGCTGAGTGCACCGACCGCTCGGGTCACTGGCGCTATTTGCTTCCTGACATCGCGCAGGTGCGAGATCAGCAGTGGCCTATCATCTATGCCGGCAGTTGACCCCATTGTCCGCGGTCCTGAAGAGTGCAAGGTCTGTGAGACATCTCCAACACGATGAGTTAAGTAGTCGGCGCGACCCTACGATCACCGGGGAGAAGATCTGCCAGTTTAAAGACCAAGGGTGTTCGGCGTTCGCTCGCTGGTCGGTCGGCTTTGACGCTCCTCGGCCATTCGGCGAACGCCCAGTCTATCGCAGGGGACAGTTGACGTCGTCACCAGAGCATGTCTTACTCGTAAACGGAAGGAGCTGAGACCAGCCGCAGTGAGTTGTCGGTCGCCTCGGTTTGAATTTAGAGAGCAACCGAGGATGTTTGAGTTTCTCGAGATACGTGGAGGAACAGAAGGGTCTCTCTCTCTCTGCTACACTCGCGCTCTTTTCTTCGTCAGGATCACTCACTCACTTAATGCCTTTTTTGCACAGTGACAGTGATGAGCTAAAAGGGTACCTTACGATACCGCCGGCTATGGCATTACAAGTGAGCAACCCAGACAGAATGCGGATAGCTCCATACAAAATACATACCCGCACACAAAAAACTATCATAATAACGTGACGGTCAAAAGGATGGACGATCTGGGAATCGAACCCAGGACCTACCGCATGCTAAGCGGTCATTATACCACTAAACCAATCGCCCACGTGGATGATCTAGCCCGGACTTGAACCGGAGACCTTCAGTGTGCCAGGTGAGAGTATGGAACTCTCGCTCTGTTAGACTGACGTGATAACCAACTACACCACCAGACCATTTGTATTGTTGAAGTTGGGCGGCGGGTTCTGAGTGGAAGAATGCAGAGGCAGGTGTGGATGAGGATGGAAAAATTTTTGCAAACGGCTTTGGGAGGGTCGGGTGGGGGTGTCCCCTTGCGGTGGAGATCGGAGCCGAGGCCGGCCGAAGTGGGGTTGGGCTCCGACGAGGACGCGTCTATTTTTAGGAATGACGGACTTGCCAGACGACGTTTAGCATAGACGCGAGGAATAGAGGTATACCATGAAGGCGCCTTTCTGCCTTCAAGGTTGAATAGCCTACCGGCTGCTCCCTCTCGGGCACTAGGTGTTGACTTTTGTCGTGATCATTGTGAAACCCAGGGGGGTGGATGTGGTGTCTGATACCATGGACATGTGTAGAACCTTTGGCACGACACGGCTGACTGAGCTTTGAAGGCGCATCTCCCTTCTTTGTACTAAATATGATATGCTTATACGTCGGTTACGTAAACACGAGCCCCTAGGTCAGCCACCTACTAGGCGTCTAGACAGTGACATAGCCATAATTTGCTTGGCCCTTTTCCTATGTCGATGCTCCCATCACAGCTCGCGAATACACCACAGGAAGAGCCTTATCATCGAATTAATACCTATCAATACACCCGCAGTAGCCTTGCCACGATCATCTTCGGAGGAAGACGCCTCCGAGGGAGTCTGTCCTCAATGCGGAAGGAGGAGAGGGCGACAGCTTCTTATGATTGATGGCGCAGCCCAGCCTCTCAGGAAGACGCCGAAAAGCCTTTTTCCAGCGTCAATTATCCGTCGTATGATTGCTCGCCCAGGTCAGACGTGGGATCTGTTCACGATGGCCACGCGAACGGCGGAGGTTGGGTGGCGAGACCGTCACGTGGTCGTCACGAAGAGGGCAGCGGCGATATGGAAGAGCGAATTTGGAACGCGATTCTGAAGGCTGGATGGTTTTGAAGGATCTATACGCTTCTTATTACTGTTTTTGTGCCCTTTAAGAAGGGCAGTGAGAAGGGAAGGACGGTATTCGTCTAGTATGAGACCTGTAGACCCCAATATAAGCAGCCTATTAGAAGCCTGCATACATTTTTCCTGGGTTGAGATGGAGTTGAAGACAGGATGAGAAGAAGAAGAAGAAGATGATGATAATTGAGGCGCCTAGTACTTGTAACTCAAATGATTTCATACCTTTGATGGGAAGACGATTCAATCCCATAGATTATTTTCCAGGGATCCCTCATCAGTCATTAAGCCGTTGCTCATTTTGATATCTGCTGCTGAGGGACGTGTATCAAAATATCATGGCATTGGAAACATGAAGTCACTGGCTATTAACGAGACTATTTTGCCAAACTATCAAAACATCAATAGGGGCGGGCATCAGCTGACATCAAGAAGCATACCGCACTGAATATGCATCAGACTGTCAAGTGGGGAAGGACTGCGCTTTCATCTTCCTTCATCTTTACTACGCAGTAAATCACAGTAGAGTACCGTGGAGATAACGAGGTGGCGAGGTTGCTCAGGCCTGAGTACTCCGAGTGAACCATTATGGGAACTTGCCGATTCAGATGAATTCAAGCATCCCTCGTAGCCATGGTTACCAAAAACGCTGCTACACATAGGCCAACTTCCAGAACACCCTGGGCCACGATCCGTGGAAGGTACCTCCATCGGTCCTTCCCATTACACCACGAGAGAAGCCCCTATAGGCCTCGCCAACTCCATTCCTGTCACCAGCACAGCAGGCGCCCTTCTAGGTCCGGAGGGTCAGGTCAAACTGTGCTGTAGTGGAGGGGTTTAAGGTTCTACGCCAACAGCCTACTCGACGACAGGCTACGAGTTCGAGTTCGATTCCCAGCAAGTGCACCAGAAGATGTAGCCACCGAGGTGAACTTCTTTTTAGATTAAGGATTTTGTCGTGATAGCTCCCACGTTCCTTCCCTATTGCTTCCTTATAGTGGATACGGTTTGTTTAGCTAATCTTAACACCCTGAAGAATTCTAAAGTTCTTAAAAGTACTTGACTAAGGCTCATAATATAATACTTATTAGCTGCGGGTGGGCAAAAGATAAGGAGTAGACTAAAACTTTGATTCCACATGTTGTTAACTCTACCGGCATCTATTTGTATTTTAAATCATTAATAACTAAAAGTAGAAAATATGAGGCCTATGAATAGATTTAATATAGCAGCGCAGTCATATTGAGATTACATTCTGAGTGTCACTTGAGGCGTTGTTGTGCGTGAAAGTATAGAAAAAAAGAAGCATCAAAAGCGTGGGTCACTGAGTAAGGAAGGTGCCGTCAGTGAGGCGGACTACCTACCCCGGAGGAAAGAGAGGAAAGATACTTGGGTCTCCTCTCCTTCCCTCCTGTCACCAAGCGATCAGGGGCATGTGGTCGAGGGGTATAAGGGGGAGAAGCCACTGAGGTGAACCTGAGAATTCTAGTCACACCCAACCATTGCCTTGTGTTTTGTTTGATTCCCCAAGGACGATTCAACTACCTACCACCCTTCTATGCGTTGTGTTTCTCGGCTTGGTGCTCCAAAATAACAGGTATGAGGAGGGAGACATATGCCAGAGGGATGGATCTGTCTGTCACCACGATGATTCTCTCGTACTGTACCTACCTATGCCAAAAGCAATGCACGATAGATGGAAAGGTTCAACGCATTCAGGGGAGGGCTGGAATATGATGCCTTAGCTTGCTTGGTCCCTACAAAGTGATGCATTAACTAAAACTGGTAGATTGGTCTGGACGTTGTCTCAGCTTACTCGTCTGCGATTCGCTGTGACTGGCTTCATAGTATTTGGGAGAGTGATTCTCTATTATTGCCCTGGGGCAGGCATGGTACCCAGGCGATTCGTTGTCTTGTTTCTACACCCATATGGTACAGTGTCTTAAACTCCTTCTCTTCCAAAAGCCGGGGGAGTTTCGCCGTCTTCTTTCGATATTGTACAGTTGTGAGGCAAGGTTCGTCAGTCTTCCACCATCTACTCCATCACCAGCAAACCCTCTCTCTCTCTCCCACGCATTGTCTACTTCCTCCGCGTCTCGCTCCAAAACTTTTGCCGTTCTTGCTCGCCCCTTTGCTCGGCATACTTCTTAGCAGCCTTCTCCGCTTCACGCTTGCGGCCGGCCTCGAGGTGGTTTCCGGCACCGCCCTTGGCGTTGTGGACAGTCTGCTTGAAGTTGTCGACGATGCCCTTGATGCTGCCGCTGTCGGCCGCAGGGGTTGTCGGCTCAGGAGTAGAACGTGGGGCCTGGTAGGTCAGACGCGTGGGAGCGGAAGAGTTGGTGGCTGTGGTGGTGATGGGAGCGGCGGCGGGTCCGGGACCGATGGGCGTGAGGCCGAAGAGGGTGCGGAAGGAGGCCTTGGAGAAGAGCCAGTTCTGGGCCACACCGATGATACCGGTGATGAAGAAGTAGAACTGGACGCCGGCGGGGAGGTATGAGGTGAAGATTACGGACAGGGGTCCGAGGATGTACATCATAAGCTTCTGTTGGGCCTTGGCTTGAGGCGTGGAGTACTTGGAGCCGAGCTGGACGACGGGACATTAGTATCCGGGTCAAAGGCGTCTGGACATTTGGGTTTCGCATACCTTGACCATGGCAAACATCGCCACCGGACCGGCGATGGGCAGGAGGAAGTAGGGATCAGAGACAGTCAAATCTGTGATCCAGAGGAAACCGCCAGTCTCCATGCCGGGGACGGGGATGCTGGCAGCGCCGTTGAGAACACGGAACATGCCGTATCCAAAGGGGATCTGGAGGAGACCCCAGAAGGCGTTGAGGGGGTTGACGCCGGCGCGCTTGTTCAGCATCGATAGGTCGCGACGGAGCTCAGTCATGGCGGCCGAGTCACCGCGAGACATGGCCTCTGTGAGAGCTTTCCGGGTTTCGTCGTATGCCGGGTCCGTGTGGAGCTTCTGCATCCTCGCCGAGGTGTCCTGGGACTTGAGGAGCGGCTTGAACATGATGAGACGCAGGAGGATGGCCGTCGCGGCAATGGAGCCCCACCACGGCATGCCGGAGAGGACGTGGACGTGCTCCAAGGCCCATTGCATCACGCTCGAAGGGCCCCAGCCAAAGTCGAGGCCGAGGGTCTTGAGGAAGCCGATTTGTTCGGGGAGGTCGAGGAGGGTGGCGGCGTCGAGCTCGGGGAGGGAAGTCGAGGGGACGGCGGCATCGGGGGTAACCGGTGGAATGGATGAGGCAGATGCTGAGGCAGCGTCGACGGCGGCTGGTTCTGCGACGGATGCCGAGGGCGCAGCGGGCGCTACGGGCGCAGCTGGTGACGTTGCTGATGGTGTAGGCTGGGGTTCAGACTTGTCCCAGAGGGAGATGGCTCTTCTCGTCTCGAGGGAGCCGCCGATGGCTACTGTGCCGGCGAGGCCACCGAGTCTAGAGTTGGTCGATCTCAGCGCCGCCCAGGGCGCACTGCCGTTGCGCATCGAGGTTCCAAATTGCCGTCCATCTCCGATTCGTCTGGGTGCCCGGGAGATCTGCTCACTGCACGTCAGTACACGATGCGGCGGAAAACATGCTGAGGGCTTGGAAGTCGGGGAGGATGTACCGTCTGGCGGGTTATGCTGCTGGTCGCCCTCGCGGAGGGGAGGGAGCGAAGAATGCCTCTGCTGGGCAGCATGGTGGGCAGTTTCTGGGGGAGGAGGGCTGAGTGGTGAGAATTGAAGACTGACGCTCCAGGGTTTCTGTCCTGAATGGAAGCGCGATGCTGGAAATTTTTGGGGACCTCGCCATTGGAGCCGCGGACGCGCCGGGGAAATGTCGGGTGGGACGGGAAGCGGGCCCAAGCTCCGGCCCCGGTCCGCGGTCAAGGGGAAGGTCATTGGGGAGGTCAGCATTGCATATCATTGGCACCGGGAAGCTGGATTCATATGCATGTGTGATTTTACAAGAGGAATTTGCTGAGTGATCCATCACTGGTCGTGGGAAAACGCTGTACTTTGTTTTCTTTTGATCTCTTTTGATCCTCGCATATGTACGACCCACCAGTCTTGTACGGAGGCTCGTCACCGTAACTAACCTGGTCCACGCCAACTATCCAAGGGCGTACTCTGTAAATGCCCTTAGTCTTCCTGTACGCCAATGCATGTAGCCTTGCCTAGGCAGTATATCTGGCATTATTTATGACAATCCCGACATCTCTCGCACCAGCTTTCTGACGCCCAGGGATAGGATCGTTCCTTGTCGTCTCTTACAGGACGGGTTGCGACCTCAAATGGTCGGTAGAAACCCGTCATCGCGGGTGTACTCGAGCTTTTATTCCCATCCACCTAGTCACTCCAAGCTCGTCAAATCATCGAGACCGGTAGAAGGCCTCCGGTGCTTGTCGCGAATCTCGAGGCCGGGGCCAATGGCGTGCGCCTTTCTCCGGGACATGGGGAACACCTGGTGCATATTAGATGGAAATCACACAACACGTCGCCGTCGTCGGCCGGACTCTCGAGGTATGCGCGTATTCCCAGAATGCACGCATGCGAGCGTCCAGCAACAGTCCCTTCATACCTTGGTGCCACCCCATCCTAGCCTAAATGCAGCCTCGTGTGCAAATAGCTCTCCAAAACCAAGCATCATGCCATTGATGAAGGGCAGAAATAGGTTGATAGCAGCCCCGCGGACCAAGCCCCAGAACGTGGGCGGCTTGTAGAGGATGATGGGCGAGTTCGAGGAGGGAGGTGATTCGGTAAGATCCTCGCCTTGAGAGTACTGCTCGCTGTCGGACCGGATTGTCACACCGGACTCGGCAAGGGGGTGGAGGGAATCGTCGGAAGCCATCGTCGACGCTGGCTCAGGGATTTGGAGGGTAGTGATCGTGGGATGGTTGGGAACTTGGTCGACGAGCAAGTTTACCGTGACTCGGCGCAGTCGATGATGGAACGGGGAGCCACGGCATCACCTCGGAAAATCACACCGTAGCTCCTGCCTCCCCAAACGCACTGCGATGGAACCGCCCAGCTTGGGGTCTTCGGGGTCTGTGCGTCTTCCCACCTCCACGTTACCTAAGGTAGGTAGTCCGTAGAGCTTCAGCCACAGCAGGACTGATTAGATAAGATTTTCATGGTGGCAGTGGAAGACTTCCGTTCCGGCCTTGGTGGGGGAGACTGGTACCTACGAAGGTGGCTCCTCCCTCACGTCACAGGGAACGTGCTAGACAGGCAGGTACCTTCCATTACGGATGCAGCTCCAATGGAAGCAGTTACGACCACTAAGCTGCCTGCTATTCGTCTCCCACTTTGTCCTTGAACCTTTGCAGTGCGCAACCTTCAAAGAAAACCACAACAAGGCCACTAGTTGATTCACCGGTGACACCTTTACCAAACGACAACGTCGCCAAAGTACAGCTCAAGAGAAAACGACACGCTCTTTTCTTCTTCCTTCCATTTCCCAACTCTGCCTAATCGACACCTCGCCGTTCCCCGCCGAACCACATCCAGTGCCGCCAACATGTCCGGTAGCACCAACAGCGCTTCGCGCAACAATATCCTGCGCGACTTCAAGAGCCTGACGGGTATGCCTGAGGCGAGGGTAAGGCCATCTTGAAGGACAAATTCCCTCGTGCTAAAGCACCCTGCTGACTTTTGCGTCAAGTGCACAGAGTACCTCGAATCCGCAAACTGGGATATCGGCCTTGCCGCCCAGGCCTACTATGCCGACCACGATTCCGGCGAGGAAGAGATCGAACCCGTTGCACAGGCTCAACCTTCTGCTCCTGCTCCCGCCGAATATACTGGTCCCCGGACTCTAGATGGCCGACCTGCACCTGAGTCGGCCGGCCGAGCGAGCACTGTAAAGAAAGCGGCCCCTAAGAAGAAGGGTCTCGCAACGCTCAGCTCCATCGGTGGAGGTCACGCACACGACGATGATGATGACGAAGACGACGACGACGATGATGACAGAGGCCGAGGCGACCTCTTTGCCGGCGGCGAAAAGTCTGGATTGGCTGTGCAAGACCCGTCTCAAGAGGGCGGTGGCGCAAAGAAGATCATCAGCGACATCCTCGCCAAGGCTAAGGCGTAAGTCCACAACGCTAAACGATGTTACGAGGGCGACGAGACTGACACGGAACAGGAACGCATCTCGGCCCGAGACTGCATCACCGGCAGGCCCTTCGCGCTCCGGTGCTTTCCGCGGAAGCGGCACCACTTTGGGTGGCGAGGGCACCGAGAGCCGTAGTGTTCCCGATCCTGATGTCCAGGAGGGTGCGGGCGGCCCAGCGGGTGCGACTGGCGAGCCTCAGGAGCGCACATTGCACCTGTGGCAGGATGGATTCAGCATTGACGACGGCGAACTTCACCGATTCGACGACCCCGAAAATGCGATGGACCTGAACATGATTCGTGCTGGCAGGGCTCCTCTGCATTTGATGAACGTCCGTTACGATCAGCCGGTCGATGTGAAGCTTCACCAACACCAGGAGAACTACCACCCGCTGCCCAAGACATACAAGCCTTTCGGCGGAGAGGGACGCCGGCTCGGTAGCCCCGTACCTGGCGAGGGCAGCTCTTCGTTGACCGCAGCCGTCCCCGCTGCCTCGACTGGCACCAGCTCGACAGGCCCTCAGCAGACCGTCGATGAGTCTCAGCCTACCCTGACCCTCCGTATTCAGCTTCCCAACGGCACCAGACTGCCTGCTCGCTTCAATACCACCAACACCGTCAATGACGTCTACGAGTTTGTACAGCGCGCTTCTGCGGATACCCGCACCAGATCCTGGGTCTTGGCCACGACGTTCCCCAACAAGGACCACACTGACCGCAGTCTGGTTTTGGGCGAGATGGCCGAGTTCAAGAAGGGCGGCACCGCGGTCGTCAAGTGGGCTTAGAGCGCGATGCATATGAAAAAGCAATGGTGGGGAACGGGTGGCGTTTGGTACTTTGGCCCGCATTATAGCTGGGCGGCTTTGGGTCTGGGCATTTGAGGCCGATTGCCTCTGCGTGGAATGTAGACTTGCTCGAGGATAGACATGCCCATGAAATAGCAACATTGGGTCGGCAAATGTTCTTTTGCTGCCGCATTATGCCATGTGTGCATGGATTTGTCTGTTGTACAGTTTTGAGTCCTTCAACGCCCTTTGAAATGGTATCATTAATCATCCCTGCCATACGCCGCTGCGGCAAAATGTCGCCTGTACGTATCCAACTAAAAACAGATCTGCGCGGTCCGATTTTTACAGTCCTTCCTTTGAAATGCCCTCATGCTGTCCCACCACCGCCTTGCGAACTCATGGTGGCGGGGCCATCCAAGAATTTGAAATGCTCAATCGCAATCTGGCAGTTGAGCATGGCGGCGTTAAACCTGGCCTCCCCAGGTGGCAAGATAACCATAAGATACGTATTCGTCGTGAATTTGAGGATGAAGAGGTTGAATCGTGTGCCGGCCTTGTGCTCCATGCGCACAAATTGCTCGGCGTTCCGCGGGGTGCCAGTGAAGCGGCTGATGGTCTGCTTGAAGTGCTTCATGATGTTGGACATGCGCTCCAGCCGGTCCTCTGTGGGGTTCCGCTGGCCTTCCTCCGAGGTCCATGAGGAGACGGCCAGGAAGGAGGTGCGCTCGAAGAGGAGTAGCTCCTCTGCCTCGATTGCGACGCCGAGGTTGGCGAGGTTGTGTTCAATTGTGGCCAGGTTGGGGACGAGGTCGTGTATGATGCTCGCCCAGGCCTTGTACAGGCTCTGGTCCCAGATGCTGGTGGCGAAGGGGGTGATGTCGAAGCCGCCGGCGGGGGTCGCGGTCGAGGGGCTGGTGGGGTCGTCGGCGGCGTCCGGGTGCTGCTGGTGGAGGTAGCCGATGCTGTTTGCGTACTCTGCGGTCCGCTGGCGGACGACGCGAACGCGGTCGTCGTAGACGGATTCACGGTGGGCGGGGACGACGAGGTCCATCTTGTGGATGAGGACGTAGATTTTTGCGCCGGGGGAGAATTGGAGGAGGGCGGAGATGATGGAGACGTAGGTTGCCAGGTCGCGGTCGATGTCGCGAGACTCAATGTCGAAGACGTAGATAAGGACGCCGACGTTGGAGAAGACGTGGACGCGCTGCTGGGAGAGATAGTTTTCCATAAAGGCCTCTTGGCCGCCGCAGTCCCAGAGGTTGAGGGTGAGGTTTCCGAGGAATTTGACGTGGGAGAGGTCGATGTCTATTGTTGCGCCGCTATTTGTGGATTGGTACGAAGATTAGCTGGGATATGGACGACGTAGACAGATGAAACATGTCTAGGGGAGGAAGACTCACAGTCTCCGGGTATCACGGGCAATGTAATTGCTGAAGATGATGCTTCGCATGCTCGACTTTCCTGAGCCACTCTTGCCCATGAGAAGAACCTTCTTCTTCTTGGGTTTCTTGACCTCTGCCAGGGGTGTGTTACCCGGGCCATTGGTGTAGCTGGCGTCAGCCATGTTGTGTGTAGGCTATCCTTCACTCGAGATTCCGGCGCTACCCAGTACGGAGTGACGAGGGGTTCGTGGATATGGCGTGTGCAATGATGGGGAATTTCGTCGTCGTGGGAGCTTCGGCTACGCGGTTCGTTGGCGGGGTATCTTGAGGCTTCCGCAGAGATCGAACAGTTCTGGGAATCAAACGAGTGACTGGTATGCGGTGCTAGAGAAGATCGCTCGACATCGAATGAGTTTGTGTAGCGTGGTTGCGATATTGAAATGCCCGAGGGGATGTTGATCACGACCATCGGCTAGCGACCTGATTTCCAGGAGCCGCAGTACGTACCTCGTACGGAGCTCGTGCGATCCGATAAGATAAGCCGTTGCCTACCTTACCCGTAAGGTCGGGTAAGGACCCCCACCAGCGCGCCCAGCGCGCCACCACCTCACTGCACGACTTCGCAATCGCTCTCCACATCGTCTGGCAGTTCCACTTGTTCATCCCATCCCTCTATTGTTTTACCCGCTGAGGAATCCGATGGCGCAAGGCTACGAAAGTCTCTTGGAATACACCATCAGGACGGCACATCGGGTGCTATCCACATGGCCGGAGATTGACACAATTTCCTGCTGAACCTGGTGTAACTCGGAGACTCAAGACTTGCGCATCGAGCTCTGGGAATGCCATCACTGGAACGGGTGCGACTTTGTCGTCGATGATACTGAGAAGACCATGACTTACACCAATGTCAAGCTGTCTGCCAAGGAATCCCGCCAATGGGACAATGGGGTGACACGAGAGCGTGCGATGCCCATCAATCGAAGTCTATGCCGGTGTAGGCGACATTGTGCGACGGTGCCTTGCTGGGCATTCTCGACTGAGGTCGGCTCGCCAACCATCGCAGGTTTTACCCGCTACACCACCATTTATGATCAGATCAGATCATCAACTACGGCAGACTCGACCTTTTTTTTTTTTTTTTTTTAATGTCCACGGGACATGATCTGTCATCCAGTGATACAGGTCTTTGTTGGCATCGTCATTCGGAAGACGAAATTCGCTGGCAAAGTTGCCCTGCACAAGCTCTGGGTGTGGAGGCCCAGCCATCGAGGGAGTCCAACCTCCAACATTGTGTCGTGCTCAATGGAAGGGATATACTAGCAGTCCAATGGTCACTAGCAAAGCTGTCATAAGGGGACTATTTTGGGGTGCCCGGCCGCCGGCTGGACTGTGAGACCTTGTCTTGGTCGTCGACCCTTGGACTTCCGTCTTAGTCTGTCTCGCTTCTCCCTTCGACCTCGGGCCAATGGCTGCGATGTAGTCACCGAGTCTCGGGATGCCGTCTTGCGCACGAGTGTCTGAAATGATTTTGACTAACGATGGACTAGTGATGAGTTGTCTGTTGGATCCGAGTCGTGCCGTCCGCCCTCTTGAGCACGTTCTGCTTGTTCATCCCTCCAGAGTATGATGATGCGAGCGTACACAAAGCAATTCCATATCACTGTTCGGATCCCACACCAGGCTGGCCCCGGTGCTTGTTGGTTATTGATTTGGTGTGCAGGCTGCTCGTGGGCATTCGCGGCTTTTCTTCAATGAGTCTTTCTTCACGAGTATAGTTGTGTTTGGTTGTGTATACGGTCGTCTGCGCCGGTCATGTCGACTCTTTCTCCGGATGCAAGCAACAAGGATATGACCAGAGGCTATCGCAGTATGTCGAACATGGACCCCCTGCACGCACACCCGCAGCACATCCCGCCACGCCGGCCGGAACATCCATCTAGCAGCCGATCGAAGGGGACAATTGCGCCAGGTCAAAGAACCAGAGTCGAAACGCAATACAGGCCTCCACTGCCAGCCACTCGACCTATTGTTCGCTCGAGGTATACCTCGCCAGAGGATGCATCAAAGACTGCTGTGCCGCCGGTCCCACTCCAGCGTTCGAGCGGCTCGACTGGACGCGTCTATAGCTCCTCGACCCGGCCATTTTCCAGGAGCCAGAGCCCGGTCATGACACTCCGCATCTTGTCACCGAGCAGAGAAGGAACTCGAGGCAAGAAAAGCCAGGAAGACCAAGAGAACCAGCGCGTTCATGGCTCCTGGGAGTTTCCCGTCCCGCCTCGGGGCCTCGTACGATCTGGGAACGTCAAGCAGGCTTCTCCCAAGCGACGACGTCTACCACTGAGAGATTCGATTCTTCTGAAGCGCAAGGACTCGTCTGATTCCTCTAAAGCTGGCGCGGAGACATCAGCTAGTACGCCGCGCAAACCTCCCCCATCGTCGGATCCACAGACGCCATCAAAGGCTACGGAATCCATGAGCATGCCGGTGACCCCGTCTAAAGCGAGGATGCCGGATCTGCCCAGGTATGCGTGTAAATCGAGGCCACCACCGTTCCAGTTGTTAGCTTACCCGGCCATCAGACTTGGAGCCCGTTCCCAAGATCAGCCTCAAAGCGAGAGCTATTCACAGAACCAGCCTGCGCGCCTGCCGCCAAGAGAGACCAATCTAGAAACTTGCCACAAGGCTATCAAGGCTTCAAACGATGATCCAACAGATGGCGAGAAGCCGTTGGTGTCTCGCATATGTTCCATGATCTTGGACGAGGAGTTTGGCGCCGGCGCTGACAGATCCTCGACTCCCCTTAAAGTCTGGGACTCTGTGGTAAGATGCCTCGAGGACATTTCGCACCTCGCACAACCAGGGGACGCTACCAACGGGAGCGAAGGGCCATCTTCGGCGCGTCTGGCTCTGGAATCGAAGTCGCTTCAGCGGACGGGAGGTAGAGCGGGTAGTCAGCTCGGCACTGCCGGGGCGGAAGGAAGCATTGGGCATTCTTCTAAACGAGACACAGATTCCAGCGGGGGGTCTATTGTCGACTATTATTCCTGGCGTCATCACAAAGGTAGCAGTGGTAGTCATGTCGAGTTGCTACCATGCCCTTATAGGCTTCGCAATCCAGCGCGATTTAACGTCAATGACAAGTGGCATTGCGTCAACGGAAAATGGAAAGACTTTTCAGACTTGCAGTATGTATCATATCATGGGCGAAACCGGAAAGATTGCTAAACTGTCATAGAAAGCATATCGCAAGGGATCATAGGCGAGGCGGCGGTGCTCATCTCTTTCAATGCCCGCGATGCGAAGATGGGTTCTCAGATTCCATGGCATTCAAGCACCACTTGATGCTCCCAAGAGAGCAAATGTGTGAGGCGAGATCCGACATTGATTCTGAGTGTGCCGATCCCGAAGATGGTCTCAGCGGTGCAAGAGCACAACACCTTTCAAAGCAGATAGAGAATGAGGATTTCGAATCTTGGGACGACCTGTGGAGGTGGTTATTCCCTTCGGATAGGGTTGTACCGCGGCCCGGTAAGTAGCCTAGATTCCGGAGCGTTGTTAGATTTGCTGACCGTCCTTAGTTGCCTTGCCCGCCGTAGAGCTTCCGCTAGTAGAACAGGAAGTCTTCGCGGCCGGCAACATGTCGAACCTGAAGGCTAGCTTGGAGGAGCGCCTAAGGTTCCTCGCCTCGCAGTCTGCCGATAGCGACTCATTTTCTGCGCAGATTCCCGTCATCACTGCGTCCCTGTCACTGGATGTTGAGGCTCACCTCAGAAGCGTATTCATCTCTTGCCGCAACCAGCCACCTATTCCTTCCGGGAAGTCGTCAGCAACAAATGAGACGGCCACTGGTCGAGCACGAAATCTGTCGTCTGCATCAAGCTCAAGCAACAGAAGTATAAACAGGTTCCCCCAGCGCGGCCCTACCATTGCCGTGAACGAAACCAAGGGGTCCGCATGGGACGGCCCCAGCCTTCAGCGTCAACGCCAGAGAAGCAACAGCGACGAAGCGAGGCGTCAAAAGCTGACGCGGGCCGCAACGCTGCCAGTGCCGACGATGCTTACGATACCGTTCCCGCGCATATCGGCCTTGACGGAGCAGTCTGACGTGGGCCCCAGCCCGGTCTCAGAACACCAAGTCTCGCCGAAAGCCCACTCGGACGCCGAGTACTCCTCGGGAGTCGAGTCAACACCGAGCAGCGCCGGCGGCTACCGGGAATCCACCAACACGATAGACATCCGGTGCAGCAAGTGCAACATGCGACCAAGCCTCCGGCCGGACGAGGACATCTTCTCGGACCCGCCCCGCGTCAGCGCCCGCGTCAGCGGGTCCTCGGTGGCCTTGGGGGCCGTGGACTCAATGTGCAGGTTCTCTGATTCCGGGATCGGGATACTGTGCAAGAGCTGCCGGATGCTCGAGGAGCTCATCAATTCGTACTCGCGGGCCTCGTCGCAGTCGTCGGCGAAATCTGGACGGTTGAGCCTGCCGGTGGCGGGTGCCGCGAGGAGCGCCACAACGAGTGCGACCACGAGCTTGAACACGGCCCCGACGACGGCGCCGCCGTTTTCGCCGAATCTGTCTGTTTCGGTGGATGAGAGCGAGGAGGAGACGCTGTTTGACTTGATACTCGACTCGGCGACGTATCTAGACGAGGACGGGCAGCGCAAGACGGAGGTTGTGTCGCCCATGTTTCCGCCGCCGCAGATTGGATTTTCGGAGTACGATCGTTTTGGACACGGCGACAATTTCTTTTGACTCGTTGTTTTGTATTACTGCTTATTTGATTTCTTTTATTTGGCTTTGGTTTGGGGGAGGGGATATGAAGTGGTGTTTGGCGTTCATGAGCCAGCGTCGCGCACTGCTTTCGGTTTCAGCCGATTTGGACATTCATTTGATTATTCCCCAGTTGTTATTATTTGACCACGAACCGTCGTGTTTGCGTTTGCAGGGCCACAGAAATACCAAGATCTGTACTATAGTTGCTCTTGATGTATTTTGACGACGGTATAATCCTTCCTCTCTTTTCAGTCTCCATGTCAAGATGTATTCTCGCCATATGACACAATAGCAAGCACATAATGTGACCATAGCGGTCCTCTCACCACATACCTCGAGCGCAGCTTCTTGGACCTATCTGCGGCACGAAGCCTAGGGTCGGATGCCCGTCATGTCCGAGCAGAAGATCATCGGCCCATGTTCCTGGCCAAGAATGCAGGTGCTTGTAGATCTGCACCCGCGTCCCCGCAATCTTAGTTTAGTTTGGCGCAAGACTGCAGGGTAAGGTACTGTGTAAGTCATCCCAGTATACGAAGAGCTTCAACACCAACCTTGGACGGGCAAGCCCAGCTTTTCGAGTGGTGGACGAGACGTAATATTACAGTGCAATATTATTACTACTGTTTCTGTTCAATTGCCACTTTGTGAGGCCTCTACTATAAAAACACGGGGGCATGAAGACTTCTTGTGGTACACAACTCGGACGCGCGAGACTAGCCGGATGAGCCAATTCATCGGATCGGGACGCCAGTGACGTCGAGGAACAAGGGGCAAGCCGCCCTACCGCGGGGCAGACGTCATCCTTACAGCACAGCTTTTGAGGCAAACCGAGGGTAGCTCCAGCTCGAGCTCCAAATGTAGGTCTCGGGAGCCGTGTGCCCAGACAGCCGCAGGGCAACTTGGAAACATGCCACCAGAGCTCGATCCGGAGCTTCCCCTCCTCCCTGTTTGACGTTCAAATACGTTGTAACACCCCCCCTTTTTCACTGCTCAGTCTCCCTTTCTTTGAAGCTACGTCTTTTGTTACGACTGCTGTACATCCCAACTCGCAGACCATTGAGCCCATTCTCCCACTCAGAGCACAATGGCGGATCGAGGAGAGGGCTACGATGCCCGTCTGGGTGTCAATACGAATGAAATCCCTACGGCACAACACTTGCCCGCGACTTCGGGAGCCGAACAGGACCGGTACGGCGGCTGGTTCGGTGGCAAAGCAGACAAAGCTACTGAGAAGCTTGGAAGCGCCGCAGACAAACTGAGGGATAGCCTCCCCCGCGGCGCCGGCACCGAACAGGAACGCTACGGAGGCTGGTTCGGTGGCAAAGCCGACAAGGCCTCAGAAAAGATTGAGCACGCCGCGGAAAAGATCAAGGAGAACCTGCCCCGCGGCGCCGGAGCCGAACAAGAGCGCTACGGCGGCTGGTTCGGCGGCGGCAAGGGCGATCAGGCCGCCGAGAAGCTGAGGCAGAACCTGCCGCGCGGTTCCGGGGCCGAGCAGGATCGTTACGAGGGTTGGTTCGGCGGGCACGAATTGCCTTCTGTCGAGAAGCTCGGCGAGAAGCTGCCGCGTGTCTCTGGCGCCGAGCAGGACCGGTATGATCGCTGGTTCGGCGGCGACAAGGGGCAGACTGGCGGGACCTGGGTCAAGGAGCATTTGCCGCAGGCCTCGGGGGCCGAGCAGGATCGATATGCCGCGCACTGGGAGGGCGTCGTTGACCAGGTCACTGACAAGATCAAGGAGAAGCTGCCCCGAGGCGTGGGAGCCGAGCAGGAGCGTCTGGGCGGCTGGTTTGGTGGCGACAAGCTGCCTTCTGCGTCCCAGGTGAACGAGAAGCTGCCCAAGACATCTGGCGCGGAGCAGGATCGCCTGGGTGGATGGTTCGGAGGTGACAAGCTGCCGTCCGCTTCGGATATCAAGGACAAGATCCCAAAGACATCTGGTGCAGAGCAGGATCGGTTCGGTGGATGGTTCGGCGGCGACAAGCTGCCCTCCGGCTCCAAGGTGAACGAGCACCTCCCCCACGCCTCGGGAGCCGAACAGGACCGCTTCGGATCCCACTTTGGCGGCAAGGCCCCATCTGCTGAAGGCATCACAAGGAGACTGCCGAGGGTATCCGGCGCCGAGCAGGACCGCTACGGCTCGCACTTCAGCCTCCATCCGAGCAACCCCGTCAACACCGCCACGACGACAACGCTCGGCCTTGTCCAAAACGCTCTTCTCCCATCCTTTGGCCTCCACGCAGGCCTGAGCACCGTCGTCTACGCCGTCGCGCGCTACACCGACCGCGCCGAAGCAAAGGACTGGCTGTGGCCCTCGGGCCAGGTCGCCAACGCCTGGTGGACGGCCATCGGCGCGCGCGTCGTCCACGACGGCCTCTCCGTCCCCGCGGCCTGGAACTCGCTCGGCTACACCCAGAAGCTGCTCCTCACCGGCGTCAGCGCTTGGGGTGCCCGACTATTCTACCGCATTGCCACTCGAAGCGTGAAGCGCGGCAAAGACGACGCGCGCTACGTCGCGGCGAAGAACAAGGACCCCAAGTTCTGGGATAAGGCCTTCTTCAGCATGTTCCTACCCGAAGCCGCGCTCCAGGCGCTAATTGCTCTGCCGTTTACGCTGCCGTTCCGCGCGCCCTTGACCAGCGCTCGCTCGTCGGCGTTTACCGAGTTCCCCGAGACGTTCCATAGCCTGGCTGTATTCCTCTTCACTGCCGGTCTTGCGCTCGAGACGATTGCCGATACCCAGCTTGAGGAGCATTCTAGCAAGAGCAAGGAGATTAACCGCGAGGGCGTCTGGAGCATCGTCCGCCACCCCAAGTGAGTAACCGCCGAACCTCAAGTGCTGTTAATGAGTGGGGAAAAAGTTAACAAAGTGACAGCTACCTCGGCGACGCCCTCTGCCACCTCTCCTTCCCCGTTCTCCTCTACAGCGCCGGCATGCTGCACCCTCTCGCCGTCCTCGGCCCCGTTGTGAACTACATTGTCCTCCGCTATCTGGGCGGCGACAAGGTCACCGAGGCCAGCCAGGAGGAGCGCTACGCCAAGGAGAACCCCCTCAAGTTCCAGCAACTTCAGGAGTACAGGCGCGACAAGAATAGCTTCTGGCCCAGTCTCGGCGAGTACGACAACAAGTGGGTGTGGATTGTTGCTGCTACTGGTGTGGCTGGCGTTGCTGTTGAGCGAGGTCTTCTTGCTTACTTTAGGGGTTGAATACTGTACGAGAGGGATTGTCATAAATAGTGTGGTCTCGTGCGAGTGATTCAATCATGGCATTTAAAATTGAGAAAAAATTTCAATCGCGTCAAAAGTTGTTGGGCCATCGGACTGAACATCATATTCATAACGTTAATCACTGACTGCCAGACTGATCTGATTTTGATTTATTGGCGAAAATGAGTCCACGAATGTGATTAGCAATATCATTGTTTATTACGATGAGCATCTTAGGCTGTGATGTTCCACTATATACACAAAGCCAAACCTGTATTAGGCCTAGACTCTAGGAACTTGACAACTTGAATCCCAATCACCAGATATTTACAACAGGTTCAAGTCAAGAACGATACTCGGCGTGCCCACAAAGCCCTGGGGCAGTGTGTACGTAAAGTTCCAAAACTCAAAGTCACGGATGGGCGAGCTGGTTCCGCCAACCGACCCGGCAAACGACAGAGCGTACGTCTCGTTGACGTTGCCCGAGACATTCACAGACAGGCCCTGAACGTCGGCCCAACCGGAGACGGTGGGCTTCTTGATAAAGGTGCCGACGACAAAGGTAAAGATGGAGTCGGCGGTGCCGTTGGGGTACGTCAGGCTCAGCTTGTTGGGGGCGACCTCGACGTCGAGGGCCATCTCGGTGGGGTAGAGCGAGATGAAGGCGACCTCGTCGCCCGTGTTCCACTGCACCACGGCCGGGTTGAAGGACTCCTGGTTGATGGAGGGCCCGCCGATGACGTTCTCCTTGAAGGACTCGGCGCCAATGGTGAGGTTCTCCGAGAGCCAGGTGCTGATGTTGCGGGGGACGAGGTCGTAGGGCGGGTAAAAGGTCGAGGCGGAAAAGGTGCGCTCCTCCGGGCCAAAGGTGGTCAGGTTCGCGACGATGCCTTCGGGGATGAGGCTCTCGTGGAAGTCGGCGAGGACGGCGAAGAGGGGGGCCCAGGCGTAGTCGGCGGCGTGGGACATGACTTGAGGCTAATTCCCGAGTTAGCAGGCCGGCATTTTTCTTTCGGTCCATGCTCGCTGTCCGGCGAGGAGAACACACACAAAGACGAAAAGGCAACTTACAGCAGAGATGAGAGACGAGTTCTCCTTGCCAATCAGGGTCCAGAACCAGAGCGCCATCAAGCTGACGTAGCGGTTCATGTCGTAGCCGTAGGCGCGGTCCCAGGGCCCAGCCATGTTCTTCATGCCCGGGTGCCACAGCTGCGCGACGGCCTTCCACGTGTCGCCGAGCATCTGCGGGCCCTTTTGCGTCATGATGGAGTCCTTGGGGAGGTACTTGGACCAGAGGGTCAGTCCAAAGAGGGAGACACCGGTGTAGGTGCCCGAGTTGAACTCGGAGAGCGTGTTGGCGCGGTCAAAGAGGTCAATGATCTCCTGGGCGTACGACTCGCCCGAGGTCGTCATGTTGGAGTCGTTGAGGCGGCGGCCGGTGTAGCCGGAGACGAAGGCGCGCATAATGGCCTTGTTGTTGTTTGTCAGTGTCTGCAGTAATCATGAGGGGAATGCAGGGGGTCTTTGCATACGGGGTTGCTGTAGGCCGGGTACAGGTTGTCGTCGTCGACGCCGCCGACGCGGTACGTGTCGCCCTTGGTGGTGTTGTACAACGACTCGAGGATGAGCTCCTGGGTGTCGTTGCTCAGCAGATGGGGGAACTCCTCCAACGCCATGACCAGGGTCGTGCCGACGAAGCCTCTCCAGTTGGGGTCCCACGAGTTGTAGATGCTCTCCGCGTAGTGAGCCGATCCCACGTACGGTTGCCCATCGTACATTTGGTAGTCTCCGTACCTTTTGACGAAACAAGTCAGTCTCGTGTATCCATGGTCAATGCAGGTCGAGGTAGCTCTCACCATTGCTCCGAGACATTCTTGAACTGTGCGCCAATGGTCTTCTTGATAATCTTGTCGGCCTCGGCGACGTCGCCGCCCTCGTTGCGCGCGAGGAGACCCAGGGCGTACCAGACGGAGCTGCGCGTCTCGTGCCGCAGCGCGGACGCGGATCCAATGTCGTAGAGGTACCCCGCGGAACGGTCGTAGTACTGGTCCATCCACGCCATGGACTCATTCAAGAGGCCCTGGGCGTTGACGGAGAGACTCGCGACGTACGACGACGCCGCGGTTGCAGAGCTGGCGAGGGCCAGGATGCCCATTGCCTTGAACGTGACGGCCATCGTGGGGGAAAGGAGGACTCGCGAGAGGATACGGAGAGCCAATTGACTGACTGACGATTTGCAAAGCCCAAAGGGAGGAAAGCTCACAGACGCCTGGGATAGGGTTCGAATGCAACCCTCGAGGCGGTGGTCCCGAGCTACCTTAATATACGCATCATATCGAATCTCTCCGCGGCCAAGACCGCGGCCAAGGGTGCCATATCGCGCTGGGTCCAAAGATTGTCGTCATTACACAGATAGAAGCCGCGTGACCGGCGTACCATGAGATGTCATGTCAAGCAAACTCTACCACCGGGGCCCCGACCCGACTGCGCAATCAAGCAGGGCAAGCTTCTTTAGCGGCGGTGGCTGGTGGGGAGCGCTCTGGAGTTCGGGTCGGTGAAGTTGGCCAGGTTAGGGAAGAATGCGGAGGTGATAACGAGGGTGGGATAACCTGGGACCTTTTGGAAAGACAGAGTGATAGTCTAGAGAAACGGTTCCTAGACCGTACCTTGACCCGGGCTTAGTGGGACATTGCAATGCCCAACGGGCGGGAGGGAACCCCTGTAGCCGAGGAGGGGAGGATGAAGAAACATTTTCGGGGCATCCCCGAGCGATGAACAGGTGATTGCCGGAGTGAAGTGGTATCAGTGGTGCGAACCGGGGTCGTGGAAGAAGAAAAGCCGGGGGAGATGCGAGTACACGCGAGATGTCCGGTTAGCCCCAACAAGGATCGTCCCTGGCCGATGACTCGGTGCCCTGGCTCGTCTCTTCTCCGCACTTTTCCTGCAGCACAGAGGGTAGGAATCAGATGGATTGTGTGGTACGGTTTTGGGTCCGATGAACGGGGGGCTTGGGGGACTGGAGTGCCCGGTCCGGTGTTTACCGGGCCATAATCCCATCTATCAACCGCGGCTCTATGTCGTATCTTTTTCCCTTTACGTGAGAGAAGTGGCTATATCGAGGTACTAACTAGGCTTATCTTTTCCCTCTACACTAATCACCTTCTTTAAGCACTATGATTTTATCAGCCCCATAGCTCCAGATGGGGCCCGAATCGGATCGCGGCAAAGCACGGCTTGTTTCCGGGGACACACAAAAATCTGTAAACACAAACGCCCTTTGTATTGATCGATGGGGTACAATCACCTGATGGGGTCTGGAGAGAGGGTCCCTACGCACTATCAATTGTGGACTTGCGGCCATCTGGGGGCGAAAAACACCGTAAGGGTCCTGCGTTTCTGCATGGGATATATGTTGACGATGCCGCCCACGCGTGTGACGATAGCACGCGGCCACGACTTGTTGCGGTCTCAAGTCGACAATTGACAAGAGTTTACAATTGTCCAACGAAACCTTAGTTTGGCAGTGTTCAAGATAGGCATCATGGCAGACATCAAGACCCCCACCGACATCTCGTCGAGTCCGGCGCGCAGCGTCGATGCGGCTCCGGAGAAGACCCTCGACGCTGACGAGATGCGTCTGGCACAGATGGGTGGGTTTCCCCGGACTCACACTCCTTTGCATCATCTATTAACACACGCGCACTAGGCCACACCCAAGAGCTCCAGCGCCACTTCAGCACCCTCAGTCTCATCGGCCTCGCGTCGACGACGACAATCTCGTGGACGGGCCTGGGCCTGGGCCTCATCACCGAGATCAATGCCGGTGGGCCTGGCGCCGTCATCTACGGCTTCATCCTCGTCACGCTGCTGCAGTGCTTCCTCGGCGCGTCGCTGGCCGAGTTCGTCTCGTCGTATCCCACCGAGGGCGGCATGTACCACTGGATTGCCGCCGTTGCGCCGAGGAGACTGACGGGAGTCTTGAGTTTCTTCACCGGTTGGTTCAGCGTGCTTGGCTGTAAGTCGATACCTGCCCCGAAATCGTGTTAAGAATGGAGATAATCTGACATGTTCGCACTTAGGGATCTTCACAACCGCGTCGACGAACCTGATTTACGCCCAGGTTCTCATGGCCTTGGTCGCGCTGTACCACGGAGACCTCGACATCCAGGCGTGGCAGACTTTCATCGTCTACCAGGGGCTGAACATCATCACCGCCGGGATCGTCATGTTTGGCAACAAGCTCATTCCGGGACTGAACAAGTTTTCGCTCTTTTACCTGCAAATTGGCTGGCTCGTGGTCATGGTCACCGTGGTGGCGTGCGCCCCGACGCACCGCAACACCGAGTTCGTGTTCCGCACGTGGATCAACAACACGGGCTGGGAGAACCAGGTGGTCTGCTTCATCACGGGATTGGTGAACCCTCTGTACAGTCTCGGTGGACTCGATGGAGTCACTCATATCACGGAGGAGATGCCGAACGTGAGTCTCTTCTCGTTGCCAATTCTCCTGACGACGACCAGCGTGTGCTAACCTTTACGCAGCCGTCTCGCAACGCGCCCCTGGCCATCGCCATCACTCTCTGCATTGCCTTCGTCACCGGTATCACCTACCTGATCAGCCTCATGTTCTCCGTCCAGGACTTTGATGCGCTGTCCACCACCAACACCGGACTGCCGCTGGCTGAACTGTTCCGTCAAGTCACGCAGGGTGCCGGAGGAGCCTTTGGTCTGACATTCATCCTCTTCATCGCTCTGGGCCCCTGCGTCGTCAGCTCCCAATTGAGTACTGGACGTGTCTTCTGGGCCTTCTCCCGCGACGGCGCCATGCCCTTTTCTCGGATGTAAGTCGAACCTTCACTCCCACAACTCGTTGTATATTGAGCACCATCGAATCTGACACGCCCCGATTAGCTGGTCGAGAGTCCACCCCAAGTGGCAGATCCCCATGAACTCCCAACTCGCCGTCACCGCCATCGTCGCAGCACTAGGATGTCTCTACCTCGGCTCCTCGACCGCGTTCAACTCCCTCCTTGGCACCGCCGTTACGATCAGCAACATCTCATACATGTTCCCCATCGTCACGAACCTCCTGACGGGCCGGAAGAACATGCACCGCGGCGTGTTCCACATGGGCCCTACCTGGGGTCCCATTATTAACGGCGTCACTGTCTGCTGGCTGACTTTTGCCATCGTCTTCTTCTCTTTCCCGTACGTGATGCCGGTGGAGCCCGCCAACATGAACTACACCTGCGTTGTCGTTGGTGGGCTCACTGTCTTGGTCGGGGCCTGGTGGTTCAAGGCTGGCTCAAGTTACAGCGAGAAGATGCTCCAGGCGAAGGAGGAGTAATTAGACCCAAGTCACAGGATTCGGGAATAGCATAGTCCGGGACCCTGCGCAATGACTAGGCGTTGCCTTGTCTTTGGTGGACTTTCAAATCAAACGACCATATGTTTGACGGGAATTTGAAAAAAAAAGGGATCCATAGTGTAATCTAGAATGTATATAGAGAACCGGGTTGCCGGATTTGACAAATCTTCCCCTGCGAGGTTGTAACTTTGACGCACGTAACCATCCCTTCACCTCATGGTCCCGCAGAGCCCAATGCTACCGGTAACAGAGAGTGCACTGTGCTTGGACTGCATGGATGGAGTAGGTAATTTAGTGCTCCAAGTTGATGCCACCCGTGACCCAGCTACCAGATCCTTGGGTTGAGCCACGTGGGGTTGACAGGGCTAGAGGACCCTCCTTTCATAATGGGCTACCGGTGATATCGGCGAGGCAACACCGGCAGGACGACTCCGGCGACGGGTAGATTTGCCGATGCAATTTGTGAAGCTCTGGTTGTGCAGTGGAGGTATAGTTGCGTTGACTGGCGTCATAGCTGGCTGTCATCTGAAGACTCAAATACTCCCATTCACCATTGCGTTCCCACCTTCACTGCCGAAGTGGTGATAGCTTAAGTACACATTGACAACCTTGGATTACTCATACACTCTCCAAACTTGCTTATCATCGTCATTGAACACCAAACCAGATACAATGAGACTCATCATCAGGCCCGATAGCAGATCGGCATCTGCTCATGTTGCACACTATATCCTAGGTACGAGGTCTACCCAAAAACAGCCATACAAATAGCCATACGGCGATCGATTTCCCTTCAACTCCTGACCTCTCCTAGACCGTATTAGAACTTTTCAGCCAACACAAGAGAAGCCATTTGTTCTCGGGCTTCCCACAGGGAGCAGTCCGATCCAGATCTATGAAATCCTAGTCGCAGAGTACAAGGCCGGACGCATCTCTTTTGAACATGTGATTACCTTCAACATGGTAAGTTTCCGACATGCGAGCCCATAAGCAGTTGGACTCCTCGTCTGACAGAAGAATGAAAAAAAGGACGAGTACGTCGGCCTGCCACAAACGCATCCCGAGTCGTACCACAGCTTCATGTTCCGCCACTTCTTCTCGCACGTTGACATCAAGCCCGAGAACGTTCACATTCTCGACGGCAACACGTCCGACTTGGACGCCGAGTGCGCCGCTTACGAGGACAAGATCAAAGCCGCTGGTGGCATCGATCTCTTCCTCGGTGGCGTCGGCCCGGATGGACACATTGCCTTCAATGAGCCCGGGTCGAGTCTGGCGTCCCGGACGAGGGTGAAGACGTTGGCGATGGACACTATTAGGGCCAACGCCCGCTTCTTTGGGGGCGATTTGAACAAGGTGCCGCAAATGGCCCTGACTGTTGGTGTTCAGACCATCATGGAGGTGTGTAGTCTTCTTTCCCACCCCAAGAAGATGTCGCGATCGCGGCGGTAAAGAATGATTAGGCTGACACTTGTGGACAGGCGAGAGAAGTAGTGATTATCGTGAACGGAGCCAGCAAATCTATCGCTCTTCAGAAAGCGATTGAGGGTGGCGTAAATCACATGTGGACACTGTCATGTTTGCAACTGCACCCCTACTCCATGATCGTTGCGGACGAGGACGCAACGTTGGAGTTGCAGGTCAAAACAGTCAAGGTATGGGCTTGGCGTCAGTACGATACGTCGTTGATAATTCGCTAACATAATTGTCTCTGCAGTACTTCAAGAGCATCGAAAAAGTCGGACTCGGAAAGGGGTTCGAGCAAAAGCTGCCTTTGAGGTTGAGGACCGTGTCGCTTGTGAGCCCTCCTCAGACACCGCAGACACCGGCTAATACAAAGGCGGCGTTTGAGGAGGATCACTTGGTGGAGTTGACGCCAGATAGCATGTCATCTCGCATCGCAACATGGCCTGTCATCTAACTGGCGGTGACACTTGGCGGGGAACATGGCTTGGGAGTGGAAGGGCACTAGTTAATTGCTTCACACCTGGTTGGAAATGCATACAAGGCGAGAATGAATAAATCCATCAATGAATCAATGCCTTCTCAAAAGCTCCAAGAAGACACTACCAGGCCACTGCGAGAAGACTGAATATATTAAAAGACTATCCCCCCTGATTCTCATATGACCAAAGCTCATAGCCTGCTTGCAGACTCGACTGGTCAAAGATGTACCACGAATTATCCAAGTTGCGAATCTCTTGCTCAAACACCTCTGCGTCTCCTGAAGCGGGTGTATGCAGCCCCTGAAGCTTCTGCTCAAGTCGCGTAGCCAGAATGCCTCGCAGGCTGGGCTTGGGCTCATGCATCTCCTTCAACTTTTGGAGATGGACTCCCACGTTCTCAAGATCTATCATTCATTTGATTAGCTGCAAACCCTTTTTCGTGGGTAAAAGAGGTTGGCACAACTCACCGTCGGGTTCTCCTACACCACCATCCACCCCTTGCAGTACAATGAGAGCAGCCCAGGTGATCATGACGAGATCCCAGTTGGACCATATCGAAGCATCACAAATCTGGAGTTTGACAGCCGCCCTCGCAGACACGAGCAGCTCGTGCTGCTCTTTCGGTGTCGTGTTGGAGAAGAGGTTGCAGCCTCGGGCCGGGTGATAGATGGACAGGACGAGGAGCCGGTGCAAAATGTACTGCCGGAACACAAGCTTCTTCTCGTGCTCCGACTCATAGTCCTTGTCGCTAAACTCGACGAGCCAGTCGTCCAACTGCCGTGCCCAGTCGCGGATGACTGCGCCGTCAACCCCGCTGAACGCAACGGACGATATTTGCGAGATGCTGGGCTCGCTTTCGAAACAGGACCATATTGTTGACAGCCCTCTGCCTGTGAAGTGAGTCAGGCCTGTATGCATCATTCTAGAGAGTCGGTATAGCTGGTCTTGTATTGGGATCTTGAGTCGCGGGAGGGGCGCTTCGATCGGTATCACTGGGCAGGAGAGGTGTATTGAGGCGTGCTCGAGATCGACAATCTACAGCATGTTAGAAAGGCGCAAGGGGTATGTGGAACCATCAATGTTGCCCTACCTGAAGGCCAGAGAACAGACGTTGCCATTCGCGAGATCGTTCATCCGTGTTGGAGGGGCAGTGCTCCAAGATGAGGCGGTAGGCCAGAGAAATCCAGACCCCCGTTTCTTTCACAACAGCTTCCCTCAGCAGGCCGGCAAGTATGATGCCCAAAACCGTCTGAAAGGCCCATTCTTCGGCCGAGGCTGGGTCATCGGGGGCTTGGCCGACCTCGCTTTGTGGTATGCACAGCTGGGAGATGGCGCTGCACAAGACGCTGAAGTAGTCTGGCGCCAAGACAGCGACCTCGGGCAGGCCTCGTATACTTGAGCAGTAGAGCATCGAGGCCAGCATGAGTGGTCTCGGCGACGAGAAGGTCTGCTTGGTGGGGAGAAAGTGAAGCCCTGGCATGGTTTCGTGGAAGCTGCGGGGCGTTAGACATGCCGGGACAACCACCGAGGGACAATGTAGCGAGCCACGGGGGCGGACATACGATAGCCATAGTCTTTTGATCATGGATTTCTCCCAAATGTTTGAGCTCACATTCGATGAACATGTTCTTCGCAAGACTGACACGGCGCTCCAGAGAGCGCCTAGGGAGGTTTCCCCAGGTGTCTCGGGTTCGACCGTTGGTATGTCTGGTGACGCAGGTGAGTCCGCTTCTTCCACATGGGTGAGAACTGGCAGACCCAAGTGGTCCTCGAGTCGCTTCAACCGAAGAAAGACAGACTTGTTTAGTGCGGGAACCTGCTCATTCGCCTGGATCAAAGATGCCAGCGAGAGACTCTCACGATGGGAAGCGGACTGCAGTAGTCGAATTTGTCAGACAAGACACGGATTGGGGAAAAGGAAAAACAAGATCGCGGGATAGTCGCCTACGTTGGCTCTGGGCACGAAGACGCATGGCACGCCTGCTCGGAGGCATCTTCGGCACGTGGACCCATTCTCAATTCTACATTTCATCTGGTATCATGGACGATTGGTCAGGCCATGGATCTTCTTCACAACAGGCCAATCCCCAGCCGACACATACCTTTTGCCTTCTGCAATTGACTTTTGGAGTTTGGACGTACCGTCAGCCTCTACAGTCGCATGCAACGAAGACGGAGTTCACCAATGTGCTTACCGCATGCCTTCCGGGCCTTGCTCGGGCCCGACTCGTCCGGCGCCTCGGCCGATGCCTTGTCCCTCATATGGTGAGCCGACATTATGAACAGGTTGTGCACTGACACGGACACGCGAGCGAGCGCGTTTCGAGTCCCACTCTATCAATTGCGACTATGGCGACAATTGCGACAATGCCGGTGTCTACGGCCTTGTCTCGGCCAGGTGCAAGCAAAAAAAAAAAAAACCACTGTTGCTTTCTTCGGCGGATACCCGGTGAAGCAGGTGGGATCGGGGGCAGAGTTTCGATTCACCGGTCGTACCGGGGAACCGGTCTTTTTGAAGATTTGAATTCGCGGGTGGTGACGGCAGGGCCTGGACCCGGCCCTTGATAGGCTGGGGGACTGTCATTGGAGGGATTTCTGGGCAATTTCAACAGGTCCACCGCGCCAGTCCGGTCCGGGTTCACCGGGCAGCGATCATGGTGGTAGAAGGTGCTCTCAAATCAGCCTGTGACTGCACCAACTGGAGTGTTCTTACAGCACATTCCCGATGAGATGACCTCCCATCTCCTTCCGAGAGGCGCTATTATTCTAGCGGTAGGAGTTGGTTCAAGTTCTGGCGTCAACGTTGTTCTTTAGCCGCCGAGGCCTGGATACTTGATCGGTAAACCACATCAACCTGCTGATAGGCGTTCGTTGGCACCCATGAATCTGACCTAGCCTTTCCACCCAACACTGCCCTCGACTAACATTGTATGTCGGTAGAGTGGTGATTCTCAATGTCTTTGGTTGAGTCTCAGCAAGAGAGGGCGGCGGAGTTGATGGCTCAGGCCCGAAAGATCGCACATGACTTCGATTTTCCAGCAGACCATGTTCGTCGCGCCACGACTCACTTCTTGAAGCAGCTCAGTAAGTCTAGTCGACGCTCAGCAACCTGTTGTGTTGGACCGCATGCTGATGATGTAAAACAGATGAGGGCCTTCGGGAAGATGGCACGTCAATGTGCCAGATCCCTTCCTTTGTAACCAAACTTCCCAATGGCTCTGAAAAGGGCGTCTGCTTGGCCATCGACCTTGGCGGTACCAATTTGAGGGTGTGCTCTGTTGAGTTACACGGAGACTCCACCTACTCCTTGACTCAGTCCAAAGCCGTGATCCCTAGACACCTGATGGCTGCACCGACTTACATGGATCTCTTCAGATTCATCGCCCTGCAGATGAAAGGGTTCCTCGAGAAACATCACCCATCAGACCTGGCCGTGTGGTCGCAGCTCCTGAAAGAAGGAGGCGCAATCACCGAGGCCGTACGCCAGAAGCACTACAAGAGCCTTGGCTTCACCTTTAGTTTCACGTTTGATCAACACGCCATCAACAAGGGAACATTAATGTACTGGACAAAATCGTTTGGTATCGCCGACGCAGTCGGTCGCGACCCTTGTGCCATGCTGCAGGAGGCCCTCGACGAGCAACACCTGCCTCTTTTGGTCACGGCTCTTGCGAATGATACCGTGGGGACTCTGGCGGCGCGGGCGTACACCTCTCCGGGACGTTCCAGCAACGTAGTAGGCGCAATTTTCGGCACCGGGACCAACGGAGCTTACATGGAGCGCATATCTCGCATCACGAAGCTGCATTCGCGCGCAGAGTTCTCGACATCGGACCCGGGCGCGATGATGGCACTGAATACGGAATGGGGCGGCTTCGACAACAAGCTGGAAGTGCTGCCTTCAACACGATTCGACCGCGACTTGGACCGCGACTCTGTCAACCCCGACGATCAGCATTTCGAGAAGCGCATATCCGGCATGTATCTTGGCGAGCTTCTCCGGCGGATACTAATAGATTTGTCGCAATCGAAACAGGGCCTCTTTGACTTCCAGGTTTCGGGCGATTCCTCGCTTTACACGCCGGACAGTATTGACAGCTCGCTATTGTCGGCAGTTGTCAAGGATAGAACCCAGACGCTCGAGAGTGCGCGCGAGGCGATAGCAAGAGTCCTCGGCGCCACAGACGTGTCGACCAACGATGCAGAAGCAATACGGATTCTTTCCGAAGCCATCGGCCGCAGATCAGCCAGGCTGTCTTCCGTTGCGATTGCTGGGGTCGCTCTCCAATCTGGACTGTTTGCCCCCAAGAGCGTCATTAAACCATTAGCGACGACGTCACGAGGCCTGGGAATCAACATTCTCAAGCCTCTCATCTATGGAGCGCGGAGTCTGTGGAACCTGCTTGCAAGTTGGCTCCACGTCAGGGTTTTATTCACGACTCCATCAAAGGCCTCATTCAGCGTCTTTTCGCGGCTCGGAGGGGTAGGCAGTGGTGAGGCAGAGACTGATGGCGAGGACATGGATGAAGTGGTCGATGTGGGTGTTGACGGTTCTTTGATTGAGCACTTTCCCAACTTTGAAGATCATCTACGGGAGGCTCTCAGGGAAATCCCAGAGATTGGTGCCGTGGGTGACAAGAGAATCAAGATTGGCATGGCGAGAGATGGTAGTGGAGTCGGGGCTGCGTTGATTGCTTGGGCGGCCAGGACATAGTTAATGAAGTCTACTTCGCCAAGGCACCGCAAGATGGACACTTTGTATATCAAAATGACAATACGCAAGTGACGGATCATCATTGCGATTTCATGAATGGGGATTTGCTTCCGTTCAGACTCAACGACTAAGCATGGTGGTGTACTGTCGCTTTAGCTCTTTTGCGAAAGAAGTATGATGCGGCTTTCAAAAGATGACTTGAAATGTTTATTCAGTATGAGGCAAGGTAATCGATTCAGTTGAGGTGAAATTTTATAGACCTCTGAAGCTCACCTGATTCACTAATAAGGTAGACTTTTCTATATGAAGTTCCTGAGAGATGATGGAATACTACTTGCCAAAGTCTTCATTCAACTGAGTATTATTTTGGCACCTGACGCAATTATCCATAACAGGAACCGATTCCTCAACGGTATTGAGTTTCAAGAAAAACCTGCTCTCAGACTTTCCCAACCTTTTCCGAATCGCACTATGCATAAACCATCTTGGCTTAGCCTCCTGTTTCTGGCCGGCAACAGCAATGCACACATGGCCATGACCAATCCGCCCCCGATCAAAGCCAAAGGAAACCCAAACACCTCCCCTGAGAACACCGACTTTAGCTACACAAATCCAATGTCGTCCAGTGGCTCGGACTTTCCCTGCAAGGGCTATTTGACCCTCCTGGGTACTCCAGAGGCGACGCCCGTCGACACGTGGAATGCTGGCGGCAGATACTCTGTCACCATCTCCGGCCAGGCCACGCACGCGGGTGGATCATGCCAAATCAGCGTCTCGGTAGACGGCGGCAATGTGTTCAAGGTGATTCGCAGCTACATTGGAGGCTGTCCACGTGGCGATGCTACCGAACTGGAGTTCAGACTGCCCATCGACACGCCGTCTTCTGACCAAGCGATTCTCGCCTGGACATGGTTCAATAATCTTGGGAATAGGGAGATGTATATGAACTGCGCCGTCATTCGCATTGCAGGGGGAGGGGGGAGGGGGGAAGAAGGCATAGGTGAGGGTTTCAGTGAAAGACCTGAGATCTTCCGAGCGAATGTGGGCAACGGGTGCAGGACAGAGGAGTCGAGAGATGTCATGATCCCGAACCCGGGGCCGGATGTAGAACTCAACAACCCCAATGCTGCTCCACCGATCGGTGACTGCGAACCCGGGCCGGGTGCGACAGGGAGGTCGGGATCGGGCTTGGGCTCCGGTGGCCAGGGAGGCCAAGGCCAAGGCCGCGGTGACGCAGGAACTTACAAACCTGGGAATGACTGGCCTGCTGGCTTCAACCCGAATTCCGGCAGGGTAGTTGCGAATGACCAGCTGCCAGGCCTCGTTTGCACTTGTTTGGCAGTCATTTCAGTCTGTTTGTGTTGGGATTGGTGGGTCGGCGGTCTAATAACATCAAATATCTTTGGTTAAGACGAGTGGTATGAAGCCGACGTTGGCATGTAGGTAGATAGATAGGTGTGCTGCATCAAAGGGAAACAAAGGCTTGTAGGTATTTCAATCAAACAGTTTAAAAGGAAATTTGTATTAAGTAGCAAGCTGGACTGACTTGAAAAGTCATTACGAATAAGTAAAACCAGTCAGTGCCAGGAGGAGATGGACAATTGAGTAAGAGGTCAAAAAGCTGAGGTCGTACCCGGGTTCGAACCGGGGTTGCCGGAAAGGTTCGATTTTGATGTTATCAAAATCCGGAGTGATAACCACTACACTATACAACCTTTGATGGAGGACGTGGGGGCCTGGCGTCGACTATAGTCTGCTTGCCACAGTTGTCCACAATTTTTCCTCTGATGAGTCATCAAGCCTCACAGAACAAGCGCCAATTGAAGGTTAATGTTAATGTGTGAAGGTTAAAGTGTAGTGTAGTGGGCTTGCCTGACATCTCGACCGATGACTATTTGACTCCAATCGCATCCGTCCTAACTCCTAACTCCTAGGGCTCTGGCTAGGAAAAGCCGACGACAGGTAAATGATGTGTTTCAGATCCCTGGCGATTCGCCATGCCTGCGAAATTGCTTCACGACAGGCGTGTTGCGCTTGACCGAATACGTGAGCCAGTCCGGCAAGGCAATTTCGGGACATTTACAACAATATCCGGCAGATGCCCTGCCAATTCGGCTTTCTGTGGGAGACATCGATAGCAAGACGTCGGCGGTCGCGCTGGATCACGACCCAGGTATCAAAAGTTTTTGATCACAATGCAGGTAATACGGATGCGTGCAGACATGTTGGTTTCCCCGCATAGAGACATTCCAAGCTGCTTGGCAATGTGACTCCCCGCATTTTACCCCAGAGTGAAAGACATTCTGGAGACATTCTTGGGATCTCCTAAGTCGTGAACCCGCGCCGTTACACACTTCCGACCCTAACCCTGCCTGGTCCCGGCCACAGTGGAGTGAAGAGAGTGATCTGCAAACAACTTGAATAGCCCAAGCGAGCTCAGCCAGATGCGGCATGACGTGGGATTGTTGGTGACATCCCGGGGATCTCTAGCCGAATGCCGGTCACATCTCCGTCCTCCGCGGGTGAGATATCCAAGTGTCTCAAGAGTCGACCAAGTGACTTCCTCCCCCGCGGTATCTGGCACACCCACGGAGACCTAGAACGCATTCGCAATGGGGTTTTTGAAGCAAAAAGATTCCTTGGTGTCAACTCATGCCGTTTTCAGCGAGGACAGCTGTAGCTCGTCAACGTACGAGATGATAGAGCCGAAACCGGTCATCTTACGCGGCAGCGTCAGCAACTACTCATCCTTCACTGCCGACGCTCGCGCGGCATGGCAGAAAGCCCTCTCGTGGTAAATCGCCAAGGACGGCGCCCGCTAGAATCGCAGCACGACCATCCTGGATAGCTGGGGCTCCACCCTCGTTGACATCATCGGCACGGACCGATCCCTCCTTCTTGACCTGGACGGCGATTTTTTCGCCACGCTGACGAGATCATGCGCTGGGAGGGGAACTGGGCCGAGTCTGGACCCCGCTGGCAGGGCGGATCTGGCTTCAGCATCCACGGTAATCGATCCCCATTGGCCAAGTGAACTATGGAATGGCGAGAATCAAGGCCCTTTTGAGCTTTTCTGTCTGCCTTGACGAGCGTTACGCTCTACAACTGCGCCATAAATGAGTACTTGAATAGCCCCTGTGTTGGGCATGTACTCGTTCTTCGAGCCCAGGACGGGCCAAAGCTTGGAGTGAGTAAGTTCCCAAGATGCTCATGACTGATGGTTGCCAAGGCCGGGCTATGTCCGGCCTCGATTGGATAGCTCAATTTGCCCGGGTAGCTAAGAGTCAGGGTTCCGACCTCTGCAGCCACGATGGCAATCTGCTTCTCAAAGGCGCAGAGTACATGGCAAAGTTCAAACTCAATGAAACCGTTCCATATGATCCAAGGCGGTACCGTTGTGAGGCCGTGCTCGTAAATGGGCTTTGGGCGACCATCTCCCGGGACAAGAGAGGTGTGACGGGCACGAACCCAATGTAGGACATATGTTTATTATCATTACGTTGTTAACAGAAACATGGAAGCGTCTTGGGTCACGAAAGCTAGACAGATTGTAGGGCCCGACGACCGTTTGACGAGCAATGATCATCTTAGTGGTGGGGGGCGGGGGCGGGGGCGGGGTTGACCTGGGCTTATTTAGCTATCTCTGGTACAAAATAGGGATTAGACTAGATTCAAAATAAGGCAAACCACTGTGCCAGAGTGACTTCCATGAACAAATCACCTACGAGAGGTAAGATATTCATAGCATGCATAGGCATGTGACATATGTGGATGCTAGGCAGAAGCCCAGCAGGGTTTTGGCCGTGTTGCCGGTGTGGTTGGTGCATAAGAAAGCCAATAATATCATCTGATATGGATGAAGATATCATTTGAGTATGAATAAGAAGTATAGGTTATGCGAATGACAGCCAAAAACGAGAGACAATGAAAAAGAAGTGAATAGGGTTGGCCGCTTGGCATCGAGAACAGTGGGACGGACATCTGGGCTGGGATAAAAGTCCATCCAGAAACTTTGTCAATCCCGAACAACAGCCCCGAGAAAGAGCAACTGTTCCCCAATCCTACTCCAACCTGTAAAGAAGGGTACCAAATCCCAGCTGATCGTAGCCGCCGCTTGTTGTGCCGTAGTCTCCACCACCTCCCTCGGCACCCCCAGCTTCTTCAACCACGTGGTCGCGCATCTGCTCGGTCCAAGAAGCATTAAGCCCTTTGATTACACCATAGTGGTTGTAGAGCAGCTCCCAGATAGGCCGAAGCCCGCCGCGGCCGGCTTCACCGATGTCCACAGCAGTGCCCATGCTGTTGGTGAACGTTGTAAAGGGAACGTCGAATCCGAGGTTGTACTTTGCGGCGTATTCCGACCTTGAACCTGTGTTAACGATGTGCTGCTCTTGGGATGGCGGACTTTGCTTACCCGGCCAAGATCCTGTTATCCAGATACGAGAATAAATCATCACCCTGATTGTAAGACTGCTGCGCAAAGACTCCCAATAAAGCAAAGTCCAACAGAGCGTGTCCTTGATCGCGCCCGGCCTCCTGGCCCTGGCCGAGGGTCTTGCCTAAGACTTCCTCTTCCAGCAACTCCCAGATGGCAATCTCAATGGCGCCATTACCAGCACCGTTCTTGAAGTAGTCGACAGCCTCTTTGTACATGGTTCTATTATCCGTCAAGATCCCGATAGCCTGCATTGTGCACATGTTGGCCAGGTCCCAGTTTGCCCAGTACACGTCGACAGGGGCGCCGTTGTGGTTGACCAAGAAGTTATGGTTCATGGGATAGAAGACCCTCTGCAGCATCTCGGCCATCGCCGACAAGCCGCCCCAAGCCTTCCATCCCCTCAGAATCTCAGCTGCGTTGGCGAGCTGGAAGCCGTAGATTCCGGACGCGAGGAACTTGTCTGAAGGGCCGTTAATATTCACGAGCGATTTGCTCCAGGCGTCGAGGATACGAGCCGACGCGTTAGCGTGGGCCTCGTTGCCGGTGATCTTCCAAGCGATGGCGTTGGTGTAGGCGGCGTGGGCATCGCGGTAGAGAGACGCGTAGTTTTCGGGGTTACACTCGTGGCCTGCGCCACCACGGCATACGGTTTCCTTGGGGTCGGGAGCGTAGGCTGTGTTGGCGCGGCTCTTGAGCTTGTTCCAACCGGTTGTCCATGGCTCCTTCTGGGCGTTGACGAAGCCTATGATGCGCTCAAAGTCTTTGCTGGTGTGAAGAAGGCCTGGATGTTTGAAAGGTTTGAAAGTCTTGGAGGAGTTCCCACAGAATGCGATGACTTCAGAAGCCCACAGGAAGGACCCCAGCAGAGTGATCAGTTGGGTTGAAAAAAGACTGAGGTTCATGCTGTCGTTTATAAGGCACTGAGACCAGCCCAGAATTACTGATAGAATATGAATCTGAAGGACCAAAGGAGTGATGGCTTCACCGAAAAGATGGAGTAGTGGGCAAGGAGATCATTCAGGATGTATATTCCCCGATCCCTGAACAAAGTCGAACCGTTTCGAGACTTGTTCTGAAATTTGACAGGAATTTAGTGCCCAAGTTTAGCGCTCCAATAGGTATGACACGCAATAGGCTAGCAGCTCAACTTTTGTTGCTAGCCCCCAGACTAGGCCTCGAGTGATCCTTGCACCCCGAGCCGAGATTTAAGGGGGGTGTTAGCTGGGACATAAGGTCTAATGTGTGGAGTTGGACAGAATGTCGACTCGTCGAGTAGCTTAGTTGCAGATCCCCAATATGGAGGGTGATAAGTTAGACATTTTTCGGAGATCATGAATCAATCTTGAGGATTAGTGGCTCAGAGCCTCTTCCAAGTGCGTTGGAGTTTTCGTATACCATTGCCGTCCATTTGATTATTGTCAATCAACCTATGGACTTATCAGATGTCTTGAGACAGAGATCTGTACTGCAGGCATTGGATCTAGCTAAATTTGTTTACAAATTTCCACAGCTTTGAGGTTTGCCTATTCTGATTCCGATTTCACGAAGAGCAACGCGAATCTCTTTCGGCCATCTGTTTGTAACTGAATACGAATATGAAGGGCTGGCCCACATATGTGAGCAACAGTGGCAACCATCTCACCTAAGCAAATGGGCTTTTTGCTCAATCTGAACGCTACATAGTATTCACCAAAAGGCACGTAAACAGAAGCTCCCGACTTGTAGCTTGGTTTCACTTAAGTAGTACGGGCCTGGGCCCGCAGTTAGGCATTCAGCCCGTAACAACATACCTTTTCCTCATCGTTCCTTTGCATTATGAGCCGGTAATTTGCCAACATTCTGCATTCTTTTGGTCGCCAATGATTGAATATCTTCAGTTTACCCACTCCACCCTGTCCTTTCTGATTGTTTCTCTTTCTTCCTTTGGAACAGACAGCAAACTTTACTTGATCAATATTTGCGCATGTAATGCCGACTGGACATTTCTTGATGGAAAATCTGCAGCCGGCCCAAGTGACTCAAGCAAAGGGGACAGAATTCTACGTGCAGAAGTGTCGCTTAGCGTAAGCAGTTGTACTCCAACTTTAAGATTTGGATAGAGATGCAGAAAGATCATAGAGACAACTTGACTAGCGAGAATTAATTTAAACCGAAGTCAAATTATGAAGGAGATTTCGAGACTCCAGATCATGAAAGAGGTACTGTGAAGAAGAACATTGTCAAAGCATTACTGCTCGTAAGTGCTGTGAGAATTGAGTATACCTGGTCCTGGCATAAAGAATCGAAGAGAGTCAAGGAAACTGTAGAAGAAGTATCTAATACTTGTACAAGCCAGAGCCAAGGAGTGCAGAAGGAGCCAGATGAGCTGCCGCAGAGTTCAAGGTTCCAAACTTTTCCAACACTGCTGAGAGTGTGTTGTGAGCCGGCTGAAGACCACCGTCCACCCACCCGCCAAGGAAAGAAGTGCAGTCGCTGTTGATGAGAACCTGCGTAGTCTGGGTCCGGTTAATTCTCTCCCAATCGTAGAAAAGAGACTCGATGCTAACATCTTGACCAGGGAATCCCAGAGAGAAAGCGCCGTACGAGTAGCGGTCAAGTGGCCAGTGAATGAGGTAAATATCGTCATCAGTGACAGGTTCCAGGAAACTAGCATACTCGGGGAACTGGGACTCTTGCATGATTCTGTCGATCTGGGTCTTCAACTCCGTGAGAAGCTCCTTGGGATCCGTAATCGCCGTCATCTGTAGGGAAAGATCCTCCCAGGCATAAGTGACGAGGACCATGCCGTAGTCGGGGTGTCCGTAGTCCAAAGTGTAGGTCTGGGGCAAGTTCGTGTCCGAAAGAATGACTCGTGGGAAATCAGCCCCCTGAGTTTCCCAGAACTTCTTGGTTCGGATGAAGAGCTTGGACGAGGCGGTCATGTGAAGATCGTTTATGGCTCTCTGAACTTCTGTTGGCATGATGGGGTCCTCAGTGGTCTCCGAGACCGGAGTGAAAGCGTAGTTCATAGCCCGGTTGCTAGTTCCGACGACGACAAGGTCATAGTCAACATTTGTGGAAACGCCTCCAGAAGTCTCTCTAACACCGACAGCAAGACCGCTGAGAGGATCGCCGCCACCACTAGTGACCTCGGCAACAGTCGAGAACTTGGTCTTGACACCCAGCTCAGTGGCCTTTTCCCAGATTGTTTGTGCAAGATCCCGAATACCGGCAGGCTGCAGGCCGGAGTCAGTGACCTTGGCAAAAACAGCTTGGTCTGACTCAAGGCCGTTGACGACTAGGCGGAACACGGAGTTGAAGCCGGCAGAGTAGACAGCGCCAAAGCCACCAGAACCAATGCCCAGGGTGCCGAAGCGCTGAAAGTCATCCTCGGTCCAGACTTCGCCGCCCGGAACGTCCCATTCGTGGCCATCGCCGAAAATGCGACGCAGGCCAGTGTAGAAGCTGTCATCGCCGAAAGTGTCCAGGTACTTCTGCCACTCTGGAACTGCAAGGTTACGAGTGGCTGTGTCGTTGGAGCTGAGCCAGGTCGTAAGCTGACTTCCTGCGGCCAAAGAGCTACTGCCGCCTGTCAAACCCTCTGAGATGAGCTGAATCCAGCCGTTCTTGACTCTCTCAAAACCGGTGGGAGCCGTGTTAGAGTCGGTCCAAGTAGTAGCTATGTCCTTGTAGAAGACAACGGTCGGAACCTTTCCGGGGTCGGGGAAGTTCTGAATGAAGGTGAAGTTGAATTCGTTGGCGTAGTAGTAAAGAAGATCTTCCGAGGGAGGGAAGCGCATGGCACCCATCTCTGCAACGTTGACCCCGTCAGCCGTAGGGAGGGAGCGCAGACGGCCTCCGACGCTCTCAGTTGCCTCAATCAAGGTGACATCAGCGCCCGCCTTGGCCAGGTTGAAGGCCAGAACTACGTTGGTGATTCCGGCTCCGACGAGACAAATAGAGAAGTTCGACGGCAGAGTGCCGAGAGGCTGGTTGATATCACCGGCAGCCTTGTTCCACTCAGAGTAGATGAGCTGAGGAGTGTCAACCCAGGCTTGAGGACGAGCCTTCTGCTCGGTAGCGCCAGAGGATTGCCTGTGAGCCAGACGAGATCCAGAAGTGCTGCCAATGGGAGAGAAAGGAGTGCGCTTGTCGGTGGAAGCCATAGAGGCATCTCGGCTCTTGAAGTTGAAAGAAGGAAGCATTTTGAAGGGCGTGTGTTATTGAGTTGCTGGGACTCCTTTGAATGAGAGTGTTCTGAGAAAGACTGTGAGAGCGATGGCCTTCGAAAAAGTACGGCCAATACATGTAGGAGGGAAATGCCCTCTACTTATACATCGTGAAAATCATATCAAGCTCCGGACTTAACACAACAGACGAGAGTGCGGACGGAATTGCCGGCCCAAACGCCGGCAATGTGTGTCTCTGTTTCGGTTGCCAGAAGTATCGTCGGCATGCTTTTGCCACCAGCGTGCGCCTTGAGTTGCAACATTGTCTACATCGCCATCCGAAAGCAAAGTCTTGGCCTTCATTTCTTGGCCGTTTAACTTCCACTCCAGAAAAACGTGACAGTCTCTCAACATTGTCATTTTTCTGCCCAGGGAGGCTGAATCCTGGGTCACTCGTGGCTTGAGAGACAATATTGAAACTGGGACTACCGCGAGTCATTCCATCATTGTAGCTAATGGACCATTCTTTGAGGGATAGGTCTATTGTTTCTCAAGGAATTTCGACTACCGGGATATTGGGGTCCGGAGTCTCTGAAACGCTAGTAGATTTCTCTCCTTTTATTTCCCACTGTTAAATGGACAGAGCGTCAGGGCATAAGTTTATGATTTCTTTGCTTGCGATGCTATGGATCTTGAATAACTCGGGATCACTAGGTCATGGAGACAAGACTACAAACATCAAGAAAAGATCATCCTGATCCCTACGTAATGAGTGGAATGTTAGATGTACGATTCAATTAGAATCTGATCAAATAGCACTGGCTTGCGATTTTGGGAACTCTGCGAGCTTTGGAAAATTCGGTAATTAACAACGGCAATGATGATTCCACCTTGAACTTTGCCAGCTTATAATATTTCTTGACAGCCCAACCTTACGATACTCTGAGCGCTGGGATCGGTGAAGGTAGTAGTAGAGTATGAAAGTTCTCAACATATTTGGTTGAACATACGACGAAGCTCGATCCCCGGACTCTGCCCCCTTCTCTTCGATCGAACACCCCCCCCCTGGCTCGTGTCAACTCCTGATTTATTGCCTCTTTTTCACTGTGAGCAAGCAACAGAGTATGATCCCGAAGCGAGCGGGGCACACCCACAATCTAGGGGTATGGCGATTACGAGGCGGTTGCTTGTTTGCACACAGACTCCGAGCAACTAGCATAGAGTTGTGGATGAGATCCAGAATAGGGAATTACGCCGAGCTGTCAGATAACCATGTCTAGTGGGACCTATATCCGGGAAGAGCCGCTGCGGACCACCGACAACTTACTATATACAAGGGCACCATGTGCGTGCGAGAATAATAACGAATAGAAGAGCGGGCCCGCCTTCCACCTTCCCGGATGCGCGGGCGAGTTGCTTTAACGATTGGAGGGCGGTTGATGGGGGGCTGGCTTTGAAGAATGTTCAGTGCCTAATATGAAAGGTCAATACCTTTTCGTGTCATGCTCGTGCATATTGAATCTTGTAGGGACCCCGGAGCCGAAGCCAAGAGCAACAGCTTCCGCACTTGAGCGATTAACCCAGTGAGGCAATTAAATGCGCCTTGCCCCTGTCCACTTTCTAGCCTCAGAAGTCCATCGGATCATCTCATCCTTGCACCCGTATTGAGAGACTTTCAGATGATTTAAGCTTGCACAGAAGTGAAAATGTAACAAGACATAAATTATGGCCGGTTAGACATTCGATTATGGCTAATGATAGATCTTGAGTTCAGGTTTCGTAAATTGGATATGGCTCTTGTTGCGATGGGAACCAATGAGGTACTCGACCTCCCGCGGCTAGCCATTTCGAGCAATCCGAGGACATCTAGAGATCAGATGCCAGCTGTCGATGTCTCTACAACCAGAACCATAACGCAGAGCCTGAAAGACCAAGGACAAAACTTATTAAGCTCATTTTTATTACTTGTTCAATGCCTCTTAGAATACACGCAATATCGGTACAAGATCTCAATGGCTGGATGTTTTCAAGGCGACTTGGTTTCCAGGTGATTTTTAGCACAAGAAGAAGATGGAAAAGACAAATTTGCAATTCTAAAGCTCTTACAGAGGTTTTAGTGGACAGCTGAATGATTTAATTTAAACCGTATTCAACAGACTCAGTGATGCTAAGAAACATTGGCTGTATATAAGAAACAGCCGCTCCGAAAACGGTGTTGATATTGAACATCTCGGCCTCTTAAGGAACATACTCAAGTACAGTCAAAAACAATTCTATAGAGCTATCTTTGAGTGAAGTTGAGGCTAAGTGGAAAAAGGCTGCTTTCCTGTCAAGACAGTCTTCAAGATGCCCTTGTCGGCCAACTCATTCACCAAGTTGAAGAGAACAAAGTCGCAACCCCTCTTGGCGACAAGGTTGACAGTGACGGGCATAATCTCTTGCTGGAAAGTGACATTGCTGAAGTAAGAGACCTGGCCGATGGGGATAGTGTAGTCTGCATCGCCAAAGTATGAAGCCACAGTCGACCCAGCTTGAGGAGATGTAGGGCTCACGGGGTTCGTGGAGCCCGGGTCGCTGTTTAGGTCTTGGGAGCGGAATGTAGGAATCCCGCCAGTTCCGACATCATAGACAAAAATGGCCTCGGAACAGGATGTGTCGGTGGAGAAGAGGACTTTTTCGTGCCAGAGAGCCGCATCGCGGGTCCGGTTCGTCATTGCTGCCTTGTAAACGTTGTCGTCGACGGTCGTGGAGTGGAACGCGCCGCGGTATGGCTCGTCAAGGGGCGGAAAATCTGGAGCGTATTTTGCCAGGAGGGGCTGGGCAGTCTCTGTAATCAAATCATGTGTCCACAGAACGAGCAAATCTCCGAGTACTTGCGCGATGGGTCTCCCTGTCGCGCTCTCGATCGTCTCAGTCAAGTTGAACTGCTCCACAGTGGCGCCTAGCGCTGCCGATGCGTCGCTCAAGAACTTCTGAAGAATGGTCTCGGCGGCGGGGTTCTGTAGCGGGAGATGGTCGACCGGGTACAGAATTCGCTTAGGGAACGTACGATCGTCGGGAACCGAGAGAGTAGGCAAACCGTTCAACGACGTGTCCTGGTGGAGTGAGGGGTCGTACCACGCCTTCACAAACGTGGCCCATTTGACTGGGTCGCGACAGATGACGCCGGCAGTATCGGCGTTGAATGCATTGGTGATGATATTCTCCATGAGAATCATTCCTTGTGAAGGCCTGTTGCCATAGGTGCCAGAGAATGCGGCCGGCTGTCGGACGGACAGACCAGTATCGGTGGCGACGGCATAGTCCAGCCAGTCGTAAGCGGCAATAGAGCAGCCCGCTCCCGAAGACGAGCCTGCGCAACTCAAGAAAGTGTCTCCGCGAGGATTGCGAGGGTAAAAGGCATCATTCCAGTTCCAGGGACTCTGAGGTGAGGCGAACTGGGCAGTCTTCTGTTTGCCGACGACAACTCCGCCGAGATCGATAATTTGCTGGAGCGCGGGCGCGGTCTTGCTTGCCACATCATTGACTGCAGCATAGGCTCTGCTGCCGGCAGTTGTTTGGATTCCCTCGAGATCATAGATGTCCTTTACGGCAACACGCTGACCGGCCAATGGCCTGGTGTCTTCCGTACTGTAAAATCTTGAGGGGACAGGAATCATCGGGTATCCCCAGTCGGCTTTCGACTGCGTGGATGCCTTGTAGCCGCCATTGGACTCGTACGTGCCAGTCACGAAGGTTCTGTACGTGTCAACGTACATGAGAAGAACCTTGCTGAGATAAAGGCTGTCCCCATCTGTGATTGCAAACAGAGGACAGGGAATAAGCGTAGAGTTGCCGCACGTAGATGGCCCGTCACCACTACCGTAGATGATGTTGGATCCGAGACCTTCTAGATAACTGATGACTGAGTCATCGAGGTCATCGGAACTGCTTGCGCTGACAAGAACATTGCCAAGAAATCCCTGGATAAGGACATCATCCTTTGCGAAGGAATCGTTGATGACTTGTTGCAGCTCATCCCCGGTGGTGGTGGCAGAGAGAGCCGAGATATAAGTGAGTGGCCCTTGGGAAGGGTCCAGTACACACGGAACAGTGAAAACAGGATCCGAAGTCACAGCAAGATACTGGCTATTTTCAATGAGGAAGACTTGATCTTGAGTGTCTGACACGAAGGTGGATTGGAAAAGAGTGCCATTCAAAGGCGTAAGAGCTTTTGCTACCTTGAGGTAGAGTGCTATAATGCAGAACGAGAGAAGGAAGGCTGGGAGCTTCATGATTGCTTCGATGGTTGTTAAGATGATTTGAAAATGAGTCCCCTTGAGAGCGACTTCACAATCTCTTTATACCAGTCCATAGATATTAATGGCCTTTGCAATTGTGCTATTATGGAGCTTACCGTGCTACCTGGAAAATCGCTGCTCGTGGTAACTGGGATTACTTCTCAGGAAATTTCCAAAGCTTCGAAATTGTGACAGCAAAAAAGCCTCGGTTTCACAAAGGTAAACAGGGTCAGGAGTGGCGTGGCTTGAGCAACCGCCATGCATACACGCAGCATAAATGGGTATGTTACGCTCATCATCTTTGAATTGAGGGAATTGTTACCTTTCGAACGCCCTGTTCAGTTTGGTTCCACATCATTCGTCCTGGTCGGGTACCGCGGTAGAATTTCCAATCTCAACTTAGTGCTCTTGTCATTTGTGGAATCAGGGCTTTCATACTTGTGGCTACTTAAGCATTACGAGGTTCTACTAGTTTGGAAGGTGACAGGTCGAAATGAATAACTGAGCTTCATACGTCCTTCACAAGAGTTCTGGTTCAAGGCCACAACTTGAGTCGCAATGTGCCCACCTGCCCGCAAGGATGACTCGCTCCAATGTTTGGACTCTATACGGATGTTAGGGACCAAGATGAAATGGGCTCCGTGCAGAATAAACCACGTGGAGTCCCCTCCATTCCAAGGACTTGATGGTATTCGTTTAGATCAACTCGTGAGCTAATCTATCAAGATTAATTAAGCACAAAGACGCGCGCGCTCTTGGCTCAAATGTACGTAAGAGCACCACGTGCGTACTAGAATGACAATGGGATTGCGCCGAGCTGTCAAAATAACCCTGTCTAGTGGAGACTTCGGGAGGGACCGCAAGGGACCGCTGCAGGTTAGGCGCACCCCTCGACGCTTACGTGGAAGGGGCGAAGCACTTTAATCTGCCCATAGACTATAATCAACCGTAGAGAAACTCCATTCTCCGGTGCCAAGGGAGGGAGCGGGAAGTGGCATGTTGCCGGATGTCACCTACTCAATTACACTTTTTTGCGAGCTCTTGGCTGAAATAATATATGACAGAAATAACTGAGAGGCGGTAAATGCGGTAAAGGGGTTATTCTTGTACAGGGGAGGGAATGGCCGAGTCTACGCTCCAGATAGGTCCTCCTTGGCCGTTCCCGGTGAGAAAAACCGGAGCTCGGTGAATAACCCCGGCGAAACTCCGATTATATTCGGCCGAGTTGACGGAAGACGGCCCCAAAAACGGTTGAGTCGGACCCGATCCGGAATCACAAATCAGAGTATGGAATATGCAAACTTCCAGTTTGCAAAGACAGCATTTTGATCAGCCAAATCGGAAAATCTAAATCTCCTTGCTAGCAGAAAACAACGGGGTTTTACAGCGGACTGAAATAGCCACTGTTAGCCGCGCCGCCATTTCTTTGCTCCGTGCTTAGCAATCAGTCATACGTTCTCTAACGTTATCAGCCACTGATGCCAACGCAAGGGTGACCCATTTCTTGACGACGGAAGCGCTGCGGATTGAATCAACCACAGCCAATTGCGAATCGACTGAAGCGATTGACATCCTAGGTGCATGAACCCATCCGCTGCATTGTAGCCATGCTGAGAGGCTCAACACATCAGTTGTCCTTTAAATGACCCGCGAAGATACACCGGACCACATTGGACGCTAAGATAAAGATCGGAGACCGACGGACCAAAAACGACTTCCTTCGGCGACGGGTTGTACCCGACTCAATGAGAGCGGCGCAATACAAAATTTCACTGGAGAGATCGGATTCCTATTATGACAAAGGAGTATTTCAGTCGGCCGCGAGTTACCCCGTTTTAAGCCACTGATCTCGCCGGCTCGCCGCTAACCATTTTCCGCTCCCCCTGCTACATGATCCACAGACCCAATCGAGGGATTCTGCATGGTCTACCTATCGAGAAACGTCAGTATAAAAAAGGACGGCTACAAACGTAAAGCAGACGGAGCATACAAACGGCGAGAAGAAAAGCATCAAAATCAAATCACTCAATCAATATGGCACCTAAAAATGTTTTTATCACCGGAGCAAACGGCTACATCGGCAACGCCGTGGCTCGGTCCTTTGTCGCAGCAGGATGGACCACCTATGGCCTTGTAAGGTCTCTTTCGGCGGCTGCAACTCTTGCGCAAGAAGAAATCATCCCTGTACTTGGAGCCATCGACGACGTTGAGGCGCACGCCAACATTCAGAGCCACGTCCCGGCAAACCTCGATGCCATCATCTCGACGACGGAGAACATAATGGACTACATCCCACACTATCAAAATACCATTCAACTGCTTCGTACTCTCGGAGCCGCGAGCCTGTCTGCCGGCACAAAACCAATCGTCATCTTCACTTCCGGATGCAAGGACTACGGCGTGGGTCCGCATTTCCATGGAGCGCCGGATCTGGCCCCGCACACGGAGGAGTCCCCCATCGGGACGATCCCGCTCCTCGCCAACCGGGCCACATACGCGCAAAAGATTTTTGACCACGCCGACGTCTTCACCCCGGTCCTTGTCAGACCTACCAACGTCTACGGTCGTGCCTCTAGCTTCTACCAAGCCTTCTTCATCGTTGCTTCAAAGGCGGCTGCCGAGGGCAAGCCGATCGTCCTGCCCGCTCCCCCCAACACGATCCTTCATGCCCTTCATGTCGACGACTGCGGCGATGCTTATGTTGCCATTGCTTCCCACCCGAACCGAAACGAAGTCGGGGGCCAGTCATACAACATCTCGGCCCAGCGATACGAGACGCTCGACGAGGTGGCGCAGGCTCTGGTCAAAGAGTATCAAATTAAGGACGGGCTGAAGTACGTTGATGCGGCGGATGTGACGGATGGGGAGGATAACTGGCCGCCGGGAATTATCAACTTTCCTCAGTGGACGGACTCTACCAAGTTGACAAAGCTGACGGGATGGAAACATCGTCGCCCCTTATTCAGCGAGTCTATCCACGTTTACCGCCTGGCATATGAGGCCACCAAGGCGGCTGGGCATGAGAACATTCAAAAAGTTGGCGGGCTTTTGGAGGCTTGGACCAAGAACAAGGCGATCTTCACTCCTGAAAAGAAATGAGCAGGGGATGTTACCTAACACAGGGCGCACATTCATTCTTGAAAGCTAGGATTCAGCCCTGTTCTGCTATTCGCCAGCAAAAGGGGATTCGATCGCTTCAGAGGTTTTGCGTTGCCAGATAGGAATTTGAATTCAGAAGCGTTTGGTAATTGAAAAACGAAGTAGAATTCTCCGCTCCATACCTAAGATAACTCTCATCGTGGAATTTCCATAGAAAGTGATCAAGGGTCTGAGTAGGGGAGAAACTTCAACGATAAGTGCATGGCTGGCAACTCTGATGAGTCAAATATTCAATGACTGTACAGTATCTGAACATTTCGACTCCGACTTCATCATCAGGGTGGATGATCCCCAATCCATTGTTGCAAAACCATCCGTAATTTCAATCTCACGGCTCTAGTACGGTTTGTAAGCGGTTATTGTCATCGTGTGGCAACTGAATAGAAACTTCACTAAAAACATAGAAGAGAAACATCTTTGTGCTGTATAATGCGTAAAGGCGAGTCATGTAGGACCACTAATCGAATGCTTGTTTGCATCTGAGGACGGATGCTCATGCTCCCGGCTAATAGTCTCCACCCCTTCCCTTTCTGACGGCAGAATGAGCAGATATTCATCGCAGATACTCAGGAGTTGAGATGAAATAAGATGTGGCATGGCTGAAATGCGTCTGGAGATAGGTGCAAAACTTTAAGCCAGACGTCACAGTTTAACTGAATGGAGAAGCTTCAACCCCACTGCCCGGCTATGCGACACTCTCTGCTTCGTGTCGAAGTATATCGCGCTCAGTATGCGCGGTCCTCGCAAAGCCCCGGCAGCCAATACCCGTCTGGATCGCGCGGCATGCGAATTGCACCGCACCGTGGCGGTGAAGTACTACGAGCAATGGCAATCCCAGCTCCCAGGGATGCTGAGAGTTGCAAGGAAAAGGCGTTTCAATCATTGGTCAGCAATACTCATCAATATAGTTAAGCTCTGAGATTTCGTCACATTGGTGTATGTGAAAGCGAGGATAGAAGCTTTTGGAGACAGGGCCATCATCAACGGATTGCGATCGAAATACAGACCAAGGAGCAAAATAATCAGCGACAAGGACGCAATGCATCCATCTATGAGCGCTGCACTCTTTCCTGGGCACTGGCGTAGATAGATGCCGGGATGAACGTTTGCATCTCTGCAGTAGCTCGTGGTTTGGCACTTGAGGCGGGCCACACCAACAGCTCCAGGGATGGGGGTTAGAGATCGGATCGCACCGGAAGCAGAATGCCTGATCCAAGCAATGGAGGAGTCCGCCAGCTTACAATCCACACGTCTCATTCTGTTGTGATTCGTCCTTGCACCTTTCCTCGAGTTGGAGAATAGGTTCATGCGCCAGGGCTGAACTCCGGACGTCTAGCAAACGCATCCAGGGGCCCCTCGTCATCCAAAAGCATGAACTTCGGCATCGAGGAAACAAAGGCCGAGCGATGAGAATCCGAGCCTCAACGAAGTCCGATCGGTTCACGTTGGCTTGGCAAGTCAAGAGAAGTGGGGCTGATGAGATGGCGCGAGAGTCCGAAAGGTGAGATGGCAGCTCCGCCGAACAAACGTTTTGAAATCATCAGCGCAAAGCCTTCCTTGGCCGTTGACAGGCCATTGCAACTGAGAAGCGAGGAAATATCGTCGACGCGGCCCTTTGTGGTTGCAACAGCACTGAGCGTGTAAAAAAAAAAGCAGAACAACTGATGCGGTCTGGTATGAGCGTCGATGGTTCAGAGGTGTCTGCTTGGAGTCCTGTAAATGTTTGTTCGATTCTTGATGAGGGGAGCCGCAGAGATTTCAGCACGGCCGAAGCGCGCGCTCTAATCGGAACAAAGCCGAGTTTAAGAGTTCTTCGTCTCACCTTGTCGTCGTTTCGTCGACCGTTGCGGCCTGACTAAGCGGATGGATATCGAGGGCCTCGTCCCGCCGTGCCGACTGTTACTGCTGAACCGTTGACACGCCCTGAAGGATGTCAAAGCCTATCCTACTGACAAGCCATGACAAAGCCGTCGCAAAAGTTCAAGAGTGGAGCAGAAACCCGTGGGCTGCCCGTCACAGAGAGTCCGAAGACGACATGTCAACGGTGAACGGGGTGACCTGAAGGCGAGATGAAACATGGAAAGTTGCCAAATGGCGCCCCCTACCGGCTCCATACGCCCACTTTGGCTCCACTTACATCTCAACTCGGAAACGCAGACTTACGCCATCCCATGATCCTGATGGGGAGAAGGGACGGTGACGATCCAATCGACATGATCTTCCGCTAGATCGCCCCCCTCCCTGTGAGGCTCTGAGTTCCCAAAGAGGTATCGTCTTCGAAAGCCTCAAACCATCACGGAACATTATCAGACAACTTGGCAGCATGAGCCTGAACGATGTCCAGCATCGCCTGTTGAGCTTTGAACGAGCGCGTCTTGGACTGTCCATGTGCAGGAGTGTCTTGAACCTTCGCATTCTGCACCCCCTCCTTCACCTCCGCTGTCTCTCGGCACTTCATCATGAATAGTAAGCCCCCGAAAGCCCCGGGCAAGAGTTCCTCTTTCTGTCTTGGCTTTGCGGGTATTCCGATGGCAAATATGAACTAGAGCCGGCGCTAATCTAATTCAAAATTTAGACTTACTCGAGCTTTTACTTCTGTCTCCATTTCTACTCCTTCCTTCTTTTTTTCCCTTTCAGACAAAATCCCCCTCCTAGCGAGGACCAGCCGTGATTTCTGTCGTGATCGGCATTTACAGTCATTTACGCATTTTTAATCAAACGGGGGAATTCACTGCTGAGCAGTGTTCATCTCATTCATTTCTAGAATCTTACTTTCTATACTTTTCTTTCACCGCCCATCATGAGAGTCACATCGGCGTGGGCCCTCCTGGCAGCAACCGCGGTCACCGCGATGCCTCAACCAATTTCCAAGAGAGACCCTTTCCCACCGGACGGTACTATTGTAGGCGGCGTTCCCTCACGCCCATTCAGCAGTACGTTTTCCTCCTCCCTCTTCACGTCCTACTTCGAAAACGTGCCTAACCGCAAATCACAGTCAGAAGACAAGCCGCCGCACCGCCAGCGACAACCCCTCAAGGCAATCAACTCATTCCGGTGGTGGTAGGAGGAGCGCAGAATACCTTTGTCCCCAACCTGATACAGGCTCAGGTCGGCGACGTGATTCAGTTCCAGTTCAGCAACGGCAACCATACCGTGACGCAGAGCGCCGAGGGCGCCGCGTGCCAGCCTCTCCAAGCCCAGGTTCCCACGGCGATCCACAGCGGCCATGTGCCCTTCAAGGACGGACAGGCCATGGTTGGGACCTTCAACATGCCGATTACGAGTGCCGACCCGATGTTTCTCTACTGCGCCACGGGTCCTCATTGCCAACAAGGACAGGTCTTGGTCATCAACCCGTAAGTCATCATTGGTACGCCGTCAGAAAATTCAGCGCTGACCGTCATGAACAGAACCAACGTGAACCAAGTCATCCAATACTCGAAGCTATCCGCAGCCGCGAAGGCAAACGTCGACGGTACTACAGTTAGCGGCGGCGCCGCGGGACAGATTCCTCTGGCGAATGCGGCATTTGTCCCGGCACCGGCCAAGGGAGCTGGCGGTGGTGGTCCTCCTGCAGGAGGTGCTCCTCCAGCTGCGGCGCCGCCTGCTCCGGCTGCACCGGCTGCGCCGTCTGCGTCGCCTACAACGCCTCCCATGAACCCGGCTCCGATGCCTGCGGCGCCACCCCCAGCTGAGGCACCCGCTGCCCCTGCCCCTCAGCCTCCGATTTCATAAGCTTCTGGTGTATGACGGGAATCAGGAGGTTCTGTACCGGCGATAAGCATCCTTTATTTCAAAGAGCGAGCAAACACGTGCGGAAGACCCTTACGCTTGGTTGCCGTTGTGGGGGATGTGCCAAAGTCGCGTTTTTGTTGATAAAGGGAGGTGTAATCCACGTGTATGTAATAACAGTCTTGAACATGCTATTGCCGTTCGCGGCGGGGGTTTTCAACGTTGATTGATGTTGGTTTATGAAAATATGGCAAGACGCAGGACGGCAGCTGTGTTGCTGAGACCGAGAACCACAAACAATACAACAAATAAATCAACGAAGCAAACCACATAATGTCGACAAAAAACTGCTGAAAAAGACACTTTGTGATTATACTGGTTACTACGGCGTTCATGATACCCCGCATTCCTGGGCATCTATCTTCATAGTCCAAGATCCATCCAACGGTCAGTTCCGGGAATTCATTTACTCTTCATTGACCTTGATCGCGCGTCCTCAGGGCTCCACGACGACCTTCGACCCACTGACTCCCTTGAACAACACGTCGACGGCCTTGTTCAGACCACCCAGTCCGCCATCAATCGTCTGAGATGGCAATCCAATAATCTTATCCGCAGCGATGGCCTGAGTAAAGTAGGTACCAAACGACCAGGCCAACAGCTCCGCATTCTTCTTCTCAGCAAGCGGCGCAGACCAACCGGCGAATTTGACAGCCACACCCTTGGGGGAGTCCGCCCCCTCGGGAAGAGGCAACAATCCGTACACAGTACCTCCACCTTGCGCAGCCACGACTGCGGTGGTGATCTCGAACGTAGGCTTGAGTGAGATGGAGTCTAGCACATATTCGTACGGTCCCTGAGCAACCAATTCCTTGACGACCGCATCGGGGGATTGAGTGTGATCGACGACGTGAACGGCACCCAACTTGGCAACGAAGTCCTTGTGTCGCGGCGACGTCGTGGTGACGACGTCGAATCCGGACTGGATCGCGTACTGCGTCGCAAAACTTCCAAAGCTCGACGTGCCGCCGTAGATCAAGATCTTCTTGCCCTTGGAAGGCAGCTTGCCGACGGGATCGGGCTTCTCCAGGCCCAGGTGCTCGTTGAACAGGCCGACAATGGTGGTGAAGTTGCCCAACAGACCGACGGGAGTGTGGAGGTTGATGCTGCTGGGTACCTTGATTGCGGTGACGTCGAGAGCCACGACGTGCTTCTGGAAGGCGCTGTACTTGTTTCCGGTTGCTCCGCCCGTCTTGACGGCCGCTACCTTGTCGCCGACTTTGAAACTGGTGACGTCGGAGCCGACGGCCGCCACGGTGCCTCCGTATGACGAGCCGTGGATGGCCGGGTACGGGACGGGGAAGATGGCGAGCTTTGCAATCTTGGCGTCGAGGGGGTTGAGGGCGATGAGCTCGTTCTTGATGAGAATCTCATGGGGGCCGGGCTGCTCAGTGGTGACGTCTTGCACCGTGAGCGGTGCTTTGGGTTCGAGTTGGACCGCGGCGGAGTGAGACATGATGGAGATCGGATGGTGGATTGGAGGCTTGTGATGTTGGAGAAGTAGGTAGTCAATGACTTGTTGATCTGATAAGCAAGTGAAAAAAAGGTCTAATATGGTAGATGAGCGAGATTAGAATCTTACCCCGTCTTGGCGAGATGTTGGATGGCTTTAAATAACAGCAAAAGTGCATGTGAACTCGGATGTAAAACGTCTCGGAGGAACACGATGTGCATCTGAACGCTACATGTATTATTCCGAGTGATTTCTAAGCCCCACCTAGCAAGGTGGACGCAATTGAAGGCGCCATCTGCGACATACATTGTACTTCACGATGTAGGTGCTTGCTAAGCCATAACGGGCAGATCCCCCACCTTCGGGACAAGCGGAGGTGGCGTAACCTTGTTACTGTAAGACAGAAGCGGAAGCAAATACCCAGCCGAGAGTACACGTAAATTTAGTTAGATGCCGCCTACATACCTACGTACCTTTATGGTGCAAAGATGAATAATTCACGTGCCGCAGCAACACTTCGTGTTTGTCACATACACCATTGAGTCTCAATTGACGTGCGCATAGACCCCGCAGCCTCATTATAGTGCCGAGTTCTCAGTTTGCACAAGATTGGGTTCAAACGTATAGACTAGGCTCATCATACATGCACCAGATGGTCGCGAGATCATGCGATAAGTCCGATAAGTCCGTTGAGCGGACTGAGGGTTCTTAGAGTATACCATCATAACGTGATGTGTGTTCTGCTTAGAAATGCGAACGGCTGCTTTTTGATGAAAAAAACAGCGAACTAATATGCACATCGACAGCAACTTGGATTTAAATGTAGCCGGTACCTGGAAGTGCAATGGCTAGTGAATCCTACCTTATGTGGTGTCATTGATGATCATGATGCGCGCGGAGAGCAATGCGGAGAATGCGAAATGTGGCTGTGCTCAATTTTGTCTACTGCTTATTACGAATAAGTTGAGTGATTGACTGGGACACCTCAACCTAAATATCGTTGTCTCGCAGAAAGTCCTCCAGAGACGTGGGTCGAACATCAAGCTTCTCGTTGTCAATCTTTTCCATATCCCAGCTGCCGTTGTTGGTGTAAAGTTGAAAGAAAAACCCACTGTACTTGTAGAATTCTCGAGACGACGCCGCCTTGCGACCCTCAAATGCAAGAGCTTTGAGATCTTCATCGGTGCCCCTGGTCTTCAAGCCAACCTTTTTTCCTTTTACCTTTTCGTACGCTGCGGCAAACTCCCGAACGGTATGAACTCCAGAGACTGTATTCCAGAACCCACCCTCCACAGCATCATCTCTCGAAATAATCGCAGCGGAAAACTCGGCCGCATCTTGCTCAGTGGTCCATGGAATCTTTACGTTTCCGTCGCCCCAGAAACTCAACGACTTGTCTGCACCGTTCCAGTACCCGTTCCTTTCCACCGAGCCGTACGGGTGGTCTGGGAACACCCAAAAGACCTCGGCCAGGGCACCCGTGAAGATGTACAGCGGCTTGATGGGCGAGCTGAGCTCAGCGATGCGGCGAAAGGCAATGTACGGATCGTAGCTTTCGTGCTTGCCCAACGGATCCCGACTCCAGTCATTATTCCACGTGGAGAGAATGAATCGGTTAATGTTGGCGCGCTCGGCGGCCCGGAGGAGGAGAAGCTGCCCGTCGAATGCCAGCTCGGTCGGTGATACGCCGTAGGCGGAGATGACGGCATCGGCCCCCTTGCACGCGCGATCGAGGGCCTCAATGTCGTAGTGGTTCTTGGCAACGATGAAGTCTTCTAATTTGGCGCGGCGGGCATCTGTGAGTTTGGAGGGGTTGCGCGCCAGGCCACGTACTTGATGGCCTCGAGCGTGGAGGGCGTCGATCAGCTTTTGGCCAATGTTGCCAGTTACGCCAGCGACGAGGACGAGCATTTTTTTTTTTTTGCAGAAAAAGCGAGTTAAAATAGTTGAAGATATTATTCAGGAAGCTGGTCTTGGATCGTGCAGAGACAAGAATTCATGAGATGGCTATTTATAGTATACTTCATTCATGAGGCAAGTTCCCAGGATGCCCCGGATGCCCCGGATGACCCCGGTACCATGTCTTTCAAAGTGATGCGGGGTTTTATTGACAAATGGAGCTGATTTCACGATGGATATAACCGTACAAATAGAAGTGCTGGCCTCTGCAAAGTAAATTGTGGTGCTTTTTCCGGGGCCTTCGCGCTCCAATTTGACCTCGCATTGGAGTTGTTGGTCAGGCGATGTGATGGTTGCATGAACCCCGCGTCTAGCGGCGGGTGGCAGACCTTTTGCAGCAACCCCATCCGGCAAAAGAGAAATACGAGATACTTAAGAAGTATTTTTAGCAATTGGGAAATCTCTCAACTTTTGCTACGTGCTCCAAGTCTGGATTGAGCATATTGCGCGAGAGAGGGCGGAGGCGGGCATCGCTACTCGAAAATCGACTGGACTTTTGTGGCGTTCGGTTTGGAGGGAATGCTCAGCTTCAGGTATGCCATAATCAAAGCAGCGAAAGCTGTCTACGTTGATGGGAGAAACGATTGTAATAGCTATTGCCTACATGAACCGAGGGTATTGACCGGCACAAGGAGAAACACAAGCAGTATATATGCAAGAAAATCCGATGAGCGTGACGCTGTCTTGTTTCCATCAGGCTGTCCTACCCAGCCTTTGAAATAAGCCCCTTGAGTACAAGTGGAGAGCAATACATGTGCGACAAACCATTATTGTCGATTGAACACCTTCGCAGTCCTCCAAACTAGTGCAGAGGGGCGCATAATATTTTCAATATCGCTGAAGATATATAAGTACAAGTTATTAGTTATTATTTCTATTTCCCTTAGGATCTAGTTTCTGCTGGACCCAACTTTTCAAGGTCGATACAGAATGTATGGGGCATCTTCCATTGATTGAATTCGATTAGAAATAGGCCGGCTGTCATCCTTTGCTCTTTTGATATGGGACACCAATCAGCGGATGCTTTCGAATCATATCGAGGTACGAGAATGAGAAGAAAAGGCGTGGCATGTGAACTGCACATTGACGCAGGGTGATTATGTTTGTGGGGATTGGTATCGTACCCAATACACTGAACCGCATTCTTGTAGACTCATGTAAATGATATAGGTAATTCATGTCATGATAGTTTGAAACAATTGAAAAATCATCGAGCCATTGTCTTCCCTCCGGGGTGTCTCTTCAAGGGTGTTCCATTCTAGCTAGCTTTTCGTACGGAAGGCGGTTCCACGTCTGAAGATGTTATCTTGTTGAGGCATATAGTGGGTAGCATCACTTGATGTGATTTGAGCAACGATTGCCTTGGCAGATAATCTAGTTCATGACTATTGGTTCTTGGCTATGTGGTGTCACTCGGGAGAAATGACGGCTCGGGAAGTTTCCACCTCTTTATATTGCAAGGGAGCCGAAATGGAGAACGTTTCCTATCAGATTAGGTTGCTGCCTAAATAGTGCATAGAAGGGCAGTCTGTCTAAAACCAACAATAAGACAGACGCACAAGATCCCATAATCATGGAACCTAAACACAAACAGAGCAGGAGCAAGGGCAATGGCAACATCGGGGCATAAAATGGCAACACCCGGGCTGATCGTCAACGAGTTGCAGCAAACCTTGCCAGCTAATACTATGCCTAGACCTAATGCACCTGAATATGCACATTCGTCAGATTTAGATGAAGAACAAACAAATAGAAGTAACAACCCCTATCTACGGAAGTGCCTGCAGGCAATCACTTCCCGTCCGAGTACATCAGCGAATAGGCGCGCCACGTGTGATCCAAGCGACCGAGTCAAGGCAAACGTTTCTTTTTTCGGGGGAAATGAAGGGAAGCCATCCTCCAAGCCCTGCAAACCGGAATCGATCCGAGCTAATCTGTCCGATAAATACGTTCCCTGTCATATTCAATCACAGTTGGGGCCCGGGATTTAGTGGCGGGCACTGTTGAGTCAAAATGTCTCTGTCATTTACGTGGAATAAGAAACAACTCCAAAGCCACCAGTGCGGCGAACATAGAGTTTTTTTTTCGGTAACTGCAAAAGTCTATGAAGGGTATTTCGTTTCTCGTGCATGTACAAGGGTGTGCCAAACATCTCCCAGATCACCCTGTCAACCTCCCCACATCGTTGCGCGTTGACAAACACAACTATGCAAACTTTTCAATCTCAGCATCGTGGGGAACCAAGCTGAGGTGGTGCAAGTCAGCACGGCCCTGCTTCTTCACCCACGCAGCGTTGCGCCTCTTGAACATCATCCTCGGCAGGACCTGGTTGAGACAGACGTCGACCTTCATGCAGGTGCCGCCAGCGCAGCAGCTCTGCTTGATGCAGACCTCGCCGTTGCTGCAGTCGTTGGTGGTGTCGCAGGACGGGCTGCAATCGTTGGGCTGGGCGCAGACCTTGCGTCCCTCCACGGTCTGGAAGCAGACGCAGCCGGACTCGCCCGAGCAGACGGGGATGGCGCGGTCGCCGCAGTTCCAGGCGGTGCTGCACTCGACGGCGGGGCGGGTGACGTTGACAAAGGGGGCGAGGGTGGTGGTTGAGACGAAGGTGACGGTCGAGGTGACGATGGGGGCCGGCGCGGTGGTGGTGACGGCGGTGGCGCCGAAGCAGGAGCAGGCGGAGCTGTAGCGGCTCTCGTCTACGCAGGCGGAGGCGTAGGCTGGGATGGCCTTGGTGGCGGAGATGGGCGTCTCGGCGGCCTGGCGCTGGTAGATGGTCTTGGTGGAGTTGGCCGTGATGGTCTGGATGCTGCTCTCGGTGATGTAGACGGTGCTGTGGGGGGAACTTGTTAGCCTGTCTTGCTGCAGTGATGATATATAGATGACCGGGAAACCTACGAGGTAGCCGGAGTCTGTGTCACGGCGAGGAACGAGCTGCATTCTGCCAGGCGAATCTCCATGGTGGCGGTTCCGAAGCGAGTTGCCCGGACGGCGCGGAGGCAGTTGTCAGCGTTGCAACCATCTTGACGACCGGCCAGGTTGGCCACCTCGGGGAGGGCCGCGGCCGCGGCGGCGAGAGCAGCGATGATGTAGCTCTTCATCTTGAAAGGAGCGAGTGAGTGTATTATTGTAGTGACTGTGATACCCGTGGTCGAAAACGACAGAGACCTTTAGTAGGGTATTTAAGTGAAAGAATGAAAAATGAAGAGAATGCTATTCCGCGTGCCTTGCCATCTTTCTGAGATGGTTTTCCGGAGAAAGGACACCAACTCGATCTTATACCTTCTGCTCATCCCTAGCTTGCACTCCCTCGACGCCAGGTCGAGCAACCTCAGGAGAAACAGAATACACTATGCAAGGGGAAGGCGGGACTAGAAGCGCCTCGGCAACCATCGAGAAAAGCAAACAGCTCTCAAACCTCGACGTCTTAGGGTTGATAGCATGCATGTCGCCGTCGTTAGTCCCGCGTCCAAACAAGCTTAGATGGTGTAGGAGCAAACAGGAGAGCGGAAAAAGCATCTGGGCCCCCCTTTCATTAGTGGGATAAGAAAAAGTGGGAATATGTCTCTCCGGAGCTTGGGACGGCACGCTGCATAACTGACGGGGAAGGACTCGACTCCGAGCCGGAATGGGCACCGGGCGTTATGTTTGCCATGGTGGATGGTCCGAGGGCCTGGAAACCTGCAGCTGGGTACCTTACATGAGAGCCTCACCGCTGAGCTCCTGAGCTTCTCCATGGTCACTCCTGGCTCGCCCCAAAAGGTAGAGTTGTTAACCTGGATGTTTGGAGACTCCATGTTGCCAAGGACCTGCAGTAGCGCGGCGCATCGATGTCACCGGCGCCGTCGAAAGCCCACCGAAGCCTCCCGCTAACGCCCAATGTGGGCTTTTTCGCAGTTCGGGGCTTTCAGGTCTACTTGGCCGTGCGTTTGATGTTGAAGAGGAATCACCAAAACGTCCGTGGGCGATAAGCTCTCCTCTGAATCACGTTCCAGCGCGGGCGCAACCAGTAGACCAGAATTTCCTTTGTCCATCACTGACTAGGCAAGCCTCCGGTAGAGAGTTATGCAACTTGGAGTACGGATATAGCCTGTCGGTTTGCATTTGACTTGTGCGGCTTCTCCCTAAAGTTGTCTAGCTCAGTTGATTGACGTCATTTCGAACATCAATGTTCCTTCGACGGACCGAAATATCGTTCCTGACTCCTATCGAACTTCGTTAGCTTTCCTGCCAGCCACAAGGATCACTTTGTGACGCAGATATATCTGCGATTCCGTGACTAGGCAGTTTATCTGCCTCGCTATTTCAGGAGACCTCAAGCTCGCGGATCGCAAAAGCCCCCAACCCCCCTCCCCTGTGCAATTGATATGGCCCATCCGCAAGTGCCGATCTGATCAGCAAGGAACCCTGCTCACCTTACTTCATGATCACCATCAGCCTCCGAAACCAAAGCCCAAATGCAACCCTACAATACTACACCACAAATATGGCGAACATGGAAAAGGCCATTCATCACGCGGGGACAGACAGTCATCTCGAACACGACTCCGGCAACGCGCCAGCACGGCCCAGAACAATGCCAGCTGGAGGCCCCCCCCCCAACTTCTCCCCCTTAGCGCGACCGTGGCTGATCTAAAAACGAGCAAAGCCTACCGACATGGCGAGAGACGGTGAACATGAGCCGGTGTGGCTTGGCCTTAGTGTGGTCAACGAGCAGGCTAATCACGAAGATTTTCCTTGGCATTCGGAAGCAAAGCAGAGAGTCGAGAGTCCCGTGTGCCACATGGCGACGCGCTCGTTCATCGTCGGCTAGAGGCTTTCGGACAGTGGCTGAAAATGATGGCATTGATGAGGAAGATCAGAGTCGTCTTGACAACCGAAAGTTATCGCAACTTGAGCGATGCCAGTCAATGCCAAGCCAGGAGGAAAACACTAAAAGATTTGTGCTTGGATTTACTACATGTACTCAACTGTAGCGATTAAGACGTCGGAAATTGACTGGACTGCGTACCAAAGCCATAGTTGGGCTACACTCACGAGTATAGCTCATTCTCCTGGAAAGATGACTCTGAAATAAATTATGATTGAAATTGTCATGTCGAAATGTGCCTATTCCAATCCTAAATTATCCAGACTCAAGCTATTCTCCGTGCTTGATCCAGCAGGAGGCTGAGAAGTATTGCGATAGGAAAACGCTTCCACATGAGCTTTAGCAGGTGGAAAAGGCCATGGTAGCTCCGCAGGAATTTGCCGTACTTCAAAATTCAGTCCACGACCAGAATGTGACTTGGCAGCATCAATCCACGCCAGTCTCGTGGCTTCTTCAATCACAAATGGCCAAGTGCTTTCCCACGTGAGCGTGGCGGCGCCGTCTCCCGCAGCGCAGTATCGGAAACAGCCCGCCGAAAGAATGTATTGCTCACGAGCGTTCCAGATTTCCATCACTTTCAACTTTGGCATCCGCCGGACAGCTCTAGCGGCTGATAACAGGAGCTTATTCGTCATCTCGGGTGCCTTGTCCCAGATTGAGTGAGACGTCAGACTGATGTGCCGTAGTTCCGGCCAATCGGGGACGGCCTGGGGAGACGACGGGTGGTCACTCGCGGGCTGGTCCATCATATGAGAGAAGAAGTCAGTCGCATCGATGGCGAATGAGACGCATAGCGCCTCCAGCCTACGGCTTTTTTGATATAATTGCTCAGGAACGCCCTGGTGCGTGCGAATGTACTCGAGCCAATCTTGTTGCGTGTTCAAGTTGCTCTGATCGCAAGATTCGCGGACAGTCAACGACTTCACGCCTGCCGGAGCATTCTGCCACTCTGTAAGTAAGCAAAGCTTGTGCTTGTATCCAGGGCGGCAGCCGATTTCGTATTCGTAGTTGATTGTATCCAGGCCGGGTGCTAGTCCGGTCAGAATCAGGTCGGCGAGCTCGGGCCCGGTGCTGCGGGAAATGTAAGATTGCGGTTTCACGATGCGGAGCGATCGCACGCAGCCGATCGACCACGTTCGCTGCCGCAAAAGCTCTACTCCGTACGTGAGAAGCGGAGGACCGCAAGGCCGGATTTCGACAATTTCGAGCCCGATTCTGGCGTCTGCTTTCTCCCAGCTTTGTAATAAGTCGAACAGGGCGACTAAAACGTCTGCAAACGCCCTCCTGTAGCCTTTAGAGGTCTTGGTGGCGTCATAGTCGATGCGGACACGGAGTCGATTCAGAACCCTCTGGCGCGGCTTGGTGAGGATCTGGCGGGCTTGGGAGATCTCGCGGCGGCTTGCACTCGCTTCTTGTGACCGAAGTGAGATGCGCACCTCTTCAAAGATGAAGGGCTCGATGATTTTCTGCCATTCGCGAGAGATGGAAGCGTATGGGGCCAGTGGGCAATTCTCGTTGCTGCCGCATTCGAGGAGATAACCCCAGATTTGATTCTTCAGCTCATTGGGTAGATCATGCCACCAGGCCATTGTAGCATGGGGTCTCTCGGAATTAAAGGGAAGCAGTTTCGATGCTGATGAAAGTCTGTGTTGATTTTGCAGACTTGTAGACACAAAGAAGAGGGATAGGGGAAGTGAGAAGCTCTGGCGACTTGGCCAGTGGCGGTCAAAGCGCAGCCACTCTTAGGTACCCCTGAACCGACATGGTGAGGTTTGAGTAACCAATCTGGCTGAAGACGAAGTTTTGGATGGTTCAAATATATGGGGCCTCCCAGAAAGAAAAACATAGAATTGAGGCAATGTGAGATACCTACCTAGGTATATGGCTTGAGAAAATTGCATCTTCAACTAAGGTATCCCGCATCAAATGAGCAGCACATGAAGTAACTCCAGTCTTATTGCTGCTCACCGTAATAAAAAATGTAACTTCCGCTCCAGAAGAGGCTCGTATAATGGAGATTTACGAAATGTCTGAATGATCTGATCGATTCAAAGGCTGTCTTTGATATATATATATGCCTTGGAGATGGCACTCTTCCTACACACACGGTCACAGCAACACACCTGCAACTCTCTTGTGCAATTTCTTGCGTGCTGTTAGGTGTGTGTCAGACCTGAAAGATGTCATTCTTGAAACATTCCATTCTTATTTATTCCATATTAATGCCATGACCTGCTGCCGGAGTTGAGCCCGCAAGTGGCTGGCTGTTAAATGTAGGCGAAATGAATTCGGTGTCGGCAGTCTAATCAGGCTACCGAGCTTTTCTGCATAACTTCTTATGAGCAGAACAACTGTGGGTTGGGTCTCTCTATGAAAAAAATCGGAACTCATAAGTCTCCATCTTTTATCGCCCACGGGCGCCTTCCCAAGAAAGAATATGCCGAGTATTGGGGAAATACGACACGCACATTTACCTTTTCGGTCTTTGTCAAAGGCCAAAGAATCGATTGAGGCAAGAGAAAAATCTGAGTATGTATGCATCGACAACCCGCTTGTGAGACAGCAAAAAAAAAAATCCAAAAGAAGTTGAGCCTCCATGACCTCTCAGTACCTTAGGTACTTCACATGCTTGATTATCTGATGGTCCTGGATCTACCACAAACACGGATGGTCACTTGATATTGAATAGAGTTCTAAGTATTTGTGGGTCGTGAGGGCTCATTAAGAATCGTGTTTCTTTCTCGCAGCCCACAAAGTAGTGGTCGGAATCACCGCCTTCAACAGGACACTGGTGCAAAGGAGATGTGTCACACAAAGAAAAATGTCTTTAATACAGGCAGAAACACCACCAGTTATATCTCATCATAAGATGCTTATAAGAGTTCACAAAAGACCATATTCTCTTCAAATCCGCAAAGGACTAGTCACCGCCTATGATGTAGTATTAGTATAATGGAAATGTTGGTACTTTGTGTTTGTAAATAGGGAAAGTTTCCGGCGGACTGCAGCAGAGTCTTCCGTAGCTCTTCAGTCCAGTAGGCAACTGGTGGATTCATGTTCAAATGACAATCCCCAGCCTACCTTTTCACAGCCATTTTTCAGGAAATTGTCAGAATCTTCGACTACAACCCCTCACAGCTGCCAAACTTACGCTGACTACCAAAAGCTTCAATTATGCTAATAGAGCAGAATCGGGAGAGCCAAAGATACTACTAACAGGTATCTAGCGTCAGCTTTATTCAAAGTAGGTCACGACATGGAAGATGTTCTAGCCTTGATAGTCGATGCAAAATCAGTTTAATAAAGAAGCTTAAATAGTCTGCAAACTTAATGAAAGTTGGGCTATGTCGATTTTAGCGAAGACCGGAGGTCGCGTCAAGGTTTAAGCTACTTGACTGTGGACCTATCCTAGGCAAGTATGCGAAACAGTTTTAGGTGAAATAAGCTTTCAATACACTAGAGTCGCAGCGCTATATGTGACGCTGCCTAGCAGACTGCCGCTGAATACCACATGCACTTATCATAGAACGACCGTTCTATAAGCTTGCTCTTTACATAAGGTCCATTATTTTAGCTAAATCAAGCTATGTAGAATCATATATGCCTTCCGCTCGATACTTCGCTTTATGATGACTAGTAAGTGTAAAAATTACAGTCCTTTTATTTGAATGTTTGTGAGCGTCTGGAGCTGTCCGTGAAATGGCCAAAAGTCTGGCTGGCTTTCTTTCCCAGCGCAATAAAGCTCCGGAGAGCCAAATCATCGGCACCTGTCGAGTTGGTCTGATGTCGAAGGCAAGTTGAATTCGGCTTGGCAAAAGAACGGCCTCCATTGTGGTCATGCAAATGTTGGAAATTTCAGTGCCAACGTGCGGAAGCTGCCATGTTTGTTTGTAACGCCACAAAGATATCACCGCCTCCAAGGTCACACAGATACAAAATAAACTTTCATGAGAATTCGGATCAAGTACTTTCACTCAAATTGCATAAAGAGATCACCGCCTCTTGTAACCCCTGAGAAGAGGTTCTGCAAAGAAGATGTTCATCAACGTTCATAAAATACCATATTCGTTCACCACCCAAAAAGAAGGAATCTCACTAGTATTCAGACAGACTCAGATCATATCTAAAAGGTGGGGTGAAGCTGAGCTCAACGCCAGTGACAGTCTTTTATATCTTTTCATCAGTTACCTTCAATGTGAACTCAGTAAACAACTTCCTGCCCATCTTTTCAAAGTTTAAACATTCTTGGCAGCTTCATTTATAAACTTCCGCAACTTTTGAACACCGCTTCAGCAAAGTGTCTGCAAATTTTTACAACTCTGCAGCGACTGGAGGCAGAAGATTTCAATCGTTACGAGTTTCTCATAGAAAGAAAAGCCCCCGAGAAGCTATGGGAAGTACAGCTGCTATTACCAGTGTCAAGCCGCAGCTTCCTTCAACACAAACCACCACCACCTGTAGGCTCGCTATATCACCAATGTCCTCTGTGTCCCTGTGCATTCTGACTCGTGATGATTGTTGTAGCCCGTAGGAGATAGAGAGTCTCGATCACCTATCATGACGACACTACCACCATCTTCTCCTGACAGTAAATCCTAGGAGCACATTCTGTATGTTCTCGATTACCAGGGTTTCGATCCCGAGGAGGGCTTTAACGAGGGTCCCGTCTTGGAGCGTGAAAACAGGGATCTGAAACTTCTGGACAATCTCAAAATCCCTCTACAACTGTGGATCGTACAACAACGAGAGCCGCTGGCCGAGCAAATCTTGAAGGCAACCAGTGTTGTAGCCTGGAAGAAGAGCACCAAGTCATGCATACTGCTCATCAATGATGACTTTTCCGACTTCGGATTCATTACATCCCTATTGGTGTTCTGTAAGAAGATATATAAGTCCACACTTAGGGCCTGCTAGTCCGAGAGGTGGATCGACTGAAGTTGCTTACGCCTGAGCCTGGGCTTAAACCTGATGATTTGATCATAGAAGAAACCGCGTCTTCTCGTCATGGATCTGGCTACAGAGCCTTCCAGCGGGCCTGATCTCTGCGACGCAGACAAATAGTTTTAGTATACAAATACCTTTAGTTCACAAAAGCTCTAGTTTACAGAATTATTTTTTTGCTGAATTTTTCCCAAAATCAACCCTCAAATTATGTTTCCACATCGGATAGCTTCCCCTCTTCATTTTTCATCTTTTCCTGGCGAAAAGCCTTTCTCAACTCGCACTTTCCAACACTCTTGCCGCCAGCTTTGCACTCATTGCATACCTTGCCATGCTTGACAAGCAAGATGTGAAGCCCATACTTGTCCTCGTCCGGGATTCTGACGTCGAGGTGGGCGTGGGTTTCGTCCCGCGAGGCGCTCTTTGGACGCCACCCCATAAGGCCGGTGATTCTCCATACATGAGTGTCGACCGCAAACGACTCTCTCTGCAGGCAAAAGAGAAGGACACAACTGGCAGTCTTGGGGCCGACGCCCTGAAAACTGATGAGCTCCTGCATCGCATCTTCATTGCTCACATTGAAGAGATGGTCGAGAGAATATGAGCCGTACTTCTCGTGGACCTGGTTGAGGATGCCCACAATGACTTTGCTCTTGACTTGGCTCAGCCCACCGCACTTGATGGCTTCCTGCAGCTTGGGGATCCCGCCCTCGACAATCTTCTCCCACTCATCGCTGCCGCCGTAGACGTCGTCCATGCTCCTCTTGGCCCGGGTGGAGTTGGTGTCACTCGTGTTTTGACTCAGAATGGTTCTCACCAGCGCATCGAGGACCGACGGCGAGTCTCCGCAGCCAGCGCGGGTCGAGGATGCTTTGATCTCGGCAGGGCGTTCCCGTTTACCGTGCAGTTTGGCCAGGATGCGATGGGCCAGCTTGCACTCGTCTGGGGTCGGGTGAGGGAAGTCGGAGAACGGTGACTTGTCGGCGTATTGAGTGTACGCCTTGAGTTTCTTGGACTTCAAATCTGCTGGAGACTTTTGAACCTTTGCCTTTGTTTGTGGGCTCTCAGACTTGATGTTCTCTTTCTTGAGTGGTGTTAGAGTCGGGACGTTGGCGAGTTCCGGCGATGCCGCATGGTCTGCATCCTCTGTCTTGACTTTCTTGGCTGGTGTTGAGCTCGCGGCCTTGCTTGTCGCCCGCTTCCTCTTCTCTGGCCGGGGAGTGTTCTCCTTGTCTGATGAAGTCTGCTTCGTAGGCTTGCCCCGTTTCGTTGTGCTGTTGGCGGTACCCAAGCTCTCTGTCGGCTTTGCGGCGGTCGAGGCCAGACGAGCACTCGAACGGGTTGCTCTCGCCATGATTACCAAGACAGATCGCATGCAATAACGTGACAATTTGATCCGAGGTAGTCTTAATATGAGTTGTACATGTAGTGAGATGATTGCATAGGCTGGAAGGTGAGTTCAACGCTGCATAGCCGCTGCCGTTGATCCAGGGGTCGAGCAATGACGGTGCAGAAAAGCACGTCGCCGAAGCCATCACCGCGCCATCAGTGGTGATGTCAACGAACTGGACCCACTGAGACCCACCAGCTGCTTCAATAACAGATTACCTAAGGTACCTTAAGGTCGCAAGGTGCCTAGCCCGTGCCTAATCGATACGCACAGACCACGAGATGATGGGCGAGGGAGAGACAGGCACAGAGGGCACAGGGAAAGAACAAAGCCGCGTCGCGACTTCTCCATCGTCATTTTCATGAGGCTCTTGGAGCTGCCGCTGCACCTTCCTTTTCTTCACTTTCCAAGGTGATGGCTAATCTGATGTATCTTACCTAAGGTAATGGATAGGGACGGGAAGGGGGGAATCATCCTCCGGTCCTAATCGCAGATACGTACATGTGCCCTCTCTGCTCCTCTCTGCTCCTCTCTGCGCCTTCAATTTATCCGCCAAATCAATCTTTGCTTTTTCCTGTTCGCGCGGCGAGGTCTTGGGACTTGGCGCATTCACGGCCACGCTACCTCAGCGCTTCATGAGAATCATTTTGCCCCAAGGTGTACCGTACCTACATAGGCTGCAGGCCCCAAGCCCCAAGCCTCCCAAGCAGCCACTCGCATCTCGGCAAATCGCCATTGTGCCTCTTTCAGCCCTCCATTGCCAACGCATTCCAGCTAGGAGCACAAGCACAACCTATCGATGTACGTCGCGGTTGGACGTGCTACCTCACGCCATCACCATCACGGCCGGCGACGGCCCCGGAGGTATTCCCCGTCTTGCCCGTCCTTGCGCCGTGACGCTCTCCCCTCACCATGCATCTGGCACGTCGCCCACGTGCATCATGGCCCGCTCAAGTGGACTCGCCTCCATTCTAACGGACGTATTTCATCCAAGAGGGTGTGTGCTGCAGGGATAGAGGGTCCAGGGCATTCGAATATTTCCTGAATTGGACTTCGTCTTGCCAATGTCCAATCGGGCTCAATTTGAGGGCATGGGTCCTCCAGACTTTCGGCCGAGGACTCAACTATTTTCAAACTAGCCCTAAAGATCAAAACCGTTTCTTATCGCCCAAAAGGCTGATCGCATCAGGAAGCCCAAATCCCAGGCTGTTTGAACATGTCTTGGAATAGGCAGGCATGATAGTCACGTAGGATATGGTCAAAGATGCCTCGTCGATTTTTCCGCAAGAAACTTCCTCGCTAGAGAGGCATAGGTGACTGACCGCTACGCAACATCTCTCGCCAATGGGTCAAGGCCACCTGCATGACGGCGAAACGTCCGGCAGCTAATAGACATCCCCCCTCCGGTGCCATCATGCGCGCAGTATACGGATCCGGACTCGGACGCGCCGCCGCGAAATTCCGCAGGAGAACAAAAGGTCCCAAAGGCCCAAAAGCTGATGTCCAAAGCCGAACCTTCTTAGCGCAAAGGTTCGCCGTCGAGCCCACGATGGACAGCCCAGCAGAGCCAGTGAACTGCTGCAGCTTTCATCCTCAACCTTGTTAGGCAAGCCGAAGCAAAAGGAACCCGCAAACGACATGCTTGACAGACGGCGGATCCCCCTTTCATCAGTTCGCCGGTCCGTCCCGCGTCGTTTCTGTTTCCATTTCGACTTTCCTGCGTGTCGCAGGCGAAAGAAGGAATTCTCCTTCGTCCAACGACGCCGGTGCGAGCATGCCAATTCCATTCACTTCGAATTATTCGACGGTCTTCATCACCCTTGGGGAAACTTTCCCCGCCACTGACTCAGAGTTGCAAATACGTGCTCTTGGCGGCGGTGCAATGCAACTTAGAAATGTCTTGGACACATGCGGATCACACCTAAGAGAGTCGCCAAGATCTAGAAGCGGCTTAGAACGTCAGCCTATCTTGTGTTCGGCCAGCGTCGTGGGCGTAACGAGCGTGCCACGCTCTCGAATGAAAATGCCGTCGCTCCCTCACCTTCTGGATTCGCGCTCCATCTGCTCCGGCATCCATCTCATTATTGGCAGTCCTTAGACCAAAGACAAGCTGTCGCAAGTACCTCACAAAGCCCCGAGAAACCGTCGAAGCCTCACACCCAAACGCTCGGGTCCGCCAACGAGATATGCCACTGGCGATCAGTCCAACATGAGTGTCAAGTCCGTTAACGTCAGCCGCTTGAATGCCGTGAACAGCATAGCCAGTACGAATAATTCGGAACCCGAAGCCAACCACTACGGTCACCTCACTCTTTGGCAATCAATCAAGAAATGGCGTCGCGTCGTTCTGTACTGTATCGGCATGACCTCTGCCATCTTGATGTATGGTTACGATTATGTCATTGTCGGCACCGTATCAGCGATGCCCAGCTTTCAGTACGGTTCCTTATCTTTTGCGGCTCTAAACCCCTGGCATCGATACTTTGAGCTAACCAACCCCCAAGGCATGATTTCGGTCAACAGCTCAATGGAAAATGGATTCTGCCTTCACTCTGGCTTGGTCTCTGGAATTTCGTGAGCCCAGGCTGCTCCATGATCGGTTCCTTGATTGGAGGTGTTTTCCAAGACAGATGGGGCCGTCGAGCATCGCTTGCCTTGGGTTCCTTTCTATCAGCCGTCGGTGTGGCCGTTTGCTTCGTATCAAATCTATCTCCCGATATTCATACCCGTCGCGTCATTTTCCTCGTCGGTAAGGGCTTCCAAGGAGGTGCGATCGGAATGGTCATGACGACTTCCCAGACGTACATGTCGGAGATTTTACCGCCAAATCTCAGAGGACCGCTTCTCGCCTTTTTCCCGATTTTTACGCTGCTTGGCCAGTTGACAGGTGCTGCCGTCATCTTTGCGTGCCTCAACCTGGAGAATGGATACACCATTTGCTTTGCATCTCAATGGCCGTTTTCCGCGCTCCCATTGCTGATGGCTTTCCTTATCCCCGAGAGCCCAACGTATCTGGTTCGCAGGAATCAGAACGCCCAGGCTCACAAGGCTCAAACGAAGCTGGACCCAGCGGGTGCAGACCCCGAGGACACCCTCGATACCATTCGCCGCAATATTGAGCATGAAAGACGACTAACCAATGCGACCTACGTTGATTCATTCCGTGGTGTCAACCTTCGGCGGACCTTGATCATCATGTTTTCCAACTCACTGCCAAACATCTTTGGTCTGACCTTGCTCTCAAAGTCCAGTTACTTTGTGCAAGTTGTTGGTATGAAGGCCAACCTGAGCGTCATCGTTCTTATCCTCGGCCTCGTTTGTGGTTTGATTGCCAACATTATGAGCGTTTGGGTTCTCTCGAGAATAGGACGCAGACGACTTATCTTAAGTACACTATCCATCTTGGCGATATTCTGGACCGCCATGGGAATTGCGGGTTGCTGGTCGGGTCCTGTAATACCATGGTATGTTAACAGCAACACCGTCACTCTGAGCACCACCTTAACTGACTGCGGCAGGTACACATCCATGACCCTGATAGTGGTAGTTATCGTGGCCGGTTTGGGAGTTTGGCCGGCCTCTCACGTCGTCAGTGCCGAAACCTCAGCGCTATACCTGCGGTCCAAAGCCCAAGCCATCGGCTGGTTTACTGCGGGAGCGAACAACTCCATCTTCGGATTCGTGCTACCATACATTTTCAACCCCGACAAAGGCAACCTTAAAGCCAAGACCGGTTTCGTATTTGCCGGACTTTGTGCCCTCGGGCTTGTCATTGCCTTCTTCCTGGTACCTGAGATGAAGGGACGAACGCCGGCTGAAATTGATCGCATGTTTGAGTCGAGGCTACCGGCACGACAATTCCGCCACTGGACCAACTCAGCATCGGAAGGGGAGAAGAATGGTTCTGCTAGAGTTGCGAACTCTGCTGTGTAATGCTCGGTTGCTTTCCGACCTATCCCGAATGAACATACCTGCACTTCTTTCGCCATTCGGCGACTGCAATACCAGACTGCGCCTCGCGCTCGCCGGCCCCACTGACACTCACCTCAATCCGCAATGAAACCCATCTGCACGCACTGGCGTGGCGTTTCTTTTCATCTGATGATGTCCCTCGCCAAGCTCTGCGCACCGGCCTTCGAATCATCTTTGTCCGTGACCATCAGCTTCTACCCAACGGTTTTCCAACCGTCCCTGATGTCGATTAGGTCCCTGGTCCACTTCATCGACGTGTTTTGATCGACTGCCACCTACTGATAGAGATTGCTAATAGTTAGAAGGATTTGTATCATTCCTGAGAAGAGTCCCAGATCTCTCACCCGACAGGTCAGCAGTCATGCAGCGTCTGTCGAATATAAAGCCCGCCTCTGACAGCGCTAAACCTCGACTGGTGTCCGGGCGCCCGAACATCAGATCAACATCGTACGTGTGGCTATCGAAGGCTAATGGTGCATGTTGCCGCGCGCGCTCAAGCTACTACCTGCCGGGCAATGGAGGGCATCTGCAAGATCCTCTCGCTCAAGCAGTATCAGTGGTTGTGTTTCGTTTCTGATTATCAATGACGTGAGACGACAAGGTCGGGCATTATCCACTGTCAGCAAACACGTTTGCTTATCGCCAGAAATGGACAAAGCGAGCCTCAGATTGAGTAGAGAAATTGGGCAGCAATTTAGACCTGCAAGCTGACCGCCTCCCTTGCTTGGCAGAGGCCCGCTCATTTTCACCGAGGCACCAAACACAAACACAAACACTCTCATTACTTTCTTTGTATTACCCACCCTCCTCTCGCCATTATCTCATCTAGGCAGCCACACTAGCATCGAATAAACGCATGGCGGCATTTACCCGCTCTTATCAACAGCGATGAAAGGCACATGCCATCAGTTCTCGTCCTTGCCGGTAACCCCAAGTGGCTGGGATGTTCCAAGAATGTCTGTTCGAGATCCCGGCCCGATCGTCTGATATCAGAGACAGAAGAACAACAGTCTAGGCCGACTTTCCGATAAGATAGTTCGCGATGCAGCACCGCCACTTGGATAGCTTAAACCCGGCATGCACCAACGAGGCACGCACGGGTCCCGTCTGTCGGGTACGGGTACGACATGTCTACCCGGGACAACACCTTTCACGCCTTGGAAGTCGCATTCCGGCGGTCAAGTCTAATGTCAGTCATGCTTACACTCGTGGCGCTGGATAGGGTAACAAGGATCGGGTTGCTCCCCAAATGAGCCTCATGCTCTTCGACAATGACATGTTTGTGTCACTTGTTGGTGTCCCTGTCAGCACTTTAAGGGACATCATCTGCAGACAAAGCTGGCTACGGCTGGTGTGGAAACAACTTCTCAACCGTGGTTTCTGAAGATATCAGCTTAATCTTATCAATGCCTCTAAGCAACCAAATCTCCGAGGCTATTCCAGACGCTTAATGGCCACAGTCCGAGGCCTTGGGACCAGGATTTCAAACTCTTCAGTCTCCCAAATCAGAACCGGGGGTGCGTCTTTATACACCCAAAGCAACCTCCCGCCAAATCAGTTTCAGCCTTGAGCTGTCCATGTGGTGTCAGTGGGCATTATTTTGCACTGATAAACGCGGCGGCAACCAATGAAACAATAAAGAAACTAGTGTGGACGACAGCGAAGCATTCGCCGAGCCGCACTCAAGCAGGCTAGCAGCCCGGCGATGGTGGTCAACAGCTCGCCCCCGAGAATCCGACCCGACTGCCCTTTATGGCCCGAACTGTGATACTCTTTGAGGCTCAAGATTTCTGCAGCCTGCGGTGGGGCGCAAGCCGTTATGTACCTTGCCAGTGTTGGATGCAGACGCCAGCGCACGGCAAACCGGGCCTCGAGCTTGATTGCCACCTTTGAAAGTGAAGCAAGCACCGACAGGGTATGTGCCGCCCAGGATACTAAAGAAGGGCGAGCACCTGCAGTTCCTGTCCCTTCACTTCTCTTCAGCTTGCCAACTCTTTCGATACTCTTTGCAAGTTTTTTGCGGCATTGTCTTGAGCGCAACTGCCAAAGATGGCTTACCGACAACAACATGAAAGCGTCCTCTCGACGTCGACGTACTCTTCGACGGCATACGACCCGGCCGCGGCTTCGTACACCGCCATCAAGGAGCCGAAGGAACATGATCAGCGAGGAATTTCCGATCCCATGCTGGTTGATGAGTCGGACAGTATCCCAGAATGGAAACCATCCAAGCACCAGATGGTCATCATCACGACGTTATCCATCATGTCGTTTGTCATTGCCTTGGATGCCAACGTGATCGTCACGTCTTTGAGTGTAAGATTACCATTTGGCTGACTGGTTTTGGATGCTTGACACTAACATGTTAACTTGCGCAGTCAATTATCCAAGACATTGGTGGAACATCTACGCAAGCTTTCTGGGTGGGAACTTCCTACTTGATTTCTTGCGCAGTTGCAATGCCCTTCTTGGCCTCTTTGAGTGATATCTTTGGCCGACCCATCATTCTGATTGGCAGCCTGATTTTCTTCACCGTCGGGACCATCCTTTGCTGTGTTTCAAACGGCATCGGGCTCCTTCTCGGCGGTCGCGTTATCCAGGGCATTGGTGCTGGCGGCATGTACGTGCTGAGCTTGGTTGTGTTCACCGACATTGTGCCACTCCGCCATCGACCCAAGTACTACGGTATCATGTGAGTAATAATCTGTCTTGCTTACGAAGTTAGAACTGACATCCTTCTCAGTCAGATGGCATGGGCTGTCGGCTCCCTGACGGGCCCCATCATCGGTGGTGCTGTCGCCGAGCACACTACCTGGAGATGGATCTTCTACCTGAACTTCCCTATCTGCGGCTACTCCCTCCTTGCCATCCCTGTGCTCTTGACTCTGAAGCCTCCTACGGCGACCTTCAGCGAGAAACTCAAGCGCGTTGATTGGCTCGGAGGTTTCTTGTTTATTGGTTCCATGGTGACATTCCTCGTCGGTATCTCCTGGGGCGGCAACGACTTCCCCTGGCGTAGCGCGCAGACCTTGGTGCCTGTCTTTATCGGCGCTGCCGGTTTGACAGTCACATTGTTCTACGAGCACAGCTACGCGAGATACCCGTTCTTGAAGAAGATCCTTTTCACGGACCGTAGCGCCATCACTGTCTACGTTCTCGGCCTTCTTCAGGGCTTCATTGTACGTGCACCACACAAACACAGCCCCATGAATGTTTGCTAACCCCTTGCAGCTCTACGGCCAGCTGTATTACATCCCATTCTACTTCCTGTCTGTTTCGCAGTACAGCCCTACCATGGCTGGTGTAGCCATGCTCCCCGTCACCCTCCTCCTCCTCCCCGGCTCCATCATCTCAGGCATCCTCGTCTCCCGCTTCAATGCGTACCGCTGGTCCATCTGGATTGGCTGGGCCCTGATGTCGCTCGCATCCGGGCTCCTCATCTACTGGGACGTGGACACCTCCCTTCCTGTTCACATCATCACCCTCGCCATCGGCGGTATCGGCCATGGCTTCGTCCTCAACGCGCAGACGTTCGTTACGGGAGCCATCGTTGAGCCCGAGAACTCGGGTCACGCGGCGGCCATGTACCTCTTCCTGCGCATGCTCGGCTGCGCCATCGGCGTCAACGTCGGCTCCACCACATTCCAGAACGTCATGGCCTTGAAGCTCGAGCGCAAGGGTATTGCACAGGATATTGCGCAGCGCGCCGAGGAGTATCTTCTCGTCATCAAGGGCCTTCCCGACGGCACTTTCAAGGATGCTGTGTTGGAGTCGTACGCTTTTGGCTTCAAGGGCGTGCACGGCGTGTATGTTTCGCTGGCGGTGATTGCCTTTTTCGCGAGCTTCTTGATCCGTCACTACGACCTGAACAAGATTCACGAGACGGCGCACACGTTACAGCAGAACCGGGTATCGAGAATGTTTGATACCCGGAAGGGTGCGAGCCAGGGACGGCCTCAGCCTATTCCCTCGTCGCCCGGTGAAAGTTCCTAGACTGCCTGGAGATTAGAGCCGCATAAATAGCAGATGTGTTGTCAGACACTGAGAGTAGGGGTCTCCTTTGTATGACAAGGAGTCGAAGGGTGGATGGACAGTGAGGTTGGGAATATACTTGGCACTGAGCATGGAGTTGCGGTATCATAGACATGGGGTATGCTGACGATGGTTGGAAGGGGTTGTCATGGGTCACAGGGTCTTTCTTACGGATAATCTAGCATCATTCATTATATGCATTAAAATTGGTCCGCGAGACGTCCCGCGTGAGATGATGATCCAAGGCGACGCACTCGCCTGTCTCAGTTTTACATATAAGTAATTGAAAGGTTCATTGTTGTTGCTCATTTTCTGGTTCGGGTGATTACCCGATTAGGCAAACCCTCGGGTTGCTTCCTCGGCAATTCGGCCCCCGCGTTTTGGCCATCAGTCCAGTCCTGTATACCTTTATGTTATATATGTATCATTACGAGCTGTTCAGAACTTGTCTTTTGAACCTACTGCCTTTTGCATGCTTGCTTTCTTCCCTAGTTCTTTGAAGAGTCTTGACGATCTGGTCTGCACCGCTGCGATGGCTGGAACTCTTGCGTTTTGCTGGCTCTGCTGGAAGATTTGAGATGTTGCACTGACGGAACCCAACTCTCATATTGGACATTGTCAATGGCTAGAGAGTCTCGTTCAACAAAGGTGACGAGCGAGGCAATGTATCCAGTTTCAAGACATCTGGCAGTCTGTCTCAACTTTTGATATCAACATGAGCTTCTGTAATGTGAATCAACTGTGTGGTTCAATGAACGCAAAGATGCGCTTGATAATCTAGGTAGGCAAGATAGCATTGATAGGGCGATAAGCCTAGTGCCGGCGCGCCCCCGCTCCGAACTTCGGCGACGACTCCCTTATCTCCCCTGCACCTCCGTTGTATTCCTCCCCTCACTTGCAATACAGTCAGCGCAGGACAACAACTGCAGAGAAGAACAATTCGGGCACGGGTGATTGAAACTGCATTTGCTGCAAACACCCGATCTAAGGTAGTTTATATCGGGTGATGGATTCGGCGTCTCATGCATCGCCGCGGCGGCTGTCCATGAGCAGCAGGCACGGCGTGAGTCGTGAGGTGGCCAAGACCATTTCGGCGTGAGTCTCCGAGAACTCCCCCCTCCCCCCCCCCTCGTACCATCCGCGGTCTCAATCGCTTCGGAACCATCACGTCGAGAGAGCGTGAAAGTTTCAGACCCATTGTTTTCCGCCAGGGTCGATTGCGAGTCGCTGACGAATTCGGGATACGGCAGATGTCTCACGTGTAGGCGGAAGAAGGTGAAGTGCTCCGGCGAGGCGCCGTGCACGTATTGTAGCAAGCGAGACCTCGAATGCCAGTTCCCCGAGCCGGGGAAGAAGCGGGTCTATTCCGTTACGTGAGTCCGTTGATGCAGTGCTCTCACGGGATGCATGCATAGATATGCGAGTTCACTGACGCCTTTTCGTAGGAGGATACAAGATCTTCAGGAGCGGCTCGCTCGTTATGAAGGCCAGGGGTTCAGCCTCGAGACGACACTTTGTTAGTGATGCTGCGCCGTAGCAGTCATTCTTCCTATACTAACAACGCTTGAGCACGGGATCATGAGACTAGTAGAGTACCGAGGGGCCAAGCGGGATCCCCAGACCGACCGCCGACGAGGGCGACGGCGCAGACGCCTACGGATAATGCGACGCAGGTGAATGCAGCTTCAACTCTGCTAGGCTTAGCTTTGGACCAGCTCACATCGCCGCCATCGACCAATCCAACATCTGGGGGTCACGGGAATCATGTCATTGCATCTTCTCCAGGCTCTGGTACGTCCTTCGCCCGAACATGAATCGTTCAGCCTTCATGGTAACAGATTTCACCAGCCATCGCGGCAGACTCGTCACTGAGCTCAAGCCACAACTTTGGCTCACGCCTACAAAATCTTTTGGAGCATCCACGTCTGGGCCGGCGAGAACCGATGCAACCCCCCGATCGTTCCCTCTCTCAGACAACGACCCTCAAACCCCACGACGATGCTGTCGGCGGCAGCGGCGACGGCGGCGGCGGTATCACGCTGCCCTCGGAAGACGAGGCCCGCCGGCTCTTTGAGAGCATGACCTTCTTCATCGGGTACACGCAGCACCACATTGACACGCGCGAGTTCTCGGACCGTCTCGCCTTCTTTTACGCCAACCTGGGGGACACCTCGCAGGCGACGTCGCAGGCGCAGATGCCGTGGTACCTGGAGATGCTGCTCGTCTTCGCCATCGGGAAGCTCTTTTCGGGCGGTTTCGACGGCGAGGGCGGCGGCGGCGGCGACGAGAAGAGCGGGCGGCCGGTGACACCCGGGTCGAGCATGTTTGCGCACGTGCAGGCTAGGTTGCCGAGCTTGAGCGAGCTGTATAGCTTGGGGAAGTTGGGCATCGAGATTCATGCTTTGGCGGCGGTGTATTTGCAGAATGCGAATCGTAAGGAGGAGGCATATCTTTATGTACGTTTCCCCATGTATCTCCCTCCCCTTCTGTCTCTCTCCCTCACCTAGATGGGCTCGGTATCAGTTTGCTCAACTGCGTAGATCAGCTCGGCTCTTAGATTGGCGACGACGCATGGGTATCATCGCAAGTCTGGGACGCAACACTTGCTGCAGTCGGAGAAGGTGCATTTGAACCGCCTCTGGTGGACTGTGTATATGCAAGAGAGGTAAGAAGCCACCAGGCTGACTCGGGCGCAAAGCCCCGAACGAGCTGACGTGACGTGCAGACGACTCGCAGCAGCGACGGGCAATCCGTCTGGGATCCTCGATGATGTCATTGAGATTGACATGCCGACTGACTCGCCAGGATTTCCGCCGGCGCTTCCACTTCGAACGAATATCAAAATCGCGAGGGTTACCGGAAGGATCCTGTCAAGTAAGAACTTCAGTCTGCATCAACGAAGCAGTAAGCATCTTGCTAACCATTATCACCTGTCAGCAATTTATGGACCAGGAACCCATCCAGAAGAAACGTTTGTTCCAAACGTGCAGGAGATTGTGCAGTCACTATACTGGATCGCCAAAGAGATTCCGGGCGAGTTCTCGCCCAAGCTATCTGATATGCCATCGACGGAAGGCGACGTCTCGCTGAGAACCTCGGCGTATCTCCACATGATGCTTTACCAAGTAGGCTATTCCGGCGTCCGTGTTGCTCAACGTCGCTCCTCGCTAACAGTTTGACAAGGCGATTCTGCTGACGATAAGGCCTGTCATGCTCCACGTCTCCAAACTCATCTTTGACGAGGAAAGTGGAAGTAGTTTGAGCTTGGGGGCATCGCCGCTTGGGCGACTCAGCCGAACGTGTTCGGAAGCGGCCCGTCGACTATTGGAAGTCTTGATGTTGTTACGAAGGAGGAATATTCTGAGTATGTTTGAAAAACAATGGTCACCGACACGTCCTTGCCGGAATTTGGACTGACCCATGACCACGCTGTAGCAACCTTTGGCTTCTTTGACCTGGACGCCATATTCTCGGCCGCCTTCATCATGATCCTGACGCTCACCATCGACTCGACCTGCGATGAGAGCCAGAAACTAGCACCAAGCCCGGGATTATCCGAAGCCCTGGAAATCCTCGATTACTTGGTGGGCCGCGGCAACGAGTTTGCGCTCCAACGCGCCCGGGAAGTGCGGCGGATGCGCGACCACCTCTCGACGTTTCTGGACATTCCCAAGAACAGCCCGAGCGATTTCCGGACGCATCCCCCGGTGGTGGCGGCTGGATCGGGTTCTGGCGGGGGCCAGCAATCGCCGGCGACGATCGTCGTGTCCACGTCGTCAGAGAAGGGGACCGGTGACGACGCCAGACGAGCGCGCCAGCAGGGGTTCCGCGATGCGACGACGACGAGGGGATCGGTGGAAAGAGGGGGCTTGACGCCGTCGGGTGGTCGTAGGGCGAGCCAGTTGGGATCGAGAAGTCTGCTGGACTCGAGTCTGTGGAATGATATTTCGTACCTGTGGATGCAGCCCACCGGAGCTGAGGACGCGCAGGCTCTTGAGCAGGCGGAGGGGATGGCGGATCTGTTGCCCGAAGATGTGTATAATTGGAATTCAATCTATCACAGCCAGGATTTGGCTCTGACGGGGCAAGACTTGGGAGATTTTGGGGAGCTGGAGAGGCATATTCTAGGATTTGGCGGGTGAGATTAGGGATTGTCATGATATTGATACCCCAGAGTACGAGTCAATGAAGATTAGATCCAACTTGAAGTTTGAAAAAACGATACTTTGAGTTTTGAAAAGATTCCTCTCTCCCACTGGTCACAGAGCTCTCCCCTGCTTGGATAAACGTCTGGTACGAGACTCATCAGTGCGCTTGGACCAGTGAGTCATTCGTTGCTTCCCCTGTCGCGCAGCCAGATAGATTGAAGCTTCGCTTCGATTGGAGCATGGTCAGTCAGACAAAGCCATTGGCGAATGGAAGTGCTAGTTTCAGAGAAATATGTGAAGAAAGAGTGAGAGATGAAGCTGTAGAAGTCAAACTTGACATGCGCATTACTACGTACAAAGCAGGGCCAATTCTGTCGTCGCACAGAGCCCTGATTGGCTCCGTCTGGTGGTCCAAGGGCAGCCTGGGCGGAATACGCAGCGGCGCACAACGTTCTGACGGCCAAAGGTGGAGATTGCGGGGCAGAGCTACCCCTGCTAGCGTCAAATTGCTTACCAGAGGCAGCCATTAGGCTGGCCACCTTGGCCAATCAGAGCGTGTTCTTCTCCTCGATGCGAGCGCTGATTGGCTCTTTTGTGGAGGGAGCTGTTGCCTGCGATTGCCTAGTTTGGCAGTGCCTCTTTGGCAGTGCCTTCTGCCAGACCCTGACGTGATGTTTAACAAACCACCGAGGAGGAGCGGCCGCCAACGGTGCTCCATGTTGCTGGCGATGGACGCATATAAGAATCCTCAGGTACGCAGGCATTTGTCTGCTCTCTCTTCTTGCCCCATCCCAACTCTACACCAATTCCACCACCTCGTCGCACATATTCCTTCCCAACGCCCCCTGCACTCGACAGCAGCCACCAGGGACATCACAGACAGCAGCACCAAGTCGGAGGTCCTAAAAAGCCATCAGAAAACGAATCTTCTACACTTCGCAGCTGGACATAGCAACGAGTTTCTTTCTTCCATCGTATTACAGACACCAAACGACCGGTCCGATCCGAAAATCCCACCTTCAACATGGTCTTCGGTGTCCCCCGATCCCAGGCCTCTGGCGGTCTGTTCAGTCGACCTGCTGTCCAACCTACAAACCCTCACATCTGTGGACTCTACTACATCGATCTGCAGCGTCATGACCAACTTGCACGGCGTTATCTTCCCACACTTTCCCAGTCGGTACACGCTCGCATCATTGCATTGACCTCTCGGACAACTCTCACCCAGACCTTTGTCAACCCTTCATCGACCGCACTTATCCCCGAGCTTCGATACACCTTTCCCCTGTACGACGGCGTTTCCGTAGTCGCCTTCACCTGCACGATCAACAACGATCGTGTCATTCGTGGCGTCGTCCAGGAGAAGAACGCCGCCCGCAAGACGTACAACCAGGCGGTTGCCGACGGTCAGACAGCCGGCCTTCTGGAGCAACTACCCGACGCAAGTGATGTCTTCACCACAACCATCGGCAACGTACCCGCTGGCGCCGAGATAGCGGTCGAGATTGAGTATCTCGGCGAGCTGAAGCACGATGCCGAAGTTGACGGCATCAGGTTCACGATTCCTACTTCTATCGCACCACGATACGGATCCTTCCCCGGCGAGTTGCTGGCCAAGCCCACCAATGTCTCTGCAAAGGATGGCATCCAAATTGTAGTCGATGCCGAGGTGCCGGCGGGCAGCGTCATTAGGTCGATTCAGTCACCCTCGCATCCCATCTCTGTTTCAGTTGGGTCGACATCCACCATGGACCCCAACGCTACACCATCCCTCCAGCTCGCGAGTGCCACTCTTTCCCTGGGGACTGCTCAGCTGGAACATGACTTCATCGTTCAGGTCATTGCGACAAACACCTCCAATCCTGTCGCGGTCCTCGAGACCCACCCCACCATTCCTCACCAGCAGGCTCTCATGGCCACGCTTGTGCCCAAGTTCAAGATTGCTGCCACCAAGCCCGAAGTCGTCTTCATCTGTGATCGCTCTGGGTCCATGCAGGGAAACAAAATGGACGACCTCAAGAACGCTCTTAGAGTCTTTATGAAGTCTCTACCTGTCGGCTCCATGTTCAATATTTGCAGTTTTGGTTCAAGTTTCAGTTTCTTGTTCCGAAAGTCCGTGACGTACGACCAGAATACCCTGGAAACCGCGATGCGTCATATTGACACCTTTGACGCCAACTACGGAGGCACTGAGATCTATAACCCCATCGAAGAAACCTTTAACCGCCGCCACACCGACCTCGATCTTGAAACTTTCGTCCTCACTGATGGTGAAGTTTGGAACGAAGTTAACATCTTCGGCATGGTAGAGAGAATGACTCGTAGCTCCAAGGGCGCGATTCGTCTCTTCACTCTGGGCGTGGGCAGAGATGTCAGCCACTCTCTCATCGAAGGCCTCGCTCGAGCTGGCAACGGCTTCTCGCAATCAGTCTCGGAGAATGAGAAGATGTCCGGCAAGGTCGTCCGCATGCTCAAGGGTGCGCTTACTCCCCATGTCAACGACTATGCTCTGGAAGTCAAGTACGCCGATGCCGAGTCTGAGACGGAGGCTGAAGACGACTTTGATGTGATCGAGCCCGAAGATGCGGCCCGTGAAGATACTACCGACAATAAAAGAGCCGAGAAGACGAAACACCCAATCTCTCTCTTTGATACAAGTTCAGACGACGATGTTGCAATGGAAGACGCCCAGCCGCAAGATGACACCACTGGCGTAGAGCGATACTCCCATATTCCGACAGTCAAGCCACCCAAAATCCTTCAAGCGCCCTTCCAGATTCCGCCTCTTTTCCCTTACAACCGCACCAGCGTCTACCTTTTGCTTTCTCCTGACAGAGAGCTGAGATTCAAGACCCCGGAGTCTTTGATCCTGCGCGGGACTTCATCCCAGGGTCCTTTAGAGCTCCGAATCCCCATCACCATCCTTGCAGACAAGGCAGAGACGATTCATCAGCTCGCAGCTCGTAAGGCTGTCAAAGAATTGGAAGAAGGCCGTGGTTGGATCTATCACGCCAAGGATAGAGATGGAAATCGTCTTCAACCGCAACACCCAGGCCGTTTCCCCGGCATGGTGGAGCGAGAGGCCGTCCGACTCGGCATCCAATTCCAGGTTGGAGGCAAGTGGTGCTCCTTTGTTGCCGTCGAGCACAGAAAGACTGGCGAGGACAAGGGCCCCGATGCCGTCGATGCAGACCAAGCCAAATCTAGGATGCACGAGTTGGATTCGACCCAGAGAAGAGAGGCGAGGACAAGGGTGGGTTGGGGCGGAATGCCTCGTACGGCCCAGTCTCAGGCCAGGTCTCCAGCTTTCTCCTATGGCTCTGCTGGCATGATAAGTCAACCTGCAGCCGGCCTTTTTGGCACCGCTCCCACATCAGCCGTATCCGCACATCAAAGATCAGATGGTTTAAGATCAGAAAGGTCAGTCTTCGGGCGTCCAAACCCAGCGGCTTCCTCAAATCCATTTGCACCGTCTAGTGGCGGAAGTGTGTTCGGCGTGCAGCCTTTCTCCTACAATCAACAACAACAATCCACAGCAACTGGGGCCTTCGTCGGAAGCTTGTTCGGCCAGCCCACGGCGCCTGGGACCTCGGGCGGAGGCTTGTTCGGCCAGTCTACGGCGCCTGCGATTTCGGGCGGAGGCTTATTCGGCCAGCCCACAGCCCCTGTACCAGCGCCTACACCAGCTGCAGGTGGCCTCTTTGGCTCAAATCCATCTAGGACTGTAAGTCCATTCGGGGCCGGCCCAGCAAGTGCCAAATCATCCGGAGGTCCTCACGTCTTCGGTGGGAATGGATCCGGCGGAGGTTTGTTTGGTCAACCTCGGGTCACTAGCCCCGTGTCCTCCATGCCTCAGAGTGGAGGTCTCTTTGGCAGCGCACGACCAACTCCCCAGTTGTCTGGAAGTGGTGAGCCTCTCGGCGTCCAAGCTGCCGCGCTGGCTCCTCCCACGACCGAGGTGAATGAGGCTTTACTGGAGCTGTTCAACCGGGAGATGTCTGAAGCTTCATGCATGTCTCTCCCTGACGACATTTCCGACGATGATTGGGAATCAGAAGCTCCTCCGACTGGAGCAGCCGTTGCGGCGCCAATTATTAGCAGCCTGCTGTCCTCTGCGGCTGATAAATTCCCTGCTATTGTTTCGCTCCAGGAGTTCAGCGGCAGCTGGGACCCTTCAGAGGCGCTATTTACTATTATTGGCGTCACTCTGGATTCAGTCAAGGATGCTTTGCACACTGTTGGTGTTGATGACGAGAGAGTCATGTCTACCTCTGCAGTTATTAACTACCTGCGCAAGAAGCTGACGAAGGAACGGGACAGTTGGGAGATGATGGAGGAGAAGGCTGTTGCTTGGCTAGAGGGGGAATTAGGCGAGGAAGCGACTCAGAAAGTTTTGGCTATTACAGAAGGCCTTTTCTAAGTTTTGTGATAGGATGATGAAATATTTGGATGTGGGTTGTTGGCTATTGAGTAGAAACATGCCGGATTTCAGCACCTCCACTGCCAGATTTTAGAATAAAGAAAAATACGAAGCTTTCCAATATTAGACTCGCCTACATATTGAAAAGTGATGTGATGTGCATTAACAATGGGACCGGTAGAACTTCCTACTTTCCCTCACGCCCTTGACTCTGTGGACTCGGTAGCATGGCTATCGAGGTCGAGCACCATGACCGCCGCCTCGGTACGCGGCTCCCGTCCCTCGCGGTAATCATCGAACCAATACCGATGCACAATCTCGAAGCCAGATTTCTCATAAGTTTTGCGAGCAGGAACGTTGTCGTAATCGACAATGAGTGATATACGTGCCCTGCTCCTTTCCTTTCCATGCGTTTTGGCGTCTATGGCGACGTGGTCCTTTGCGTACTCGAGGATCCGGGTGCCCAGGTTGTTCCCCCGGGCCGAGGGGATCACGAACATGCCGTTTAGGACGTATTGTCTCACTGGGAGGTGAGGTGTTGTTGGATGGGTTGGACCGAAGTCGACGAGGGAGGGGTCTAGGTGGAGGGATGTTGCGCGGGTTTCGGGGTCGAGGGGCCCGTTTATTGTTAGAGTGGCGAGCCATTTTGCGGTGAGTACGTTGGTTAATTGCGAGTCATCCTTATTGGGAGGTGGTGATGGGGCAGTGGTGATTGTTGTTGTTGTTGTTGTTGTGGTGAGTGCCGTGATGCTGTGAGGAGGTTGTGTCGCGTCTTGGTAGATGACGATTGTCGTTGCGCGAGGGTTCGAGAGGCGGGCTGTCCATGTTTCTGGGGGGTATGCGGCTTCGCGGGCGTGGGTTGAGCCGAAGGAGGAGGGGGCGAGGAGGAGGGCGTCGAGGCGGAAGGATTTGTAGCGTGAGGTTAGGGCTTGGAGTTTTTGGCGGTCGGGGTGGGATTTTGGGAGGGGGAAGGGGGGTGAGGGGGCCATTGTGAGGTTGGTGATGGCTGTGGGGATAGTGTGTTTGTTTTGTGGGACAGAGTGGTGGGAGTGAAGTGATTGAGGTGGTGATGATGGAGTTTGTAGTGTATTGTTGGAGGTTGTGAGTGACTCACTGGCAATCTCATGGGTGTCATTCCGTCTTACTGGCGACGGCCTCGGAGCCTTATTGGAGAGAATTACAGGCGACCGTACGTGGGTTTCCCAGGTCACTTGGGCCGCTATACAGTTCAACTGCCCAAGTATATTACTCAGTCTTGGAGACCACACTTTTATGACAGAATTCCATTGTATGAGGATTTTCGTACAAAAGTCACGAATCCAAGTGGCTAATTCATGACGGGCTCAATGCAATCCGTGAGTTCTCGCCGGACATGTCTCGTAGAGGCGGCTTGCCTCGGCCCAGTCCTCGTCCGAAATCCGGGGGCGGGGGGGGGGGGTTTCCCCCCTTGGCAGGTAATTCCGGGCCTGTCGCGTTGCGCATCGACGTCGCTGTTTACCAGCATGAACACATCTACTCGCTGAAATCCAGCACTTCCCACTTTGCAATCTTATTACTTCCGAGCGCAATTGATTTTGTCTGTTTATTGTCGACGAGTAGCCTGCTGCCCCTGAATGGCATCGGATAGTCGCGTCGCCCTCCTCCGCCTGTCCTGCCCGGCGGATCCCTCCTACCCATCAGCGGAGAGCATTCAACTGGGCCTAGCATCACTTGACCGTTTTTGAATAAAAGTTTGACGCATATTTTGTAGCATAAATGGCTTTCCGTGCACTCACGCGCTGTCGCGCTCTGCCAAGCGGCGCCGCTAGACGCGCAACATGGCAGCCGATTTTGTCGGGAACCAGGTCATCAAGACTCAACTCCTTCCAATCAGTTCACACGGCACCATCACCAACAAAGAAAAGGGGTAGATTTATCCCACTTCAGCTTCTCGTCCTTGGCGCGATACCGCTCTTTGCCGGGTACCTCATCGGCCGATCTGGTACCCCGGCCCCGGACGCTGGCGCTCAAGGAATGTTATCACACGTGGATTTCGCGAGCCGGAAGGATATGGTGAAGGTAACGTCAATCTACAAGACTATGTTTTTTGAAAGGGGGACATGGGCTGAAAGATTATCAAGGCGGCCAAAGATATTTCCGATGCTCTCGGTGAAGACGCGGTTAGCTTCGACGAGGATGAGATTGAGCTGCATGGACACTCTGACTGGTCCACGTCCAACTCGAGCGGTCGACCCGTGGCTATCGTCTACCCCCGGACGACGGAGGACGTCTCTCGGATAGCCAAGATTTGCAACAGGTACAATGTGCCCATGGGTCAGTTCCCCCTCCTGCAAGCTCCGAACCCCAGGGCCTTGCGACCGTGGAGTTACCATCACCATGGGAAGGAAGTAATTACTGACAAGTCCCAGTGCCGTTTGGCGCCGGCTCCTCCGTCGAGGGAAGCTTCTCATCGCCATATAGCGGTATCTGCATCGACTTTGTGCACATGGACAAGATTATCGCTTTCCACCCAGACGAGTACGTCTCCCCCCTCCTTCCCCCTCCCATCTAGTCTACCATGAAGACCAACAGTCCTAAACAACACCAATCCAGCATGGACGTCGTCGTCCAACCAGGCGTAAACTGGGTAACCCTTAACAAAACAATCGAATCCTCGGGCCTCTTCCTCCCGCTAGACCCCTCGCCAACCGCCCTGATCGGCGGCATGGTCTCCACCAACTGCAGCGGCACCAACGCCTTCCGCTACGGCACGATGAAGGACTGGGTCGTCAACCTGACGGTCGTCCTCGCCGACGGGCGCGTCATCAAGACCCGCCGCCGCCCGCGCAAGAACTCGGCCGGGTATAACCTGACGAGCCTCTTTGTGGGCGCCGAGGGCACGCTGGGGATCGTGACGGAGGCGACGGTGAAGCTGGCGGTCGTGCCGGCGGATACGGGCGTCGCTGTGGTGTCGTTTGGTACGATGGAGGAAGCGGCGAGGGCGGCGACGGGGCTGATTCGGAGTGGGGTGCCGCTGGGGGCGTTGGAGTTTTTGGATGAGGTGCAGATGCGGGTTATTAATCGGCATGGGAGCGAGGCTGTTAGGAAGACGGCGTGGGAGGAGAGTCCGACGTTGTTTTTGAAGTGAGTTTTTCTATTGAGAGTGGGTGTCCTGCGGAGGGACACATACACACGCAGAGAGAGAGACAGAAGGTGTGGGATTGGGTCTGGAGGCTTCAATGGCTAACTCATCTATTCTCTTCTGTATAGGTTCTCGGGGACCCCAGACGGCATCAAGGGAGATATTTCTCGGGTCAAGGACATTGTGCAGCCGTTCAAACCGCGCAAGCTATTCTTCGCCAGAGATAAGCAGGAAGAGGCGGATCTCTGGGCCGCGAGAAAAGAGGCTCTGTGGACGATGACGTCCATCATGCCCGAAGGCTATTCAATCTGGTCAACTGATGTGGCTGTACCAATTTCGAGGTTGGCCGAGATCATCAGTACGTTCTACCTTTTGTGGAATCTCGACACGTTGTTTCCTTCCAGTTGAAAGAAACGTTTGCTAATCAAAGCCGTCCTGTGTGGTTCTAGCATTGTCAAAGGAGGACTCTGGAAAGCTGGGCCTTTTTGCCAGCGTCATTGGCCATGTTGGAGACGGCAACTTTCACCAGGCTGTCATGTATGACCCGAAGAACGAGGAGCAACGGGCCTCAGTTGCCAAGTGTGTCCATGATATGATGGGCCGAGCTTTGGAGATGGAGGGTACTGTTTCGGTGAGTATTGTTTTTTTTTCTCTTATCAACTGGGTGGAAGATTTGATGACTGCATGCTGACTCTTCTTATAGGGAGAGCATGCCATTGGTATTGGAAAGAAGGATTGTCTTGTCGATGAGCTCGGCGTTGATGCTATTGACTTTATGAGGACGCTGAAGCAGGCTGTGGATCCAAAGTACGTTTACTGACATTTTGCGTATTGGCGATGGAGGAGACTGACTAATTTCCTAGATGGATCATGAATCCTGGAAAGGTTTTTGACCTTCCCAGCAACTCAAAAGCTGTTGCTGCGTCATGATGTCTGTGGTTTTTGTGTAGATAAAGTGCAACTAGGAACAAATCAGCACAGTCAGTGTGGGAATCAAGCAATCCATTTTCCCTTCCCCTTTCTCTCTCTTTTTTTCCTTTCTTTTCCGCTCTTTTTGGCCAAGATTTCTTGTTGTAGGAAACACACCACATTCCAACATGAAATTCCACAGCCTACTTCTCATGTTGTTGGACCGTTGGTCGCGCTTCATGAGCCACCGCCAAACAAGGAAAAACGGGTCTGGAACATGTAGCTGCATACAGAAACCCCCTTTGGCCTGCAAAACATTCGTTACAGTAGCAGGTTACATACAGCCAACGCAACGTGGGGGCCGTCACGACCCCCGCTCCACGTTGCTATTCTCGCCAGCTGGACCTCCCTCAGCCCCCTGCCATCGCCGTATGCCTACATGAGCAAAGCCTCCTTCTAGTAGCATTTCTCCTCAAGAAGCCCCTCTATCTACTTCCTGTCGAGCGGATGGGTTTCCCTGACCCGCTGGAGGATCTGGGTTGCGAAATCCCTGATTTGAGCGCATTTCCCCGGGGGGGGGGAGGGGGCAGCTCGGCTTGTGCAACAGCCCAGACGGCCAAAGAGCTCTTTTGGGACTTGCTTAGACGTTGTAAATCCTCCTTGACCTTCCTGCACGTCTGGACGACGTTGAGCCGGCCGTTGAGGATGGTGTAGAGGATTCCCCAGTCTATGGTGGCCTCGTGGATGGGTATGCTGCCGGATACGTCGCTTTCGGCGGTTTTGATGTCTTTTCCCGTGTATTACGGCATAGCTAATTGGTCAGTACTTTCAAAATAGGCAGCTCATCGTTTCTTCTTCGGCCGTTGACGCATCGGAGCGAAGCTTGGTGGTGGTGTTGAGAGGTTAAAAAAAGCATCGACCGAAAGCGGTGGGCGGTTGTGGGGGGGTTCGTTTGCTCCTCATGTTATCTTCCAATGCTGCCAACCCCCACGTCCCTGTACGGATGTCCAACACGATACCCATGCGACGAACCAGCCTGACTCGAGAAACTGTTGCCTGTCAGTAGTTTCAAGCCTGGTGTCTCTAAGTGGACATGCATGGCATAATTGATGTTGGAAAAAAAAAAAAAAAAAAAGGGCGCGTCGCAGGTGTCAACCCTGCCCATCACCACGCCAGGGTGAGTCAACTCTATCCAGAGCTTACATGTAGCTACCATGAGTCCTATTGCAATGAAAGTTCGTCTCCGTTTCTCGCAAGGCTGTGAGATCCCGGAGGATCCAGGATAGATCATGTCCCTGATTATGCAGTCATCACAGCACCAGCCCCCTGCATCCGGCCGAGACATCACGCAAGTCGGAGCCTGCTGCGCCGACCGGCCAACGGCATGGCTCAAACCAACAACCTTTACCGATTGGGAATCAGGCTCGCGGACTTCAATTAGGGAGATAATAGCCTTTGCAAATCAAAACCATCAAACTCCAAGATGTCAGAATGCTCATATTGCGCATCGTCCCCGCGACTTCACGGCTCGATTTGACTCTTCGGACTCGGCCCCATCTCAGCCTCTCCTCAGCAACTTGACAATGTTCCCGCAAATCAAATCATTTTTCTTTTGGTCTCTGACACTCAGCTTGACTGTTGCTGCAGGCCAACGTGAAACCCCAGTAGATCTCGTGGTGCGGAACAGCCCTGGCAGAACTGCTTCAGATACGCTGCTTGCCATCCGTCACTATCTCTCCAAAGCGAGGCTCTATGGAAGAGAGACCAAGTTCAGTAACAGCACTTCACTCAACACTGCATTCGACAATTCAGTGCTCTTCAAGTTGTAAGTGCTCCTCGCCCGTCCTTGATCAAGTATAAGAATTGCAACGCATTAACAGTCCTTTCCTAAAGTGAGCCAGAGGTTGAAGCCGGCAGCGGCAACGTCAAAGCCAACACTGGCATCGAAATTGTATGCACAAAGTGCTACATCAAGGGAAGAGCCAGCGCTCACCTCACCATCGACGGTACCCTCAATGCTACAAAGATTGTGACTGAGATCGGAAACGAGTTTGCCGAGACCTTTGATAACATTACGACGTACGCCAAAAACTATATCTCCGGCGTCGTGGACAACTTGTCCGATGGCTTGGATGCTGATGACTTTGACCTTCCCCCTCTCAATATCACGTTTGACCTTGACGTCCCTTCGTTCCCCGAAGCCAGCCTGGGATTCGGGTTTGAAGGCTTGGAAGTTTACATGCAGCTTGATACGACTCTGCCCGCTGGCTCATCCTACACGCTCAACCTTTACACGTCGACTACTCCGCTAGGATCAAAGATTGGGGACGACTTGCTTCTCGGCGTTGTCTTCTCCATTGACCTCATCTTGAGCGTCGAAAGCGAGGTTCAAATGAGCAGTGGCTTTCACCTCCGAATGGACGACGAAGTGGGCTTTGACATTGCTCTCTTCTCCAAGAATGTTTCCAGCGTTCATTTGTGAGTTGATTGACACCTCCAAGTCGCCCTCTGGGTTGCTGACTCTGAAACGCTAGCAAGGGCGGCCAATTCGAATTCCTCCCTGTCGTCATCGAGAGCGCCGGCGTGGAGCTCAAGGCGACCCTCCGCGCGGGTTTCAGCGCCGGCATTGAAATCTCCTCCCCCGTCGACAGCAAGGATTTTGAGCTCTTCGACTACATCATCAAGATCCCAGACATCTTGGCTGAGATCCCAACCGCCACGGCCGGGATCCAAGTCGGCGTCTTTGCCAACATTGCCGAGCTGAGCACAAATGTCACGGCCCTGTCGACGCCAGATGAGGACGGCTGCGTCTTTCGCGCCGTCAACGCGTACCAGTTCGCTCTGGGCGCCGAGGCCGGGGCTTCGGTGCAGATTGGCGACCGCATCTGGGGTGCGGTGCCGAACACACAGATCCCCCTCTTTTACACCACTCTCGAGGATGCTTGTGCCAGCACGCGAGTTGCCTCAACAACGGTGGCGAGCGGCGTTCCTGCCAGTGTGACGAGTAAGGCAAAGCGTGACGAGGAGCTCACCACCACGACGTTAAGTGAAAAGGTGACGTATACCGGCATAGAATGCTTGACAGTGGGCTTGGTCAACTGTCCGCCGCAGCTGCAGACTCTGAGAAAGTTTGTTGCCACGGAGACGTTCGTCACGGCCGTCGCTTCGGGGGTCGAAGCGACCTTTCCGACGGCCACGCGGGCTGTTGTGCAGAATGTCGTCGGTTTCGGATCGAATGCTCAGTCGTTGATCTCGACCAGTGGTGTTCCAAAGGAGTACACGCCGAGTCCTAGTGCATCTGCCACCAGTACCAGCTCTGCTGATGGACCCGATTGGGAGGTTAGCGGCGTCGTCGATAAAAGGGTGATTATCGGCGTCAGCGTCGGTGTGGTTGTGGTTGTGTTGGCTGGCATCATTGGTGCTTGCATGTAAGTCCCGGGCAGCCTCTAACTCGTGTTCAAATCATCCCCCAGACAAAGAGAAAAAGCTGACAAATTTGGCTTCTGCAGGTTTTGGCAACGGAAAAGAAAGTACACGCCCGTTTCAAGGACGAATGGGGGCATGTCGTATATCCAAGAGTGCCGTCCGTCAGAGGTTTACGACCCCATCCAGGATCAAAAGCGACCTGACGTAAATGTGTACGCGACATGATTATAGATGCATCAGCGGGTATTAATCACTACATGGAAGCTCAGTCTGGGAAATTCATTGATTTTGAAATATCAAACGAATGAGACCGGCCAAACGGATTGTGTTTCTGGCCTCAAATACGCAGGGTGGGAAGTTTTGAAATCTTCTCCCTTTGAAGACACATCTTGAACATGTGACACTTGTGTAGAGTTCATGTTGCTTTCAAAATCATCGGGGCTTGTTTGGCCTCGCCATCTTGCCCTTCACTAAGATTTTTACCTTAGAACCCCGAAACCTTTGATTGGGATCAGAGCTTGGAAGTAGTTCTGAGCGAGGCCAAGAAGTCCTCCACATCTTGCAGCAAGATCTCAGGCTGCTCCAGAGCCGCGAAATGTCCTCCCTATTGAAAGGTTAGCAATCTGCTTCATTTCCACTGTAATAGTCTGCATGTTCTAACCTTCTCATGCGAACGATAGAACTTCAGATTTGGAAAGGACTCTTCGGCCCATGCCTTTGGCAGGAAACTGATTTCGGCTGGGAAGCACGAGTATCCCAACGGCGTCTCCTTCGAGGTAGGGATCGATGTACCGCCATCTTCACTGGAATTGGCCTGCGCCAAAGGACGATACGGATAGATACTCCTGGGGAACGTGTCTGTGTACCAGTACAGGCTTACCAGCTCGAGAATGGTCTCCAGCTGCAGAGGGTAACGCGAATCCACCCACTCCAAGTACTTTTCGCCAATCCTGAAATCTCCTAGTTAGACCAAGAAGAACAAAATAAAATGGAAATGATGACTTACCAGGCTAATAACGATAATGGACTCGCTGACAGGACCAGCCCGATGGTAGCTGGTCGGAATCCATGCTCCATAGCATACGATATTCCAGTCGCTCGCCATTTCAACATCCGGCCAGCATGTTCGAGTTCTTTGCGTGTCAATCCATCGATACCACGAGCAGCGTCATCGGGGCTAGGCATCAACAGATTCACTGCATATTTGTCAACGAATTCGACTCTGCGGGATCATTTCGATGTCACTTACAGTGAATTGCCTTGCACTCGTCGTAGCTGGACATAAGTCTGGCCATGAAACTTCCCACGTCACCGCCTTGAGCAGCGTACCCGTTGCCAAACCCAAGATCAAGCATCAGTTGATGCAGAGTGCGCGCGACAGCACTTTGCTCAGTCTCTTTCTCCAGGGGAATAGAGCCAGAAGATAGCCCATAGCCAGGAAGCGACGGTATGATGACGTGGTACGGCAGGGTGTCTGGGGTGTACCTGCCCACAAGCAAGTCGATCATAGGGAAGAACTCGAGAAAAGAGCCGGGCCAGCCGTGCATGAAGATGACGGGCAGCGCATCCTTCTTGTTGGAGAACAAAGCGGCAAAGTGAACGTCCACGGATCCCAGGTCAGGGTCCTCGACTTTTGCTTTGAAGTTTGGGACGGAGTTGATACGGTCCTCCTGCTTGCGCCAGTCAAATTTCAACCAAGCCTCTTTGGCGGTGATGAGCCATTTGCGAGACACGCCGAAACGGCCGTCTTCCTGTTTGTTGTACCAGGTCTCCGGTCCAATCTTGGACAGCTTGAGCAGCTGCTGGAATTCGTCCAAGCTCTGATCCGGCACGTTGAGAGTGAACTTCTCCGGAGCCTTCAAAACTCCGCCAGGCAGGTTTCCGAATGCGTTGGCCATGTTGAAACAAAGTAGGGTACTGTGGTGATTTGTGTTCAGCTTCGGATAGCGACGAGACGAACGGGTCGAAGGTGTTTATAACCTTGAGATGACGGAGGCATCAAGCACATGAAAGAGACGGCATTGATGGCATCCCCGCACCGGAGTTGGGCAAAGACTGTGTAAGGTTTGGAAGCTTCGTTCCATCATCAGTGGAACGCTACCCCACGCGGCATGCAGTTGATCAGCACCTGTCCCGCTTGTGCATTGCCATCCTCCTCCTCCATTCGATCGTGCGTCCCGAATGCCGCGGAGTCGAGGTGGGGTCAAGGAAGCAAGACGGAGCGGACCGGTGGACGATGAGAGCGGAACTTGTTAGGATACCGAGCTCTAGCTGTCATAACAGGGACCTCTCTTGGGCCATGCAGGTGTCGGTGATAGAGTTTGCCTCTTCGTTGAGTTGTACGACCTAACAATGTCGTATGCGCGTGGAACCCCTCTCGGACAACAACAGGAGCCCGGTTTAGTAATCACCCATCTTGGAATTTCGGGTCCGAATACGACCATTCTTAAATCTGCTAGGAAGACCCGTTTGCTTTGGTTTTAAAGCAAAAGGCTTGGCATGACTGTGGGCAGAGACTCTACTGCCTGTCGCCAATCGTGTGGGGAGACGAACAATTAAGCTACATGCATGTTTTGACTACTTCGAGCAGATGACAAATATTTTGCAAGTCTAGATGCAAATTGCGTGACAAAAAGTTCAACTTCCGGCAAATTGCAAGCGAGGAATACGACTCGGGTACGTGCCAGAACAGCCACGATTGACTACCGCGATTGCTATCACTGTAGTCAGCTAAATCACTTTGACCTTTGCTCGTGGGGACAGTGGGCTAACATGCCACAATGACGACAACTTGTGGGAAGTGTTTCCCGATTGAGCCCGCCGAGAAGAATACTAGTACTGAGACACACTTAGCGGTCGTAATCGAGAGAAACAGACACCCTCTTCTATATCACAGATGTCTGGGATTGAATGTCTTGGAAGCCAGCCTTATAATGCGCTGTGTTTCATCACCTTAATTTTCATCTCCTGCTCGGATCTATCTCATTTGTTCATCTGACCAGTAAGCGTTGAGAAGGTTCATCCTTTGTTTTGAGCGAAAGTGAACTATTCGATTTCGAAGCCGGAAAAAAAGCCGCTCGCTCAAATTCTTGAACAAAATCTCTGCTTTCACGGACATATCAGAGCTCAATGTCTTGAGTGAATTGAGGGGTTCTTAGTTTGCCAAACCATCGCACGAATAAGGGAGTCATACGCGTTGTCAATGTCTGAACTATAACGTCGTCTTAGTATGAGACTCATTATAGCTTATGTAGGAGAAAGTAACACCTCCAGAATTCTCCTGTGCCATAAATATCTTGAGTCTACTCTCAAGGTCGCCGTACTGGAGGCCATTCGCTGATGTTAGTAAGGTTGTGCAAGTACAGTAGAATAGTTGAAACTATCATACGTATTGCAACACTGCCAACCAGGCTATGACGAAAGCATTGCATGAATTCATTGCGCAACCAGTAGTACTCAAGAGAAATTAAATCCAATGGTTGAAACAGGAATTTGAAAAGATGAACCTGGTTATAGCGTGAACAGTATCATGAGGTTCGTCCCGTAAGAAAGATGAAGTTCATAAATCATATTGTGAGTGGGTATCGATAGATGACCAAGACCTAGAGCTAACACCACAGGACTAGCACGCGGCAGTGCGGCATACGCATGCAGTACGACTTGGAATCCTCATGGGGTCGATTCCGCGCCGTTGCCGATCAACAGCAGGGGTCCCCCTATTCAACCTTTCTCAGGCTCTCGACTGAGCGGTCTCTGGAAAGATCTACAATACAGCCCGTCAAGAAGTGGGCAGCGGTGGAGTCACCATCAGCAAGGCTTCAGCTAGGCTTCAGCAAAATTTATACACAACCGCGTTAGGCATCCTTTTGAGCAGAGCCATGACTATATCCGCACCAAAGCCTGCGAAATCATAGGATTGTCAATAAGTTTCTTCCAACTTTGGCATCATACCCCACCGGAAGTCTGAAAAGAAAATGTCTTTCACAATTAGCTATTGCGAGGAAAACATTCCTTCAATGGGGGCATAGGAGTTCCAACTCCAGTTTTCATGCATCTGGACCAGGATACAATGAACGACCTCATCAATAGCTCAGTAACATGACATCAATTTTTTTGAGAATCTAGGATGCCTAGAAAACTGGACTTTGTGATCTTCTTGCGTAGATGCAGACTTGCAGTGCTGAACATAGGTATAAATTCCTTGAATCACAGCCACGGAAAGAAGAGGAATACCAACCGTCACTCTTTCTTCAATCCTCACAAGCAAAAGTACGATTCAATTAGCCCACAACGACGTCAACTTCACGCTTGAAGTTATCACTACAATCGAATACTGTCACATTCAAACTGCAAGTGAATCATGCATTCCTCCCTCCGCAAAGCCTTCTTTGGCATCTTGAGCATCTTAGCTTGTGCTTACGCCGAACATCTTCGAGTCGTCTGGTCGTCCGGCGCCTTTGGTGCAATTGGTGGCCCAGACGGATCCGGCACCAACGGCGGCTACACAGGTTTCGCCATCCTCAACGACGCCGGCGAGGCCGTCTACGACCAGTCCTATCCCAACGACCACTCTCCCTGTTACAACACTGGCGACGGCCGCACATTCACCATTGAAGGCGACTGCTGGGATACTGGGCGAGTCTTCCACTGCAAGTCGGACTTTGGTGGCGCACCCAAGACGTGCGAGGTCAAGGACAGCAACGGCAACGTTCTTGGCAGTGGCACGCAACAGAAGGATACCGACTTCATTGGTATTGCTATTGGCATCGACGCTTCCTGCGTGGTCGAGTTTGATTCTGATGGATCTGGGTGCCCTGTTGACGACGGTCATGGTCCCCTTCATGTCACTTCGGGCTAAGGGTTGGCGCCACTTGCAAAAGTGAGCTAATCCCAAATATGGATCGATGACGATATGTATGCTGCAGACGGAGAGCAATTGAATATACGAGAGGATGGGAGCCATCATTTTTTGATACAGATTGAAATAGCTCAAAGAGAACGAATTCAGTAAGGCTTTATCCTTGGAATTCCGTTCTTCTTCAAACAGATAATGCCTCCAGAGTAATAATGGGTCGCTTGTAGGCTTCAGCCCTCGACAGCAATCTTGGAGTAGCACAAGCTTTGGATGCCAAAGTAATTGGCGAATTCTACAGAGCTCTTGAGCTTTACCAGCAGCCTCGTCTTGAATTCACTTTTATCTTGAAGCCAAGAAATACGGTCACCATATGATGGCTAGGAGTAGGTTTGAAACTCTGTTGCATTCTTTATCAAAGTTGAGCAAGATATCGAGAGCAACCATCGATTTAATTGGCTTAATGGTAAAGAAGGATAGTCAGAGTGTTGTTAGGCTTGCCTTCATTGATTCTAGTTTCCCAACCCGCGGGACCCGAAGAGCCCTGCGGTTCTGGCAACGGCCGGCTCCAGGAAATAATGTGACAATGCTCCGTGATAAGATTAGTAGTCTCTGATATTAAATCTAGTCATGCAGTCGTTATTTTCAGCGGTGAGACCTGGAGGAAGCGGGGGGTGCGGGGTGGACAGGCACCTCGGTAGGCCGCGGACGGGATGAAACAAGGTTTCTGTGTCGCTCATCCGGTCTTCCCATATTTCCCGTCCGGGTTCTGTAGGCGTCATGGCATCAGCTATATAAAACGCCCAACACGGTTATTTGAAGCGAAGCCTTAGGTCATACATAAAGCCCTTTACCACAAAAAACGCAAGAAGAACCAGACAACTCAACATTACATCGGACCAATGTCACGCTTCGAAATCAACGACGAAGACCTCGCTGGTCTAAAAGACAAGGTTGTCTTAGTTACAGGTATGTTTACTTCACGGCTGCCTTTTTCTGTTAGCTTTAGCTGCACTCAAATATATTGCAGTGAGATTGAAGATGAAGTTATCATGAAAGAGACGTACTTTTCCAATCATGATATGTGCTGACTAGACCTTCATCAGGCGGCTCCTCGGGCATCGGCCTCGGAACAGTCAACCTCCTCCTCTCTCTAGGCGCCCGAGTTACAAATGTCGACCTCAGTCTACCAGCACCATTGCACTCCGGCGATCCCTCTCCGATAGACCCTCATCTAACATTTGAGCCATGCAATGTTTGCGACTGGGAAGCTCTTCGTGATGTTTTTGCTCGCACTGTCAAGCGGGAAGGTCGGATTGATGCTGTCTTTGCAAATGCCGGTAACTATGCCCATCCGTCGAGGTCTTTTTACTCCGTGGTGAAGCTATCTTTGTCTTTGGTGTAGCCATTCAATTCAGCTCGCGTCTGTTATAGGCTGGTCAGAGCCTTGACTAGACTTGGGCGGAGTGAAACAAAGAAGGAGTTTCGCATACAGGATCGAGAGCTAATGGCAGTGTTTACAGGGGTTGGCGCCCGGACCCGGTTTATCGACGATGAGTTTGATCCTGTTGACGGCCAACTGAAAGGGCCGAATATGAGTTGCGTCGAAACAAATCTGTACAGCGTCATCTCTACCGTCAAACTCGCTGTTCACCACATGCGCACCCAGGAAACCGGAGGCAGCATCGTCCTAACTGCGTCCGTGAGCTCTTGGTTAAGATTCGCAGCTGTTGATTACAGTACGTACCCTGAAGATCTCCCCTTCATACTTGCCTACGGACGATACTTGCGATGACATTGTCGCGTTGTCTCTATCCCGGTTGTCTCGCGTATTTCATGAAGCAACCATGATGTTTACTCATGGATGAAATTGAATTACCGTAGCTAATTCGGTCCGTTACACCAGCAACATCTAAACACGCTGTCCTTGGTCTCATGCGCAGCCTGATACCGCATCTGAGCGCCCTGCCTGTTCCTATTCGAATTAACTCCCTTGCGCCAAGTTGGACCAAAACCGGCATTGTCACGGAGAAGATGGCAACTCTGACGGGACTCGCTCTGAATACACCCGATCATGTGGCTCGATCGGCTGTTATACTCATGAACGATAGCAACAGGAATGGAGAGATGATTTTCATCGATGGCGGGAAATACTGGGAGATTGAAGAGTCTCTGGGTGGAGCTGGCGTTGGCAGCTTTATCGGCCCAACCCTGCCTGCGGGCAGTGATCAAGGGACCGACTGGGATCGGTATTTGGAATATTCGAGAAGGATGAATATGGCTCTGAAGTAACCGGCAAAATGCTTCTGTCGAGGGGACGAAACGTAATTATTCCATTCAAGGCATCATCAAGTTTAGCATTCAAAAACTGGTTTTAATCTACCCACACCTTCGCAAATGACCACCGGTGCAAACCTGTATTTTCCTTCCTATTCTGTCTATAACATGTAATCTGAAATTAAATAATGCTTCTCAAAGCCTTGGCGTTCGCCACCGTTTCAAATTGAATAAAATCGGCCCAGAGAGTCAAAGCAGACTATTGGAGGTGGTTTAATATTGGCGTGCAAAAATACTGTCTCCGTCTTCCGCTGCCGATAGCGTCTTCTCCGACAACGCAAACAGGGCTGCCTGCTACTCACTGTACAGATTGATTCTGACCAACCATGATACGTTAATAAGTTCAGGATTATTCCTGGCTTCAAGTACATGTACCTTAATGAAATTTCCTTGATGAATGTCCCTGGACTACGTGCAGTGACCTGACGTATTCGTGATCAGCTGTAATACTGTCTGTCACATTGATCAGTCTGCCAGAACTGCAAAAATAGCGGCTTACGCTGTCGAAGTCTCTTCCAAGTCCATCATGTACCTTCATGTTAGTATGAGGTACAGTTAATAGTATGTTCTTCCTCAACCAAAAAACATCAGAGATGCAAAGACATTAATGCAGAACCTTCCAGTAGTCAAGTCGAGAAGGCCGAGGCAGGCTCTCTTGTCACAAGTTCACAACCTCAACGGTTTCATCTCCGTTTTTTCACCTCAACTTTTGAACCGCTATTACCTAATTGCTTCCTGCTTTTGTTGAAACAGGCTGAGATGTTCTTGTTTTGTGCCTTATACAAGAGCTTCTTGTGTACGTGTGTGGTCTCGGCTTACGCTACGCGTCCTGCGTGAGTCTTATTTATTCCACGTGATTTCATAGAAGTACTTCAACAAATTTAATGGCCATGAGAAGAGCCGCTCAAATATGCTTGGCCTCAGTGATTCGAACAGCTAAAATTCAGGCATGAAAGCTTAAGCGCGGCACTTTTAGGATAGGCATCACCTAGGTAGACATCATACTGACTTTCGGCAAATCATAGAACCACGGTTGCTCTGATACGACGTCAAGGCCTGTCTGCTATCGGCATCAATCTGCTCAGATCTTGGTTGATATCGCGTCCTGGTGGCTAGCCTGACGACGGCCGCTGAGGCAGGACTGAGGGAGATGCATTTGAAATAAGGCTGTTAGGTCTATTGGTCTAATGACAACATATACTCCTTCCTGCATGTAGTTGCCCAGGATCTCAAAGTTGTATAGCCAACGCTATCCAAGGTAGCGAGCTACGCAACCCAGACCCAATCACATCTACTCTTCGTCGGAAATCGGTTCACCAGGCCAGAAGAACCACGACAAGACGATGAGAAACTTCAAGAAAGCCGCCGTCCACAGAGCACCGGCAATCCCTAGGGGACTGTGCGCAAAAAGACCGCCACAGATGGCACCAACAAGAAGCAAGACGGGCGCGCCGACCCTGCGATTCCGCTCGGCGTTGCGGACGCTAAAGAGCTCGGCGTCAGAGAAGAGGTCGCAGTAGATGCTCGTCAGCACGACGCTGGTGAGCGCGTTGTACTTGAGGGCGCGGCTCGTGACGGCCTGGCCGCAGCTCTGGAAGGCGATGAGGGCGATGGGCACCAGCACGTTCCAGGCGATCTCGTCCTTGCCGGCCGCGGGGCCGACGGTCAGGATGACGGCGGCGGCGACGCAGAGGAGCGTCTGGGCGATGAAGGACGCGCAGAGGACCCAGCGCTTCTTGGGGGAGAAGAAGCGGTGGAAGCGGCTGAAGAAGAAGGAGCCGAGGCAGAATGAGATGAGCGAGGTGGCGGACTTGATCCAGCGGGTGGATTCGGTAGGCGCGGCGAGGCCGAGGCCGATGTAGACTGTGTTTCCTGTATTTTTTTTTGTCAGTATGTGAAAGGGTTTGCGAACCTTTGGGCAGTTGTTAATTACCTGTCTGCATTGATACGAAGGAGCCCCAGATGGAGATGGAAGAGCTGTCGAGCAGGCCGGTGATGATGTAGCACGCTAGGAGAATCAGATCGGCCCAGTCGCGTTGCACGTCGGTGGTGAGCTTCTTCCGCAGGGACGTGGAAGCAGGTTTCCTGGCACCGCCGCCGCCGCCGAGGAGAGACTGCTCTTCATCGGCGTGAGTGTGTGAGTCGCCGTTCACGACCGGCACCGAGTTGGTGACGGAACCGTAGTTGCCTCCCGTTGCACTCATCTTGTACGGAGTTGTGGGCGTGTTGAGTGGGTTTTGTGCTTCTCTGATCGCGACACAGACGTGAGATTGGGGAATGATGGCCTCAGCTTGACCTGCAATAGGATACCCCTCAAAGAGACTGGAAGCTCTGACCAGGTGATATTGGTTGATGGGAAACTATGCCGATATAAATAACCCTACTCTTTAGTTGATGCCAAAGATGTGGGAATAGACAGCCTGTGGGCGGATGCTGACGCGCAAAGCTTAACTTTGCAAAAGACTGAAGAAAGCCTGAGAGCACTTCGGATCTGCCGCGGTCCACCCGCCAAAAGTTTCCCAGGTTTCCAGCCTGGTTTATATGGGCCGAGGGGCGGAAAGCGATGCCGAAGAATGCCAAGAGCGATCTATCCCCGCTCGTGAGTCTCTCGGCGACGGTGCTAACGGAATGGGCAAGATGCCATTCGACAGGCCGGGTATTATCTGCGACTTTCGGGCCTTTGGGGGGCGCGTGAGAAGCGAGCAGAGAGAGTGAGGGGAGGAAACGCAAGCACGACAACAACCCCCTCGAGACCTTGAGCTAAGCTCAGTCAGAGAAGGGATGTACAGAGAGTCACTGCAGTGAAACCGGGGTCTGGTAACGCCTGGCCGCAGACCAGCTTCTTCATCAGGATCTCCGACATATGCCCCGTCCAATTGATGGGCGTAGAGGTTGCATTGGAGTTGAGCTCAAGCCGCAGGAACCTGCGTCATGGCCTGCTGCAGACTCCCGCCAACGTCGCAGCAAAAGATGATGTGGACAGAAGCTTCAGCACCCTCCAAAAGGGCGACGAGCTTAAACGCCAGCGTCCAGTCACTAGCCTTAATAAAATCGTGGACCCTCCTCTCGCCCCTAGCCCTTGTCCACCGCATCGTTCCTCTAGGGGAATGGCGCGCCAGCTATCATCACTGGGGAGGCATGCTGACCAGTTCATCCCCGCATGGGCGAGATGGGCCGCGCCCTGCGCCCTGCCGCGTTTCAACCAGTGAGGGGGAGCTCTTGTTGAATACTGCATGCAAGGTGGCATGCAGCAGCTCTTGAAGCTGCTTATTTAGGTACCTTGCTATTGTTGCTACAGCTGCGGGGGAGGGGAGCTTGGGTTCTCGGGGGTTCGGCATGTGCGTCGACGGATTGGTGGGTGTGGCAGTCGTGGGATCTTTGGTGCGTGTGTTCGGTTCGACCTGCAGCGATGGGCGGGTGAGGTGATGCGCCGATGACTACGAGGATGAATGGTTCCCTTTGTAAGCTCCCCGTGTTTACGCAGTACAACTTGATTGCGACATTGGCGAGGCCGACGGAGAGGCCAAGGCATTGATTGGCATTGGCATGGTTAAGTCGGATGATGAGGTCAAGAAAGGGGGTATAAAATAGCCTCTTCTTCCCAGCGTCACGATCGATTTACCCATTTTCCTTGAAGATTTTCTTACTTCACGTCTTATTCTTAGCTCTTGGAGAAAGACATAGCCAATCTTAAAGCCAATTGATACCCATTACCTTTCTCTGCTTCTGGCTATTCGAGCTATCCTGTTGGCACCTCACATGCCCTGGTGCGTCGCAACATCCCCATCACAACAATCACGCCTGGCCCAGCATGCAGCTCACCCAACCCACGGCAGCCAAGCTGCTCCTCCTCTGGGCATCGGCCAGCGAGCTATGCACCGCGGCACCGCACTTGGACAGCCCCCGCGAGCGCCTCCTCCGGGGCATGGACATTCCCGCGAGCTACAAGAAGAAGAGCAGCGGCAACCCGTACATTCCGGGCTTCAGGGATCCCAACGACGGGGCCGTCGACTCGGTCGGAGACGGCCTCGACCCGCTCCCCTACCGCAACGGGCTCGGCGCCTCGGTGCTGGGTCCCTGGAACAGCGAGCGCTCGCGCCAGAACCCGGATCTGGTGCGCCCGCCTTCGACGGACAAGGGAAACATGCCCAACATGCGATGGAGTTTCGCGGATTCGCATATTCGGATTGAGGTGAGTGGTGGGTGTTTGTGGCGCCAGTTGAGCTGGCAGACTTAGCGCTGGAGCAACGCAAAATCGGTCCCCAGACTAACACCAAGTGCCAAATGACAGGAAGGCGGATGGACCCGACAGACGACTGTCCGCGAGCTGTCCACCAGTGTCGAGCTCGCCGGCGTGAACATGCGACTTGGCGAGGGCGTCATCCGCGAGCTTCACTGGCACAAGGAGGCCGAATGGGCGTACGTTTTGGATGGCGAGGTCCGCGTGACGGCGCTCGACTACGAGGGCGGCAACTTTATCGACGACCTCAAGAAGGGCGGTAAGCATATGCATACATCCACTGGCAATGTCTCTCAACGTTGACTACGCGAACACGGGCGATGAAGAAGGCTGACAGACTTGGCATTCAGACTTGTGGTATTTCCCATCAGGCGTGCCTCACTCGCTGCAGGGATTGAGTCCCAATGGCACCGAGTTCCTCCTCATCTTTGATGATGGCCGGTTCTCTGAGGAATCCACCTTTATCCTGTCCGACTGGCTTGGTGAGCATCCTCCGTAGCATCCAAACGTACTCTTTATGACTACTACTAATGCCCATCTCCTCTCCACAGCCCATACCCCAAAGTCAGTCATTGCCGAAAACTTCCACCTCGAACCCGAAGTCTTCAAGCATCTCCCCGAGGGCGAGAAATACATCTTCCAAGGCACGCTCCCGGGCCCCATTGACGAGGAACGGCCCAAGGGCAAGCATGCCAAGAAATCCCGCTTCAACTTCACCCACAGGATGCTCGACCAGGAGCCCGAGCAGACGTCGGGCGGCGAGGTCCGCATCACCGACTCCAAAAACTTTCCCATTTCCAAGACTGTAAGAAGCCGCCCTTCGCACTCACCCTTCCCCCTCCCCAACCCCCCAGATGTGCGAAACTGACAATGTGCCCTATTTCACAGGTGGCTGCGGCCCACCTCACGATCCAGCCGGGCGCCCTGCGCGAGATGCACTGGCACCCCAACGCCGACGAGTGGTCGTTCTTCATCAGGGGCCGGGCCCGGATCACCATCTTTGCGGCCGAGGGCACCGCTCGCACGTTTGATTACGTGCCCGGAGATGTCGGGATCGTGCCCAAGAATATGGGCCACTTTGTGGAGAATATCGGCGACGAGCCTATTGAGATGCTGGAGATTTTCAGGGCTGATGAGTTTCGCGATTTCTCCCTCTTCCAGTGGATGGGTGAAACACCCAAGAAGCTCGTTATTGATCATTTGTTCAAGGACGATAAGGAGAATGGTGAAAAGTTCTGGAATGAGATCAAGGAAGCGAAGAAGGATCCCATTACGAAGTTCCAAAAGGATCGTCGTTCCTCCAAAGCGCAGAGAGTGGAGGAGCTGTGAGACGGCAAGTGTACGTTGTCAGACATGAAGCAGTATAAGAGAGTAAAAGTACAGCATCAACATTTTCGAGATAAAAACTTGGGTGTATATTATCTACCTCATTTTTAACGACTGGGAAACATAGCAACGCACTGTACAACACGTGCTCCCTACGAAGGGCATTCAAACCGATCACGGGGAATCACAACGCTTTTGCTGCAGCCAATTCCCTGCCATGATTAATTCAACTCGTGGGCAGACTTGATGGCTTTCGACTTTCCAGTGTCCAACACCACGGCAGGGTCCTCGGGGTTCCCCTCGCGAGACACCTCATTCCCGCGCTTCGTCGTGATAGTCGTCCTATGTAGCAAGCATCGCGTCAGTTCCTTCTTCTCACAATGAAAGCAACACCTCCCCCATTCAACTTACTTTTCACCCTTCACGTCCAGGACTTTACCCTCGGGCTGTCCGTTACCCCAGTTCCAGCTAACGGTGTCGCCCTTCTTGGGCCCCTTTTTGGGCTTGCCGCCGCCATTCTCCTTGTCGTCCCCTTCCTCGTCATCGTCCTCCATTTCCTCGTCGCCGTCCACCCCATTCTCCTCGGCCGCTTCTTCCTGTTCATCATCACCGTTCTCGTCTGACTTTCCGGTAGACTTCCCCTCGCCTTGGCGTGTCTGCCGCTTCTTGCTGGATCCATTCTCCTCGCTGGCGTTCTTGCGCTTGTCCCCCGCCTTCTCCTCGGTCTCGTCCTCGGCCTCCTCCTCCTCCTTGTCATCTTCGACCTCTTCCTCGCCCTTCTTGGATCCGTTCTGCTTCTTGGACCCGTTCGACTCAGCCTTGCCCTCATTGCCATTCTCCGTCTTGGAAGACTTTCCGTTCGACTTTGTCGCACCGTTCTCCTTGCCCTGGGCCTTGAGGAAGTCGTGTCCCCAGTTCTTCAACGAAGCATACGACTTGGTCTTCTTGACCTCCTCGGGAGACTTGTCGCTGTTCGACTTGGACTCTTGCGCCAAATGCCGCTTGCTGTTCATGTCATTCGTTAGCCCCCTCTTGACCGCCTCATGGTCCATCCCGTTTCACCGCGAAAGTAGCTCACCAGTACGCCACCACCTTGCGCATATGCTCGACCTGCTCGTCCGTGTACTTGTCCTCCTTCTTGTCGGGGTTCGCCTGGAGAATCTCGACAATTTTGCGCCCGCTGTCGTGTCCGACCGACTCGCCCCCGCCCTCGGCGTCGTCCTTGGGCCAGCCTGCGCTGTTGGAGTCGTCCGACTTGAGCCAGGACTCGAGGTCCTCGGCCGTCATGTTGACGTACTCGTTGAATTCGGAGATGACCTCTTCCGTGCCCTTGACCATTGTGGCGGTTGGTAGTGTACTTGATTGAGAGTATTTGATTCAAGGTAGGGATGAAGGCTGTTTTACAGAGTTTCGTAGAATAATGATGATCGATTTCACGTAACTTTAATAACAGGAATCGATCGAGGGCAAAGAACTCGCTCGCAAGCAGGACCCAAGAGCTATTTGAATCAAACCCAATTGAGTTACCTCATCCTTCATCATCCTCGCCCAGCTCCTCCGCTCTCAGTTCCAAGCTCAGGCCCAGCCTTTTTTTTCTTTTTCCTTTTTTTGCCCTTTCCTCTCCGCAATTACAGGGTGCCCACAGATGCGTTCACACAAACACAGACCGCACGCGGCCACATTCGTCATGATGTCTCGGGCTGAGGGTGGTGTCGTCATAGAAACCCCTTGCATAAGTGGCACAACTTGAGCCGTGGGCCAGGCCCGACTGTCGCACTGGTGCAAATACAACCCAAAGATGGGAAAAGAGAATGAAGCTTACTGGCATGGTGTCGGAGCTACAGCTCCAAGCTCCAAAGTTTAAAAGCCGAGCTGAGCTGGGCTCAGCTGAGATGAGCTAAGTTGAGCTCCGGGGATTTCGTATTGCATCTATAGCCATTGACCAATGATTTGGCACACCTCCGTACTGAGGTTTGGCTTGCTTCAACATGGAGGTCTGAGCCCTGGCCACCTCTCCCGCTTGCGAATGTCATCGGTTACGACACTGACACTGACATCCGTCGTTTCGGCATTCTTAGTGTCTGTTTTTGTATGTACATGTAGACAAGTACTATGTCATGGCCCCTAAGACCGCACTTGGACGCTCGAGGGCCTCAGTCACCTCTCAATTCTTCCGCTCCAGGCAAAGCTCCAGGCACGGATTCTTCGCGATCCCCAGATGCAGCTAATGGCCCATTCCCCATGTCTCAAGTGAACTGGCAACCGGTCTGATCCGTCTTGACAACGTCCTCGAGGTTCGAGCCGAGCTGGCCTGCGCGTGCGATCCATGCCTGCGAGAGAGTATACAGCGTTAGCTTGCATGCGCTTACTCAGTTGCATCCAGTTGCGACGCTTGTGGAAGGGTTTCTTTTCCCTTCTGCCTGTGGAAGAGAGAGAGAGCGAGACTCACGTTTAGAACCGCATCTTCCGGATTCCGCCGGCGACTGAGCACAAATAGCGTCGTAAAGTTGCTGGCTTGCACGAGCGCAAAGTCTGGGGTGTAGTCTGCAGTGGGTAAACCCCGCGAATGTCAGCCACGCAGCGCCCAATTCCAAGGGGGCGTTTCCAGAGCCGCCTCCGTTTACAATCCTCTCGCCCTCCCTCATGGGTGTGTGCTCACCCTGAACAATGTAATTGGGACCGGCGCAGTCGGGCCCGGGCTGGCCGGGGAACTGGACGCGAAGAACACCCTTGGCCCCGTACGACGGTTCGGCCGGCGCGGCGGTGCCCAGGATGTTGATGGCGCGGCCCCCGGCCTCGCAGGTGTTGTTCACCTTGACGGTGCCATTGTCCTGAGTGTCACCAACCATCATTAGCCGGTCAGTCCTGAGGTGAGGGGAGTGGGGTAAGGCATCCAGGATAAGAGAGGGAGCGCGCACGTTCAAGGAGTATTGTGCAAAGATGCACTTGCAGCCGGCAGTGAAGGGCGCAACGGTGCCGGCGACCTGGTACCAACGGCCGAGGTAGGACTCGAGGTCAAAGGCGGCGTCGGGCGTGGGGTAGAAGCATTGTCCGTCCCAGGTGGACTGGACGACGTTGGGGATGCTCGGCGAGGTCGAGGTGTCGTTGGTGACGGCGACGGCGGATGCGACGGACGCGCAGGAGAGGATGGTGGAGAGAGTAGATGGTCTCATCATGATGGCTTCCTCGGAGAAAGATGTTTACTAACTAGAGACAAGTCTAATAACTTTGCCCGTCGCAAAAAAATGTCTAGTACCTATCGTAATTGGTCACAGAGACAGGGTGATGCCATCACGAGTTCATCCCATTGTGCAGCCGCCATCCCTTTTATCCAACTCGTTTTCCATCGTGGAGTCACCCCAGAATAATGGCAATGGGTTTTCTCGTATGACGATGAGCGCGCCAATGCTTCGCTCGCAGAAATGAGTTGTCCGAGGTCCGAATCCAGTCTGTCAAAGCCGCCTCAATGCCCCTGTAGATATTCGAATTGTTTACTAGAACATGGAGAGCACAGCGACTTGCTCCAGCTGAGCAGCACAGAGTGGTGACGACACTGATGCCTCTTTGGGCTATGAATTCGTTCTTCGCCAAGTCGGCTGGCTGCGCGGCCCTGCAACGATGTGGTTCCTGTGGACTCTCATGGTAGAGCTTCTCCCCTCATCACTTCCTCGGCACTCGGATTCCATTCCTGTGCCAAAAGTGGGCTTCAAAAGCCTGGGGCACGCCTCGCCGATCGTCAGGGCCTGGATGGCATGGTGCCGTTTTCTCCGCGATTTGGCGCCGCTGATCGGCGATTCTGGAATTGGATGGGCAGGTGTTTTTGGACTGGAGATCCTGAGTAATTCAATGTGTTTTCTCATAGTCCTCGGGATTGCAAGCTTTGGACCACTTGGAGAAGTTGATGGGAGGATGAGAAGCCAGCCCGGACTGGCCAACTGCGGGCTCGGAACTGATGGGTCTTACTCTGGTGAAAGGGTGAGTGAAACGGAATAGAACGACCATGTCGGCGAATAAAGCTTCTTGCATTCGTGAAATTATATGACATGTACATAAGTCTTGGAATAGTTGAGCTTACTGCTTAAACCTTCGTTAGGCTACTAGGTGTCACAACTGATTCCAGTACCATACTGTCGCAAATAGGACAGCAGACCGTAGGCTAAGCATCATTGAGTTGATTTCCCTTGTATTATTTCCCCCATATATGAAATTCATGTGTTCATTCTTAAGTTTAGACAATGTCCTTGCTCTGCACAATGGTACCAAAGCCATCGGCAATCTCACTCAAAACAACCTTGACGAGCTGCGCCGCATCAACGCCAGGGATATCACGGTCGCCGACCGCATCCTCGGCCACCAGCAACTCAAACCCAAGCTGTGAAGCTTGTCTAGAGGTAGTAGACACACAAATATGAGCCTGTTCCATGGCGTATTAGCAACCGCACAACGTCTCCTCGCAAGCCTCTGCCAACGAGCTGTACACTGAACAAGAAAAAAAAGGTCTCTTACCATGTACCCAGTCAACACAATCTTCTTTCCGCGGTCCCCCAACCCCTCGAGATGCGCCTGCAAGTCCGTCCCCGCAAACGCACCCGGGTGCTGTTTCCTCACAACCTTTTCGCCCTCCTTGGGCGTGAGCTCGGCGAATTCCTCGGCGAGCTTGGTCCCGGGCGTGAAGATGGGGGCGCCTTGCGGCGTGTCGTGGACGACGTGGACAATGTTGCCGCCCTGATTGGCGTCGCGGTACTTTTGCAGCAGGGCGGCGATGGCCTTGCGCGACGAGGCGACGTCCCGGACGGTGAGCTTTCCCTCGGCGTATTCGTTCTGGGCGTCGATGATGATGAGGGTGCTGTCGGTGGGCGAGGCGGTCGAGGGCGGGACGCCGATGATTTGGCGGAAGGATGTTGCTGAGGCCATTGTTGAGGTGAGTTGAAGTGACAGAATGGTAGTTCTGGAAATAGCTTTACTCTGGGGAATACACGAGAGTGACGAGAGAGCAGAGAGAGGAGAGTGAGGAGAGTGAGAAGAGACCAGACGGTTTCACTTTATAGAAATTTTTCACGTCGACTTGGTCACTGCAGCTTCTTCTAATGACATGTAGGAGCCGAAGGGCGTCGTGTTTTTTCTCCGCAATTTGTCATTGGAGTCGCCCGCAATTTGTCATCGATCGCATCATCGAGCTTTTAATAGCCGTAGTTCGACGTAACGTTAGGGTTTTGGAGGGGGAAAAAGGGCACTGCGCGATGATCCTTCAAGCTTCGCCCACGGTGATGTCTTCGTTATTGACCCACGACGAAATTATCACCGGTTGGCGAGACGACATAGATCATCCTTACTATCACGTCGGACAGGAAACACCGTGGCCATCACAGGATTCCTTATATTGTGGCTCTTTGACAATAATATTACCAGCATCAATTTGTAATTCCCATTTGCTGTAGCAATTTACCTCCACTTGTTATCCCACCCAGCCTGCTCAATAGCAAAAGCAATAGCCAGCTCAGAGAACCTCGCCATGTGGTCAATCGAAAACACGCCCGTCTCGTCGTCCACGTCCATGGTATCCTTGTCCGTGTGCACGTACGGATCAAACTCGCCAGGGAACCCGCCCGCGACGGGATTGCCCTCAGACGCAAAGGTGGCAGGAAACCCGAGTTTGGTGTAGGACATGTAATCCGACCCGGCGCCCGGCATGAGCTCGTACACGCTCGTCGTGATGTTGATGTACTCCTCGCTCAGGTCCACCGCCCAGCTCGTCAACGGCGCGTCCGCGTCCGTCTTGATGAAGCCGATGGACTCGGTGGCGTTGCGCGCGACAAAGGCCGTCATGTCGAACTCCATCATGGCGCCAATGGTTGCGCCCTCCTTCTTCTTGTAGGCCGCCACGGCCTGGCTGCCCAGCAAGCCGCCCTCTTCGGCCGCGTACCAGTGGAACTCGACGGGGCCTTCCTGGGGCACGAAGCCGCTCGTCGCGAGCACGCGGAAGGCCTCGAGGATGCTCACGGTGCCGGAGCAGTCGTCGTCGGCGCCGGGGGCGGGAAGCAGGGGGAAGAGGTAATTGGCCGAGTCCTGGTGGGCGCCGATGATGGTCAGGGGTTTGGAGAAGTCGCGGACTTTGGGCTCGAAGCGGGCGATGATGGAGGACTGGGGGAACTCGTGGGTGAAGTATTCGAGCGAGATGTGGGTGTGGAAGGGCGACTGGGCGATGATGGAGGCGACGTGGTCGTGCAGCCAGACGGAGCTCTCCTCGCCGGTCACGCCGCCGTAGTATCTGTTGTAGTAGCTCGTCAAGTGCTTGAGGACGTCGTGCATGTTGGTCTGGTTGACCTTGGGGAAGAGGGGCTTGATGAGCCTTTGGTGGGAGATCTTGGGGAGGTCTGCGGTTGCAACAGTGTCAGCTACTTGGGTTCCACGAGCCGGGGCGCAGTCCCCATCATGGGGTAACAAGAAGCGGACTTACTGGCTTTTCCTGCAAAGCCATTGACGTGGTCGGCGTAGAGCTCCTGGTAATCCGTGATATCGCGGAACTTGCGGCCTTTGCGCCGCAGACGAAGCTTATCGCCCTCGGTCATCCACTCCGCCATCTTCTCGCCCGAGACGTGGATGAGTCTGGGCTGTGCCATCGTGTCCGCCAACTCGGGCTGGAGGGAGACCAGGGCGTCGACCGGATCGGCGTGTTTTTGGAGCGCCACGGCAATTGCGTCTTTGCTCTTCATCTCGAGCACCGGGGCCTTCCCCCAGTTGGCGGTGGCATCATCTCTTGTCAGTTCCGCGGCGGGAGAGAGCACTCGCTGGTCGTCGGGGGAAGAACTCAGCACGAGCTGGGACGAGCCCAGCAGGAGGAGCAGTTTGGCTGATAGGGAGTAGCGCATGACGGGCGGTGTTACGATAGGCAGTGCCGGTGGATGGATGAAAGGGGCTCCTTGGGGTAAAGAAGAAGGGGACAAGCTTTGATTTATGGGAGCGATGAGCAGTCTTCAGCGAGTAACCGAGATCGGAAGGTCGTCAACGGCCGCAATGATGCAATCGTACGGCACGGAGATCCGTCAGAAGGTCAGAGTCAGAGATAGCAGGGATCTGTCGCAAAAGTCCCCTACCAAAGTCCCCAAAGTCCAAAGTCCCAGCCCTTTCAAGGGTTCAAGGGTCACAGCTCCAAGTCAAGGTTTCTGTAGCAACACGACGAGAGTCTATCCAGTGGGTATTTGTGAGAAGAGCTCCAGAAGATAGCTGTCATTCTTCGTTTTGGCGAGTCTTTCAGAATTGACTCAAGGGACCATTGCTATGTCCAAGGATAAAGGCATTGAAGATACCGTTCACTTGCAGCAGTGAACTGCAGATAATCTTCGAATGGCACGAATGTTGTTGGTTACTTGGACGAAATTGCGTCAACTGTAGTAATCCGTGGGCGAACTCGACGCCGGTGTTCTGGCGTTACACTGTGCTCTCAACACGAGGATCCAAGTCGATTGTCTTGGATTTTGTTTTGAAAAGGCAAAGATATTTAGGACTCTGGTCCAAAAATACAAGTATCCAAGAGTAGCAATCTCTATCGACCCAAACGAGTTGACTACAGTCCAAACTGCGTCAACAGAGCCCTGGGCGGCCACGCCTCCCTCATCCCCGGAGCAAGACCGCTCTCAAACCTATAAGTCCCAGACCCAATCGTCTTCTCCTCCCCGCCATCCGGCAAGGAGACCACCGCAGTCGAATTCAACGGCACCGTCACCTCCAACACAAACCTATCGTCCGACCCGATCGCCCACCGACTCTGCACCATCCCGTGCGGGCCAAGGTACTCCACCGAAGCGTGCCTGAGATCCCCTCCCGGTCTAGGCCGAACCCGGAACCGCTTCCACCCGGCCTCGAGCGGCGCCAGGCCCCCGATGCCGGCATGCATCCAGTTCGCGACGCTGCCGAGCGCGTAGTGGTTGAAGCTCGTCATCTCGCCCGGGTTGATCGTCCCGTCCGCCAGCATGCTGTCCCACCTCTCCCACACCGTCGTGGCGCCCATGCGGAGGGGGTACAGCCACGACGGGCACCCGGTCTCCAGCAGCATGCGGTACGCGTGCTGGATATAGCCCGTCTCCGACAGCGCGTGCAGGATCACGGGCGTGCCGGCGAAGCCGGTGGATACCTTGAACTTGGAGTACTGCACCAGCCGCGCGAGCCGCGCGGCGGCGGCTTCACGCTGGGCGGGGGTGTCGTGTAAGTGGAAGAGCAGGGCGAGGGCGAGGGCCGTCTGGGAGTCTGCGACGATGAAGCCGGCCTTTGTGATGTACTTGTCCTGGAAGAGCTGTTTGAGGCGCTTGTGTTCGCTGGCGAGGTGCTCGGCGTCAGAGGGGAGGCCCAGGATGCTGGCGATTTGGGAGACTATGCCCGTGACGTGGACCAGGTACGCGTCGGCGACGAGGGTCCCATCCGTTCTGGCTAGACCTGGCTCGGCGGGCGGCGCGTTGGGGTCGAGCCAGTCGCCCAGTTGCCAGAGCGAAGGATCCCATAGCCCGTCGTCTCCGCGCTGAATGGACTCGAGGTAGTCCCTCATACCGGGGTACGTCTCTCGCAAGACGCCCGCGTCACCGAACCACGTGTACAGAGTCCAAGGCACGAGGACCACGACGTCGTCCCAGACGGCCTGCGGCACCGAAGGCCAGGGCCCGTCCCTCATGACGTTGGGCACCACGAGCGGGACGACGCCGCCGGCGTCCCGCTGGTCCAGCAGGACATCGCGCATCCAGTTGCCCAGCATGCCGGCGCAGTCGTACAGGAACGAGGCCGTCGAGCTGAAGATTTGGATGTCGCCCGTCCAGCCCAGCCGCTCGTCGCGCTGTGGGCAGTCGGTCGGAATGGAGACAAAGTTGCCGCGCATGCTCCAAACGACGTTGCGGTGCAGCGCGTTGACGTCGTCGTTGGAGCAGGAGAAGAAACCCGTTCGCTGCATGTCGGTGTGCATGACGACGGCCGAGAGGGAGTCCGGGGTCACTTCCCCCCAGCCGTCGAGCTCGACGTAGCGAAAGCCGTGGTAGGTGAAGTGAGGGGACCAGTTCTTCAGGGCCCGGCCGCCTCCGAATATGATGGTGTCAGTCGCCTTTGCCGCGCGGAGGGGACGCGTTCCGAGGCACCCGTTTTCTAGGACCTCGGCGTGGCGGATCGTGAGACGATGGCTGTCTGGCTTTGCGAGGCTTGGGATGACGAGTTTGCCGACGAGGTTCTGTCCAAAGTCGACTAGAGTCTTGCCTTGGGGGTCCGCGAAGACGTTGACGGGTTTCAAGGTCTCGGTGGTGCGGACTGGCGGGCTGGATGCTGCTACGAGGGCGGACTTGGGGAACGGCAGTGTCTCGACGTGAGTCCACTCCTTGTGGTTGTCGTGATGCCAGTCGTCGACTTCGAGGCAGAGGTCATACGTCTCGCCGTCGTAGATGTCGCTTCCGACGATTGGTGAGGGACGGCATTCCCATGTTGCGTCGGTCACGAGCTGCAAGGTCGGTTTAGTCGCATCCTCGCTCTCAAAGAGTTGGAGCTGAGCAAGCACGCCGATGCGATCGCCGTAGAAGCAGGTGAGACCCTCGCCCCAGAGAACTCGGCCGGCGTACCATCCCTCGCTCACCTCCACCGAGAGGACGTTTTCTTGACCAGCCTTCAGGAGATGCGCGACCTCAAAGACCTGGTACTGGATGCGATGTTGGTAGGCAGTCCACCCCGGGGCGAGCCATTCGTCTCCGATACGGTGGCCGTTCAGGTAGGCCTCGTATAAGCCAAGAGCGGTGATGTAGAGTCTGGCATTGCTACTGTCCTTGACATCGGGGCAGTCAAAGACCTTGCGGAACCGGGCCGGCCTGATTCCTCGCTCATCCGGGTGAGAAGCTGAGCGCGGGGGCGCGGTGACGGGCGTTGCTTTCCAGTCATCGCGGGAGAGCAGAGCGGCTTCCACGGTCGCCTCCGAGGACCATTCAGAGTCTGATTGAGCGTCTTCTGATGTACCGTGGGATCTGACGAGAACTGTGGCCCTTTCACCTGATGCCAAAGGGGTGTCGGGCCATGGAACGAGTACGGTTGAGCCGCCCTCAATGTGAAACTCCCGGGCTGACGCGGAACCACGCGAGATCTTGACTTTGTATGACTTCTGCTGCCAGTCCTTCGGTATGGAGTCGGACGTAACGCGCCACGAGATGCGAGGGGTCGGGGAAGATACACCCAGTCCAGTGGGATGGTGCTCGAAGCGCAGGGACGTGATCTTGAGAGGAGCCATCTTTACAGTCTTGATGAAGATAATGAGCACTTGAAATGAAGGAACAGCGAGTTGTTTAAAACACTCAACTATAAATACCCGAATTCGATCTAACGGGCCTTTTTTGCAGAATTCCGCAAAGCAGGAGTAAACGATGCTCAATATGATCCACGTTTCCCGTAGATCGGCTCGTGGTTTCGGCTTCCTCTTTCGATTCAGAGTTCAACGAACCCCGCGGCCGGTGACATCAGCACCGAAACCCCGAGCCCCCCGCCCCGCCGTGCCGGAGAAGTTGAGGCCGAAGACCACCGCACACCGGGCGCGTTACGAACAGGACTTGCTCAGCTCTTCTACTACGGTGTCTTCAAGTCAAATCTCCGAATTGCAGTTTTGCGGAAGATTTTGGCAGCCCTCGGGCGAAGCTGGCGTAGTCAAGTTGGGGGCTTATGAGAACCTCAAGAGACGCTTTACTGCCAATCTTTTCCTTCACGATACCTATCTCATCAACACAGAACGCACGGCTATGACTGACATTCTATGCAAGATGACTACCTGTTGATTAGACAGCCAGTCCCCAACGCAGGAAAGACTTCTTAGGGCGCTCGGGATCCAAAGATTTGAATGCAACCCGGTACCTCAATCAGAGGCATTCGTTTACCTTGTGCATGAGCGTTTCTCTATTGGGAAAATTAATCTCTCTGTATACTGAGCTTGGGAAATTGACAATGCGCCTAATATCTCTCTATATCCGAGTAAATACTACGGCATGCGAATGCATTTGTTGCTAGTGAGGATTGCACCATTCTGTCAAATTCGAGATGTTGCGGAAGAGACAGGCCCTTCCTAGTTTGCGCAATTCTTCCACGGGCATCAGCGCATGTAAACGGAGATTGATGAGAGGAGGACATTTTTTGTATTTATAATCGTAAAACCATAAACGCCATGAATGCTGTGTATTTTATTCCCCTCTCATTACCTCATCACCTGATCAGTCTAGCCCATGTCTTCTACTATCCCACCCCAACTCCTTGCATGCTGCTTCAAAAGATGGGCGAATCGGTCTCGTCTACAATCTGAACCTTGATACTGCCGTTCCTGTAGTCTGACGCAAGCGTGAGGGCGTCGATGGCCCTCTCAAGAGGAAACGTGTGCGAGATGAGGCTCTTGAGGTTGAGGATGCCGCTGCTCAGACAGGCGATGCCAGCGGGCCACGTATCGCGGTATCGGTTTATGAACTCGAGCTTGATCTGGAAGAACTTCTCGTCAGTCGCCCATCCTGTTCTGGAGCCTGTAATACACATCACCTACCTCGGCAAGAGAGATGTGCATAAACGGCAAGTTATTCATAATCTCCCGCCCAACACCAATAACCATAACCGTACCACCGCGACGGACGGTAAAGGCGGCGGTGCAGATGCTGCTCTCGACGCCCGTGCACTCGAGCACCGTCCTAGGCGCGCTGTACTCGTCGTCGCCAAACAGCGCGCGGATGGCTTTGCCGTTGCCCTCGTTGCCCAGCGCCGGGTCAATCTTGTACGTGATGACGCTCGGGACCAACGTCTTGGCGAAGGCGAGGCGGGAGGGCTCAATGTCGGTGATGACGAGGGGATGGGCGCCCGAGGCCCGCGCTGCCGCGAGGGTGACGAGGCCGATGGGGCCCGCGCCGCATACCACGGCGCCAACGCCGAGGGAGAGGCCGGCGGTGCGGATGCCGTGCATGCCGACGCTCAGGGGCTCGAGGAGAGCGCCTTCGGCGTAGGAGATGTTGTCGGGGAGCCTGGTTTGCGTACGAGGTCAGATAACATTGTTCCTACGGCCCAGCATGGATTGGCACATGGGCGCGGTTGTGTTACCGTAGCTCGACTTACTTGTGAAGCCACTTGGCTGGGTGGCACTTGTACCGTTGAATGGTGCCGTGATAGGGGTAAACACCAGAGAACTGCACATCTTCGCAGAGGTTGTACCGGCCATCGGTGCAGAGGAAACATTCGCCACAGGGCACGCCCGGCTCAATCGCTACGCGGTCGCCCGGCTTCAGGTTCTTTACGCCCTCGCCGACGCGGACGACGACGCCGGCGGCCTCGTGGCCGATGATGCAGTCTCCCTCGAACACGAGCGAGCCGATGCGGCCCGTCTTCCAGAAGTGAATGTCGGATCTGCGGTATCAGCCCAAAAGTCAGTTTGCCTTTTTTTCCTCTTCACAAAACAGATGGTACCCGAGCACAAGGTCAGGGAATGAGGTCCGCATAACTCACCCGCACACGCCAGTAGCCTTGACGTGGACCAATACTTCTCCCGGCTTCGGTGCGAGAACGGGGGCTTCCTCCGCCTTGAGTTGGTGATCGGCCGTGACCACCAGCGAAGGGTTGGGTAGCGGCGCCTGGATGGTTTCTTGCCCGGCGCTTATGGGCGTAGCGTGCTGGTGTTCCAACTCTGTCACGACGAAGATGCCATTGGATTTCGCGGGCGCAACGCCATTGATCGGTGCCTCTGGTGATATCGTGGTGGCGAGCATCTTGAGGGCAACTGGAGTAGAACACAGTTCGAGAAGAGACGGGAATGACCGTGACTTGGAAAAACCACCACTTTCCCAAACAAACAACAGGAATCTGTCAGCGAGTCGGCAATGATGTACGTGGGTTTAAGGTAGAAGAGAGAAACAAATGTTTCAAGACTGTCGCTGGAGGAGACGTTTAAACAACGCAGGAACTGAATTTTAATCAGACAGGATTTCGTGCAATAGGCTCTTCTATACCTAGCCCGGCATGCGTCCCGTGCCGTCAAATAGTAATTATTTTTCAACGTCGTGTGATATCCCCCCCTTCCGTCAGTAGCAGTGTCCGAATTACCACCAGCTCAACATAACTAAGGGTCTGGGCAACATGCGGGGAACAGACTGAGCGACTAAGGATTCCTCTTCCGTCGAGCTTTGGTTCGGCGATTACCTGATTGGGAGATCCTAACCACCGTCTGGTAGTTCAAGAGCAGTGCGCCGGGGAATATGCCGGCAGTGCGTCCAGTTCGTCCAAATCACTGGGTCCGCATGCCGGGAGGCGGTCCATTTTGCTGAGCCCCCCAAAGCCGCCTAGTTCCGAGCCTTTTTGGGTTGGGTAGCCGTGATGACTTTGATGCAGTCATTATCAAAGGCAACGATGACAGGAAGATAGGTATGCTTGCTGTTGGTGCATACAGGTAGCTTCATGTTGTCTCAAGAGCTATCGAATGCAGGCTCGCGATAGTTGGGGGAATTTCTTTTCATTAATTCGTAGTAAGTTTTAAGACCATCCATCCTATCCGTATCTATCCTATTTGTCCAGACCTCCCCAATATATCACGACTCTCATTGCCGAAAAATTGCTTATGCAAAGATGCGCAGAGGGCGCTGGGGTAGGTAGAAACCAGGGTCGTTGAAGCGGAGACCGCGGTCAAGGTCAGAGATGGACTCGAGCTCCTCGGCCGTCAAATCAAAGCCGTTGACCTCGAGGTTCTGCTTCAGGCGGTTCTGGCTGTTGCTCTTGGGGATGACGGCGATGCCGCGCTGGGTGGCCCAGCGCAGCAGGACCTGCGCGGGGGTCACCTTGTGCTTGTCCGCAATCGCCTTGATGGCATCGACCTCGAACAGGCCCTGGGCGCCGGTGGCGCGCTTGTTGGAGATCTCGAGGAAGGACTGGGGGCCAAAGGACGAGTAGGCCGTGACGGCGATCTTGTTCTCCTGGGCCATGGAGATGAGGTCGGGCTGGACGAGGTAGGGGTGGTGCTCGATCTGCAGGGCCGAGATGGGGTGGCGGGCGTAGGACTGGATGTCGTAGAGGGACTGGGCCTGGAAGTTGGAGACGCCAATGGACTTTGCGATGCCCTCGTCCGCGATGGTCTCCATGCACTCCCACGTCTCGCGGATGGGTACGCTATCGGGCTCGACGATGGTCTGCGCGGCATCCATCCACCAGCACTTTTTGTAGCCCAGAGTCAGCGGGACCCGTGGTCACGATTAGGGCGGTGGCATTGGTAAACTTACGGGGTACTCGAGCTTGGAGGGCTCAATATACTTAAGGGCAACGGGGAAGTGAATGAGGAAGAGATCAATGTAGCCGAGGCCCCAGGTCTCGTTCTGCTTCTTCGCCATGGCGACAGCATGCTCTTTGCGGTGGTAGTTGTTCCACAGCTTGGTGGTGATGAAGATGTCCTCGCGCTTCACCAGGCCGTCGGCGATGGCGCGGCGGACGCCCTCGCCGGCCTCCTTTTCATTTTGATAGTCGTAGGCGCCGTCAAAGAGGCGGTAGCCGGTTTTGATGGCCTGATTGAAGGCATTGACGGATTAGCGAAAATGGCCAACTTGGTACAGAGCTCAGTATGTGGATGAAGCTCACGTTGTAGACAGTGTCGGCGCAGGACTCGCGAGGAACCTTCCACAAACCGAAGCCCACGAGGGGCATCTCGCGGCCAGAGGCGAGAGTGATGGTGTCCTTGCCCATGATGAAGATTTGAAAAGGGGGTATAGATACTAAAAGAAACAATAGGCAGAGAAGTTGCGTGATGGATGAGATGAGTTTGTTCGAGAATGACGAGCTTTGACTTCTAATAGTTTCTACCCCCAGATTCTGTACTTTTTTTTCTGTGCTCAACCCCGCCCTCAGTCTAAGAACGTACCTTACACAACCCCGCCTCCATTGATAGAGGGCCATCCCTTTGGTACGATTCTTGAGCATCGTCATAGAGGGGTTTAGAGTGGTGAGTCGAGGTGGTGAGGCTTACCGAATGTGGCAAGCCTAAGCACCGCTCATTCAGAAAATGGCACGCATCCCCGCGCTTAGCGGCCCCCGGTTTGACTCGCGTTCGACCGGGTTCCACGAGGGGTAACCAAGCCCGCTTCAAGGAGAGGAGCTTGACCGTCGTCTACCTCATGACTTGACCAAATGGGAGTTGTAAGCCGAATGTTGCAGAGGCATACAGAGAAGCGTACACATAGCCTCGGAAGTTCGCCGGTGAACTTAATCCCTTGCTTCTAGAGTCCAGAGATGCCCGATTCAGCACCAATCCAGCTCCCCAAAACGTGAGATTCCTCCCATCAATGGTCCAACCTCTCCATCCAGGATATCCACAAAGAGCAATGTCCCTGCAAACGCTTGTCCCGAACAGCGCTCGCGTCAACTGAACCCCGACTTGGTATCGCTGTCTGTCGGGTGTCCATCCCCCTTGGTCCACACACACCAACGCTCTCTAGAGCAAGCCCAGCGAACGCTCTTCTTCCCCGTCCATGCTTCTAAGTTCTGGAGTTCCTGGAGTTAATCGAGCCCGTATCCTCGGGAAACCCTCCACTAATTGTTGGAGACCTCTTCCGCCTTCCCAATCCGACAAGATTATCCCCCGCGACACCGTCCTCCCGCAATGGGCACACAATAAGCACCCAAAAACAACAGCCAGTTGCGATGATGGCGGATGATACGGATTCAGTATCAGCAAGCGGCTCGTGTGCCGGCGCTGGACCTGGAGGCTCGAAACAGAGACACAAGAGGACGCGGACGGGGTGTATGAAATGTCGGATCCGCCGGCGCAAATGTAAGCCTCTGTCAGTCTTCTTTTCTCTGTTCTCGTATTTGTAGACTGCTGTCGCAGACCCACCGAGCAGAGCGGGCATGACATGACACGATGGTTCACCTCTCTTTTGCTCGGTGATGCCTCAGCAAGTAGTGATCGTGAACCTTTTTGTTGACCAGTGCAGGTGACGAACGAAAGCCGCGATGTCAGCGCTGCATCGACGGCAACTTTGAGTGCCACTACGGCCCCAGACTCACATTCTTGAATAAGAATGCCCTAACCGCGTCGCCCTCACCCAAGGTGGCTGATGCAACAACGCCAAAATACACGCGCCTTCAGGTCCGTAGACTGCAAGAAGTCATCGCCCATTTTACTATTCGCAACTCACATGTAACTACAGTTTGTAGGTACCGGATCCTCCAAACAAGCCATAAAGGATCCATCATCATCTTCCTCCCCGCCTCAACAGCAACAAGTCAACGGGAGCAACCCAAGCGACGTAAATCACGCCCACGTATCCCTACCGCCGCCACCGTCGCAGACACCAACGCCAACGGTGATAACCTTTCATGTAAACTCCCAGACCCCAGAACCGTCGCCGACAGCGACAGCGAAACCACCACCTTTGGAGCCGAGCCTGTCGCCCCTGAGCCGCCAACACCGCTACTCACCACTCACACAATGGCAACCGCCCCAGAGCATAGGCGGCCTCGGGGGGCACGAGAGTCTCTCATCGCCGGTGCGGAACCTCGATATCACGGGGAAGCTGACGGGCCCGTCGCCGAGTAATGACGCCGCGTACGAAACGGCTCTGAACGTCTTACTATCACTCGGCAATGAAGGACCGGTGGGGCTGGGCCAGTCGCCTGACCACGGCTCGGGGTCCTTTGCCATCGGTGGCCATGGTATCGGGGCGGTGAGTCCTGGAGAGTTGATGTCAATGTCGCCGAATTCGGCGAGAGAGAGGAAGGGGTCCGGCGTGTCTGCGTCGGCGAGCATATCGCAAGATCGCCTGCTGCAGCTTCTGCGTCACTTTAGGTACCAAGTTGCACCATGGGTGAGTCCAAGCCTGTACAGATTTGCTTTTTGGACATTCATCTTGCTGACGCTGCTCTGTCAGCTTGACTTGTGCGATATGGGACAGACCTTTGGTCTTTATGTCTCCCGCCTTGCGATCGAATCTGAGGGCGTACTTTACTCTCTCCTCGCTGTTGCGGCAACGGCACAGCAGGCCGACACGCGCATTCCATCTGCCGATGTCGAATACCTCAAGTCTCTAGCGGAGGCGAAAGCAATTCAGCCAAACGGAGCAGCCATCAGTGACAGCGACCTGGTTTACTTGACACTATCAACGGCATGCCGATTCATCTCCGATATCCCCAGCGGCTGGGACGACCTGCCCATCATTATAGATCACAATTTTTGGGGTACGGCGCTAGCTGAAGCAACTCCAAAGACCATCTCGATATTATCTGTATTGATTCGGCTAGGTACAAGCAGTTTCCACACCCCTTTGCTGATGTGTAAAGAGCATTATGATAAAACAGAAGCTGACCGAAAGCAGAACTCGCCGCCGCACTCGTAACCGGCGCCCCCATCTCGATACCCGAACACCTATCCTACAACCAGATCCCGCAGCAATGGAACTCCTCCGTCATCGCAGAGACAATCTTCCAGTACACCATCGAGCCCCTCCTCCTCTGCGCAAAAGCAGTAAACTTTTGCTCGGGTAGCTTTCCGCCTCAGAATCCAGCCGACCTCGATCTCGGCCTCGACGGCGGCGGCGGCGGCGGCGGCGGTGGCGGTGGTGGCGGCCTCCCGCTCACACCCGTCCACCGTTGGACGATGCTCAGCGACGCCCTGGGGTCCTGGTACACCAACCGGGCGCAGGAATTCCGTCCCATGGTCGAGATGGACGGCGGCGGCGACGAGACCCTCTTCCCCGTGATCCTCTTCACCAACGGCGCGGCAGTCTTTGCGAATCAGCTCTATCACACGGCCATGTTGCTGTTGCTTCAGAACAAGCCGCGGACGTTGCAGGCGGCGGGGGCGGCGGGCAAGAAGTCGTCGTCGTCATCGTCGTCGTCGTCGTCAATGTCGCCTCTGTGGCATGCCCAGCGTGTATGTGGCATTGCACTCAATAATGACCGGAGGGACAGCTGGGATCTCTGTTTGGTTGCGTCGCTGTATCTGGCGGCGCAGCGGATGACGTATGAGCCTCAGCAGAAGGCGATTCTGGAGTGCTTTGATCGCATCCAGTCCATGACTGGCTGGAATGCCGATGGCTTCTCGACAAAAGTTCGGGAAGATTGGGGCCTGATGTAGTCACTTTGGTGGACGCACGTACACCGCGCGCTGTTCTCGTGCAGGTTCATATGACCGCACCACATGAGTACTTGGGTAGTTGAGAATCATCTTCAAGTCAATGGGAAAATCAAAAGTCACCTTGCCATGTCGGCGATCCTAAGTTCCTTGCGGACTTTATAGCCCCAAGCGGCCTCCAGATCGTCGATTCTCCAACACGTGCCCCATCCCGTCACAGCCTCTATGCTGCGGATGAGCTTCACGAGCAGAGCGTGCTCCGACTTGTGACTGAGAAGCCGGCCCGCGACCCAAAGGGGCTGGATGGCGTTGTTCAAGCAGCCCTGGTGCGGGTTCGCGAGTGATATGCCACAGATGCATTTCGCGTGCCAGACGGGGGACCCCGTGACGCCGCCCAGCTTGAGGTGGAGCGGCCGCGGCATGGACCCGAGCAGCAGGGTGCAGGCCGTGTGGTACAGCTGGTTCGAGGAGATGGCCGCCCAGTGCAGGAAGAGGATCTGCGGGAACGGGCTGCTCTGGATGCTCTGGACCGGGAGGAGCTCCGGCGGCCGGTCGCGCGTCCAGGCTTGGAGGTCTTCCCAGAGACGGATCCAGCGGTCGGTGAGCTCTTCGGGGCTGCTGCAGCCGTTGGCGTCGCCGAGCTCGTAGTAGCGGGTTCTGTCGGCGACGAGCTCGCAGACTTTGGCGCAGAGGTAGACGGCGTAGTTGGCGTGCATGTCGGGCGTCCCGGACTGGTGGAAGAGCTCGCGGGCTTCGTTGTGGGAGGCACCGCTGGGGAGCCACTTTGAGGGAGTGAGGAGGGTGTTCTCCGTTCCGTCGGAGATGAGGGCACCACAAAGGTCTGCGAGTCGTGTTAGCGAGTCACAATAGATGTAGTAGCACGGGCAAACGAGATTGAACACACCCATTCGTGCGTAGCACCAGAAGACGGCTTGAAGTAGACCACCGCTGAAGCCGTGCACGTAGAAAGAGTCAAAGAGCGCGGCGCATCCTTCGAGGTGTTTCCTCCAATCCTGGGCGCTGGCAGACATCATCTCGAGGCAACACAGAATTGTGCAGATGGGAATGATCTTCTGGTCTCGGGACTGCAGCAACGGCGTCAGCAGGCGAATGGCCTCTTGGTACAGCTCGAGGCTGTCAAATGAAGTCTGCTTGCCCTCCTTTCGCTCCATCTGCCGCGCTGACAAGGCGAGAACGGCATAGAGGAGCGCCGGGGAGCTGCGCGCGAGGACGGGGACTTGTATGCCAAAGGCGCGGTCGCTGTCAAACATGTCTAGCTATTGTGAAGAGTGAGCATTGACCGTGCGTGCGTGTGCGAGTGAAGGGTCTCATTGAGAAGACGGAACGAAACTCACCCATGTCGCGACTTCACCGACGTAGTTCTTCAAGTACTCTAGCCTCCGGCCTGTTCCCAGAATCTGGCCGGCCTGCCGCCGGGCGGCTCCCTCGTCCCCCAAGATGGTACCCGGCGCCGCGAACCCCCCGGCAGAGAAGCCACCGTCGGTTGCCTCTGGGGTGCCCTCCCGCGTGGGAACGGCCGTCTGGGCCGTGTTGAAGATGAGGCATCTGAGCTCCTCTTGGTAGGCGAGGTAGGCGGGGTCTGTGACGAACTCATCGAGCCTCCAGGACTCGGCCGGCGAAGTCGATGCCTCGGAGGAGAGGTGGTGCGAGGGTGTCGGCTCGCCGAGGCCCCACGTTGACGATGCCGCGGGCGTCACGGCCGAGCCGAAGTGAGAGTGAGAGTGAGCGTGCGAATGCGAGTGAGATCGAGCATTAGATTGTGAGTGAGACTGAGACTGAGACTGAGAGCTTGTGCTTTCGACCCGGTCGAGGGGAGCTGTAGTCGATTGATCATCGGTGGCCATGGGCGAGAGCATGGTGAGAGGATGGTGTGCAAATACAAGGCAGTCTTCGGGCAGTCTTCAGGCAGTCTCCATGGCATGAACTGACACCCAACTCAAGTATCGTGAAGTAAGCCAAAGCCCCTCTTTGATCAGAAGGTTTCGGCAGGTCATGCGGGAGGAGGAAAAAGACTGGATCTCTTCCTGGGTCTGTCGCGTTGCCGCCATCGAAAACCGCCCGGCTTGCGGATTCCGCATGTAGCTGGCCGTCCAATAACCAGGTGCCCAGGCCCATGGGGCACATGGACGCATTGATTGCTGCGGGGAACCCAAGTTCGCGGAACCTGCGGGGAAAACGACCGCTGATGATTGGCTTTGGGGAGCTGGAAAGGGGTCAAGTGCTTCTTTACGGTGGTCTGTCCAAGGACGGACCTAGACCGATATTTCGGTGAGAGACAGGTCACCAGATGCGGAACAGGTGAGAGTCGGTGAGGTTAAGGAGGGATGATCAGAGAGACGCTACGCCTTCTCAACTTTGAGGTGCGAGGCAGCTCTCTCGCGGCGGTGGGAAACCCTCGGCACTCTCCAGACTTGATGTTTCTATCTCGTCTTGAGTCGAGTCCAGTCGCCGTCGTGTCCTACTCGGATGCCCCTCCTCAGCACCTACTTCCGCCTTGATGAAGTTGAAGTGTACGAATGCGTATGCGAGAACACAGCTTCCAGGAGCGATTGAAATACCGACCAGAGTTTCCGAGATTAAGCTAAGAAGTCCAAGTAGAAGAAGAAACACGATTGGGAGTCTTCCATAACACGATGATTACATGTAATCACCATAATTACCATTACAACTTTACTTGATTGGAGCCAAACTTTGTCCTCCATATCGACGGTTTTTTTTTTTTTTTGGTTTACCGCACCCTGGGCAGATCTTTCCAGACTGCAAATGATTTAAATTCTACTCAATTTCGGCCATATCCGAGACTCAACATTTAAAACTGCTTGTGTCGAGTTAGCTTTCATTATTGCAGGTCTCTTGTAATATTACGGTTATCAATCAATCATTGGATTCTCTACGATCAATCTCAATCGAAAAATTCCTTTTCAATATAGATAAATAAATACAAAGATTATACATAATTCTACTGAAGTATAGGTATACACTAAAGCCGGCCTCCTAACTCCATGTTTTGCCAAAACGCCATCGTCGTCAACTGAGCTTAAAACTGCATGTTCTTCTTGCACAGTCGATCAGTTTGCATAGTTAGCCAGTCCTTCTGGCGGGCAATGAACTAGTCCTCGCTGCCGACGGCAGTAGGGGCATAAAAGACAACCCGGGGGTCAATCTCCTCCTTGATAGCATACAGCTTGGCGTAGTTGGAACCGAAGAAGGCCTGGCTGAAATCGGGCTCCATGACATCGCCCTCATTGCCGTTGCCGCCGCCGCCGGTGGTGATGTCGCGGAGACGTCCCATACAGTCCTGGGTGATGCGGATGTTGGCGGCCTTTACGGGCTCGTTAGGGGTAGAAAAAGTCGCCGGGGAAGAATTTGCACTTGTTGTTGGGTTCAGCACGCTTCTCCAAATTCCGGTTGTCTGCGTAAGTAAGGGGCGAATTGTTGCTGAGCTCGAGCTGAGTGAGGTTGGCCAGTAGGGCGTCAGTCGACTGGTGAGCTTCCTGAGGGATGTCTGCCTCAGGGAACTCCTGAGCGGCAGGGACAATAGCTGCCTCGTTGGCATCTGCAAAACGTTGTCAGCATGGATGGTGATGAGATCGGCCTTGTCGAGGCGGGGGAGGGCGGGACTCCTTGCCGACGATCTCACCGTCGACGACGAGCTTCTGGGCGCCGACGAATTTGGCTAGTGGCATGGCTGCGGCGAGCAGCAAAGCTCTCTTCCGAGAGAATATATCTTGACAAGAAGAGATTCTACTTGTCGAAGAAGATGGAAATTCTTTGCAAGTTGCGTGCAAGTGAGATGAAGAGAGGGCTGGGGCCAGAAAGAGAGTTCACGATGGACCTGCTCCTCATCTGTAGATATATACGCGCAAGATCATCAACGGCCTCGTATCATTCCTGTCAGTTCTCCAACCATTCGTTGCTACATGAAGCATTTGCAAGCTATTGATTACCAGCCGCATGATGCCTCCCACATTGCCGCGATTTACGTTATCGCCATGAGGAACATGGACTTGGCTACCCGACGCGCAGCTTATGCCCGCAAAGGGAGGATGAAACTCCATCACCAGCAGGACTATCAAGTATCAAAGAAGTAGCAGCTGGAAAGACAAAAGCGGGATCGATGATCATCCCCGAGGGGGGTTCCGACCCCCGACAACCGATGGGATTTCTTCGTGGGGCTCCGCAGTGGTCTAGCAGGGATACCAGCTCTGTATACGAAGATTTGGCCGGCCAGGGTTTGGGCGAAATTAATTACTGTCTGGCCCCCAATAACTCTCCAGGAAACCGCCGATTCCGTCAAAACACAGCGGCACATTCACGGCACTCGCTGCAGTTTGCTGCGGGCTGGGTCAATGGCTGTACCTGGAGCCGCGCTGTAGAAGTTGGGCTTTATTTGGCGAAATCCAGCTTTTTTCGAACGTCTGGTATCCGTTCACTTAAGTATAAGATACTTCCACGTACAACTCCAACTCCCAGATTTGCAAAATTGTCGCCCTCACACATCTTCTCCCGCAATTGTAACATAACAGCCGAAAAATACATGTCACAACATCTTCTTGGGCTCTTGAATGGCATTGGCTGTCTATTGGCCCCTCCTCAGGTCATAATGTCCCGCTGGTCCTGCATCATCCCAGGAGCACTAGCCTATTCCCTGGCCACTTGCCAAGAAAGCTATTTTGATACTACGTCAAAGAGAAATCGGCAATGCAGGGAAGTTTTTGAACCTGCAATCAATTACTCTGGGGCTCCTCATCGTTCTAGAATGCACTTGTGAAGTCAAAATACGCATCGAGGGTCCCTCGTCGATACGTAGACTCTCGGGATAGACCCGATCAGAGTATCGTTAGCGACCGTGCGCTTTTGACAACGATTCGAGCAGTTCTTTCAGCCATGAACAACCAACCCGAATGAGGCTTTCGAGTCCCGACATGACCGCACCGAATGTCGGGAATACCCACCAGCCGATGTAGGATTTGGCCCCGTTGTCTGCCCTCTGTTCATCTCGAACCACTCTGAGTAACTTTCTGAACCCTACCCGCCGCAGATTTTAGTTCCCGACAGACAGTGCATGTCTTGGAATGTGCTGGCGAAATTCATTGGTCTGGGGGAAGTGAGGCGCCCAGCACGCAAGCGAGGACGGGGAATAGAAGAGCGATCCCTTTTTTTTGGATCAGAGATAATGCCTCAGTCCAGAAGGGAAAGGGGATGATCCCTTAGCGGGCCAGCCGAAAAGTTTGACTTGTTCAGCCCCTCCGACAGGCTCTTGGATCCGTGTGTTGAGACCTGCCATTTGTTGCATTGAGGTTGGCCCATGTGGGAGAAGATCATAGTTCGTCTCGATAGTACTAATCCGCGCAAAACGAGACAGTCTTGGGCAGCAAAAAGAAATTCGGGAGAAGGTGTTCAAACATTTTCCGATTCCTATAAGGTTGCAATGGACCCTGTTGCCTCTATTCAGGACTTTCTCTTCCCCTGTTATTGTTAGTCTCAGTCGCTCCGTCCCGGCCACCGCAAATCTTCAGTTCAGTTCTCTGCAGATTCTTGCATTGAGTCGATCTTCCCGGAGCCGATCCCGTTATAGATTTGCCCGAGATGTCATTTCACCTGTTACCCCGAGGCCCGCCGCCACATCCAGATGTTTTAACGATACCAACGCCTCCGCTTCAGGAGACTGCCATAATTATCGTCTTCCTTTTCCCAACTTTATCAGTTTGTACTTTTGGCCTGCGTGCGTATAGTCGGTTGAGCACTCGTCAATGGAGACTAGGTACGCTATCACTGTGACTGTGTTGTTGCTCAAGGCTTACCGTAAACCATTAGATGACTGGCTATGCGGTCTAGCTTTGGTATGAACCTCACCTTGTTGTTTTCTGTGTGACATCTAGAAAGTTCCCGGTCTAGGGCATAGCTAATAGTCAAACAGCTTTTTTCAATTTTGATGACTCCCCCCCTCTACATGTGTAAGTGGGATTGTGATAAAGAATCGATACATGTAGTCTGACCAAGATACTGACATTGTTGGACCCTAGTTATCAAGCTAGAATATTTCGGATGGAGAGCTGTAAATGTTCCCAAAGATTTTGATCCGAAGGCCGGGCTGTGGTGGAACTTCTTGGTACAGCTGGCCTATAACCCGGTTCTAGCGCTCGTCAAAGCATCGGTTCTGGTGTTCTTACTCAGGCTATGTGGACAAAAGCGAGGTGTTCGCACTGCGATTCACGGATTGAACATCTTCAACGCCTGTCACGCTGTCGCTGTATTCTTCACCGCCTTGTTCCAATGTCTCCCAATGCAAGCCAATTGGGACTTGTCGCTGCGAGGCCAACCAGGGACCCAGTGTATTGACAACTCATTTCATGTCATTGCATCTTGTATAACGATTTTCTCGGACATTTCGGTACTCGCCTTGCCTTTTTGGATCTTCCTCGGGCTTAAAATGCCATTAGCGGCAAAAATGGCAGTGATTGGGGTTTTCCTGATAGGTCTTTTGTAAGTGTATAGACAACAACACTGTATGAAAGCTAATTGACTTCAATTCAACAGAGCTACGGTTGTTTCGGTCATCCGAGTCATCCAGATTCATAAGTTATTCTTCGTCACACCATCTCCAGAAACCGACCATTTTCACACCATTGGCCCTGTGACCTCCTCCATTGAGGTTAACCTAGCCATTTTCTGTGCTTGTATCCCAGCCTTGCGCCCTCTGTTCTGCCGATGGATGCCGAGACTGTTTGGAGGCACGGCCAAGAAGACCATTGAGAAAGGATACTCGGGGAAATACGCGACCGGCTCATTGCGAAACCCGACAGGAGCACAAGAAGGCAACGATATTTCGATCAAGGAGATGCCTTCTCGGGCACACTGCACAGAATTACGCAGCGTGTCTCCAACAAGTTCGGAAGAGGAAATCATGACGTACAGTGGGATCGTCAGAACGACTAGTATCAGCGTCCAGTATGAATCCAACACCAGCGTCAATGACGTGGAATCTCGACCGTCAAGCGAGTACAAAACGAGCGGCTGGCCAGAAAAAGGAACAGCGTTCTAAGTTGAAGGTGCTTGTAACTTACTTCGACGTTGTAGGGCATTGTGAATTGCAGGGCATCCCGCGTGGGTCTAAATCGAATCGAAAAGTCGGTTGTGTAATCCGGGTACGTGGGCTTTGTCAATTTCCAAACGTAAAAGACATCTCCATAGATTTGAGATCCAGTACCGCCTGTAATAGGAGACGTCATGGGCTTGGGGTCGCATTATCACCTGGGAGATTCTCAATCGTCTTTCAAAGAAGAAAAATGACGATTTGGGCATGCTTCGACCCGTTAGAATATAGCCGACCTTAAATCGGTAACGGGGCAGATAGAAGAGACAAGCACCTAATGCGTGGTCCCAGTCCCATACTCTACACTCCTTTTCCGTGAGCATGAGCATTCGGCAGCCATAGCTTCCTTGTGTGGTGACGATCTCCTTGAGAAAAGATTATTCTCCCAGAACCGACAAGTGTTGCTTCCGGGTCAGTACTATTAACAATCACACAATGTTAGTCCGTTTCATTCAAAGCAGATTTCAACATCACAAGCTGTTTGTAAAGTGGTTGTCTACCCTCGTTCAATAGTCAAGTCACATCCTCTTTCACGCACAGTATGCACTTCCTTGTTTGGCAAGAGTATTCTGGCGTTGCCCACGTATTACTCCTGCACGCGGACTGTACATTCAGAGATACGTGGGGCTTATTTTGCTTCGCAGTTCTGTTCTTCAACCACTCCGCCCATCCTAAGTACTAAAGTATTCTCCAAAGGTACATGTATGAATCTACCAAATCATACGCGACGCCAAGGTTGTCTCATCCCGTACTTGAACCAACCGGAAAGCGCAAACACTGTCTATAATGCCTGAAGTGAACGCTTCTGGACGTGTACATTTTGCTGCAATCATTACATACCACCCTGTTGGTTAAGCCTGAAAGACCCGCAAACGCACAATGACCGTCCCCGAAAGCTGATTTACGGATGGTCTTGTGGCGCCTTGCAGACCTCCGGATTTAGACAAACTCAGCCGCCACATTCCTCCTGATTCATTTTTACTGATGTTCTTGTGGCACCAGCCGAAAGCTACGGAGCTTCCACATTCCCGTGTTATAGTACTGAAAATCTCATGTCTAATCAGTCTATAATCTACACCACGTGGAAAGGATGACTCGGATAGTTTAAGAAGATGAGCCCCCTCCAATCTAAAACTAACAACGCTCATGGCCCTAATCAAATTGGCAACTATTTCATCCGCAATGCATTCTCTTACTATGGTGCCAGCTTTACTCACTGCTCTTGCGGCAATGACTAGTGGAACATTGCTATCTCCTCGAAAAGAAATATTGTCATGTCTCTGCGAAGATGAAGCATGGAATATCACAAGGCGATGGCTAGGCGTATTCTCGACTCCCGGTGTTTCTAGCAAGGCGGAGCTGGCCACAATCGTCTCTCAGAATCTCACAAGCTACGATGACACTTTTGGTCCTCCTACCATCGGAATCGATCAACTCTGGGACGCCCTGACAGCAGGCGGCAACGCCACAACAGCCAACGTAACGCAAGCACCCAACTTTATTCTGCACACTTGCGACCAAATTGCATACAACTGGCAATACTCTGCCGTGACGACCGGCTACAACTCGTCAGTTTGGAATCTTTACTGCAAGATGGGAATGAAGTGCTAACGTAGCTTTCAAAGAACGGTGCCGGCGGGAACTCCCGTGAATTTTACCGGGAATGATATTATTCGTATTGATCTGGCAACCAGGCTGGTGTCCAACGCCACATCTTGTGGTAACTGGATTCTACTCGCTCGCCAACTCGGGGATTCATGTAATGTTTGAATAGATTATCTCATCGGCATGGAGCTAAATAACGCACTTCTTGACCAGCAACCTTTTTGTGTCATCGGTCGATCTCCAGTGCATCTAACGTTTAATCTCTTGATATACCAAGCTCTTCATCTCTTTGAGATGCAAAGCACCATCCGGACTGCTCGAGGCTAGTGAATGGAAACAAGCCTGACTTTCCTACATGCTATATCGCGCAGTGGTAGTGAATGAAGGGCGGATGCTAGCATTCACCCATCCTGGCTTCCCAGAATTGTACAAGTATAAAGATTTGAACCGCAACCCCTCTCACAACGGTCACGAGAAAAGCCATCAACCAATTAGAACCCGCCAAATCACTATGAGCGCGTGGCTCCCAAACTACCCTGGCCTAGGGCACGAAAACCATGCTACCCCTCGCCGTGCTCCTCGAAATCAACAGCCTGATAATGCACCACCTGTCCCCGAAGGAAACCCGACTGCTCCTACCCAAGATACACCCTCGCAAAAACCAGTCATAGAATCTGTCACGTTTGGCTTGTCAACCTGGCCGGAGAATGCAGCTTCATTGAGAGCCTACCAATGGCCTTCAGACCCAGGGAGAAAGAGAATGGACCTGGTCTACAAAATCCGCTTCGGCACAATGACCTACGAGTTCATTCTCTACTGGCATCCGCCTCCAGGCTTGCAGGTTCCTCGCGATAGACGGGCGGAACAAAGATACCTGCAACACTTTGAAAACCTCTGGAGGGCGTCTCCCAACCCTGAGACGTCGCCCAGCTTCCTGCCAGTGCTGAAGCAGCTCGACGAGATCATTCTCCAAAGCATGTACAGGAACAACGTCACTCTGGATCGGCCCATGACGAATACTGAACCCTGGGTCTGCCAGATCGTCGACCAGGACACGGGTCCATTGCTGTATGCGTTGCAGCGGACAGAATTGTGGGCTGATCACCGCCCGCGAGAGGTTCTCGCGGTTGCAGTCTACACGGATTCTGGCATTCATGTCACCCACGAGAACCGGCCTGGCCTGTAAGGCCGATGCATGGCAGTGAAAAAAACGCACGAGAAAGATGGTGGCAGATGAACAGGCTAGTTTCAACTTCAGTGGCATAGAATCCCGGGCATACCGCATCCTTTGACGTTGACGTACGTAACTGCATGTTCTAGAGACATTCAAAGCCATATTAGCACGTTAATCAGGGACCTTGAGCGAAGTATGTCACGGAAACGAAACTAGAGGACATGGAAATAAAGCGACAGATACTCGGACGAGGCAATATCCACTTGGAAACCTCCAGGCTGATCAAATCAAGGCAAAGTATACTTGGCATGAACCTACGCAGTCCAACTATATATTCAGTATCACGTCGCAAGTGCCACAGCTGCTGAGGCATTCCTGGTTTCCCTACCCCCAATGTAGATGTGAATAAGAGGCAGAGCTATCCGTGAAGGAAATTCGCTGAAAGTTTTATAATGTAAACTGCCTCAAGAAGATTTAATATTCTATTATCACGCGCTATTGAAGGATTTCAATTTCTTGATACTCTTCATTGCAAAGCTTAAGGGGGCCATCACTTGGGTCTCGGCCACACCACGGTATATATCATCGTTTGTTCATTGATGAATCCTCCTCGGCTTATTTATTACCTCTAATGTACCATACTATGCCAAAGCAAAGTACTTGAAGTAGATTGAAACGACGGATCATGAGCTCTGTGAAGGTGAATTAACGCAAGGGGAGGTGAGGCGTTTGCAGCGGAAGAACACAGGAAGAAAACGACAGTCAATGACACGACCTGATAATCGATCAAATAGGTTTAAATAACTTCAAGTTTTTGATGGTATTGAATGAAATACTGTGCTTAATCTGGTCAAGGCGCAAGGCTTTTACGCCCAGCCTATAGGTACCGTCTGGGTTTTCTCCTATTTGCCTCCGGTCAAAGTACCATTGGTGCAAGGGATGCCGAGGGTGGTGTCTCCCTCCAGTCCCACACACTCCATCTGGCCTGGACGACCGTCCTGTGTGTTGTCAGTAAGCCGTGTTCTCTCATCACGTTTATTCCTTGCGAAAACTTACAGCGCCAGTGAGAGTGATGTCCTTGAAGGTGAAGTTTTGGCAATGGGCCGCGTCTTTGCAAATGAGGTACAGTCCCTTTTCAGTCGATTCGCCTAGCAATTGGGAACATCAGTATACGTTAGCATTTGCTCGACGCACCAGGTAAAACGTTTGAGGAAGCAGGATTACATACCGATAGTATGACTCCAGCAGGGATTGGAGGTGCAGCTGCCATCCTTGAGGCTCTTGCCGGTTTGTGCTTTGATGTTTTCCCATCGGAAGTTCTTTGCATACGCCGCCAGCGAAAGGTTCTTGCCAGCAGCGCCCTTTTCTTGATCGACGTAGTCCTCGATGAAGTGGATCGGGTAGGAGGTTTCGGTGATAGTGATGTTGCTCCAAGTGACATTGGAAATCTGGCACGTTGTGCCCACAGAGCCCTTGAAACGAGCGCCAAACACCGAGTCGTGAATCACTGCGTTTTCAAACAGATATCCGCTGCCCGTTCCAACCGCGCAAGAGACCGAGATGCCGTGCGTGCCATACGCGACAATGTTGCGCATGGTCACGTTGACAGCGGGCGGGGAGATGTTGATAACGTCGTCGCCGTTCACGCTGTACCAGCCGTCAATGACGATATTGGAACCGCCGACGTCGATGCCGTCCGTGTTGAACGGGAACGCATTGGCGGTCTTTTGGCTCGCGTCCAGCACGGTGTCGGTCATGAAGACATCTGATCCGGCCAGAGAGAAGCACCACGCCACGGGGTTGAGAATCCTGAGACCACGGAGTCGGAGGCCCGTGACGGCGAAGGAGAACAAATGCGGGCGTCCAGTGTTGCTGCTGACATTGGCAGCAGACCACCACTTATCGCCGTGACCGTTGATCCAGCCACCGCCCTGTAAAGTTGACGCGGTGAAGGTGACGCCGGTGCTTTTGGAGACTTTGATCCAGTGGCCCGTGTATACACTGGGGTTGTGGACCACGGCGGCGACGGCGGCTGGGTCGTCTGAAAGAGTCAGATTGCCATTGATTAAGAACTCGACGTTGGTGAGGCCGCTGAATGTCAGAGGAGTGAGAAGGCTGTACTCTGTGCCGGCGCTGAAGACCACACGAGAGTTGCTGCCGCATGACTTGACTGTCGAGATGATGGTCGGGGAGTCATCGCCTGTGGACTTGGGAACGACGCAGGTTTTGAACTGCTCTTTGTTCACTGTCTCGGGCAGCCAATAGCCAGAGGCTAGGGTGGCAAGGAAAGCAATGCTAAAGAGTGGATGTTGCATGGTGACAACGACTGTAAAGAATGATTGTAATCTACTAAACTAGGTACTACTTCTCTTCCCATAAGCATGGTGACTCTCTTATATATCTTGGCATGCTTGGCAATCTACGGGGTTATTCATCCTGTGATGACGCTCTCCAGTGAACAAACTTTCACTGGCGCGACAGGCACATAGGTTTTCCTGGGTTAGATTGTGACCTGCTTCAAAGAAGTTTATGGGATGAACTTCCCTCCTCAAGCACTGCCTCACGCAAACTTGAGCGACCGTGATCCCAGCTTCCTTCATTACTCAACGGGGGGCTACAATAACGGTTGTGGAGCACACTCAATCTAATAGCAGATGCTCCCCGGACGACCGGCCTGAGATACGGAGGGCACGGTGATGATGAAAGTGCGTCCCCGTCACCAAAGTAGGCAAAGTAGCCACCGCAGAGCCAGGCACCCCAAATGAGGGCCCCTCAGTTAGAAAGCTTGTATATATGGGACCAACGGCGCCATGTACACAGACCAAGCTGCGCGACCTAGAGTTCTGAATCGTAGCGCCGTAGGGCTAATCTATATGTAACACGGTAGGGCAAACCTACGCCTGATTCTCGTCTAGTTCCTCAGGGAGGAGGACTCTTTGTATTATTCAATTCCACACTCCCGGTAATCTACTTCACTTTCCACGCTCGCCGCTTATCCGAACCCGAGAACGACGCAATTGCCTCTTTCAGTTCAGATGTTGCACATACAGAGTGTCTGGTGAACGCCTTGGGATGCAAAGATTCCGTCGAGTGAAAAGTAAGAGTCATACATTTCTATATGTAGAGTTTGCAGTTTAATTTCGGAAATCAAGGCCTGCTTTTCAATTTCAAGAACCAAAATACCACGTCTCGACCATCTTGATTGGTCTTCCGTTATAAATGCATGTCACGACTATGTCTTGAATTATTTCTGAGGCAAAAGGCTGCACCCGTGTTCGAATCTGGCACTATGGATGACTCAAATTCTCCTGGTCAGCCATTGAACCAACACATACAAGCACCGAACTCTCTCAAGTAGAAATCTGTTGCTTCAGAAGCACTCAATCGGACGACAGCTGTAAGAGTCTCGGCAGCATCCAAGAAGTTGAATAAACTAAGTATCATTGCTTAAAGTTCCTCCGCCCGATATATTCAATATATACCGGGCATATACAAAGTGTGTGACATATTTCTCTTGAAAAGGCTCCAGTCCCTTGACAACAACCGGCATTCCATCTCAGAGAACCTCAAAAGCCCAAGACAGCCGTCGAATAGCTCAAGTCTAGGAAAGTCGCCGGGAGACCACGTGCATTTAAACTTTAGCATCATGCCCCAGACGTGCGCCTCTGTCTGGCCCAGCCCCCAAGCCCCTTCGTCCTCTTCCGCAACCACGAATCCTTTCGATCGGGACTCCCCTTCCCACCATTCGCCTCCCTATTCTTTGCGTCCTCTGGCCACAGGCTCAAGAGAATACCCATGAATGCGTCGTTGACGTTACCAACCTTCTCGCTGCTGCGACCACTCTCGCCATTGCTTCGTTTCGAATGCTCCCTCGCACCCGGGTCGCCGAGCTCCTCGGATGTGCCCTGTCGAACCCAGGGTAAATAGATCCGCCTCCTGCGTCTCTTTTCTTTGGCAGCGACAGCAGGCTCACTCTTATCCTGTTCTCCCAGGGATTCCCCGGGGCCTGCTGAGACCACAGAATCGCGGCTGCCGCTTTCGTCTTGCCCACTTGTCAGAATCTCCGTAGCCTCGTCATCGCCGTCGTCGTCGACGATGTCGACGTCGACGTCGACATCATCAAAACCCTCATCTTCCCCGCCGGTGGGTTCTGCGACCGCGCCCGTCGTCATCATCGTGCTCCTCAACCTCTTGACTGAGAAATGACACATGGCACTAACAATCTCGCCGGCGGCCTCCGAGAGCTTCCACTCGCCGTCGTCCCCACCAGTCTGCTCATACGCCGGGAGCCGTACAAAGTTCTCCATGGCGGCAACGGTATCCAACACCGTCTCCTTGGAAGACCGGAACCACTCCTTGTGACCCCCGCCGCACTCATCGCACTTGGCGATGCCGATGTTGTGGAACTCCAGCACGACCTGCGCGAGCCTCTCGGCTTTGGCCGCCCCCAAAAAGGGGCCCCCGGGCGTCTCGTGGATGATGTGCGCGTTGCGGCCGGCGCAGTTGTTCGGCTGCCGGAGCCTCGCCGCCGCGGTGCCCCTCGTAAAGCCAATCTTGAACGTGTCTTCCAATTTGTTGTGCGCGAGAACATAGACGACGCCGTGATTTCTTTCAATGTTGCGTAGGGGCTTGGAGATTTCTGCAAAGACTGCGGAGTGGTCTCGTTGAGACACTCTCCGCCGAGGGGGCCTTGTCACGCCAAGGCCTTCGATGCGCTCAGCTACGACGACGTTGGTGGTTTCGTGGATCTCTGTCGTGGCTGCTGCCGTGACTGTCTCGCCCGCCGCGGTGACGGTCAGGGTCGAGACGCTCTCTGTGACTGTTTCGACGAGCATGGAAACCTCCACGTCCGCCACTTCCGTCGATGGGTCGGTTTGGGAGTCTACCGGCTGTGCCGCGGCAGTGAGGGCGGTGGACTTTGGGGTATCAGCACCTTGGTAACTATCATCGCTGACAGTGGGTGGTTCCTCGAACGACAACGATTCAGGCGCGCCACCACGAGTCGTATTCCAGCTCTCGAGCCTCTGAAGGGCGTCTCGATCATGATGCCGGCAGTGGGTGACTGCGAGAAACTCTTTGAGCTGAGAAAGAAGCTCCCCATCATCCTCGGCTTTTGGGCGGTCCACTATCAGACGGAGACCGTGCCGGAGTTGTTGCGCCTTCTCTGCATCCTGGTCATTGAGCTTGTTCTTGCAGCGGGTCTTCCTTTTTGTCAAGGCTGGACACCGCCTGAGATCCCAGTCGCTCGGGTTTGGGCACTCGTCGATGCCCTGGAGGATGATTGCTAGCTCCTCAAAGACGGGAGACGTCTCAGGCGGAATCTCGTCAGTATTCATCACGAGAGTGCTGAAGGAAGAGAATCACAATTCGAATTTAGATTATGAGGAAGCGCCTGTCCAGATAACGACGCCAGAGCGAGATCAAGGATCGAAGAGGAGGGGAGAGGAGGGAATGGGAAAGGAGCGGAGTAGATGGGGTCGCAGCTGGTCCTAGTCCACGTACGATAGAAAGCCGAAATGCCTCCCGCATTGGTAGATTGCATGTGGGCAAGCCGAGGATACCCAGCTGAGGACTTGGGAATCCTGCACAAGCGGCCGAATTAACCCAATTTGGGACTGGATGTGACCTGTTCATGCCGTTGGTCGTGCGGTGTCTACCAGGACAGGCGCAGGTTATCCCTCACCAAAACGTGAGATGTAAATGAGATAGGACTGGCAGCTGTTTGGGGGCCTTACGGACGTTAGCGGATCATGTCGCAATTTGACTAGATACTCCAAGCAAGAAGAAAGCTGGGATTCTGCTCTTTGGAGGAGAGGCTGGCCGGAAGCAACACGCTGTTGGATGTGGTTGGTGTTGATCAGGTCTCAAGAGGACTACCATCTCCACCATGTTGCAGGAGTAGATGCAACGAAGCACGCAACCCAGAGGCGCAGACTGGGCGAAGTTGGAACGGATGTGCGGGAAAGAGGCACAGGTAGCCGATTTTGATCAATCATGCCGTATTACCATGATCTGGTTTATCCACATTACTCTCAGCAAGACAATCTCGTCATAGGGAATCAAAACTTGGTGTGAGCGTTTGGTCAGTAATCGATCTTCTTGCACCAGTCTTGCAACTGTATCTCACAAATGAGTACAACGCAAATGAACAGACAGATGCTTGAACCTTTTCTCTTCCTACCATCTACCGTGCCTACCAACGCCGCCGCCACCATTGGCCCAGAGAGCAAGTATGCATCCATATAAAGTATCGTCTGAGACAGAGAGAAAAGAAAAAAATAGAATGATCCATAGTACGCCGCCTTTATGCCGTCTTATCATAACCGCCCAAGCGGCGCAGAGGCATGTGGTACATGCAACAGAGCTCACCGCCATCCCCGGCGGCTCGTAAAAAAAAATGCTGGGAGCTTGTGTAGCCCCGTCCATCCGGCTCATGCCTTGTTACCCCAGCCGACACTGATCTCAAGAACCCGAAAAGAAAACAAGTGAAATCCGCACAACTCCCACAAAAAAAGACTTCAGCAATGGCGAATAATAAACTGCGGGTGGGATAAACACGTCCGCCGAGGTATCCTCATCGAATCAGAAAAGTACGCCTTTTTCATACGCCCAGGTATTCGAAACACGCCGACTCTCTCTTTCTCTCTCTCTCAAACATCGAAACCTGACTTGATAGCCCAGGAGCCGGCGAGCCCTTTACCGCCGACCTTTTCTGCAATCATGGCGATGGCTTCCTTCAGGTCGTTGCGGGAAATCTTGGCGTGAGCAAGCGCAACGTACGAGAGATCGACCAAGCCACCCTTGGCGATCTTGGGGTTCGCCTCAATGACCTTCTTGAGCTCCTGGAGGTTGTTATTCTCCAATATCTTCTTCGGCAGTGACTGTACGCTGCTCTTTGTACTGCTGCAGGTAATCGCCTTGAAGGCATCGGCCGGCTTCGAGTCTGCGGCAGTCTTGTCCTTGGCTGCTTGGGTCTTGGCCGCTTTATCCTTGGTCGCTTGACCTTTGGCCGCTTTGTCTTTGAGTGGACGACCAGCAGGTTTGGGCTTTGGCTCGGGTTCCCAGTATTTCGTCGAGAACGGATCGATGCCGTGATGGTGTTCGAGACTCTCTTTAAAGCATGTGTTAACGCGGCTGTACGAGCGGGAGACGGGATATAGCTTACCCAGAATGAATTCCATCCTGTGTTCGTATACGGTGCGATTGGGACCCTTGCGCGTGCCATCCTCCCAACAGAGTCCTGTGCTCTCAGGTTCGAGACCGTTGGCACTCACGAACCGAGCGGGGCCGTTGTCTTCTGAGTCGTCGAGGAACTCATCCATGTCTTCTCCATCGGCATCAAGGTCCTCGTCGTCATCATCGTCAATGTCAACGTCCTCGCCTTCGCTTTCCCACTCGGCTTCCGAGTCGTGATCGTAGTTAACGGGGAGCTGGTCGCGGCGGGTTGGGTTTCGGGCGAGGCGTCGCATGCCGGATTTGCCTGCTTGGTAGGGCCTGAGGGTGACGGTGCCTCGGTATGGAGGGCGCACATCCTGGTAGAACTTGAGTGACTTGGTAGGGACTTTTCTCAGCGCATCTGCAATGTCCTTTACAATCGCCTTCTTGTCCTCCTCACTGCTTGCGTCTTGTGTGAGCTTCCGCATGTTTTCGATGGTGAACCGCACTGGAGGGTAGATTCTGCCACGTGGGGCAGGACGGCTGAGAAGTTGGAAAACCTCGATAGGGTCAAAGTTGCCGGCTTGTGTCGACTCTCTCTTCCCGTCAAAGTACTCGCCCAACACCCTTGTTTTAGCCTCATGTGTCTCGTCGTCCATCTCAAAAGGATTTTTGGCCAAACGAACACTGCTTTGCACAAAGAATGGCTTGAAACGCTTCTCATACTCCGACTGCTCCTCCTTCTTGACTGCAGCTATTTTGGCGTCTGGCGTCCCGGCGGCTTTAGCAGGACTTTCCGTCTTGATCTTGGGCACCACTATATCCTTCATGGGTGTGGTGGGTGCCTTGAAAAAGGACATGAGCTTCGGTTGGGCGCGCTCCTTCTTGTCCTTTTCCTGTTGCACCTTGCGCTCCTCATCCTCCTTCTTACGGCGCTTTTCCTCTTGCTTGGCGTGCTTCTCGGCGTCGGCCTTTGCCTTTTCGGCTTGTTTGGCTTCTCTCTTCTCTTCACGCTCCTTCTTCTTCTGCGCCTTCTCCTTCTCCTCGGCCTCCTTCTCGGCTGCGGTCCGACGCTTCCGTTTGGACGGTTGAGTTGTTGAGGCAGTAGAGTTTGAGATGGCGGTGTTTGATGATGAGGCGAGGTTGGCGTCTGCGGACTGCGTCAGGTGAGTTGAATTCTTGCTAGGTGTGAGATCGGGCGAGGGTGAGCCTCGCTCTGGTGTGAGGGTGCCGGCATCGGTCAGCTCGCTCGGGCTGCTCGGGGGCGGCGGCGTATCGCGGGTTGGCATCTGGCGCACAGGAGATACGGCTGTCGAGGTTAGAGAGGTGATCAGGGCGAAGGTATGGCCGCATTGTGGACAGGTCGAGCAGCTCTTACCTTTGCTGTGTTGGACTACGGCCTCGGTGGCCTGCTGCTTGACGCCGGCTTGCAAGCCGCGGTCCTCGATCGTGGCCTCGTCACCAGAGAAGTCGTCGTGGCTTCTCTTCAGGCCGTTGGTCTCCATGTCTGATTCTCGTTGGATATTTGTCGACATCTCAAATAGAGGCATCGGTGGTCGGTGGTGTCGCAAAGGTCGCGACAGTGCTCGTGAGTCGGTCGCTTTCGGGTGAAGTGCGGACTGAGGTTGAAGTCGTGTTGGGGACTTTGGTGAGTGGGGAAAAGGTAGAGCTGGTTTAGGCAGCCTAGAACGATGGTAGAGAATAAAGTGAGTAAATTGCTGGCCGAGCGACGAGGGGACGTTGAGCAATCGAGGTGGCGTCTCTCGGCTTCAGGACCAGGGTCGCGATGGCAGGCTCAATTGCGGCAGACCAACGGTCTCAAGGAGGTGAATTGGCGGTGGGATTAAGTGGAAAAGACCGTTAGTGGAAGTTGACAGGTTGGAGCGCTCCGCCGGGACGCGACTGACGCGTAAATTTGGCGTTGAGGAGGCCAGGGTCGTGTCTTTGGGCCGGCAGGTGGTCGCAGGGGCTGCTTCTTCGGTGCAGAAAAAGGAGATTGGGGCGGTCGCGCTAAGGGGAAACTTTGTTAAATGGGAGCTTGAAGTTCACCTCTAGATTAGGTATTGCTAGATTCAACTGTACAAGCCTCAGCGCAGGAGGGACTTTCCCTAGGCGTTGTATTTCTGTCGTCAAAAGAACCATACAGCTGATCTGAGAATACAATTCAAACCCGTATTCTATTCCATTGTTTGTTGAATAATTCTACCAGCTCAAAGAGTGCAGCTTTGGTTTGGTCTATTGTCGAGGACACAAGTCTTGGTGTTTCCGAGAGTTGCGTACTAACAAACCCTCTTTGACGCAGCCCCCACGTCCGGTCGTCAAGACAGGTACCTCCATTAGTTGATTAGGTAAGGTAGGCACCCTCAAATGTCAGCGATAACGATAAGAGGATGCCACCTCGTGGCTTGTGGCTCAGCAAGATGTGGCTGGAGTTCGACGGGTTGCATCTGCGAATGGAATGCGGGGCCTGTGGCTGCCTCCCCACATGGGAGATATCGGTCTGCATTTTCGGTCTGCAATCTCGGTCACGTCACACCGAGACTGTTGTAGACAAGGACCCACCAAATATTCAATGGAGACCAAATAAAAGAACCAACCACACCACACCACACCGGCAAGGGGAGAGACCCGCACTTCTTCGGGGTCAACCGGTCTTGGCCCAACTCAGAACGTTACATCATATCATGATGCCATTTCTCTCTTTCCCACCTGTCAACAAGGCGTGTGTGCCTTACTCTGTTCACCCCGGTACCGTCCCCCCGGTGACCCTGTGTCTGTCCCATCACTATTAATCGGGGCAGACGGAGTCGACGGATGAGAGCTACGATACGGATAGTATGTTCACCAACCAACCGAGAAAGAGAAAAAAGAAAAGGTAGGGGTCGTGGGGTCTTGTTCTCATTCTACCTTTTTTTGTGGGCAATACGAAGTGATCGACAGCGCCGCCGCCCTGTGTGTAGGAGTGGTAGGTCCCTCTATCAACTAGGACCCTGACAATGAGGATGTTTTTTTTTTTTGCCGCCAGCGAGAAAGGGATCCCTGCCCCGTCGGCAAGTGGCGGTGGTTCTTTCGCAGTGATATCCGCCCAAATGCAGATAAACAAAGAGGAGCAGAGGCAGACAGACGCACGAGATGCAGAAGCGAGGAAGGGTGGACTTTCATGCCAGGGACGGACGGGCCTGTAAAGGAGGAGGAGGAGGAGGAGGAGGAAGAGAAGGCACTCGGCTTCCTCAAGCTGTTGAACTTTGCGGCGCCGCGTTTTCCGCTTGCTGGGCATACTGCCCATCCTTGCCATGCAACCTATTCAAGATCAATGATGGGATGGTCACCGAATGGTGTCGCTGGGCCTCTTGAAGGCGACGTCGGGCGAGTCGTCGAGTTCGGCCGGGTGCACGTTGCTCACTTCGTATCCCACCACCACCACCCCACGTTTGGCTTTGGGAACCCCATGGCATCTTTGCAGAAAGAGAACCATGGAAATGCATGTCATCAGTGAGACAAAACACATCAGACCCTTGAAAACAAAGTTTGGGGTACGGGGCCACGGGGCTCCCGTTCGAACCCAAAGAATGAAGGGGGGGGGGGGCGGCGGCGCCATACGGGGAACGTTAGTTAGGAACCTTGGGACAAGTTAAACCCTCGAAACACGAGATTGCACGTGTCAAAGACGAACTGACAGCCGCCGTAGTAGTTCTGCCATTGCGATAGTCCAATGTCATGGTAGCATGGCAGAAAACCCATGCTACCTGACTACCGTAGATAGTATGTGTAGATAGAGACGGGCTCAAGTCCGAGCTAAGGAAAGGTTAGATCTACAAAAGTGTACTATCTTGGGAACACATGACAAGTTGGCCGACAAAGTAGATAGTTAGTGTTTACCAAGAAGCCAGACTTGCCAGAGTAGGTAATGTAGCACTGCAAGCGGCTCACCACATGCCTCGAGTCAACATCCCACTCCCCGATCTTGCAAAACGGGCTTTGACGTCTCCCATTTCTATACGGATACACGGGAATGGGTTGGCCAAGACGTCTTGGATATTGCCATGGCGGTAATGGTCTTGTAAAAAAAACCCGGTGACCCCCAAGAAATTGTGGCCATTGAAAACGGCGTTGCGGCTGAAGAAGCATTAAGGTAGTCTCACATTACTGGGTCGGCTGTGTTTGTGTCTCTCTCTCTCCAGAGATCGGTGGCTGGGCTTAATCAACTTTTCGGCACTCAATCCTCCCGAAATTCGCGTTCCCGGGCAGCAGAGAGGTCACACACAGCGTGCACAGCATAGTGTGAGATGGGCAAAAAAAGGTTGACATTCGCGATGCCCAGGAATGGCTTTTCATATTCGAGCATTTTGAGCTTCTCTGCTTGTCTCAGCCTCGCGTCTCCCCCGTTGCCCATGACTTCAAACCTCCACCAGGGGCCTTCCAATCTCAACCGTGGTATCATCCTCCGCCCCCTTTTCCTGGACCATTCGTCTTTTGTTTTTTGTCTTCCCCCGAAGACCGTCTCCAACTTCGCCTGCGTCGTCCCCATCATCCGCTTCCCCGCCGCCCCCCGTCTCGCTTTTGATGTCTTGCCCACAGATTAGGAAACAGGCTGGAATGGGCCCGTTCGTGCGATGTGTGTCGCCAGCTAGGAGAAAGAAATAGAGTCCGGGCCAAGGAAAAAAAGAGTAGGAACAGATAGAGAGGCCCGATGGAAGCGATCGTAGAGCGGAACAATGTGGAAAAATTTTGACGGGAATTCAAACTCCCCTCCCCAGGCACCTCCGGTAAGCCGATTGTGTCATCTCGGGAATGGTCTCTGTATGGTATCATCCCACCCTTAACAAAAAAAAACAAGTCCTCAAGTAAAACGCCGAGTGATGCAAGTTTGTGACAGTGAAGAAATCACCAAACACCGCCCCCATCCCCCTTAACGACCGCATAGGTGTGCCTCAAGGAGACGTTCGTACAGATTGGCGATGACAAGGAAATCGAAGGAAATCAAAGGAAATCGGATGAATGTCGAATCGCATTCTCTCGTAGTAAAGCGGCTTAGCCCATCCCGATGGGCCCGTAACGTATTGGGAAAGTCGGCGGCTCGTCTGTGTGTCTTTCTTCCCCGAACGGGGTGGGGGTATGGGGACAGCGTGGCCACTCTTTAATCGGGGTTAGCGATGTAAAGACGGCCTCCGGTAAGCGTCGTGGTGCGCTCGTCGACGCTGCCCCTCCTGCGTAGCTCATCGGCGCTCTTGACGCTCTTCTCGCGGGTGACGGTCGAGTGCATGAGCGAGTTGCTCGCCAGCCGCGCCGCCGCGGTGCTGCCCAGCTCGCCGACATTGTCCGCCCGCTCGCCGCTGCTCCCCGAGGCCGTCGTCATGGCCCTGCCGCTCGCGTTGTCGCCCAGCGTGGCGTCTTCCGGCACATCCTCGACCATGCTGCCGCTCCTCTCGGGCGTGTCTCCCGGGCTCCATCGGCGTCCGCCGCCGGACGATCTGTATCCCGGGCCGCGGCGGCTCGCTGTGCTACTGCGGCCGCTGCTACCGGTCCGTCTGTGATGCAGGCGTGCGTCGTCGTCGTCGCTGTCTTCGCCCTCGACCTCGGTGGCGCTGAGACGCATGGGCACGCCGCCGACGCCGACGTGGTGCTCTCCCGGAGCGTAGCCCACGACTGCGGGTTTCCCGTGGTGGCGGATCTTGGCGGCAACCTTGCCGGTAGCACTGATGCCGGTGCTCGTCCTGCCACCGGACGGGGCGGAGAGGCCGGAGGCGGTGCGCTGGCCGCCAATGACCTCGAGGGTGGCGCGCATCTTGGCGGCGCGCTGCTGGGCCAGGAGACGGGGGTCCTCATACTGAGCGCGGTCGCACCAGACAGTGGCCTTTTGCTTGCGGAGGAGGGCGACGTAGCCGGTCGGCTGCGTGCTGCCGCCGGAGCGGGAGGAGGTTGAGCGGCGTAGGTCGGTGGTGGGCGAGGTGCGGTAGGCGGCGGGCGGGGGGATGCTCGAGGTGGTGCTGAAGGTGTTAACCGAGGGGGAGCGGCGGTTGAATTGTTGAGGGTTCATGGCATTCTGCTGCTGGAGGTGCATCGGCGTCGGACTTTGGATTGGGAATGTGTTTGAGGACGTCGTGCGAGTGCGGGAGTGGGAGTAGACGGCGGACGAGTCCATCGGCTGGTGTCGCCGGCTTACCGACGAGTCCAGCATGACCGCGGTTGATGTGTGAGATTGCGAGGCAGACTATATGCTGCCGTATCGATGTCGGTCGTGGTGATGGTGGTGGTGGTGGTGGTGGCGGTGGTGGTGGTAATGTCGTCCTCGTCCTCAGGACGGGCGGTGTTTCGTAATGGTAATGGTGTGTTGTTGGTCCTTCACGGGCGATCCAATGTGAAGATTGGATGGAATCTTTGGCGCCCGTGGAGGATGGGATAGAGGTGTGGGAGCCAGAGTCGTAGGAGTAGGACTCGTAGGGGTGGTGAGAAGGAGGAAGGAAGAAAAAGAGGAAGAAAAAGGGTGAGGTAAGGAGACAGAGAGAGGCTGTCGTGGGATTTGGAGAGAAATAAGCCGAGAGCGGAAAAGATGACGAACGGCTTGGGTTGGGCAGAGGAGGGAGATTATAGGTCGGGTCCCGGGCGGCGAGTAAGTTTCGCGGGTCGACGGGGCGAAATGTTGAGATTTGGTCCTCTCTCTCTCCCGCGGTGCCTTTTTGACTCTTGGGCGCTTCAACTCAGCTCTCAGGGCCAGCGGCAGCCGGATGTGAGGTGCCTTTTAGCGCTCTGTCACCTTGTGGTGCCTCTGGGTCCTTGGATCCTAGGTCCTAGGGCCTTGGGAGGGGTCCCCTTTGGCCGGGAGGGAGGGACCAGGGAGGGGGGTGTGCAATTGACTGCGCAACTGTGGATTGTGAGAATGAGGTGTGAGTGAGAGTGTGGGAAAGTGAGTGTGAGAGACTAAGGGTGAGTGGTGTGAATGTGTGAGAGGGCTGTGGGAGAGTGAGAGAGTGTGCGAGTGTGGGTGAGAGTGGGAGGTTCCCTGGGTCGGGAAAGCCGACAGCGATGGGTGCTAAGATTGCTCGGGAGCCTGCGCGGTGAATGTACCTTCCCCCCCCCCCCCGGCGGGGGGGGGCGGGGGGGGGGGGGGGGGGGGGGGGGGGGGGGGGGGGGGGGGGGGGGGTCCCCGGGGTGGGGAAAGCGGAAGGGGAGGGGGGTAAAGTTTGCCCGGGGGCCGGGGGGGGGAAGTTCCCTCCCCCCCCCCCCCCGGCCTTGGGTTCAGGCTGGTTTGGGTTTGGGTTGAGGGTGCGAGACGTGAGAGGAGGGCCAAGCCACCACGCCTGAAGAGGGATCCAGCACCACGGTGACGATGATTAAGTTTTCCCCCGTCTTCGTGCCCTCTACATAATAGTATGTTCAATTCTCTTTTAGGCTTTCGACTCGACGGATAATGACTCTGTTTATAGACAGAATTTCTGCACGAGTACAGACCGTTTGTTGAGCTAGGTTGGTAAGCCTGAACAGCAGCAACAGGAACCAAAGGAACTTGTTCAGAGAGTTTGGCCTTTGGTCCTCGTACCGATCAACGTCCGGCCTGGATAAGACGTGGAACAAGGAGCGGCTGCGAGAGGCTGATAAACGAAGAGAGGGTCTCGGTTTTCTATTCTGCTTATGTCCGCCATCCGCCGCCGCGCTTAAGGCAGACCCTCTGTGGAGCACAGATGATGGAAGAGTCGGCAACCCAATGTGCCAATCCAGTCCGCCCCCAAGTCGCGAGTCTACTGTGTATGGGAGGAAACCCAAGGGAAAGATACGACAGGGCGGCCAACGATCGTCTGTGCCCTTTTTTCTTCTCTACCCTTCCCTTGGTATCGTATCCGTGGGATCTCCGGATAGCGCGTGTGGATGAGTTGCTAAAGCGTGAGAGAGAGTGAGAGGGATGATGCCAGACAAAGCACGTTTCGTCAATAGTGGCAGCTGAAGGCTGAAGGAGGGCTGAGGGAGAGAGAGTCGCAGGGACGACGCTGCTTGCGAGAGTCGCGAGAGAACAATAAACAATGACACGAGGGAGAGAGTTTGCAAGCAATTCTCGCGCTCTGGTGTCCATGTCGGTGTCTATTGTTTTGTTATGTCTCTCTGTGTAGTCTGGTGTGAGATCACGGCCGAGATAAGGCAGACCGACGCTGCAGGTCTGAGATGAGTACATGAGATAGAGTAGATGTCCACACACACCACACTTTTTTTTTTTTAGAGAGAATTAACCTCAAGAATTCCCGTTCGTGAGGGGTGCGGTTCGCCGAGGTGGAGGAAGCGGTGGTAGTGGCGGTGGCCCAAGGTCGAACTAAGTACCAAGCGTCGACGAACCCAAGAACATGGGATTGTATGCGGGAATACACCACAGTCAAACGGTCCAAGATGGGCTTAGCACTTTGGTCCAAAGAAATGGAGAGTAGGAAAGGATGGGATTCAAATGCGATGCCATGCGATGCGATGCAATGGGCCGGCCGAAGCAATAAGCAACAAGCAGATGCAGCAGGATTATCAACACTACGAACTAGACACCCACGACACCCAGATAGCCCGCCGGACAAGATCAAATAACCCAGCATGGCAAGACCGCAGTGTGACGACTACACGAAATGGTAAGTCGCCGATGCAGGTTGTACTCCCACCCGCGCAAACGCATGTATATGTCCGCTGCAGTATACCTTTCGTCACTGAGGGTATCTCTCGTGGGCAAACAACGCAACTATCATGGCCGACTCTTGTTGGAGATATCCATATCGCAGTGACACAACCCATTGACTGAAAGAGGGACGTACAGAAAGCAGGCAGTGGGACATACCCAGTGATACCACGCACCACAAGCAAAGAGGCCAGGGTCAGGGGCCAGCACGACGACACCCACTTGGACAGACTAGGACAGGGACAGGCCAAGAACGATGTGACAAGGCGACAAGGGCCCCGGTCCAACGTTGCATGGCCGGGGCAGCTCTTTTGCTGCTTAGCCTCTCTCTATCTCTCTCTGTCTCTCTGTCTCTGCCCCCCATGTCTTTCCCTCTTTTTCCCACTCGCTCAGGTTTCCCAAAGATGTGTGCTCGCGCCGCTCTCCTCCATTGGCTCCCTGCCGCCGTGGCCATCTCCTCGACTCTGTGCAGTGTGGAGAGGAAGAGGCCTTTCGGTCTTGTTATCGCCAGGCCCTGGTAGATCCACAAGGTCAACGAGAACCCTTCTGTCTCCTGTCCATCTTGGTCGCCCTGTGTCTATCTTCTTTTACGGAGTTTCTCTCTCTTTCTCTCATCCAGCTTGCCTTTCCCACGGACCACAGCGCCATTGCCCACTTCTTCCCTCGCGCCTCCACTATGGCTGCCAGTCTGCGGCACTGCGGCCGTCGAGCTGTCGTCGCTTGCTGGCGTACTCTCACCACCAGCCTGACAATGGGAATGGAATCACCACAACACCTTCGGAGACTGACTCCCACTCTCCGTCCCTTTTCATCCCCTCTCTCCACTCATCGACTTATGACATGCTGCACGTAAACGGCCCCCCCGCCGTCTCTTGGCCCGACCTTCCGGACTACCTGCGCCGGGGAATATGTCACCATCATGACTACCGTCCCGGCGTCCTTCGGCTCTACTACGAGTTACATGTTTTAAACGCCCAGGCTATGGGGCCCTATTCGATACAATAGTCATGCCGCCCTAGTTCCACCAGCATTGGTTTCCCCCCCAAGCGCCGTCTTCAGTAGAAACTAGAAACCAGACATCAAGGCAGCGAATACAGAAAGACGTCACAGAGAGTACCGTCGCTCTGTCTCTGTACAATCACACCCCCAAATCTCGATCGATCTTCCCAATCCACCGAAGAAATCCCACCAACGCGCTCCTCATCCCAGCCCGTCGCATCAGCATCAGGACTCAGCCTGGAAGTTGGAACAGCGTTCACCACGCCACGCTCCCCCCCAAAAGACGCGGAGCCCATCGCCCGGCCAATCATCCCCATGGACGTTGATGTAATAACTCCCCTTCCAGAATCCCAGGGAGCCAATGCCCGTCTCCAGAATGTAAGGCCAACGCTATAGCCAGCCGGAAGTCGGGGGAGTCCCAGGACAAATATTCCCAGTTCTCCGGGGCACATTAACGACCGAGTGGACGCTAAGGCTCCGCCGCCTCGCTGCATCTACTGGCAATCGCAATGTCCTCCGCCTCTGTCACGGGGTCTGTGTCACCAAGTTTTCCAGGTTTCCCATTATTGATCTTCAACGCACGTACGGAAGCTGGCCCTGTCCTGTACTCTGTATCCGTATGTATGTAATGATCTCCAGGGCCTTTTCTTCTGCCCTCTCTCATATCCTTTTATTTTTTTTTGGTCCTGTTCGTCACTAACGTCCCCTCGCTTCGGCTGCCGTCCGTCCCTTGTCTCCCCTCTCTGTGTCCCCCCCGGATTGTCCTACAACAACCCCCTACATGCAGTAATTACCCCGTAGTCTTTGCTCATTCCTTCATCTTTCCCTGTTTTGGGGAAGAGATCCTTCCCACGACATCGGATTGGTGTAGAAACCGCCGTGCTTCAGTGGTCTTGAGCTCTGATGCCTGCCTTTACTACGTGATCGTCGCCCTACCCCCTACGAGATCCTTCCGTGCGTTTAGATAAACCCCACCCTTCGTCTCCGGATTGTCGATATTGCTCGGTCAGACGATGAAAGCTCCATCGACTGCCGACCGGGTTGCGGTGAGGGGGACAACATCCAGCGGCCGGCAAAGCTCAATGCAACAGGGCCGGCTGGGGCGAGTTGCGACGGTGATGTAAGATGCGGCAATCGCCCGCCGGGGAGCTTGGGTGCTGTCCCCCCGTCGGCGGCCCGGGGGGCGGGGGGGGGGACACGATCCAGCGGCCGGCAAAGCTGAATGTATCTGGGCCGGCGTGGGTGTGTTGCGACGGTGATGTAAGATGTGGCAATCGCCCGGCGGGGAGCGTGGGGGCTGGTTCCGCGTGCGCCGGCAAATGCTGGGAGAGATGACAGGGACGGCTACTTCCTCACACCGTATCGGTGTGGGACGTATGGGAGATACCGCCAAACCGGCCCAGGAACTTGA